ACCCAGATGAGGACCTAATTGAAGAGGGCAGTTGCCAATCGGGTGAGAAAAAATTAAGGAGTCGGTGTCGGTGTAAAGCAATTTGCAATCAGGAGTTCTCACAACCTGTTGCATGGCGTGTAGCAAGTGAATTCTTGCTGCTGATGTGGTCCACAACGAGATGATGACATTTGATGAGTCATGTTCTTCCACAAATTCCTTCTTTTTGCTGTATGAAATAAGAAGTACATCCTCAGTTAGTCCCTCTACTGTATCAATAATAATTGAAGGGTCGTTTGAATATTTGATGTACATAGCAGGGTCGTCCGTAACTACACATTGAGATAATCCAAAGTTACGGAGAGAGAAACGACCCCATAAGTTGTTTAAGCATAATTTGGCTTGCGTCCTCTTTCCTTTATTGACCTTCATTTTCTCCTTGTCGATGATGATTCCAAACTTTTCCTTACATTCTTTGATGAAGTCCTCTTCCTTCTGTTGATCTCCTTTGATGTCGTTGTCAAAGCCGCTGGCGTGAATTTTTTGTGCCATAAATTCACGAATATAAGGACGAAAAAGATTGTCGTCGTAGTTTTTATATTCCAAAACGCGAAATACTTTGGTGACTACATATCCTTCTTTCAATGCCTCATTTAATTCAATTGACGTACAAGTAGAGACCCATCCACGTTGTTGGTTTGTGTGTTTGCAAGTGTAGTTCTCATTCACATCCCCATTTGGATGTTCCTTTGCACAAGTGGAGCAAAGGGGGAATAGAAGTCTTTCATCGTCGTCTCCGATTTTCATAGGTAGGACTGGGATGTCGATGCTGCGCGGAGGTATTACAAAAACTTTCAGAAGAGCCAGTTCATAAGTGTTGTCAGAGGGTTGAGTCCAGTTGACGTCGTTATTTAGAATATGGACCTCGGGGTGACCAATTGGGTAGCGTGTTGTCATATTGATGAAGGGGTACAAGGAGGTCACATCATAGTAGGAAATTTTTTGCCCCTCCCCCGTTTTATGGAATAGTTTTAGTGGTCCGGTTCTCCCCCCAAAGAAAGCCGATCGAATATCGATCGGTCCATTGTCCAAATAATTTTTAAACCTTAGCCTCATGACCCTATCCCTTGAAAGCATCCCCCTGATGTCACACTCCCAATAAACTTCCACGTTTACCCCAAAACTCTCAATAAATTCTAAACGCCTTTCATCCTTTTCTCTTTGCTTCCCTGCTGTAACCCCATTGGGAAGTTTTATTTCATCATAAGGGAAACATTTTCTACAACCATGCCAACAGCATCCATTAATCTCTAACACCAATTTCCTTTCTTCTACCCACCCATCTACCCTATAATCCCCAAATCTCTTTTCCCCTCCTTTAGAATAAGCATTACGTATGTTGACATTGTGTTCTTCAGCATACCAGGCAAGGAATCGAAGAGCAAGCAAACTTTGGGTGTCTGTGTTGTCATATCCAATCTCAGGAACAATGCCAAGGTGTTGAACCGGTAGGTGGTTTGCCCTAAAGTGCTTCATGCATGCACTGGCGATTGTCATTGCCTCTCTCAGAACATCCAATCCATTTGACACATCCAGAAATTCGCGCCTAAATGCAACCAAAGCAGCCATTAGAATTTCCACGTCGTTGGTACAATATGACGCCAATGATTCGACCAGATTGAAAGACTCATCCTTGTGTTCTTCATACCATTTATCAAATTGAGCTCTCTTCTCGGGCATCATCCCATCAGCCAGATAGTCATCCTTCACCGGGAAAATTTCCTTACCATAATTTTCCGGCCTATTTACCAAGTGTGGGAAAAAAGGTTTGTCCTCTACACTAAGTGCAAAGGCAGGGACCAAGGAAGCAAGGGGCATGGGCATTAAATTAAAAGTGTCCCTAAAAATAACCCAATTATCTTTACCAAGTTTTACCTTCATTTCGTATAACTTATTACCTTTTTTAATCATTTCTGGGGTCAACCCTCTAAGAAACAATTCCTTAAACACTAGTACCATATCAAATCTACCCCCAAAGTGTGAGAAAGCAATCGTATCTGTTATTGATGACTTAATTAACCAAGAAACAAATGATGACAGTGGATCTACGATTATATTTTGTTGGTCAACCTTTGTATGATAAAAGGGTTTGTGTGAGAAGGTGATCGTACGGTACTCATCACATATGGAACATTTAGGGTTAGGTCCGTTATTGATACACTCGGGACAGTTTACTTTTACCCCTATAAAGTTAACCTCATGTATTTTACCCTTTTCCCCTTCACGGTGCTGCATGGTTTCAAAATCAAAGGCGATAATTCGGTACGCCTTTGGGGGTTTGATGAGAAGGGGCTTGATGTAACACCCACGCTTAGGATCGTGGTAGCTACCGCACGTTGTGCAATAGCGTTCGGAGCAAATATGACCCTCCCTTCCATTCCTATTATTATTCTTAACACCCCAGATAACCCCACATTTTTTACATTTCTTAGAGGAACTACAAAAATTCGAGGTGATATGGTGGGTGTAACAGTTTTCATTCTTAAAGTTTTTCTCACACCCTTTACAAAATTTTGAAAAATTATCTAAAGGTTTACATGGAAACCCTGGGCCAACCCTTGAACAGTTAAGACATCTAGATTTACACGAAATTGCATGGTTCAATTTCCTATTATAAACGCTTTCACAAGATAAACAGTAGGGTTGACCGAATAAGTCACTAACCTTGCGGACACCATCAAAGTGTTCCTTATTATAATACAAAATTATAGGGATATCAAAATTATCAGGCCCGTATTTATAAATAGGTTTTCCCCCCAAATCCCCGAATATATAAACTTTAAACCATCCTCTGTTCACTGTATTCCATAAGTCAACCACCCGTGGGACCCATTCTTCAGCGCAGTACACCTCTTGATTAAATTCAGCTCCAATCTCTTCCATTAGCTCTAATACATCGTTTTCGAGAAGTTGTTTCATCCCCCTTCGACTATGGAGATAATCATAGAATTTCCATCTTGGCCAGGAAAATATTGCGTGAACAAAAGTAGCCATCAAAGCGTGGAAGAGACAGTAAGTATCAGTATTTCGTATTTTTATAAGGTTTTGTTCATTAATCCTATGATGAATTGTTTGTAGCTCTCTACCGCTACCATGCACGGTTCTAGAATTAAGTCCATCTCTTTGTATAGTTGTTATTGAAACAAGAAAAGGGGCCCCCCATAACATACCATTATCCTGTTTCTTACTCTGGGCAACCTTTAGGAATTGATTCAAAATTGAATCAATTGTGTTGGACGTGATTTCTCGAACCGGGATCCAAATGTCTGAGTCAAGGTTCTGACTCGAAATTATACACCCTAGCTGATCTGGTTCCATTTGTCGTTCATGATTTTCTAATAGAGATTGATCGATACAATACTCAAAAATCGAGCCTAGTAAACCTTCTGGATTATTGGAAACATTTGTGATTATGAATTTGGTTGATAACTTAAGAAGATTAAATTTTTGGGTAAACTTGGTCTCATGACCGAGTTTTTTAACATAGAAGTCAAGACTCTCAGTAGGGGTGATTTTAATTTTCTTGGGAGGGGTAGGTTGCATTTTTGAAAATAAAATTTAAAATGAAAAAATTAAATTTGATATAAGATATATGAAAGGAAATTTAATCAAAAATAAATGTTTGTTTTCAACAATAAAAATGAAATTTTAAGTTATAGCTAAATTAAATTTTCTATGAAGGCAGGCTATGGGTAAATAAGGTTATGAATGTGGTATTTGTAGGATTTGATCGTGAAGAAGCAGGCGTTGAACAGTAGAATGATATTTCAGGTCAAAAGAAGTCGCTTTTTATACTTCCGTTCTAGCTCCACCTATATTAGGTTATTCTCAAATTAAAACACAGTTGGATTTTTAGAGAAATTTCTTAACTAGGTTAAGATTTTTAATAATAACCTTGAAATTTTGACCTATTTATTGACTAATTTTATAATATTATATTCAACTAAATACATGAGTGAGTGATATTTTAATTAAGGGTCGAGAGGATAACACTATCACATATAGAGATTAACAATGTAGGCAAAGTGGGTTGGGTTGGATTAGATGAAGGAGATCAGGGACTAACCAGATAGTATGATCCAATTAGACTAACACTCACTGGTTTTTATACTATCTTAAGTTTGCATGACTAAATACTAAACACACCAGATAGCATTGGATTTTGCGTTTGTTCGAATTTTACTTAGAAAAGGAATATAAAGATGATAAAGAGATATTGAAATTATATATTTTATTTAAAAAAAAAGATTATTTAAAATAAGAATTTTTATATTTATCTTTTAATAACCAATTTTATTCTTTATTTATTTCATTGTTTTTTCATCATTTCTTAAACCTACGTATTTACATAATTCAAGGACTCCTTTTTTTCCTTCAAATTGAATACAATAGAAATTTCAGTTTTGTAGGTTAACTCTTTGAATAGAAAGATCTTTCGATATGTAATACAATAAAGATTCTGAGCCTATTGAAAATTTTGATTGGTTTTAGGTCAATCTTTGAATAAAAAATTTCTTCGATAGAAATTTTAATCCTCTAAAAATTTGAGTTTTTTAGGTCAATCTTTGCATAGAAAAATCTTAGAATAAAAATTTTAAATTTTAGGTTAAATTTGAATAAGAAAAATACAAAAGAAAAATTTCAAAGTTCCTTTTTTTTCACTCTCACACTGAAAAGAATCTTAATAATTGAAATTTTTAGGCTAATCCTTTCCATATAAAGAAGAATAGAAATAATGACCTCAAATGATTAAAAATAAGTTTTATAAAAATTTACATAATTGGATTAGTAAAATAAAATTTTTAAATCTAACCATAAGGAAAAGGAGTCGACGAAAAGTAAGGAAAATAAAGGGACTTAATTTTAAAATTATTTATCTCTTTATCTATCTCCCGACTGCCTACGCTATTGCCCTTTTTCTCTGCCTACGGATACGTTGGTTTCACTACTAAAATGTTGAGGAGGAAGAAGAAGACGAACATGAAGATGATTTGGACAATTTGGGATTTTAGGGGGATTGGGCGTTTTGAAGTTTTGATATTTTGAATTTAACATTTTGAAATAAATGACATTTTATCCCCATAATTAGAGAAATTATAAAAAGAAATAGTGTAGTTAGAGAAAAAAATAAATATATACATTCGAGGTTGGTTCAGTGCAGCATTTTGAGAGCGGAACGGGAAAATTTGAAAATAAAAATAAATTATCGATTAGTATTGATTTTATCGATTGATATCGATTTTTTGAAAATTCTAAATTTTTAAAAAATAAATTTCGATTGGTATTGATTTTATCGATTGATATCGATTTTTTGAAAATTTTAAATTTTTAAAAAATAAATTATCGATTAGTATTGATTTTATCGATTGATATCGATTTTTTGGAAATTGTAAATTTTTAAAAAATAAATTATCGATTAGTATTGATTTTATCGATTGATATCGATTTTTTGAAAATTTTAAATTTCAAACGGAAAACTTGCGACAAAACGGATCATAGGTAAAAATGGACAAAATGGTACACTACAAAACGGATCGAAACAAAGCATACAAAATATCTATAGAGGAGAAAATAGCAAAAATCAATTTATGATTTAACAGGATGATGACTAATTCAAATGAATTTAAACATTTATTTTTCCCGATCAAAAAAAATTTTTTTTATAATAAATAAAAAAAAATTTTTTTTAATATAAAAAAAATATTTAAAAAATTTAAGTATTTTTAAAATAAAATTTTCCCTTTTTAAAATTTAAAATATTTAATTAAATTATTATTTTGTTGTTTTCTGGCTATCAGCAATTGCAGCTTTAATTGCATGTAGACGACAATATGGGCGATTTTGCCTTTCAAAAAATATTTTTCCATCCAAAATAGTTTTGCAAGTCTAAAAATTGAAATAAAAAATTTTTAAAAATTTTTTAAAATTTTTGAACCCTTAGAAAAAATTTTTACAGCCTCGGAAAATTTTTAAAAATATTTTTAAAAATTTTTTCAAGTCAAAAAACACAAAAAATAAATGGACGCTCCTGGGTGGACTCGAACCACCAGCCTTTCGGTTAACAGCCGAACGCGCTAACCATTGCGCTACAGGAGCTCATGTTAATACACTAAAAATTCTTTAATATATAATAATGACTATTCAAAAATAAAATAAAACAGCCTTTAAAAAATGGTTTTTCGTGTTTTTTGACCTGGGAATTTTTTAAAAAATTTCTAAAATATTTTTTAATGTTAGAAAATATTTTTCAGACCGTTTAAAATTTTTTTAAACTTTAAATAATTTAAAAAAAATTATTTATTTACCGAGCATTTAAAACAATCAGCATGAAAAGGTTGACCACCCAAAGCTTCCAACCATTTTTGGCCTACTTTAATAGGTCCTTTACAATCAACACATTTTGTTGTAAATAAATGATTCCAATCTAGTTGAAAAAAAAATGAAAAATAAATCTAAAAAATTTTTTTTCGGAATTTTTTTAAGTGAAAATAGGGTTGCTTGACGACCAGTTATTAACGGGTACCCTCAGTTTTTCGGCCCTCCCCCAGTTTTTAGTTTCAATGATTAGTTTAACCTACTGCTAATAACCCTAATTAAGAATTCGAAAAAAATTTTTTTGAATTAAAAATAAATTTCTTCCATTATCACAATAAGGCTTTAAATTTTATTTTTCATTTTTGGCTAATCTAATTGGTAGGACCCAGTTTTTAAATTTTTTAAACTCAGTTTTTAGACCCTAATTTTTTTGGTTTCCCTAATTAAAAATTCGAAAAATTTTTTTTTAATTTATTAAAATTAAAATTTTACCATCATCACAATATGGCTTTCCATCCTCCACAAAAAAAGAACTAACACCTACAGGTTTACGACAATGAGTACAACAAAAACTGTTTAAAAATTAAATTTGTTTAAAAATAAAAATTAAAAAGAAACCATTCAGGATGCCATTTTTCCCCAAGTGCATTAATACAAGACTAAAAAAATTATTTTTAAAATAAAAAAAAATTAAAAAAATTTGAATATTTTCAAGACTATAATATAGAAATTTTTCTGATTTTTTAAATTAAATTCTGATTTAATTAATTTTTAAGTTTTACAACTTTAAATTAATTAAATTCTGGCTTCTGAAAAGAAATTGGAACGGGTGTTTTTTAAAAAATTATAACATAAAAATTTATAAGGCTTCTGATTTAATTTTGGTATCATTCGATAGGGGAGACTTTCTTCTACAAAATATCCAAAAATAATAAAAATAGATGGCTGATAAAAAAAGTTATTGGCCAAAAATTAAAAATTTGCACTTAAATTTGAGTTAGAGAGCTTCCTATTAAAAGGGGCATAACTCGGGTCTTACTGAACTTTTTGAAAAGATTTTGGTATCTTTCGATAGGGGAGATATTCTTCTACAAAATATCCAAAAATCATAAATATTGATAGATGATAAAGAAAGTTATGCTTCAAAAACTAAGAAAAACATCTAAAATGAGTTAAAGAGCCACCATTTTAAAGGTTATAACTAAGAGAAAGAATCTACTAACATGAGCTCTTGTAGCGCAATGGTTAGCGCGTTCGGCTGTTAACCGAAAGGCTGGTGGTTCGAGTCCACCCAGGAGCGTCCAATTATTTTTTGTGTTTTTTGACTTAAAAAAATTTTAAAAAATATTTTTAAATTTTTCTGGGGGTAGAAAAATTTTTTTCGAGGTTAAAAAAATTTTCTGAAAATTTAAAAATAAACACTTTTTGAGGTTTAGAAAAAATTTTTTCCGAAGGGTACAAAATTTTTACTTAAATTTTAATAAAACTTAACACGGGATTTAAAAAAATTTTGGCATCGTTAGGTAAAGGAGAGAAGTTATAAAATCTCAAAAAATCGGAATTTTTGAAAGACATAATAATATAAAAAAATTCCCACCGAAATCCAACACCATATAAATACTTAATTATTTTTAAAAATTTTTCTAACTTCCAAAAAGGAATAAAATTTTCAGAAAAAAATTTTTCCAACCTTAAAAAAATTTTTAAAATATTTTTAAAAATTTTTTCAAATCAAAAAACACAAAAAATAATTGGACGCTCCTGGGTGGACTCGAACCACCAGCCTTTCGGTTAACAGCCGAACGCGCTAACCATTGCGCTACAAGAGCTCACGTTAGTAGATTCTTTCTCTGAGTTATAGACTTTAAAATTGAGGCTTTTTAATTCAACTCAATTTATTTCATAGTTTTTGGACCATAACTTTCTTTATAATCCATCAATATTTATCATTTTTGGATATTTTGTAGAGGAATATCTCCTCTATCAAATGATACCAAAATCTTTTTAATTTCAAATCAGTGAAAAAATTTATTTAAACTTTACCTCATTTAAAGGCAAAGAACATTTAAAACATATTGGAGCCAACAAAACTTCATAACATTTTGGACAATAATTTCTTCGACTTTCAGGATCCTCCACAAAACCACTTTCCATTAAAGGTTTGGCACATGCCGAGTTTGCACAGCAAAAATGTTCAGGGCACCAAGCACGTCCTTTGGCCAAAACAAATGAGCCACTTTAAAAATTAAAATTAAATTTAAAAAAGGGGATATTTGAGTCTGAGAAAAAATTAAAAAAATAAAAAATAGAATCCCCCGCTTACTTAAGCTCCATATTGCAATACCCACAATAACACAATTTTGAATCATCAATAAAATCATAATTATTGTTATTATTGTTGTTGAGACTCTTATGTTCCAACTTGTTTATTTCTTTGTTTGTTTCTTTGTTGTTGTTGTTTTTATATTTTCCAAAACAGGCGGAATTTTTATTAGTTTCCGCCTGTTTTCCAAAACAGGCGGAATTTGTTGTTGTTGTTGTTTTATTCTCTTTTGTTTCAAGTTTATTTAAATAATTAATGTTTTTGTTGTTGTTGTTTTTATTGTTAAATGTTTGTTGTTGTTGTCCGTTTGTTTTTGTTGAATTTGATGTTGTTGTGCTTTTCCAAAACATTGCTCCATTGTTGTTGTTGTTTTTATTTGTTTGTTGTTTATCTTTAAATGTTTTTGTTTGTTTTTATTTGTTTATATTTGTTTTTAAATGTTTCTGTCTTAAATTATTCTTAAGTTAAGGGGACAATAGAGTCTTGTCATTTTAAATACCCTTCCATGACCCTTAACTTCCTTAGATCTCAACCGATTTTAACAATTTTTATATCATTTGAAAGCTCTGAATGTGCACATCTTTTTGTTCAAAAGGATCAATTTGATCAGAATATCATTCGAAAAGTTATAACCGAAAGAGTGCTGACAATCTTGATTTTTAACAATTATTTGACTGTAAATTCGAAGAAAATAATCTGGTCAGAGAGGTTTATTGAAGGAAAATAATCCACTCTTCAAGAGCTTTAGATCGGTATAAAAATAAATCAAAACGGATAAAAATTTAGAAAAAAGTTGTATGCGTAAACAGAGCCTTGGAGGGGGTCCACCCAACGATTTTTTAACTTTTTTTTAATTTAAAAAATAATTTTTTACCCTTTTCTTCTCCATAAAATCGAACAATTGTAGAGCTTAAAAAATTAAAATTTAAATTTAGAAAAAAAGTTTTTTTTAAATTTTCTCACACATTTCTTAAATTTTCGTAATTTAATTAGAAACAAAAGAGGGGTATTTAATTTAAATGCCAAAAAATAAAAAAAAATAAGAAAATTAAAAAAATGTTTCATTTTCCCATAATTTTAAATAGGTCGAGGTAATTAAATAGGTAATTTAAAATAATTGCCAAAAAATTTTTGGCAATTATCTCAAAAATTTTCTAGGATAAAATTAAAAAAACGAAAAAACATCCAAAAAATAATTTTTTTTTGGAGCTAGCATCAAGAAAAATATTAAATAAAAAAATAATAGTAATGGCCAAAAAACAAGTAAAAAAGTTTGACTTTTTAAAACCCTATGGGAAATATATTTATTAAAATATTTTTTTTCTTAACATCATCCCCCTCCCCCCAAAAAAAATTATTTTTTTGACAATTTTTTAATTAATTAAAAATTCCTCACACACACCTTTTTTTACTTCCATTAAATTCATCGGCACTTCTTTCCCACCATTCTTTTTGTTGTTGCTCCCCCTGCTGCTGCTGCTGATCCTCATTTTTTAATTTTTCTTTATTTAAAAAATTTGTATTTTTTGATTTTTCTTCTTTATTCAATTGTTGTTGTTCAATATTATTTTTATTATTATTTTTAATTAAAGATCCATGTACTTGACAATAAAAACGTCCATCACGTTTAAATACGTGTTCTTCTGGTGTATCTGCTAAAAAAATTTTTTTTTAATTTTTTAAAAAAATTTTGGAATAGGAAGGGGAGGGGAAGAGGACTAATTCAAAATCTTTCGTTTGAATAATAGGACCAGTCAAATATAAATTCAAAAATTAAAAGTAGAAGATCAAGGAGTTGAGAAAGGCTTTTAAGTATGCCTTCAACTCCCTCCCCTTATCTCTAAATTTTTTTTAATTTCAAAAAAATTTTTTTCGTACAAAATTTTCGTCTTATCCAAACTCTCTATTATCTTTAGTTCCAAAAATAGTTTGATTTCAGATTTAAAAAAAAATTTAAAATTTCTACCCAAATCCATTCCACAAGTAGCACATTGAAAACAAGAACAGTGTACCAACAATTCTTCTTTACCAAAAATGGCACTTAATAAAAGAATTATATTAATTTTATTAATTAAATTTATTGTAAGTTTGTGTGTGATTAAACTAAATTTTAATCAAATTAAAAAAATAGAAAATTAGAAAATATAAAAAAAATTGAGAAACTTTTATGGCCAAAAATACGGTCTTAGGATGGGATCGGACGGATTTTTGTATTTTTTGGATTTGATTTTTTAGATTTGATTTTTTAAATTTCTTGGACGGATCTACACAAAGATTTGCGAATTAATTTAAGAAAGTTTTCTGAGGGTTCAAAATATTCTGTTCCTTAATATTGAAATTTTTCAAAATTGGTCAAAAATTAAGAAAAATAAGGCCATAAAACTTTTTTTCTCGTTAATTTTTAGATCTCAATTCAAATTAACCAAATAAATGGATTAATGCTGACAGGATTAGTAGATTTAAATAATTTAAAAGAATTGGAGGAACAATTTCCTAATAATGATGAAGAAAATGAAGATGATGAAGAAGAAGAGATTATGGATGAATTTCAGAAAAGGTACCTAAATTTCCCATAAAATTTCCCAAAATTTTCTCAAAATTTATAGAAGCTTCCAACATCCATCTACTCCCCAATTAAATCGCTTCTTCAAAGCCTATTTTGCCCCAATAATTCAAAGACGTTCTATACGAGATATTAATTTAATTGAAAGAAATAGACGAAAAGCTTTTCAACGTACTGGAGGAACAATACTTTTAGGGAAAAGAATAGGAGGAGGAGGAGGAAGAAGATTTTAAAGAAAAAAGATGCAGAGGGACTGACAATTTCTAATCACGAGAACCTCATTTTAAGATATACATCCCCAAATAAATCTCTCAATTTAAGATACATGTTTAAAAAATTTTTTTTGGTTGATATTGATACACAAAGTGGAAGAAGCTAATGCAGTAGTACCATCGGGTAGAGAAAAAAGTCGGATCAGGGTTGGGGGTTTGGGGTCCCAGGTTGGGGGTCTCAGGTTACTAACATAGAGTAGGATAATTCTCTCCCTTATTAAGTAATTTTCAAAAAAAATTTTTTAGACACTCAAGTGTATCTTAAAGTAAGGTTTCCTTGCTTTTATTTTTAAAATTAAAAAATTTCTACAAAAAAAATTTTTTTTGACCTTTTCTCATCCCCAGACCATATTCTTCCACCACAAACAGAACAACAACAAAAAACATCTTCAGAATTATTATTTTCATCAACTTTATTATTTATTTTTGTAGTAATAAATTGAGTATTTTGCTGGTTATTTTGTTGTTGTTGATTATTTAAATTTGTTGCTGATTTTGTTGTTGTAGTAGTTAATGTATTATTATTATTTCCTCCACCTTTCCAACGCAATTCCTTCTTTTGAAGCAAATTTTTATCGTCTAAAAATTTTTTTAAAATTAATAAGAACAATTCAGGACTAGGATCTGGATATTCGTATACTAAAAAATCCGGATCTGTGGAAATTTTCGCTTTGGATATATATGATCTGAATATCCAAGGATTTCCAGGATATGCCAACCCCAATCGGGACAGCAGACATAATAAATTGCTTGTTTGAGAGTATTTTAGATTGGGGAAAAAGGGTGAGAAGTGTGCGTGTGTGTGTGTGTGTTTTGCCTTTTTGACCCCAAGTAAAAGCAAAAGTTTAGGCACGGGTAGGCATCAATCCTGCGACTAAATTTGGCATTTATTGATAAGCGTACTTTCTCTCTCTCACTAAATATCTTATTTTCCCCTTAAATTTAATTTAAAAATTTTTTTTTAAATTTTTACCACTAAATTGTCTTTGATGTTCACTACCTCCAACACTCCTTCTTGAAGAATAATTAATTTTATTTAAATTCATTTCATTTTCACAAATTTCTTCTTCATTTTTTCCTTTTAAAATAGACTTCTTTGCAGGTAAATTATTATCATAATAACTATATTTTTTAATATATTCCTCTTCTTCTTTAAAATAATTTGTTGTTGTCAATTTTTGTTGTTGTTGCTTTTGTCTATGATTAAGCAAAACAGCTATAGATTGAATGGCTGCAGCCCTCTGGCTCATTTTTATTTATTATTTTTTTAAATTAAAATTTTAATTTTTAAAGTAGTTAATTAAAGAAAGAAGACAGGAAAATTCTTCAAAAAATTTTTAAAAAATATTTAAAGACCAAAAAATCTTAAAAATTTTAAGGACACGCCTACTTTCTCCCCATTAAATAAGGACAATCCAACGAAAATTTGAGCAGAAAAGCCCAAATTTTAAAACCCAAATTTTGAGTTGATTTTTGAAAGAATCCCCCTTACTATCGCAGTGTTTACAGAGAAAAGTCGAGTCGTTTTGAGTTTTAAAAAAATTCCTAAGCTTCGGCTTTGAGTCACAAAGAGAGAGAATCCCCTAGCTAACGGTTGCAGCATTACAGAGAAAAGTCGGGCCGGGTTCGAGTTTTTCAAAAAAATTATTAATCTCAGGGGTTTCGAGTCGAAAAAGAGACTGTCCATGCTTATTGGGGTTATTTAAATCCCTCCTAACAAAAATTATTTTCTCCAAAAATTTATTTTTAATAAAAATAAACCAGACCGATCCCCGTCAAAGTTGATCAAATTTTGATTGTCGCCAAAATAATTTTCGTCTGCTTTGTGTTGTAAATGAATGGACTCTGCCGCGTTGTTGTTGTTATACCCTAAAAACAAGTCGGCAACTTTTTAATGTTAAAAATATGTTGGAAATCTGCGAAAAGCCACGCCCACTATCTCCCCATACTTTATAATAATTTCCGGAAAAGATTTTAGTTCTCTATCTATATTTAAAATAAAACTTGTTTTCCGGAAAATTCTCTTCATTTCCCAAACTATTTTTCTACAACTTTTTTATTTTTTCTCTTCAACAAAAAAAGCTTTCCGGAAAACATCTCTATTTCTAACACTATTTTTTCAATTTAATCTCTTTTCAATAAAATCAAAACTTATTCCGGAAAAGTTTTTAGAATCTCTAACAGCTGTATAAAATAAAACTTGCTTTCCGGAAAACTCTCTTAATTTCCTACACTATTTTTCTACACATTTAATTTTCTTAAAAAAGCTTTCCGGAAACCATCTCTATTTCTAACACTATTTCTCTAACCTTTTTTCTAACTTTAGTTTCTTACTTTCCGGAAAATTATCTCTAACTCAAACAATTTCTTCCAACATTATTTTCTCCGTTAACGTTTTCCGGAAAACACTCTCCATTTTTAACACTATTTTCCCTACTTTATTTTTCTAAAATAAAACTTTCCGGAAGCTATTTTTCCCCTTCCGGAAAGTCTCTCGATGTCTAACACTATTTTTCCAACTTTTTCTCCAACTTTATTTTATCTTCAACAAAAATATCAAACTTACTTTCCGGAAAGTTTCTTTTCTCTGCCCACCATTTTCTTCTTTTTATATTTCTCAAACTTTGTTTAAAATTAACATTCTTTTTCTCTTCTTTGTTTGTAGTTGTTGTAGATAAAATCAGAGAAGAGTCATCAACAACTTTACTAAAAGCATTGCTGCCATCGGCGTCCTTTTCAACATTATTATTCTTTATTATTGTTAACCACCATTTAAACCAGTTTTTTGCCCTTTCTTTTATATCCCGAATCATTTCTTTTAGAAAATATAATTTTATTATTAAAATTGAAAAATTTAAAGAAGAAGAGGACAGCCATCCATGCATTAACTAAAAGAAATTTTCTTAAAAAATTAAAAAAAAATTTAATTTTAAAAAATTAAGTTAGAGATTGGGAAAGAATTATTTTTTAAATAATTTAATAATCCAAAGAAATTTATTTTTGGAGTGGAAACTGGGTGATAATTATGGCCCTAGGCTTTGGAGCAACCTTCTTTCTTCCCTTCCCTCCCTTTGACTCTCTACCCCTTATTTTATGAAAAAAATTAATTTCTAGTACTTTTTTTGAGAGGCAAGGAGAGTGGCATACCTGATGATTGTGTTAGGAGCTTTCCGCTTTTTTCCAGTTTTTTTTTCTAGGTTATCAGGGCCTTGGGCTTTGATTAGGAGCCCCTCTCTCCCCCTCACTCTTCTCCTATTTATGGTATTTGAAGTTCTGTTTTCCCAAAAATTAAATTTCCCAGTCTTTTTTTTCCAGTTTTTTCCAAATAAATTTATAAAATTTATATTTTTAGGTCAGAATATAAAATATAAATATTTTTTAATTTAAAAAAACTTGAATTTTTTTTTCTAAATTTTGTCTAAAAATATAAATATTTTTTAAATAATTTTTGGCCATTCTCTCTGATTATTTTGCCTTTTTATAACAATTTTTGATGATAGCATTAAATTGAGCTGTGTAGATTAGCATTATTCCACGAATTATTCCAGCAAAGAAAATCTTTAGGGAAAAAAATTTTTTTTTGAAAAAATTTCTCAAAAAATTCAAAAAATTTTTTAAAATTTCTAGAAAAATTTTGAAGAAAATTTCAAAAAATTTTCTAAAAAAATTCAAAAATTATTTTCAAAATTTTCAAAAAATTTCTCAAAAAAATTTTTTCAAAAAAACCTGCATAACAGCATTAACAAAATTAGTTTCTGGTGAAGCTGCAGCAGAAAGAAAGCCAAGCATTTTACCTTCTAATCCAACACAAGTCCAAAAATCCCCCATGCGAATAGAACGAATTAATGCTGCGGCAACTTGTTTAGGGGGAAAAACACCAGCAGAATTTGAAATTTGACGGACCTTGAAAAAAATTTTTTTAACTTGAGAATTAAAAAAAAATTTTTTTTTAAGTTCCAAAAATTAAAAAAAATTTTTTTTTAATTTTCAAAAAAATTGAAAAATTCAAAAAATTTTTCAAATTTTCAAAAAAAATTTTTAAAAAATTCTGAAAAATTTCAAAAAAAAAAAATAAAATTTTTTTCAAATTTTCAAAAAACATTAAAAATTTTTTTCAAATTTTTCAAAGAAAAAAAACCTGTTCAGGCATATTTTTCAATTCCTCATCAAATCCTTCCGTTGCTGTATTTGGTGGAAATAATACAGAAACACCAATTTCATAAGGAAGAAGTTCCATATAAAGAACATCTGCAAAGGCTCTAACAGCAAATTTTGAAGGAGAATAGGCTGAATAACCCCTAAAAATTTCAAAAAAAAAATTTTTTAAATGGATAAAAATTTTGAAAAAAAAATTTGCGGAAAACCACACAAAAATATTTTTATATAGGTTCAAAAATTATTTTCTTATAAGAAAGAGTCCCAGTGACCGTTAATTTATTCCCACTCCTTTCAATTTAAACAAATTTTCCTAAACCTTTTCGACAGGACCAAAAACAAATATTGTTTTTCTAAGACCCAGTGGCCGCTACAAAACATTCGTATTTTAACTAGAATTATCAGTAAATGTCTTATGAGTCTTTTAATATAATAAAAAATTTTTTTTAGCTTTAAAAAATTTTCTATTTAAAATTAATTTTTAATTTGTGAATAAATTTTGCAGACACCCCTCCCAGTGACCTATTAATTTTATAAAAAAAATTTTTCCTATAAAAAATACAAAAAAAAACCTCTCACCAAATCGCACATTGCCCTGCTGCCGAACTAACAAAAGAAATGTGTCCACAACGACGTTGTTTCATTTGAGGGAGAACAGCTCTAGTCATATAAACTGCACTGAAAAAATTTGTTTTCATTTGTTTTTCAAAAGCATCTTCGGGTAATTCATCAAAAGCATTTTGTATACAGGTACCGGCATTGTTTATTAATAAATCGATTGGACCGGAATCAGCAATTATTTTTTCTATCAAATCCTTAAAAATAAAAAAAAATTTGAGTAAAAATTGATGCTCTGTTTATATTTTTTATAGAGATCGAGCTGGTTCTGGACCAAGGCCTAAGGTTTTCCTGTACCCAGAGCCCAGGCATTTTTTGACCTTCCTGGGTTTTTTGGGGTCAGGACTCAGGCCCAGACTTTTCAAAAATCTCGATCTCTAGTTTATATCCCACCACTAGAGATCGACAAGGGACATGATCCCGTACGGGATTTACGGGAACTCCGTCATGAAATCCCGGGTTTAACCGGAGATTTACGGGATTAATCCCGTGGGACCCTGTCTCGTAAATATGCAAACAAAGTCCTAAACGGGATCCATAGAATGCGATTTTACCGACCCCCTACTGCCCTCTAAGATTAAATTTTTTTTATTGTCAGTAGTCCGACAAAATCAGTTTTTCCAGGTCAGAAAGACGGATCTTGGATTTGTTCACATAAAAGACCGAATTTCTTGACTCTGGCTGAACCTGACCGGATTCCTGAAGAGGCTCAATATTCCGAGTTTTTCAAAAAAAATTTCTAAATTTTCCTCAAGCATGATAAGCAAATGATAACTTAGAAAGGAAGAAAAAATAAACCTTGATAATTTTTTGTCCACTGTTAAGGTCACAAGAATAAATTTTAACAGAATCTTCCTCAAATCCAAGCTGTAAAATTTCCTTTTTAGCCTTTTCCAAAGCTTCCAAATCCCTAGCAATTATTGAAACAATTTTACATCCTTCTTCTAAAAGTTGTTCTGCTATACACCTTCCTATTCCTTTTGACCCTCCTAAAAAGGAAATTTTTTAATTTTTAAAAATCTGGAAAAATTTTTTCATTTGCGGACAGAATTTGCGGACTTTTTGAGTGAAAAAAAGATTCTCTGGAAGAATTGTTATTCAAGTAAAAATAAACTTTCCGGAAAGTATACAAGTTGAAAAAAAAATTTCTAAAAAATTCCGGTAGGTACCCAAAATTAAAATAATTCCGTGGGGGAAATATTAAAAATGGGCCTTTTAAGTCCGCAAAAATTGGTTTAAGATATCCTACAAGTACCTAACTGCCACATTTAAACCAAAATTTTCTGAAAGATATTTACGGAAAGCCTTCCAGAAAAAAAATATAAAAATAGAGAAAATATTGCGAGTGACCTCCTTTCTAGGTCAGCAAAAATTAGTTTAAGAACCCCATAATTACAGAATTCCTACATTTTGACCTAGTTTTTCTCCAAAAATTTTCCGGAAAACCTTCCAGAAAAAATATTAAAAAACAACCTGTTATAACCGCATGTTTTCCTTCAATAACAAAAGGCAGTCTTCCAGGCAGACTAAGGCCAATAACAAATAAAAATAGAATTATTGCCAAGAGAATACCAATAAATAAATAGAAAGGCAGCATTTTAATGGGCTAAAAAATTTTCTAAAAATTTCTAAAATTTCAAAAAAAAATTTTTTCAGTGAAAAATTAACATCTTGCCAAAGAAAAAGTTTCAAAAATAAATTTTATTGTGACAACAAATTATAAAAATGCAAAGCAATTTTTTGTTCAAAATGACACCCATAAATTGTTAAAGCACCCCAAATTAAACTAAAATCTTCTGATTTTAATAATAAACTTCCTCGTCTTGTGGCAACATCATAAGATAAAAATTGATATAAAGGGGCTGCTTCGCCTAGAACTTTGAAAAGAAAATTAAAAATTTTTTTCAGAAAAATAAAAAAAATTTTGGCTTCCTATCCCTAAAGGCTTATAAAAAATTTTGGTACTTTTCTGTTTTGCCACACCCCACCCATATATTCGCAGGATATATTTTCTATTTTTCCTTAATTCGTACAGAAAGGTCAGCTTTCTTTATTCCTCAATTTCGCTCAATTTTCCCTCTGGCATGTTCATGATAGACACCAACAAAGAGAAGATTAATTTTTTTTCAATGTCATCAAAATTGAAATCAACATTTGGGAAAATCGAGTGAGAACGGAAGATTGAGTCCACAGGGAGAATGAAGTGAAATTGAGGAAGAAGAAAACTGACCTTTCTGTACGAATTAAGGAAAAATAGAAAATATATCCTGCGAATATATGGGTGGGGTGTGGCAAAACAGAAAAGTACCAAAATTTTTTGAATTTAAGAAAAAAAATTTTTTTTTCTTAAACGGATATCCTCCCAACAAGGTATCCGTCAGTTATTTTCTGTGTCGCACGACGCAACCATAACATAAAATTCTTTAAGCTAACACTAAAAATCATTACTAAATTCCTTCCCCCAAAAAATTTTTTTAAAAGACGGGGAAAGCCAGCATCCCCCAAATTTCTCCCCAAACAAAACTTACAAAAAATCCCTTCTAAAATTTAAATATTAAAAAAACCTCTTCTAATTGCAGAATCCACAAGTCCTTCAAAATCTTTACTTTTAAAATTTTCATTTTCTGACGGATTATCAAATTCCCTAGAAAATAAAAATATTAGAATTAAAAAAAAATTAAAAAAAAATACAAATTCATAACAAGCTTGTAAAGTTTCCCTTTTTCAATATTTCCTTGTTTTTTCTTCTTAGTTTTCATTTTTTTATCTAAAAAATTCTAAAAAAAATTCTTTTTTTTTCATTAAAGATATGTAATATAATAAAATATTTAAAAATAAAATTTAAACAGAAAATTAATTTTTTTTTGAAAATATTTATCCCAATATTAAATCAAAATGTTTGTTTTTATTAGAGACTGGACCTAAAAATCAATCGAAAAAAATTTTTTAAGGAGTCCAGTTTCTAATTTTTAATATATTACATTCAAAATTGCATAAAATTTACAATTTTTTAAAAAAAATTTGTTAAAGTATCATAAGTATCAAAGAAAAAAATTTACAAGTCATTGTATTAGAGATGGGCCGCGGTTACCAGAAACCCGAAAAAATTGAAACCCCTGAACCAGGGGTGGGCGCAAAAGGTCATCTCAAAAAAACGCAAAAATAAAAGACGTAACACAGGGCCAAAATTTAACGCAATGCGACCCCACCCCTGTCCTAGACCAAAATCTTACCCAATTTATTTTTTCTCAACCCCGGCCCATCCCTGTTATATATTAATATTACACAAAAGTCAATCATTTTTAAAGAGGTCATTAATTTTTTTTAAAAGTCATTCAAATTTAAAAAAAATTTTTTTTACATTCAATTTCCCTTTAAATACAAAAGAAAACCTTCAATTATGCCCAAAAAATTTCCCTCAAATTTTTTTCAATGCAACAGTACCACGTCCTTTTTTGACAATTTGTACTTGAACTGCTTCTTGTCGAAGTATTTGTTTAATCTTCAAACAAAATAATTTTCTTTTGGCAAATTTTCTCAAAAAACTCACAGCAGATGTCCGATAAACTTTGTCAAGAAACAATTCTTTTTTTGAAGAATCCTTCAAAAATTCCTGAACTTCTTTTAATACAGGACCACTCAAAACAGCATCTCCACTAGTTGAATTAACATCAGGATGGAGAAGATGGTGGCCTACTCCATGTTGATTTGTGGAAGAACGGAAAGGAGGCTTGCAGGAGTCTGAAAAAAATTTTTTAAGGAATTTTAAGAAAATTTGTATAAAAATTTTAATCGAAAAATCCAAAGACTTTTAAAATACAATTTTTGTCGAAAATAATCGAAAGGTACGGAAAAGCTCATTTCTGTCTAACAAAAAAATTAAAAACTTTAAAAAACTCGTCTATACCTAATGGAAAACTCAAGACAAGTCAAAAAATCATTTCACCCCAAAACTCCAATTCAAAAAAAATTAACCTGGCCAATCCGATTGTTCATCATCCGCATCAGCATCAGAAGTACTCTCATCAGAAAAATCAGAAAATACATCAGAATAGTTAGTAGCCACATCAGAAGTCATTAAGGAAGATGAAGGTATAGTTTCTGTCATTTCCCAATCCATCCTTGCTTTATTACCTTAAATTAAAAAGTCTGATAAGATTATAAACAAAATAGTTGGTCATTAAATTTTTAAAAGTCAGTCAATTAATTTAAGAAACAAATTAAACTTAAAAAGTTAGGGGTTGGGTTTTGCCTTAGAGTTGTAACTAGAGATCCGACACGAGAAGAGATTTCAAGCGAAAATCCCGGTTACGAGATTGAGATTTTTAGAGATATCGATATATACAATCCCAGTCCGGTCGCTAGTTGTGGCCTCTTAACGGTGGAGTCGGCTGCTTAAATTCTCAAGATTGTCTTATTGTTAGTCCAAAAATTTTTTTATCGGGGCTTAGCCTATTCAAAAACCAATTACAAAAGTCAAAAGTTATATCACAAACCTTTAGGTAAAGCAACATTATTATTATTATCATCCTCAACACTTGACGATTTCATCTTCTCTTTACCATCCAAATCCATTTCTGTCATCTTTTCTTTTCTAGGAATCTTTTTACGTCTTTTACTTCTAAAACTCATTGGTTGGTCAGCAGAAAGTGAATCAGATTCTAAAGTTACACTGGCAACTCTATTTGTTGTTCCATCAATATCGTTGTTGCTGTTTTCTGTTTGTAAAACGACAATTTGTTGTTGTTGAGGATTACTTTGACGACGAGTATCTTGATGAACAACTTGCATTTTAAATTTTTATTTTTAAATCTGTAAAGAAAAAAATTAATAAAAGTAACACTATCACAAAGAAAAATGACCCTTAAATTTAATAGATGAAATGAAATAATAATCGCGGAAAACTTCATAATATCTAAAACAAAGGAAAATTTCAAAATGTCAAAGCACCGTTAGACGAAAAACAAAAAATTAGACGGTTGGACATTTTTGATTTTAGGTATTTCGTATAATTTCCAATTTTTTTATTTTTTAAAACGAAAATGTCAAAATGGAAACACACGAAATTAGCTTCATTTCGGTCAAATTTAAATTTGGTAAACAGTCAAAAATAATCCAAAATGACATCAAAATGTTTCTAAAGGGGTTTTCCTTCATCTTAAATCGTATTTTCCTAAATTTAAGTAAATTTATTTGTTATTTATTTAATTTAAAAATGTCTACGAATTGGGCAGAATTAAGAAAAGTCTCTTTTCTCTATTAAACCTTTAAGATTACACTTTAAAATTTAAGGAACTTAAAGAAGTTAGAAAAGAAGTTATTCACAAACAAAATTCTAAAAAAAGGAAAGGAATGCCTGGTGAAGCTAATAAATGGAAGAAGGCTAGACAAGAGATTGATAAATCTGTGAAGGAGGGGACTTCGTCTAATGGTCCAGCAATAACTAAAGTGTTGGCTTTGGACTGTGAATATGTTGGTGTTGGAATTGGAGGGACAGAGAATATGTTGGCTAGAGGTTTTTTTTTATTTTTTTTTTTGAAATTTATTTCTAAAATTATTTAAACTAAATTTCCCCCTCTAGCCCGAGTAATTTTCCAATTCCCTCAAAAAATGGTCACTTTGGTGTAGTCGGTAAATTCCTAGTCTAGAGGTGGATAGGGGTCATGGTTCGAATCCAACTCACGGAAAAGTATTTTTATTTTGATAAAACTAAGTTTTAATGACTCTCTTTTCAATTTTTAGACTTCAAAAAAATTTTTTTTAATTTTTTAAATTTAGTTTCAATTGTTAATGTTGATGGTGAGACCGTTTACGATGAATATGTTTTGCCTGTAAAATTTTTATTACCTTTTTTTAATTTTCTTAATTTTACAGACAGAAAAGGTGACAGATTATAGAGTGCATGTTAGTGGAATTCGACCTGGGCATTTACTTAGAGGTTTTTTTAAAAATTAATTTTTATAAATATTCCTAATTTTAAAGGCATTCCATTTACACAAGCTCAAACAGAAGTACGAAAAATACTTTCTGACAATATTGTGGTTGGGCATTCTATTCAACATGATTTTCAGGTTTGTTTTTTCTATTTAAAACTTTAAAAACCCCAAAAAATCAGAGAAATTTCATTTTTTGATATTTTGATTTTTACCATTTTGACATTAAAAAAAATTTTTTTTCTCTCAAAAATTTTTTTCTTCTTCAAAGGTCTTGGGACTTACTCATCCTCCCAAACTTATTCGTGATACAGCCAAGTTTAAATTACTCAGAGAAACTCTCGATAATCCAAAAAAGACGCCTTCATTAAAATTATTAGCCCATCATTTATTGGGTGTTCAAATTCAACAAGGAGAACACGATTCTGTTTTGGTTTGTTTTTTTTTTTTTGAATTTTTTGGAAGAAAAAAAATTTTTTTAAATTAAAGGACGCTAAAATTGCTTTACGTATATATTTGCAATATCAAAATAATTGGGAGAAGAAGAATTCAAAGAATCCTTCAAAGACGAAGAAAAAGAAGAGTAAATAAATAAAGTCTTTTTGGACATGATAAAGAGAGGTTATTTATATTATTTATTAAGGTATTTTTTGTTTTGTTTTTTTTTTTGAAATTGGAGGATATTTGTTACTTTTATGTGACTTATATAAAGTTTTTTTTAAATTAGTTTCTAATTTTGACATTAAAATATCCTAGGGCTTAGGAGAAGTCTGGATTAGAGATCGGTACGGGAGGGATCCTGGGCGGGATTTTACAGGATCCCGTCCCGAAATCCCGGGTTTTTAGCGACGAATTGGATTACCGGGATTGACGGGATTAATCCCGCGGGATCCCGGAAATGTGATTTTGCCGTTTTCTGGTCTGGTTATCCGAAACCAGACTTTTCCTCAACCCGGCCAATCCCTGTTACGTAGTTTAACTTTTAAAATTTTTTATTTTTTGACTTGAAAGTTTAGTTTTTTTTGAGATCTGAATCTTTAAAAAATTTTTTTAATTAAAAATTATTATGCCCAGATGCCTTCCTCATCCACCAACTGATTTTCAAATTCTTCCTTCAAAAAATTATTTTTTTTTTAAATATTTTTTAAATTAAAATTTCCCCTCTAATTATTAAATTAAAAAACAAACAAAATTAAAAGAAGCAGGTGCAGACATTCCATAATTACCACCACCACCACCAAAACCATTTTGTTGTTTATTAAAATACAATTCATTATTATTTGTTAAAATTCGAATAGGTTGAGTATATGGGGTTGTTGCAGATAAGGAAGTTATAGGTCTTCCAGGCTGGATATTTGTATTATTAAATTTTTGTGGGGGAATTGGTTGACTTGGAGGAGTCAGTACCTAAAAGAAATAAATAAAAAAATTTTTAAAAAATAGGGAAGGAGGGGCAGAATGTGATAGTATTAGTTGGGTGGAGAGAAGTTGGCGGATCTAGATCCAAAGAATTTGGTTATTCGAGATCTTCAATCTGGATATCCCAGGTGTAAAACCTGGTAGAGGGTGTCTATCTGAGCTAAAAATTTCGAAATTTTTGAAAAAATGTTAAGGTTATGGCCAAAAAATGAGACATTTTGTCCCACAACTAAAAAATATCAAACAAAAAAAATTCCAAAAATTTTTTAGAATAATTATGGATAAAAATAAAGAGGATATGTCCTAGTACATACGCCTTTGATACGTCTTTTCCCTTTAGAAAAAAATTTTTTAAGCCCTTCCTTTTCCAAACATCCCCCATTACCCCTCAAAAAAATAAAAACCTTTTTCTGATGTAAATTTCCAATTTTTCCATCAACAACAAAATTTTGTTGTTTTTGCTGTTGTTCATCAATAATTAACAGAGAATGTTTAATTGCTTCTTTTTGTTTTTGTAAAATTTCCAATTTTTCTCTCAATCCAGGTATTAAATCTATTGAAGGGCATGAATTTAATATTAAATTTATTGCTGATTCTTTTTCTGCAATTAATGCCATTCCAAATTCTTTTCTTTAAAAGGAAGAATTTTTTTAAATAAATTTTTAATTAAAAAAATTTTTCTAGCCCCTAAAAATTCAATTTTGGGATTTTACTTGCTTTCCAGAAACAATTAGAGTTAAACAAAAATTGTGGTCAATGACTGGAGTCGAACCCGCGCCTTTCCTACGAGCTTCTCTGAACAAATTCAAGTGCTCTACCAATTAGGCTAACGAGGCAACATTTTTATTTTCTATTTTATCGACCTTAAACCCCCAGAACTAAACGATTTAAAACTGCTCACAAGTAGGTAATTTCGACCCTACCCAGCCAACTATTTTTTTGTTTAATTTTTAAATATCAAAAATTAAAAAAAACCTAAGAGACGATATTTGTCGTTGCCTCAATTGTTTTTCCTCTTCCAACAATTTTTGAGTTTTTTCCAATTGATCATTTTGTTGTTGCTGATTTATTAAAGTATTTCCTCCTCCTCCACCAGATTCAAAAATTTTTCCAATCTTTTTAATTTAATTTTTAAAAAATTCTCAAAAATTTCCAAAAAAAACCTGTTCATTCAATTTTTCAATTAATTTTTTCTGTTCATTCAAAACCTTCTCTTTTTCTGTTGTACATTCAACAGATTCTTTTAATGCTTCTTCCAAATCCAAAATTCTTTGTTTAAACCCAACAATTCTTTCATCTATATTTATTGACAATTCATCACGATTTTCTGATAATAATGCCATTTTATGAAGATCATTACTTAAATTTATAGGGGAAAATTTATTTAAAAACAAAGCGATTTTAAAGAGTTTGGACATTTTTAAAGGTTTGGACGTTTTGGGCCATTTTCAAATTTGGACATTTCGAAAATTTGACATTTTGAAAATAAAAAATTTAGAAATTTAAATTTTGACTTTTCAAACCAATAATTTAACATAGGGTAGCACTCCGTCCCCCGAATCCCCGACGAATTTTTTGGCAAAAAACCCCGACCCGAAGGCTCTAGCCCGACAAACCCCGATCCCCCAGGCCCGCCCCTGTGCGGGCAAAACCTCAACATGACCCCCAAAACCCGAAGACTCTACCCCGGCGAAAACCCGAAACCCGGCACTCCCGCCCCCGAAGGTTCGATGTGCTACTAGAGACCGACAAAATCGAACTTCCGGGACTCCGAGTCGGGATTTTTTTCCTGGCCGATGCCGGGACAGGATAAATTCCAAAAAAATCCCGGATCTCACAAATAAAAAAAATCAGGGATTTCGGGATCCCGGAAAATCCCGTCCCGCGCCGATCTAAGGTACTACTTAATTTAACATTATTAAATTATGGCGTTATGAAAAATGGACATTTCGAAATTTGGACATTTTTAAACCTGGACGTTTTGAGACTTTTTTTAGAAATAAAAAAAATTCCCCAACAAACCTTCCATCAATTCCAACAAATTTATCAGATTTTTTAAAAGCTCCAATCAGTTCAGATTTGTCCTTTTCCAACTGTACAATACGCTTAAGTAAACGTTCAATTTCTTGGTGTGTTAATTCCAATTCTGACAAATTTTGAAAATTTATTTTTTCTTCTTCGGTTAATTCTTCGTTTTCCTTTTTTAAATTTAAGTTTTTAAAAGCACAATTAAATTGAGATATTTTTTCACTTTGTGAACCTATAAGCATATGACGATCAGCTAATTCTTTCTTTAAAAAAATTAATTTTTATTGAACTTTGAATGCTAGCCTCGCTCTAGACAAAATTATGGATTTTGGGGAAAATTCTGGACTTAAATTTAAAAATTAGGTAATTCTAATAAAAAATCTTTAGTCTCTAGGAAGCTGAAAGAATGACCGACCTAAATAAGGAAAACCTCACAAATCAGTTATGAATAGTCTGATACGGATCCAAAAAAGTTATGACATCCGAAAATCACCCGGAATACCTCTGACCAAGGACCAAGCAAAATCTCTAATTGAGAAGATAATTAGTAGCTAACAAAGAGATAAAACTTGGTTCAGTTCCAGATTTTGATTTATTTTCAGATCCAAAATGATCCCAAAAGAATTTCAGAAATTTAGATTACCCCAGACATCTACCGACCCCAAAAATTTTCTAAAAAATCACTTAAACAATTAAAAACCCATTTCAATAAAACCTCAAAAAATTAAAAAAGAAAACCTTTAAATAAGCTATATCCAGTTGTAATTGCTCTCTTTCAGACAAAAATCTTTCCAATTGTTGTTGACGTTCAGCATCATTTTGTTTTTGTATTTGTTCGACAATTTGTTCCAATTTAGTCCGTTCTTCCATCATATTTTCAATTTTTTCTTCCAAAAGTTTTTCTGCACGGGTACCGGGTTGCTAAAATAGTAAAATATAAAATTGACCCAAATGAGCATTTTAGGCCACTTGACCAAATGAATTTTGACCCAAATGAAACTTTCTAAGAAATTAAACCTGCAAAATTCTCTGCTTTAAATGTTCAAGCTGCGCGTCTTTTTCACGTTGTAGACGTTCCATTTGATCAATTTTATGTAAAAGTTGGGATGATCGATGCTCTGACTCCTGTTAAAAAATAGGGGAGATTTATTTTTAAAAAATTCATAGAATAAACCAAAGTTCACCTAAAATCACAAAATTTTGCATAGATATCCCCAATATCGTTATCTACCTTCTGTAAAAATTTCAGAATTTTTGAAAAAATATTTTTAGAGTTACAGTCAAAAGAGTGACTTCATTGGGTAAAAGTAAGACATTTTGTTTTTTTTATGAGGTGAGGTAGATAGCGATATTGAGGAAATCTGTACAAAATTTCTTGTTATTTTAAATTTTAGAGGTCATATTTTATGAAAATTTTTGCAGAAATTTTTTGCAAATTTTAAAGAAAACTTAATTTCTACCCCGTACTGTACAAAATTTAATGTTATTGTACAGACCATCTTCAATGAAAATTTTTTAAAAAATTTGTCCGCAAAAATTTTTGCGGACAAAAATATTTTTTGCGGATTTTATAAACAATTAATTTCTCCCTCTTCCAAACCTACATTAAAATTCTTTTTCTCCTCCTTCAATTCAAATTTTAACTCTTCTTTTTCTTCTTCCAATTTTTTTGTTGCCTTCTCTCGACTTTCCAACAATTGATTTTTTAATTCCAATTTATTCCTCAATACATTCAAATCTTCATTTAGCAATTTTAATTGTTCTTCAAAATCCAAATTATTTCTAGATAATATTTCTATTCTTCTTTCTGCTTCTTTCTTAATTTTTTAAAAAATAATTGAAATTTTTCTAATTAAAATTCAAGGTCAACCCCAGAGGATCAACACCCAGATGGTCAAGGGCGTAACTAGGGGGGAGTAGCTTCTGAGGCCGAAGTGACCACGAAATATAAAAAAATTTTCGTCTATGGCGCCGAAAAAATGAAAATAAATATACAAAAAATGTGTGTTCGGAACGCCCAGCTAGCTCCAAAATTTCGGTGCACCCCATATTAGCCCTCTCCACCCTCCCTGAAATCTCCCTGGCTACGCCCTTGCCAAAAGGTCAAGTCCCTATCGATCAGACGACTCTTAAGGATAACTCCAAATATTTAGACGGATATAGGGAACTTGGCCTACACCCTTTTTGCTTTATCTGACACAATCCCTGAAAAAAGAAAAATAGTTTTTTTTCTTGTGGACAATTTTTGCGGATTTGGGGAATTTTCTGATTTAATCAAAATCCTGATTTTATTCAAAAATAAAAAAACCAAACCTTTTCCTCTTCCAAACATTTTGCCTTCAATTCAACATTTTGTAATTCTCTGCTACATTCAGAAAAACAAATTTCACTTTGTTCCAATTTTGCTTTTAAAGTTTTAAATTCGTGTAAAGTTATTGAATGATCAGTAAAATCACGTATTTGGGTAGAGGAATTACTGAAAAAGATTTTTTAATTAAGAGACATTTGGTCCCACGACTTAACTAAAAGTATATCTATCATTTTAGTGGGAACGGGCCAGTATACCGTCGCAAAAATTTTTATTATTTTGGCGGGGGAAGTTGTCCAACATCCCCCGTTGACGGAACAACAACCCCGTCGTTGGAACATCTTTCCCCGTTGACTGACCAACTTCCCCCGTTGACGGAACAACAACCCCGTCGTTGGAACATCTTTCCCCGTTGACTGACCAACTTCCCCCGTTGACGGAACAACAACCCCGTCGTTGGAACATCTTTCCCCGTTGACTGACCAACTTCCCCCGTTGACGGAACAACAACCCCGTCGTTGGAACATCTTTCCCCGTTGACTGACCAACTTCCCCCGTTGACGGAACAACAACCCCGTCGTTGGAACATCTTTCCCCGTTGACTGACCAACTTCCCCCGTTGACGGAACAACAACCCCGTCGTTGGAACATCTTTCCCCGTTGACTGACCAACTTCCCCCGTTGACGGAACAACAACCCCGTCGTTGGAACATCTTTCCCCGTTGACTGACCAACTTCCCCCGTTGACGGAACAACAACCCCGTCGTTGGAACATCTTTCCCCGTTGACTGACCAACTTCCCCCGTTGACGGAACAACAACCCCGTCGTTGGAACATCTTTCCCCGTTGACTGACCAACTTCCCCCGTTGACGGAACAACAACCCCGTCGTTGGAACATCTTTCCCCGTTGACTGACCAACTTCCCCCGTTGACGGAACAACTTCCCCCATTGACTGAACAACTTCCCCTGTCGACTGACCAACTTCCCCCGTTGACGGAACAACATCCCCCGTCATTTGAATAACACCCCTTTCGTTGGAACAACTTCCCCCGTTGAACGTCTTCCCCCGCCAAAATAATAAAAATTTTTCGGCGGTATAATGGGCACGAGTTTAATGAGGAGTACCTCGTTTTAGGACACCTTTTGTTTATTTTAGAGTTTTATACTTGTTCAGGAAACGTCCCCCTACCCTCTTTGACCTCCTCCAACCTCCCAAAATTATTAGAGAAAAACAAACTTTTGATTTATTCCAGCATTTTCACCTTGATTTGCAGATTTAGCACCAAAAATATTTGCTTGAGACTAAAAAACAAAAAAATTCAAAAAAATTTTTTGCGAACAATTTTCTCTTAACCCCCCCCCCTCGAGTTCCCGAAAAATTAAAAAAAAAATTTTTAATTAAAAAAACCTGCAATTGGACCAATTGTCTCTCCAATTTTTCTTTTTTAATTTCCAACTCTTCTTTTTGTTGTTTTTCAAATTGAAGTTTAGGGATCCAAAATGAGTGGATAGACGATATTAAATTATTATAATGATCACAAATTGTTAGCAATTCTTTTTGTAATTGGAGAGGGTCAAACTTGAAAGAGAAAATTTTCTAAAATTTAAAAATTTTAACAAATTTAAAAAACCTCTTGGAGAAAAGATTGTGAAGTTATTGGCTGGAAAGCTGTCAAATTCCACATTAAATTGTCATTTGAAACATTTGTATCAAAAAGGCTTAAAAAATTTAGTTATTTCTTTAAAATAAAAATATTTGTTGTCCGCAAATTTTTTGCGGACATCCATTTTTGCGGATTAAAAAAGGAGGTTTACGAAAAAATAAATTGTTCGGTAAACATGATTGAACCGTGAACGACAACCCAACAGAGGTGGGTCAGAACAGTCAGAGGTGTCGGAAATCGGAAGAGCCGGAAATCGGAACTAGCTCAAAAGTCGGAACTCGAGAATCAAAAATTTTTTTCGGAAATCGGGATTCCGACCCACCTCTGCAACCCACCCATAAATAAATTTAAATTAAAAAAAAATAACAAAAAAAACCTTGGCTGAGGACCATTTTGTTTTTGTTGCCCATCGCAAAAATAATTTTGATTTTGAAAATAATAATCAATTCCTCCAACATTCTGTTTAAAATAATTTAATGGACTTGAAAATTGTTGTTGTCCTCGATTTTTTATTAAATTCATTTTTGGAGGTGCACTTGATAAAGGCATATTGTTGCTGGGACTCAAATTTTGTTGTTGTTGCATAAGTAAAAATTGATCATTATCTAGAGAACGGTGTTTTCTAAAAAATTTAAAAATTAAAAAATTTTGCGGACAAAAAATTTGTCCGCAAAAAATTTGCGGACACTTTTTTGCGGACTCCACAAAAATTTTTGCGGATTCCGCAACTAATTCACTTTCTTTATATTTAAAACGTAGAGTGTCCTCTCCACTTTTTACACACTATTTTCACATTAAAATTTTAAAAGAATTAAAAAAATAAATTTACCTCATAGCCAACAATGTCTCATTATTTCCTGGTTGCCTATTTAAATATTGTTGTTGTTTCATTGAATAATTTGGAGTAGCCATTTAAATAAAAATTAAATTTCTTCTTCAATTAAATATATTTTGAATGCTTAAATCACTCTAAAAAAATTAAAAAAAACCTCCCGTCAAAAAAATTTTTTGCGGACAAATTTTTGCGGATTCTTCCCCCTCAAAGTGCATTAAACTAAAAAAAGGACTATTTTATTTTACCGCTACATTTTTTCAAAGCTAAAAAAATATATCGATAGAAGAATGGTATCACGACTTTTGCGCCGAGAACATTTGCGCCGCGACTTTTGCGCCGCGACTTATGCGCCGGGCGACTTTTGCGCCGCGACTCTTGCGCCGCGACTTATGCGCCGAGCGACATATGCGCCGCGACTTTTGCGCCGGGCGACTTATGCGCCGCGACATTTGCGCCGCCATAAATTTAAAAAAATAATATCTACAGTCGGACCTAATTATAGTGTACTTCTTAAAAAATGTTATCCAGTAGCTGAAGGACTTTCACGAAGTACAATATTTCGGGAAGTACAATAGCCCTCTCTAATTAAGCGACCCCCAAGAGGAAGGTTGAAAAATGAACCGACACCCTAGAGGGGTAATCTTCAAAGAACTTGACTTTTTCGGATCAGGATATTTGGTCTGCTACCCCTATTCAGGCATGATTTTCTGCCAAAAGTGGGTGCACTATAGTGTAAAATTGTCGGGTCCAGATATCCAGATCTGAAAAAAGCCGGATAGCCGAATATTTTAGGTAGAATATCGGATCCGGATCTTGATATCCGAAGATCTCCAACTATCCTACATCTTCTATAGTGAGGTACGGCTGTAGTTTTTCATTATATTAATGATAGTGGCGGCGCAAAAGTCGCGGCGCAAACGTCGCCCGGCGCAAAAGTCGCGGCGCAAAAGTCCCCCGGCGCAAAAGTCCCTCGGCGCATAAGTCGCGGCGCAAAAGTCGCGGCGCATAAGTCGCGGCGCAAATGTTCTCGGCGCAAAAGTCACGGAACCAGAAGAATAACCCAAGTCTTTTTTTTTGTGTGGCCGTGTGTGCCAAGTAAGCCAAACAGCTCTGCTTTCTATATAAAGAAAAGACAGAGCTAAAAATACAAATGGGTAGTAGATGGGTGTAATGCCTATGGGAAACAAGAAATAAAAAATTTTTTAATTGAAAATTATTTTTTACATATCCAAAAATATATAAAAATGCCAAAAATTAATTTTTTAAAATTAATTAATTTTTAATTTTTAATTAAATTTTTCAAGTAAAAGCAATTCTTATAAATAAAGAAGCTGCTTCATCTGTATTATGTTGACTTCCAGTGTTTAAACGAACATGGGAGTATCCTTTAAATAAATTTTATAGAAGATGAGGGTCTTTAAGGATATTCCGAACGATGAAAAATCCTCGGTGCAGTTCCTAATCACCCCCAGAAAAATAGGCTCTGTGGTTAAGTCGGTAAAACAAAAAATAAACAAAACGAGGGGTCGCCGGTTCGATACCCACTAGGGCCCAAAATTTTTTTCCTCGACTCCCAAAATATTTTTAATGGTTTAAAAAACATAATAAAATTCGGAAAAAAAATTTCCTTTAAAAAACCTTGTCTAATGCTTTGTACAGGAACAGAAAATTCTCCAATAAATTCATCTGCACTAGTTGAATCAAAATCTTTTACACAAATACGTAATATTGCCAATTCTGGACATCGGAGTTGAATAGACATTTTTTCGTTCCAAACAGGGTTAAAGCTTTTTTTTGAAAAAAAATTGAAAAAATTTTAGAAAAATTTTCAAAAAAATTTTGCGGACAAAAAATTTTTTGCGGACAAAATTTCAAAAAAAATTTTTTTCTCAAATTTTTTTTTTTAAATTTTAAAAAATACCCATTATTATAAACTGGCTTTGTATTTAATTTACAACGATCATTTGGAATTCCAAAAATTTCAACACTAACATATGGGTCAACAATTCCACTATTTCCAGGCTCTGCTTTAGGTAAATATTGTCCACAAATTATCTGAAAAATTAAATTTTGACGTTATTAAATTTGGACATTATTAAAATCTGGAAATTATTAAAATTGGATTTCGAGTCGCAAAAAAAATTTCATGCTTTTTGCGGACACTTTTTGCGGACAAAAAAATTTTTTTGCGGACACTTTTTGCGAAATCCGCAATTTTAATTATTTAGATTTCTCTCCTCTTTTTACACACTATTTTCATTACTCTATCATTAATTTAATTTAAAAAATATTTAAAGTATACCGCAATTTCCAAAGTGCAACAAATTGTAGTTTTATGCCTTGGATCTTTAAAAATAATCAAAAAAATCATTTTTCAAAAAAATTTAAAAAAAACCTCTCCCTTCTAACAAAATTTTTGGTTTTAAAACATAACCAATACTTCCATTAATTGAAAATAATCCTTTATTTATATCCAATTCTTCATCACAAGTTTGAAAATTCATTGCAGCTAATTGAATTCCACAAATCCACTTGAAAATAATTTTTTTTATTACAAAACGGCCAATTAAAAACGGTCATTTAAAATGGCCCTACAAGAAAAATGACTCGATGGTTAAGTTGGTAAAATATCAAAATGAGGGGTGCAGGTTCGATACCGGCTGGGGCCCAAAATTTTTTCTCAACTCCCAAATATTTTTAATGGTTTAAAAAACATTTTCAATAAAAAAAATTTCAAAGAAATCTCCCTTCTAATAAAATTTTTCGAAAAGGTCAGATTCGGTTAAAAATTCAGAAATATTTAAAAGTACGAAATCTGAAGAAAAATAAATGTCCACTATCATCCACTAGATTTCGCAGAGTTAGATATTCGAATCTGAAAATCCACGGAGATCCGGAAGTTTTCGGATCTGATCCAAATATCCGGGTATTTTCAAGGCCAAAATCACCCTCATTTCCCCTTTTTGAAAAAAACCCACAAGAAACTACTATCCGCTAAGTTTGGCAGATCTGGATATCCGAATCTGAAAATCCCCAGAGATCCACCGGAGCTCCGAGGGCTACCCAGGGATTTTCCAAATATTAGCCCAACCCCACAATCTTTCCCCTCCCCCTTTTTAAAAAAATCACAAAAAAACCTAACAGATTCCATAGGGTCTATATTGCTCGAATCCTGTCTAATCCCACTTGGAAAGCTTTAACAATTCTTGTAGATGTATATGTAGATAATGGAACATTAGAATCCAAAAATGCTTGAACTTTTCTTTCACTTAAAGATGGACTGGCATTGGAAGGATCTGAAATGAGAAAATAAAAATTGATAAAATAATTATCGAAACTTCTCTAAAATATCCCCGGGGGCTATTTTTTCGATAGAACTCTAGAGGAGGGATATTCGGGGGGGGGGGGGGGTATTTTAAAGAAAGGAGGGGGGGGGCTTAAAAAATTTTTCTAAAAAATTTTAAAAAATGTGTGCGTCCAACGGGAATCGAACCCGTGCCTACTGCTTGGAAGGCAGCAATGCTAACCACTACACCATGGACGCTCATATCAAAATCTTCAAATAAACCTTTCTTATAATTAAAAGAAAATCGATCTTATATTTAATTAAATCGCGCATGTAAATATTCCCGTTTTTGGCTAAGTAAACGCAATAAAATCAATCACACAATAATTAGAAAAAATAAGTAGAATTATACTCAAAAATCTTAGAAGATAAAATCTAAAAAAACCATGAAAGTAATGCTCAAACTCTCGGTACACCTCAATTGAGTCCAGACTCAACTGAGTCCTGGACCCTATAACTTATGAAGGGATGGTCACTTTTTTTTGCTTTTGGTACCATTAGATAGAGCATTAAATAGGCTACAATATACCAAAAAATCAAAATTCCTGACCGACTGGTAAAAAGTTATGATCGATAAAGTGCCTAAAAATCAGATTTTTTTTGAAAAAGTTAGTTTTTAGATCATAACTTTTTTACCAATCAATCGAAAATTTTGATTTTTTGGTATATTGTAGCCTATTTAATGCCCTATCCAATGGCACCAAAAACATTAAAAAATATCAACCCGTACTTGAGTTATAGGGCCGGGACTTGGATGAGTCGGGACTTTGTCAGTTGAACTGCTCCGTCTCCCCACCCCCCTCCTTTTTTTAAGAAAAAAACCAACGTTCTTTAATATCCATAAAAATATTGCTTGGAGATATCTTTAAAATAATTAAAAATTCAAAAAAAATTAGAATTAGAAAAAAACCTTAAAACTCGGCAAAGCAATTAATTTTCCAAAATTAGGGTCAATAGGTAATTGAGGCGAGGAGGTAGACTTTTCACTACCTTCTCTTTTAAATTCTTCCAAATTTTTTGAATTTTTCTTTTTTGATGATGAATTTCTTGAAGATGTTGTTGATGAATTAGTAAATGTTTGTAAAGTCTTTCCACGCAATAAAATTTTATTTTTTAAAAAGTTGGGGGAAGGAAGTGGATGAATTGAAGCATTTAATGGAGGAATATATAAATGTTCTCCCAAAATCTGTGAAAAAATCAAAAAAAGTATAATTTGCGGATTTTTCTTGCGGACTTTTAAATAATTCCGAAATAATTGGCAAAAATCCCAAAAAACTGTCGAAATACCAAACAGTAAAAAGATGTTATAATACGAAATATAGTAAATAGAAAATTTGTTAACAACATTCTTCCCTATGATGGACGAAGAAGGTGTGATGGACCGAGATGATGGACTTTTGTTGGAACCAAGGGTGGACCCATTGTGTTTTGCGTTAAATGTTGGCCTTGGTGTTGGCCTTGCGTCGCGTTTTTGGATATTGTCTCTTGCACCTGCCCCTGTTTGGAACAACCCTTTTCCTTTTAATTAGAACAAGCTTATCAGGAATGTCATGGGGTACACGATACCTGAAACCCGATTCGAAAAAAAATTTTTTCAAAACCCACCCAACTTTTTCCCCCTTAATCCATCTAACTAGGATAGCCAAAATGGCTCGACTCAAACACAAAGATAGAGTCAGACCTAAGATATTTGACCCAAAAAAGACTCGTACGGACCGACTCAAAAACGGCAACTCTACACCTAACTGATCCAATAGACCCGAAACCCTGACTCCTTCCGGTCTAGCCCACCAATTCGATTTTTTCTTAACCCGTGACATCCCTGACACCTATAATACTTATGTTTGTTATTTTTATTTTTCGGTGTTTGGTATTTCGACACCTTTCCAAAAATAATTTTTAATTTCCCCAATATTTTTTCAACCCTAAAAAAAATTAAAAAAAAACCTGTACAAATATTTCCGCCATTTTTCCCTGTTGTAATGGACTAACGTGATTCTCAATAGTTAAAATAATTGGGTACAAACTTTGAATAAATGCATATTGTTTTATACAATTTAAAACATTTCTTAAAGATATTGGTGCAATAAATGTATGTTTATGTGTTATTTGAGGTTCTCCATTTTCTCCATCAAATATATCTACTGAAAAATTTAATTCGAAAATTTCTGGAAAAAATCCGCAAATCAAAAAATATGTCCGCAAAGTTTAGAATTGCTTTTAGAACTCAAATCCAGAATTTTTCAGTCAGTTTTACCCTCATTTTTTTTCGGAAATAGAATATAAGTTTTGTAAACAGTCAAACATCATTTTTAAATCAGTTAAACAAATCGGGACTTAGAAGCATCGTAGATTGGGAGTATCGCTTAGGGATACGACTCCAACATAATAAAACGTCCTGATGAAAAACCGGCGAAAAGCTCAACTCCCAAAAACAGATGGAGTAAAATTACGACGTCATTTCCAATGGTTGGCTTTTGACGGCTTTTGAGAGGATTATAGCTCAATTTTAGGATTACAGCTCGATCCGTAGCTTAGGCAGCTCCATCTTCTCCCAACCTAGTGGATAAAGGATGACCAACTTCAAGGGATGCCCGACTTCGGGGGTACCTAAAAACGAAGTCCTAAAAACTAGACTTTTTAAAATTTGCGGACAAATCTTGCGGACATTTCTATTTAAATAAAAAAAACAAACATTCTAATAGTCGACATCCCTTTTTTAAAGCACAAATATATCCTTCAATTGTAGCATTTCCATGTACTTGTAATCCAGTTAAATAAGTATTGTGACTAGAATTGATAAAATAACAATGTAAAGGCTGGTCCATATCCATAAATACAGTTTCGTGTCCTTCACGTAAAATGTTACCCCAACAAGATTGGAGAAGACGGCGAAAGCCTAAAAGATTTTGAAAAAAATTTAGAAAAATTTTTGTCCGCAATTTTTTTGCGGATAAAAAAATTTTGTCCGCAAATTCTTTGCGGACAAAAATTTTTTTTAATTTTTGAAATTTTTTCATAAAATTTTCCTTGACTTCCCTCTTGCACAGGAATGCTTAATAAACCTATTTTCCCTCAAAATTTTTTTTAAAAAATTTAAAAAAATACCATTTATAGTCAATATTTTTGCCCTTCCTATTTCTTGTCCCCCAGGTTCACAAAAATCAATAATTGCTTCAGCTTTTTTCAAATCAATTTCTTTGAACTTAAAAAATAATTTTTTAGAATTCTAAAATTTTTTGAGGTTGGAAAAATTTTCATGTCAACAAAAACATTTTTTGTCCGCAAAAATTTTTGCTGTCCGCAAAAATTTTGCGGACAAAAACTTTTTAAAATTTTTGTCCGCAAATTTTTTACCCTCAAAAATTACTTAAAAAATTCAACAAACCTCTTGTTCTTCCCTCAAAAATTTTAAAAGTGAATTTGCATCCAACCAATCATTCCCTTCATCATTAGCCAATCTAAGGGCATTTTTATATTCTGGCAAGTCTGTCAAAACAGAAAATAAATGTAAAAATTCTTTTTGGTCTAAAGCTTGGTTTTGTTGTTGTTGTTGTCCGTTTCTTTCTAAAGTTTCCTATAAAAATTTCTTGAAAATTTTAAATTATTTACAAATAAAAAAAAAATTCCATCTGATGATGAGACATTCTGCGAAGATATTTTTGTATAAACTTTTTTGCGGACGGCTTTTGCAAAAAATTTTTTGCGGATAAAATTTGCGGACAAACAATATTTGAACAAGAGAATAAATACGGCCATCCAAAATTCTAAAGAAATTTCGCCTGCTGCGCTAAAAATCCAAATTTTCGGCAACTTCTGTGCCAAAAATTAAGCGCCGAAAATGATTCCACCTATTAAAGATCTGTTTGAAAAGCCTGGACCTGTTCCTGGACTCTGGGTTAGATTTCTTGACCTAGACTAGATCCTGGGCCTGTAGTCTAGGAAAAACCAGACCCATAAAAAACCCAGAAAGGTCAAAAAATGCCTAGACTCTGGACATAGGAAAAACCTAGGCCTTGGTCCAAAGTCAGGCCAATCTCTACCACCTATATCCTCCCTCACGAAAAATTAAAATTCAAAAAACGAACCTTAAACAGCGCTTTAACATAAAGTTCACTCAATTGTAAATTTAACCGTTTAAGTAATTTCCATAATTCATTAAAACCAATTTTTCCATTTTTATCCAAATCAGCATTTTTAAAATTTTTTAATAGCCACCAATTTTCATTAAAATTATTTTTTGAAAAATTTTCTTCTTCTTTTTTTCCTCCTCTTCCATTTTCTTTATTATTTAATAATAAACGTAATTCTTCTACCCATTCTAAAGCTTTATTTTTATCAAATGCTATAAAATCAAGTGATTTACAGACAAAACGAGGATGTTTAAATATTATTGAAAAACAATGGTCTTCCTGAAAAAAATATTCATGAAGAAAAATTAAAAAAATTTTGCGGACAACTTTTGCGGACAAAAAAATTTTTGCGGACAACTTTTGCGGACAAAATTTTTTTGCGGAATTAATTTGCGGACAACTTATTCTAAGGGTCTAGGCTAGAACTTATGTATGTGTCTCAAAATTCCAATAAATTAAGAAACACCTTTTCAATTTACTAGCTAACCAAGTCGTCGAAATGCCAAAATGTTAAAATGACGTCGAAAAGACAAGGCCTCCCCAGTAGCCCTCAAAATGCCAAGCCGTGGGACTGACGCCAAAAAGCCATCGAAATGCCAAACAATTTAATAAAAATCTTTTGCGGACAAATTTTGCGGAATTTGTCCGCAAAAAATTTTGGAGAACAAATATGGAAAATTGTCCGCAGAATTTGTCCGCAAAAAAATTTTTTTTAAATTAAACTTTAAATAAAACAAACCGGAGCAGTTTCCTGAAACCTCTTCATTCTCACAGCTCTGTGCCAATTATCAGTCCTATAGCCTTGCCTAATTTCGAGCAGCTCGAATAAACTAACTTCAAAAAAATTTTTAAAATTTCAAAAAAATTTTTAAAAATAAACCAGTCTTTTTCTCTTTTTTGGAACATCCACAAAGCATTTTTGACGTGTCCAACATTGGATCATAGCTAATTGTATTGTCATTCTCATTCAAAACAATGATTGAATCTTTCCCTATTTTGCCTTGTTTTACTCGTCTAACTGGTAAAGCAACAGAAATTAATTGTCTGCCGCTCTCTTCAGTTTTGTTGTTGTTCCCGTCATTCTCTCCCCCCTCTTTTTCTTTATTTTGTAAGTGATTAGAATGATCTGCATTCATTTCCCTATTAAGTATTGGACTAATTTTCGAATAAAAATTTAAATAAACACAACGCCAAACTTGTTAAATTTTTAAATTAATTATCGAATACCCTTATTTTCTGGGGAGGTAGGTCCACTTAAACCGATGTAACTTCCGATTGGATAGACCTTAAAAAATAATTTTGGTAACATTCGATAGAGGAAATCCTCTTCTACAAAATACTTAAAAATCATAATTGTTGATAACTGACAAAGAAAGTTATGGTCCAAAAATTAAGTATTGGCTCTTAACTTGAGTTAAAGAACCTTCCATTTAAACGGCCATAACTCAGGGCCTACTGAATTGATTGAAAAGATTTTCGTATCAGACGATAGGTAAGAAGATTGACTATAAAGTGAAATAAAAATTTAAATAAATACAACGCCAATTTAGTCAAAATTTTTAAGTTGATTATCGAATACCCTCATTTTTGAGGTAGTCTCACTTAAACATCTATAACTCTCGAACGGATAACCTTTAAAAAATAATTTTGGTGTCATTCGATAGAGAAAAAAATTGGCTATAAAATGAAACGATAAACTAAATTTTAGATTGATTCATAAAAAAGTTGAGGACAAAAAACTAAAAAAATTTTTTGGTTGTTTTTGGTCGTTTTTGGTAGTCTTCGATTGTTTTTGAATTAGAAAATAGAAATTCGTAACATTTTTAATCTATTTTATAGTAAATTTTATTCTCTATTTGGAGGGACTTTTGCAAAAAAATAGAAAACAGGTGAGAGAAAAATAGAGAAAATTTTTTTTTGAAATTTATGTTGAGTCATAAAAAGGCACGAGAAAGGCACGAGAGAGACAAGGGAAAAATAATTAAAATTTAATTTTGGAAAAAAATTTTTTTAATTTAATTTAAAGAAATAAAAGGAAAACTTAAATAAAAAACCAAATAAAATTGCTAAAAGTGATTAAAGAATCTCTCGAAAAGAATAAAAGAATGACGCATTTCTCTCCAACACACCTTTAATAAATTTAAAAAAAAAAGTAATGAAAGCAATGAAAGTGTGAAGAGGAGAGAGGGTTAAGGGGGGATGAATTTTTAAATTAAAAATTGTGTTTGTTTTCTTTTTAATTTTTTTGCAACAAAAAAAAACAAAAAAACCGAGAAAAGAAATAAGAAAAAAAAATAATAAATAAAAATTTATGCCTTTGTTCCTTCCAAAAAAATTTTTTTCTGTTCGTATATTAGTAAAAAAATCCATTTTATTTAATATAAAATAATTTTTTTTGGATTTAAAATTTATTATTTATTTCTAATTTTCGTAAAAAATTTTAAAAATTGTTAAAAAAAAATTTTTTACGAAAATTAAAAATAAAAATCTCATTTCCAGTTAGCCCAACCCATGACTGGGTTCGAACCATAGATGAATTCTGTAGGCAAACCAAGCGCTTACCGATTAAGCTAAAGTGGACATATTTTAAAAGCAGAAATTTTAAGCTTAGATTAATACAAAAAATGTTTGTTTCAATAGCACTTGATTCCGATTTAAAATTTCAAAATTTTTTTAAAAATCAGAATTCTGAAAAATTTTTTTCCTTATAATTCTGATTTTACACAAGCTTAAAACACTTAATACCACATCCTTTTCTCAAAAAAAACATGTACACATACATACTCCCCTGGGGCCTATTTCAATTGTCCGCAGATTCTGCATTCTGTGCACAGAACACAGATTCTGTGGAAATTCTGTTTCAATTAAATTCTGTGTGCACAGAATCTGTGGTGCCCGCAGATTCTGCGGAAACATCTACTGATTCTGTGGAAACATTCCGCAGATTCTGTGGATGAAAATTTCTGTGGAAAATATAAAAATCTGTGGATTTTTTCCACTGATCCACAGAATTTGTATTTCAATTATTTTTCTGTGGTTCTGTGTATTTTTTCTTCTAAATTCAAATTTTTTATTTCCGCGTTTTTGAAAATAACAGTTTATATTAGCCTTTATTTATCTTTAATTTAATTTTTAAAATAAATTTTAGAAATGACTGATAAAAAAAATCAAGAAAAGAAGGAATTGCTGTTATTAATTAAAGAAAATTACTCCACAATATCTAGCAAATTTTCAACCAAGATTACTTATGAGGAAAAAAGGAATGCTTGGGAAAAAATTTTCAGAATTTGTGAATCAAAGGGTGCTGAGTGGACTAAAGGGCGCGAAGCCAAATGGCTGAGCGGCACAAAATGGCCGTCTCTTGTTAAGGAGTATAAAGTTTGCTGTTATCTTTAATAAATCTTTTAAATATATATTTTAGACAAAAATTGACAGAAACAAAGCAACTGGCAGCGGTGGTGAAACTCGCTTAAATGAATTAGATATGATAATGGGTGATATTCTTGGAGTCGATTCTCCTGTGGTTGCTGGATTAACAATACCTGATGCCAATTGCAGTAATACTGATGAATTTGAGTTTTATAATAAAAAAAAAGATGAAAATGAAGATTTAATTATTGATGATATTTCAACTTTGACTCCAAAATTATCCATCAAAAGAAAGGCAATGTTTGAAGGTAAACAAATTCTAAAATTATATATTCTCAACTTTTAAATTTAGATGAGACTGACACTTATAAAAAGAAAAAAGAAGAATATTTGGAAGTTTTGACTCGTGTTGCAAAATTGAAGGAGAGAAAACTTCAACTTGAAATTGCTCAATTGGAAGAAAAATCAAAACCTTCAAATATTTATGATGAGCCTACATATTTTAAACTTTAATTTATTTATCAAAATTTATTCGATTTTTCAAAATTTTGTTTGTTTTTTGATTTTTTGAAAAACTTAATTAAATATTGCGACAATTTGATTCAATTTTTCAAGTCCTTTTTCTCTTCCTTCTAAATCATCTTGAGTTTCTTCAATTGGTATTTGACGAAGGGGGTAACCTAAAAATAAAAAGGGATATTAATATCTCATTTAGAATTAAAATACCAGAATCCCCTAACAGAAATGCTCCATGAAAAGGCCTCCAACCACTTGATAATCTTTCGAAAAGGCGAGAGTTTTTAAAAACTCTGGAATCATGAGTAGACCCGGGCCACCGAACGGATGCATCATAAAATTTCAAAGTTGGGCCACAAACAAGCATTACGTTAATAGAATGTTCATTCTTACGATCCACAAACTGTTCCTCATATTTTGAAGGGGCTAATATTTTTATTAATGTTCCATCTATACAACCAAAAATTGATGGTATTTTTCCTTTTTCATAAAAACCAGTTGTTGTATTGGCTAAATTTTAAATAATTTGCAAACTATTAAATTTACTACCAAAATTGTCAGGATATCCAACATTTCTTTGAAACATGTATAAATTTATTGCTCTTGTAACTTGTCTTATGGATCTACATACTGATGATTTGGATGGTCCATGTGAATCACCAATAACAGCATATATACTTCCAGTTGCATAAAATCTAAGTGCAGTTAAAAGTTTATCTTTAGCTGACATTGCGTGATTTGTTGAATTAATTGGCTTTAATGAAGCTGAAATTTGACTTAAAAAATCTTCAAATTGTTCTCTATCAAGCCTGAATCTTTCTCTAAAATTTTCTTCTTCAAAATATTTTCTAGGCCTATAAATTTTGTTCTGCTTAATCGTTTGCTCGTCTTCTCCATCGTAAAATATTTCAAAATCGAAGAACATTTTCCTTAAATTTTTTTATTTTAGTAAAAAATATTACAAAAAATGATGTACCTTTTTCAAAATTAATTTTAAGCAATAATTTTAAGTAATAAAATTATAATTTTTATATCAAAAAATAGAGAATGAATCAAGCTTCAATGTTATCTAAAAATTTTAAAATTTGGTTAAGCCTAGGCCTAGAAAAAAATTTTTAAAGTTTTTCCACAGAAAATTCGCAGAAAAAATTTTAGGGTGGATTTTTTAATGAATTCTGTGTATTTTCCGCAGACCACAGAAATAATTGAAACAGAAATGCACAGAATCGACTAAAAAAGCCACAGATCTGTGGATTTTTTTCTGTGCACAGAAAAATAATTGAAATAGAATTCTGTGGTTTTTGCATGTTTTTGGATGTTTTGCAGAATCTGTGGATGTTTCCACAGAATCTGTGCATGTTTCCACAGAATCTGCGGACTCCTTTTTCCGCAGAATCTGTGGAATAATTGAAACAGAATTTCTGTGGTTCTGTGGTCTGTGCACAGAACGCAGACCGCAGAATCTGTGGACAATTGAAATAGGGCCCTGATCGTTTCATTAGCTTAATACACATATCACAGTCTAGCAAGCTAAAAAATAATATTTTTTTTTATCCTATTACCTAAAAATATATTTATAACCCTTCTCCTTTTTCAATTTTTATATTTTTATTTATTTTTCCCTCACTAATATCCCCCTCCCCCCAAATCAACTACCTACTAGCTTTTGACAGCTGTTCACTTTCCTCTCTCTTCTCCCCTTCCTCAATGTCCCTCTTTTTTAGGGGGTTTTTTTCTTGCTTCTTTTAAAAATACACACATACTTTTTTTAAAGGTTTTACTAAAATTTCGTCCTCAAAAATAAATTTTATTTTTTTTCTATTCGGTCGTCTTAAAAAACCCCCTCCCTCCAAAAACTCTCCCCAAAAACTCCCCTTCCTTAAAAATGCCCTTCTAATCCTTCAAAATATATAAACAAAAAATATTATTTTCAACAGTTAATATAATTTTTTGTTGCTTTCATTTTAATTTTGGAGAATTTAAAAATAAATTAAATTAGAAAATGCCGACTGGATCTCGAGTGGGCGCGCATTTTCTTTCTTCTGTTTTAAGAATGCTTGAACCTAGAACTGATGATGATTTTGGTGAGAATTTTTAGACAGAAATTCTGATTTATAAAATTAGAATTTGATTTTAAAATCAGAATTCTGATTTTATTCTAAAAAATTCTGATTTTTAGAATTCTGATCAAACCAGAATTCTGACTTAAATAAAAATCATGATTCTGATTTTTTAAACAAAAATTCTGATTAAATTCTGATCAGAAATTCTGATTCCATAACCTCAAATTCTGATTTAAAAAAATATAAATTCTGATTTCAAAACAAATTCTGATTTTCTACTTTAAAAATTCTGATTTTTAATACCAGAATTAATTTATATAAATCAGAAATTCTGAATTTTATTCTGGTTTCCTTCAGTCAAAAATTCTGATTTTACTCTTTCTGATTTTTAGTTGATCGTCTACATTATTTATATACCCCAATAATGCTTTTAATGTTTGCCCTACTTGCATCAGCAAAAAATTATGCCGGGCATCCAATAGAGTGTTTTGTGCCAGCCTATTTTACGCGTGCTATGGAACAGTACAGTGAGTGAGTCAAGAAAAATAATTTTAAAAAATATAAAAAATATTTTTCAGAAATTATTGTTATGTTCAAAATACTTATTGGGTGCCCTTTCAGGAACATATCCCTCACAGGCTTGATGAACGAGAAAAGTAAACATACTAATATACTCAAATATACTCCCCTTTAAAACTTGTTTTGAAACATTTCCGGAAAAACATACTTTCAAAAAAAAACATAGAAAACAACAGACCTTCCGGAAAAACATTCAAACACCGCCTAAAACAAATAAAATACACTTTCCGGAAAAGCATCCAAACATATCTTAAAACATGCATACAAAACAACAAACATTCCGAAAAACATCCAAACATCACCTAAGACATAAATAAAAACAAAGTTTCCGGAAAAACATCCAAACATCGCCTAAAACATAAATAAAACAAACTTTCCGGAAAAACATCCAAACACCACCTAAGACAAATAAAATATACTTTCCCGAAAAACATCCAAACTTCTCTTAAACATACAAACAAAACAACGAACTTTCCGGAAAAACATCCAAACACCACCTAAGACAAATAAAATATACTTTCCCGAAAAACATCCAAACTTCTCTTAAACATACAAACAAAACAACGAACTTTCCGGAAAAACATCCAAACACCACCTAAGACAAATAAAATATACTTTCCCGAAAAACATCCAAACTTCTCTTAAACATACAAACAAAACAACGAACTTTCCGGAAAAACATCCAAACACCACCTAAGACAAATAAAATATACTTTCCCGAAAAACATCCAAACTTCTCTTAAACATACAAACAAAACAACGAACTTTCCGGAAAAACATCCAAACACCACCTAAGACAAATAAAATATACTTTCCCGAAAAACATTACTTTAACAAGAAAAACATTTACAAAATACATATTCCATCTTACAGAAAAAACACACATACAAAACTTTCCGAAAAACACACTCAAAACATTCCCTTACTGGAAAAACATTTAGTCTAATTTATTAAAAACATTTAAAATTTCCCGTAAAACATGCTCAACAAAAATTCAAAAATTTAATTTAGACGACAAATTGGTTACTACCAATGGGTTTCTTTTGTGCTTGCTATATCCGCCTTAATGTTTCACTTACCTGCACTTTGTTGGAGAATGCTTTCAAATCAGTCAGGATTAAATGTTTCTGTAGTTCTTAGCCTTGCTTGTCAAGAAGAAAATGTTGACCCAGAAGTGCGTGACCGTTCCATAGATATTTTGACTGTTGGTTTTTTAAAAACATTGAAAACTTTCCGGAAAACATTCAGAAAATATATCATTCCAACTTTCCGGAAAACACTAAACCACCTTTAATAAAAACATACAACATCAACATTCCGGAAAACCTCCAGAAAATATTCCATCCAAACATTCCGGAAAACTCTATAAACAAAAAAATTTAATTTTACGCAAAACAGACACAAACAAAACATTAAACATTCAAGAAAACATTCCATCCAAACATTCCGGAAAACGTGCAACAGAGTTTAACGGAAAACACTCAAAAACATTTTATTTCCTTTCCGGAAAACATTCAAAAACATTCAACAAAACATTCAACAAAACATCTAAACCTTCCCGAAAACACTCAAACATTCAACAAAAACATTCAACAAAACATTTAAACTTTCCGGAAAACCATACACAAAAACATTCAACAAAACATTTAAACTTTCCGGAAAACACTCAAAAACATTTTATTTCCTTTCCTTTCCGGAAAACATTCAAAAACATTCAACAAAACATCTAAACCTTCCCGAAAACACTCAAAAACATTTTCATTTCCTTTCCGGGAAACATAAACATTCAAAAACATTAAAAACATTCGATAAAACATTCTCGAGCTTTCCCGAAAACACACCAAAACATTATAAACTAAACGAACATATTTTTATATAACCTAGAGACATATTGACGATGCTTTACGTTATCAACGCGATCTTATTATTCGTTCAAAGGGTGTTTTTCTTTTTGCATTAATTAATATTGGAAGATTATATGGAGCTTATGTTACTTTAGTTTATTCAATGTGCAAATTGTTACATTTATTTAATGTTTTGATTCAATTTTATTTTTTAAACAAGTTTGTGAGACTTTTCTGAAAATTTGGGAGGGATTCAAGTAGAGAGGGGTAGGGGTAGAGAGAAGTTACAAAGGGTCACAAATAGAGAGGGGGAAAGAGCTTAACAGGAGTAGACCCAAATAGGATGGAGAAGTGCGCAAGACTCGAAAAGAAGTGGTCTATTGGGAGGTCTATTGAGAGGAGCACAAATAGAGAGGGGGAGAGCTTAACAGGAGTGGACTCAAATAGGGAGAGAGGGGTACTTATAAATAAGGGTTCTAATAGAAGAGACTTCAATTTAGAGTCTCTAATAAAAGCATTCCTAAGACCAACAGACTCAAAAATGACCAAAAGGAAGAACTAGAATCAAAACTTGAAACTCTAGTACAAGTACTTAAGAATTAAAATTTTGCACTTAAAGATTTCTTGGAACAGCCGATTATCCTTTATTTGGAGGGCACGTAATCTATGACCTATTTCGGGTAGTTTTACAAAAAAGAAAATTGAAAAATTTTTTGATTTCTTAGGACCGTGAATGGCAAGATTCTGGCAGATTTCCAAGAGTAACACTCTGTGATTTTGAAATTAGAGTTTTGGGGAATATACACAGGCATACAGTACAGTGTGTGCTTGTTATAAATATGTAAGCTTCTTGAAAAATTCCAAAAAAATCTAAAAAATTTTCAAAAAAAAATTTTCAAAAATTTTTTAAAAATTTTTTTCAGGTTTTTAGAAAAGATTTTCGTCTTTTTATGGCTCTGGCTTCTATTTCTAGCTTTCCTTTCAATTGTAAATTTATCAGCTTGGTTAGCAACGGGTAATTTTAGGAAGGAAAAAGTCCAAAAAATTTTTGTTTTTAGTAGCTGTTCCTATTTGTAGACAAGCATTTGTAGAAAAATTTTTAGATTTGAGTCAATATGAGCCTAAAACTAGTGCAGAAGTTCACTTATTTGTTGAAAAATTTCTTAGGCCTGATGGTGTTTTTTTACTTAAAATGGTAAGGAAAAATAAGGATCTTTAAAAATAAACTAAACTAGCCATTTCCCTTTTTTGGTCATTAATGTAACCCCTCAAGAGGTTGATCCAGCTGCTTAACCAAGGAATTAGTTAAGAATGGATCATCAAAAAATATATTTTAAATTAAAAATCATTTAATATTCCTCAAGATAAGGGTTGCTCCATGATGGAAGGTGTAGAAGAATGTGGGAGGGAGGGCAGGGGATTTTTAGATATGATAAGGAGAAACCTCTTCTTTTTGGTCATTAATACCCCACAAGATAAGATTTACTGGTTGATCATGAAGGAGGGGAGAGAGGCGGGAGAGGGAGGAGGAGAGAGAGGCGGGAGAGTGTGGATGAGAGGATTTTTGGATAACGGCCCCAAGGGAAAGGGAAAATGAAACAAAAAAATTTATTTGCTTCTCTATCACATCAAAGAATATTTTTTTATTCAAAAATCATTCCCTCCTCTCCCCCCCTTCAATTAATTTACTCAAAAATTTTTAGGTATCTGTACATGCCGGAAACATTATGTGTACAAGATTAAGCGAATCATTATGGATACAATTTCAACAATGGAGAGCTTCAACAAAAATATTACCTAGTAGTAGAAAAGAATCTTCTCCTAGTTTAGGAATTTTAATGTCAGGTGAAGGAGGGGGAGGTGGTCCTTCTTCTGAAAGACCAAAAAGAAGATCATCATCTGAGAGAAGAGAAGGAAGAGGTATTTTAAAAAATTAGAGTCCCAAAAATAAAAAAAACCCCCCAAAAATTAAGAAAAAATTCAGGAAAAAATCCAATAATTTTCAAAAAAATCAGAACATTTCCCAGAATTGTCGAAAAAAATTTTAAAAAATTTCCAGAAAATTTTTCAAAAAATTTTCAAAAAAAATTTTAAAAATTCGAAAAAATTTTGATTTTTCAAAAAAATTTTTACAAAGAATTTCTAAAAAAAATTCTCTAAAAATTTTCAAAAATAATTCTCAAAAAAAATTTTTCACAGGCTATTATCAACCGCCTCCAGACCAAGAAAATGAAGGATCAGAGAAAAGACAAAGAAATCCACCTATACAATTACCTACTTTAGGTGGTATTAGACAGCATTTTGTATAAATTTAAATAGAGAGAGAAGGATCTCAAAAAGTCTTTCTTTTTTTTAATTTTAAAAATGCCAAAAAATATTTTTTAATTTTTATAAAATTTTTCCTAAAAATAAAAAACAAAAAAATTAAAATTTAAAAAATCCTTTGTGTTGCTTTAAGCGAAAATTCATAAGAAAAGAAAAATATAAAGCCACCTATACCCATCCAAAGTGAACGAGGTAATACACCAGAATATAGACGAAACTGAAAAATATTGGGGAAGGTAATGAGTGAGAAAAGAAGAAGAAGAGAGAGAGAAGGAGAAAATAAGGAAAAAAAAATCCAGAAAAGTTTAAATTTTCCGGAAAAATCAGAAATGTTTCCGGAAAATTAAATATCCCAGGAAAATTTCCGGAAAGTTTAAATGATGATTTCCGGAAGACAAGACTTCGGAAAATAAATTTCGGAAACAACAAAAACATCAACCGGAAAGTTTAGATTTTTTCCGGAAAACATCAGAAATGTTTCCGAGAAGGTTTAAATTAAATTTTAGAATATTTTTTAAAAATTCCAGAAAATTTTCAGAATTTATTAAATTTGATTTTAAAAAATATAAACCCACAATTCCTTCCTTTTTAAATATTTCAACAGCAAGAGGCAAAAGTTGACGGTTTTGTGAGCCTCTATCAAGCATTACACGGGTTTTGAGAACATCTAATGGACTGAAATAGAAAAAAAAACATTTAAAAACTAGAATTCTTTCTGGAAAAATTATTTAATTAAGAAAAACACTTCCGGAAAGTTTAAATAATTTTAAACAAAAAACTCAGAATTTTGATAAAGTTTTGTTCCGAAAAAGACAAGAGAACTAATTCCGGAATGTTGATGTTTAACGTAATTAATAGGGTTGGGGACCCGATCCGAAAGATCGAGTCGGGCCTCGAATTTTGGTATGCCTCGAATTTTAGCCCGAAAAAGACTCGGTCGGGCCGGCCGAAAAAATGAGACCCGAGAAAAATGACTCGAACGTCGGCCCGACTCGAAAACCCCAACCCTTAGTGTTAGTTTGGTTTTAAATGTTTTCCGGAAAGTTTCCAGCAAAGTTTAATAAAATACAAACAAACCCCTACGTTGTAATTCCTGCCGCTATAAGGCCTGCAAAACTCCCACAAGTAGCTGATTCTAAAGGAGTGCATTCCTATAAAAAAATTTTTTTTTAATTTTCTAATTAAAAAAAAATTACTTTATTTGTCAGTTTTCTTCTTTTTTGTTTTAAAAATTCCCAAAGTGGAAATTCAATGAATGAAAAAGGAATTTCACGAAATAAAGTGCTAAAATACCCTGAAAATTAAAAAATTTTTTGAAAAAATTTTCAAAAAAATTTCAAAAAATTTTAAAAAATTTTCAAAAAAAATTTTAAAAAATTTTCAAAAAAATTTTAAAAAAATTTCAAAAAATTCTCGAAAAAAAATTTTAAAAATTTTTTTTGAAAATTTCAAAAAATTTTCAAAAAAATTTCAAAATTTTCAAAAAATTTTTTAATTAATTAAAAAACCTTTATAAACTGCCAAAAATTTAAATTTTTTTCTCCTTCCTTCTCCTTCTTTTATTAATTCACCAAATATTTGTAAAGGCCTTTTTTGAGGATTTGTTTGTGCTCGTTGTTTAATTATTTCAGTTGGAACTCTGGCTACACAAGCAAAAATTTCTCCAATACTAGCGCTCAATGCGTCGGTTAATGGAGCTGTTTTTTTTTAATTTAATTTTTAAATTAAAAAAATTTTTCTTAATTACGAGAATACAAGCCAAAGTAAACTTAACGAAAAACAACATTCTATGTCTTAAAAAAATATTCCTAACAATTCCGGAACACAACAACTTCCGGAAATACTTCTTAACGTTCCATGAGCGTGCCAGTTTCGACTTTTTGTGTGTTCTGTCTTTTGTTCGCTTTTTAAATTAACTTCGCATTCCGTCTTATTATACCCCTATTATGCTCTCAAAAATATTCCGAAAATCAGACATTCCGGGAAAGCTTTCCAAGTTGCCCAAAATATTCCCCCCTCCGCCTCTTTTCAGAAAAAAAAGTCAAAACTTCCCATAAAATAAAAAACAAACTTGGTTTAATGGCCATTTTTGTATTCAACAATTCTTTGCAACTTGAATAAGAAATAAAAAAGAGTGCAGAACCTGGAGCAGAACCTAATGCAACCTTCAAAAAATTTTTAAAAGAAAAAAATTAAAAACAAAACTGCAGGTATTCCTTTGTAAATGTTTCCAAATCCACCAGAAGCTTTAAAGCCGACTTTGCTTTGCATTCGAGTCTGAAAAAAAAATAAATAAAAAAAAAATAAAATAAAAAAAAAATAAATAGGGACACGCAGGCAAACCACAGACTAAAATAAATACTGGAAATTTTCAATCATATAAATGTTTACTTTTCAATTCTAGATCCCTAGCTAATAAAATACCGGATTTAAATCAATTAATCGAAAATTCTAATTCACACATTATATTAATTAATGAAACATGGCTCAAAACAGAAAATACAATAAACTCAGAACTATCATATAGGGGTAATTTTGAGATTATATTAGCTAATAGAATAGAAAAAAGAGGTGGCGGATCGGCAATCCTAATAAAAAATAATATACCGTTTAAAATAATCTTTAACGGCTCTAAATTCCAATCAGAAATTGTACATATAAAATTGTTACTTAAAAAAGAAATTAACATTATAAACATCTACCGACCACCAAATAGTTCAATTCTTAATACAAAAAAATTATTTAAATTCCTTTTAAATCAAACTGATCAAAAAACAATATTATGCGGAGATTTTAATATTAGACACATAAATTGGGATTCTAAGGAATTAACCGATAACTATGACAAGATCGCGAATATATTTTTAGAGTTTATAGGTCAAACCCAATTAAATCAACTTGTTACTGAACCGACTAGGGAAAATTCAATCCTAGACCTTATACTCACACCTACTACCAATTTAGTAAGAAATGTTAATGTTAGGGAGAATTTTTCAACTTCCGATCACAAAATGATAGAGTTTGAGTTATATGATCAGATCAAAGTAATTAAAAAACCAAAAATTTATGTCAGAGATTTAAGTAAATCCAATTTTAATAATTTGGCTCAAGTTATATTCCAAAATAATTTAGATCTAGGTATATTAACAAAGTTCACTGTGGAAGATAAATATAATTTTCTGACAAAAGAATTACTGTATCTTTATAACAAATATATACCGATAAGAACTTTGAATAAGATAATAAGGAAAACATACCCCAAACGGATTAATGAACTACACAAAGAAAAACTTAGATTATTCAGAGTACTTAAAGAAAGAAAACATGATCAAAACTTAAGCCTTGAGTATAAAATCGTTTCAAGAAACCTGAAAAAACAACTAAAAATTCACCATAACACTAAGGAAGAAAAAATAATTAATAAAGGTGGAAATTCGATACATAAGTTTATTAGAAACAGACTTACCCAAGATAATAACATACCCTGTCTAATTGATAAGGAAAATAAATTTTACTTCAGTAATGAAGAAAAATGTAATATTTTGGGCAAAGAATTTCAAAAAAACTTCCAAAATAAAAATATTAACATATCAAATTGTAACAGAAATATAAGTTCAAAAACAAAATTTTCAGACATAGAGTTAAATACTAACATTGTGTGGGACGTCCTTAGATCACTTCCTGGCCGCAATTCAACTTCTCCGGATAATATTCCCTATATACTACTAAAATATTGCGCCGACCCACTTGCAAAATTAGTCACAGATATCTTTAGATGTATTATTGATAATGGACAAATTCCATCAATTTGGAAATCCTCGCTTATTATACCATTATATAAAAAGGGAGAAAAATCAGATCCAAAAAATTATCGTCCAATATCGCTAACATGCACATTATGTAGAATTTTTGAAAGAATTATTGCACAACAATTAACAAAATTCTTAGAAGATAATAAGTTCTTTAATAAAAATCAATTTGGATTTCTTAAATCAAGATCCACAACCACACAGTTGTTATCTACCATGGATGATTTTTATAACGCAATACAAGATGGATATAACATAGATATTATTTATATCGACTTTGCTAAGGCTTTTGACACTGTACCAATAAATATTCTTTTAGATAAATTAGAAAAGGCAGGCATAACCGGAAAAGTTTATGCATTTCTTAAAAACTTCATAACAGATAGGACTTTTAAGATTAAGATTGGTAACCAACTATCTCACAATTATGAAACATTTTCGGGCGTACCTCAAGGAAGTGTCTTAGGACCACTTTTATTCCTTATTTTTATAAATGATCTTCCTAATGAAATCCCTGAATATGTTGGAGTAAAACTATACGCAGACGATGTAAAACTATATATAGCTCATAAAAACGGCATAGAAAGAGAACAACTCAATAATGTTTTAAGAATACTTGAAAAATGGACAGAATTAAATGGTTTAGAAATATCCCCTAGCAAATGCTTTGCTTTATATCTAGGTAAAAATAACATGAAAAGAGAATATACCATACATGGATTAAAAGTACAAGAAACAGAATGTATTCGTGATCTTGGAATATTAATTGATTCAAAAATATCATTTAACAATCATATAAATATGATCATAAAAAACGCATATTTAAAAAGCTCCCAAATAATAAGAATCATTAAATCTAGAAATTTAAATCTCCTCGTTAATATATATAAGACATATATAAGACCCCAACTAGAATACGCAACTGAAGTATGGAATCCACAGATGAAATATCAAATAGAGAAAATTGAAAAAATCCAAAAACTATTCACTAAAAATATTTACAAAAAATGTGGTTTAATCAAGGTCCCATATGAAGAAAGATTAAATACTTGTAAACTCGAAAAGTTATTAGATAGAAGAAAGGTTGCCGATCTGTCCACCGCCTTTAAAATTATAAAAGGTTTTACATCCCTTAATTCACAAAAATATTTTAATTTATCAAATAGATCCTTTCGCAGGCCTCTACTTCTTAGGACAAAAAAATATACAAATAAAACAAAAAATAATTTCTTTCACAGAGTGGTAAATAACTGGAATAAACTTCCAACAGAGCCATTTAAAATAAATGATCCGAAAAAATTTAGAAGTCTCATTAAACAGTATTCTATAAAATACTAAGGACATTAAACCCTAGCGTGCGTGGTTTTCGAGTGTTTGTTTACTATTTATATATATATTTTTTTTTTCATGTTTTTTTTTGTTGTTGCTTTACATGTTGCTTCACATATTTTTTACTTTGTATATATTTTTTTTACGCACCACTTTAATGTATTTTAAAATACCTGTGGTTTGCTGATAAATAAATAAATAAATAAATAAATAAATAAAATAAAAAATAGTTATTGACAATTGCAAAGGATCTAGAAGTCCTTTTAAAAAAATTTAAAAATATTTAGAGGGAAAAAATAGAAAAAATTAAAAACTTCAAAAACCCTCAAATGAAAATCAGAAAATTAAACAAAACGTCTTGAAATTTCATCTTGAAAAATACACCCGACTGAAAAATAGAAAAAGATAAGAATCCAAACCTTGACTGTATCCAAAGGGTAAAGACTTAAATCAACTGCTAAACCAGCAGCAGCACCAGCTAATAACCATCGAAATTGATTGACTAAAGTAAATTGATTTTCCTTGACATTTTCGTCCATATAAGCACTTTTAAAACTCATGAAAAAATTTTGATTAATTAAAAATAAAAAAAAGATAAAAACAGATAAAATTTCAGAATTAACTGATAAAAAATTTCGAAAAAAAAATTCAAAAAATTTTTTTTTAATTTTAATTTTTTTAATAACAATGTTGTTCATTTATTGCATATTTACAATCAAAAAAATTTAATTCAGTAATTTTCCAACGTCCAAAATTTGCAGGTGTTTGACCGCCCAAATGCCTAGCTAACGATATATTGCAAATTAACAAATTTTCTGGTTTTTTCAACAATTTTGAAATTGAACGAGTTGTTGGACGCCATAAATTAATATTTTCTTCTTCATCTTCTTTGAATTTTAGGTCTTCCAAATTTTGCTGTTTTTCTATAGTTTTGTCAATAAAAAATACAAACATGCTGTTATATGTTAAATCCTCCCGTTTGGATGAAAGAACTTTAAAAATAAATTTTTGTAATATTTTTTAATATTTTGATTTAATAAAAAAATCTTTTTGAATGTCTAAAAATATTTTTGTTGCTAAAGATAAATTTAGAAATAAAAATAAAAAAATTTAAAACGTTTCCTTCACGGTAGGAATCGAACCCACGCCCAAAATTCGAACCCTATGCCCAAAATTAGTTAAAGTTTAAGACAAAACCACTACACCAAAAAGACGTTAAAATTGACATTAAAAGATTTTTTTAGTGTAGAAACGAATTTAACAACAAATATTGAATTATTTACTGAGCCTCCCCTAAACAAAGGATTCGAACCTGACCAAAAATAATTCAACGACTAGAACCTTAACCACTACACCAAAACGCCTCTTAAACAAAATTAAAATAAATTGGGTTAAAATTTAAAAAATAAAAAAATAAAATAAATTCTTACATGCTCTAACAATACTATCACAAGAAAAAAAGGAAGAATAAATAAATCCACAAACAATTTGGTTTTGTGTAAAATTAAGATTTTGATAAAGGTCTTCTTCTTTAATTTGAGGTAATCTATTTATTAAATAATTTGTCAAATTTTTTGTTGAAATTTCTTGAAATTTGTCCCATTTGTGTTCTCTTAAATTTAACGCTGCCAGTCTTGTTGCCTTAAAAAATAAAGTTGAAATAGTCTCGTTTATCCACCAGTCTTTTTCTTCTTTTTTTTTTAAAATTAGATAACAACTGTTCCACAACGGTCCCACACCTCCTTGGTTCGAAAACTGATATAACTAGCTTCACAACAGTTTTGGTTAAGTGGGTTAACTCTTACAAAGGAGTTTACCCACTTAACCAACTCCTGTGCCCCATGGTGCCTGGGGTATCCGTAGGATTTCGGGATGAAATTTGCTAGACACTAAAGAGGGCATGATTTAACTGTCTACCAAGTTTCATCCCGTAGCCCCACGGACACTCCAGACACTCTCCTTTGTAAGTTTATAAAATTAATAGGTTAAGGGTTCGAAGCATAGCAATGAAAATATTTTTTTCGAAACATGAGTTTATTTACAAATAGAAGGAAAAAAGAGGAAAGAATAAACGAGACTATCCCCAAAAAATTTAAAAAAAAATTAAATAAAAAACAAACCATAATAGCTCCATTAAAAAACTTTTCTCTTGTAAAATTTTTCTCAAAAACTTGCTTGTAGAACAAACGGGAAGAGGGACTATAAACTAACCGACGCATAATTCCAACAGGAGGCATAATTATTGTTGGAGATTTGAAAAGGTAGAAATAAGAAGGTTGACTTGAAGTTTTTAAGGCTAAATTTGCGGCCATTTAAGAGTTGAAAAATCTGCAAGAAAAAAAATTTTTTCGAGAAAAATAAAATTAAAATAAACCTTGGAAGAATGAGCAAAATTTAGAGGTTTAAAAAAATTATATTAAAAATTAATTTGGAGTCCTAAAACATAAAAAATTCAAAAAAAATTTCTTAATTTTTACAAGAGAACATACCAAACTGTGACCAAATCTTTTTTGAGGGTCAGCCAAAAATTGGCAACAATAATAATAAATCGACCTACCTAATGTCGAATTTTTCAACGCAAAATTTTTGGTCATAGTTCGGGACGTTTCCTTATTATATAACAAGTATATAAATTTAAATTAAAAATTTATGAAATTCACAAAAATCGCCAAGCCAAATTTTTATTTTTTATTTATTAAAAAATAATTATTGTAATGCTCCATAAATTTAGGTACAATTTTCACACACACAAAAAAAATAATAAATTTTGGAAAAAAAAATCCCAAAAAATAACATAAAAAAACCTTTCAATACATTTTACATAAAATAGGTAATGGGAAAAGTCGTACACCTCCCGTGCTTTGCATTACTCCTTCATCTCCTTCAACAGAAATCATTGTTCCTTCAGTTCCTTTATGGTTTCCGTAAATTACTCTTGCCTAAAAATTTTATTTAAATTTATTTTAAGAAAGTTTAAAAAGAAACCGTGTCTCCTTCAGCAGGTTTAACAGGAAGTAAAAACTCAAAGCCGATAGCGTGGTCATCATCGTTTAATCCAGCAAAGTAACAAAGACAGTGGTCATTCTAAAATTAAAAAAAATTTGAAAATAAGGTGGTGAAGTCCAATAAGACATAATCTTATGTTAGCTCCATCAGAAATCCCCATACAACAGAATTCCTCTACACAACACACAAATTTTGGCTCTTATCTAGTTTATGAGTGAAATAACAAGTTTATGAGTCCAATGAAGTCTAAAAAAACCCAAACAAAATTCTATGAGCCCAATTTGGGTTCAAAAGTGCTTGTTGGACTCATAAAATTTTATTGACTCGAGAGCCGGATTTCCGATAACCTTAAACAAACATCAAAAACATCATCTTATTCATAAAAGAATAAAAAAAACTATAGCCTATAAACACACCCTCACTACAAAAATAGTCAAAACTAACCTTTACTGTTCTAATAGCTCCTTCAAGTCCAAAGAAACTTTCATCAGAAAATGTCCTCCTAACATTTACACACATTTCAACACCACACCAAGAACCACTCTTTAATTCGTGATCAGCTTAAATATAAAAAAATAATTCAAACAATATTTAAAAAACTAACGAATTTCTTGAGGTCCGGCGGGAGATGCTCCAACTGGCGTTCTTGAAGGGTGTGGAGACGCTAGAAAATTTTTTTTATTTTTAAAAACTTACAAAGGAGAGGCTTTTGGGTATCCGTGGACTTTGGGATGAAATTTGATAGACACTAAGGTAGGGTATGATTTACCTGTCTACCAAATTTCATCCCGAATTTCCCACGGACACCCAAACGCCCCTCCTTTGTTAGAGAAAATTTATTACAAGTCTGTGAAGAAGCATATTCATTGAACGTATCATTCCGAGGAGTCATTCCTAAAAAATTGTTCAATTAAAAAAATTATTAATTAACCCATTGGTGTGTTAGCCCCAAAACGATTCCCTCCGCCTGAAGAACCAGCAGGTGTTGCAGCTCCACCAAATCCGCCCGTACCAAATCCACTTGTGCCAAATTCGTCATCATCAAAGTGGGCTGAAGAATGTGCAGGAGTGTTTGAAACCGTTGGATCCCAAGAAGCACTAGATTGACGAGGTGTTCGGCTACCATCGTAAGCTGGTGTAGATGATCCATAATGAGGAGTTCGGGAACCATCTAGAAATAATATTTTTTAAAGCAAATTTTATATAAAAAAATGCAAAAATAACTATGAATTTTTCTAGATAGAAGTCAACTCCCCTTACAACAAATCAATCCCTTACAACAAATCAATTTTTTTAAATAAATACAAAAAATCCATACAAGAATCATGCATTGGTGTAGCTGCTCCACCATACATTGGAGTTTGGGCTCCTCCATACATTGGAGTTCTGCCAAAAGCGCCAGCAGCTCCAGGAGTCGCAGCTCCTCCAACATCCATAACACCACTTGGCACATCCCCACCAACTTCCATAACTTTGTCAATATTGAAATTTACGGTCTTAAAGGTTCAGAATTAGGTAAAAAATATAAAAATTAAAGAAAAACCTTTGGCATTGTGTGCAGCTCTACTTTTACTGTTGAATCAGTAGCATCTTTTACTATACCAATATATCCTTTCATTGGCCCTGAACGAACTCGAACTGTTTTACCAATAATTTGCATATTTCTGCGGACAGTTTGTCGACCAGCTCCGGTGAAAATGGATCCGGTTGCAACACTTCCTCCGCTATGACTATTTGCTTAAAAATTAAAAAAGCTTTTAAGAGTTTAAGTCAGGGATCTCACGACCGGTTAACCGAACCAAAAAGGGAGGATGTCATAATGGCAAAACATTGAAATGTCAAACCTCCAAAAGGCGTTGAAATGTCAAACACACAAAAAATGCCTAAAAGGCGTTGAATTTAACGTCTCTCCCTTTTAGACATTTCAACGACTTTTGGGGGTTTGACATTTCAACGTTCAACATTTCGATACAACATCATACCAAGCGGAAACCGAGTGTCAAAAAATGACGATAAGCAAAAACCGGGGTTGACCAGAAACAGAAAACCGTGTGTCGAAAATCAGGATTGAACAACCCCAACTAAAGTCCCAAAAAAACAAACCTCGATTAAACCCTCCTCCTTGATCTCCACCACGAACAGATCCACCACCAGACACACTAGTATGTCCAGGCGTAAATCCTCCACCACCTCCTCCGCCTCCACCCGCAAATGGCCTGGGACTTTCTAAAGGATGTGGACTTTTTAATAAATCAGCAGTATCCATAGCAGAAGTAGGCATAGAATCCAAAGCTTTTGCTCCTCCAATTAATTGAAGTTGTTTGGCTTTACATACAAAAATTCCTCCATTTATTGAATGTTTACGTGAATAAACAAATGCCCAGTTACGATATAAATGTTTAAGTTCCCCTTGTTTTTCTTCATCAGATTCTTTTCTTGGCTAAAAATTTTGAAAATTTTTCTTGAAAATTTTTCTGAATTGAGTATACCGCAAAAGGTCCATCAACAACTTTAACCATATCTCCAACTTGTATAGTATTTTTTTGTGAATCCAAAGCTTTCATAAAACGTGATTCACGTTTACAATCAATTGTTTGTGGATTAATTCGAACAACCTTAAAATTATGTTTTTATTTTCCTAACCCTATAAGAAAATGTGGCTGATTATTAGCGTTCAGACTAGACATGCAAGAAACTCTAGATAATTTTTTTCAAGCGAAACGGAACTGAAAAATCGTAAGAAAAATTGAAATGAAGCATTTCAAGCAGGTACGTCCTAGACTTGACACCCAAAAAATCTGAAATTAGACCAAAGAAAATTTTGAAAACTCGATCCAAAACTGTACCGATTTTTCTTAATGCCACAAATAATTAAGTAAAATATACTCACAAATAAACCCATCTTGTCAAAAAAGAACTTTTTATACCTTTCCATGCATATTCAAAACTTCAACATGTTCTCTTTCAAGTCTAACAATAACACCAACAGTTTCCTTATCAAGCATAACCAAATCCTGATATTGATATTGACCCATTCTTTCAACTCCGGTTGCTATTTCAGCACATAATTGGACATCTTTTGGCAAAATTTTCATCTAAATTTTTTGTAAATTTCTCTCAATTAACAAAAAGAAACCTCGCTCATTGTCAAATCAGAAAGCAAAATAACCATTTTATCTTCAACTCTAACAATTAAACCAGTATCCCCCTCGTAACGTCCACCAATTACTCTTACATGATCTCCAGCTTTGAAATATTTTTTTAATTCATAAGCATTTAATGTTAAAGGTTCCTAAAAAATTAAAAATAAGTACTATAAGTTTATTTTAAAGTTAGAGTTGTTGGCAAAAAGGACGTAGCAAGGGGGTAGTAGTCAGGGGTAGTTTTTCAGCCCAGTCCTACTGAATACTCGTAAATAGGCCCCTGCTAGCTAATTTTTCAGGAGACTCATACGATCTTATCAGAGACACCATGGGGCTTCTGGGCCCTGGGTCCCATTATTCTCGTCTTATATTCACCACAGGTTAACAAGTCGCCACCAACGCTAATTTCAAAAAGAATTTTTACATTCAAATCTTCATGTTCTGGAAGTATAACAACTTTGTCCCCATCAATACTTTGTATTTTTCCTCTCAAATTTGCCAATTCACCATCAGTTACTTCAACATTATCTCCAGGTGAAAAATTATGTTTTTTCTCTCGCAAATGAGTTGATTCTACTGAAAATTTTTTTTAAACAGAGATTGGAATTAAATTTAACAAAAACAAAGATGACAAGGTAACGGGAGAAAGTATTTCCCAAGAGCCTCAATTAGAATTCTTCACCCTCAATCTCTAGAAAATTCTCTTTAGGGGGGGGGGAGGTGTGGGGATGTCACGAGTCATCTAAGATATCACGGAGGCTATCCGAACCATGAAACCTTTTTTTGATTCAAAATCTGACCCGCCCTTTCATCAACCCCGTGGCTTCCCTAAATCCAACCCTTAAAAAAATTTTTTTTATTTACATTCTTTTTTCAAATCTTCCGCTGAATCTTGAAAATGCTCCAGTTCCGTAAGTGATGGTCGAACTCCATCAACTATCTTTAAAAAAATTTTTTTATTTAATCAAACTAAAATTTTAAAAATTCGCTTACTATTGAATTCATTGGAAAAGCTTTGTAAAGAAATCCACGTCTATAATGGCTGCTTTCAAAAATATAAAAATCACCATCATTGGTTACTTCTCCACCTATTGCTCTGAAAAAAAATAATTTTTTTAAGAATTTTCATTTAAATTAAAAAATACGTACTTTATTCGGTCCAAATCAAAAGGTGCTGGTAATGGTCTTCTTTTGTTTCTTAATGGACGATTTTCTTCCTGAGAAAATTAAAATGTAAATTCAGAACTTAAAAATAAATTTTTCTAGAAAACAATTTTTTTAGGGACCAGCAAAGCAGAAGTAAACAATTTTCTTGGAAATTATTGAATTTATTTTTATCTTGTTTTACTGTCCCAAGAAAAAATGAACAAGAAGTGCTGTTTCAAAAAGTGCTTTTTTTATATTTTTGGTTTGCCATTAGGTGTAATCGAGTATGCTGCCAATGATCCGAATATGGTTCAAATTTTAGTAAATCCCGCTGAATTTTAGTAAACCCCGCTGAATACAGGTTTGGGGGATTCGAAATAAGCCCACTCCCTCATCTACTGGAAACCCTACTTCTTACCGCAAAGAAGAAAAAATTACTATTATAAAAATAAACCTGATTTTTTAAAGCTCCTCTTAAACGTGTATAATCAATTCTGGGTACAAGTTTCAAATGTACTCTATTTTGTGCAACATCAACCAAATCAACTTGTGCCAAATCATCTTTATATATTCCTCTAGTAAGTCGAACATAGGAGCCTGGTTTTAATGTTGGTGTGTCTTTAACTACACGTAAAGTATCAGCCATTTCTTTTATTGGAACCATCTTAAAATTTAAAACGTTAAATTGACATTATGGAATAAGAAAAACTATCAAGATCGAAAGTAAAAAATAATATCGTTAGAAGAGCGTAGCCAGGCGAGGGAGAAGACATGGGTCGGGGATTCTATGAGCAGTGGGAGCAACCATGGGCTGCTCGTAGCCAGTCTTTCCCCTAAGGTCCCGTTGCTTCCTGGGACTAAAATATGGTTATCAGATCAAACCCTCTTGCGAATCGTACCATAAAACAATTATAAATAGGGTTGTCGGTTCCTGGAAATTCTTCGAATATCCAAATCCTAACAGAAATTTTGGATATTCGGGACCGATCCGAAAAATCATCGGTTCTTCGGTTCGTCCAGAACCGACAACCCTGATAATTATAAGCCCAGATAGAAAGGGCTATCAAACCAACCCACCCCTAACCGCAAATGAGATATGGAAAAGAATACCGTTATCTGAAACTGATTCAAAGCCGAAATTCCTTCAATAGCTTTAGCGACATGTGCCTTTTTAAAAGCTTCAATATAAATCATTCCTTTCAATCCTTCTTTTACAACAACAGATTTAATTTGGAGAGGCTCTTCCGTGTTTTGAAAGGCGAGAAATTTGCGCATTAATTGAAGACAAGTATTTTTTTCTTCTCCAAGACGGCAACGAACAATCCACAAATTTGGGTCTTTTGTGCTAGGTAAAAGTCCATTTTGAGTAATATCATCATAAGCATCTTCATCAAGTTCGCCTTGATGTGTAGCTACTTGAGCGGCATGGCGTTCTTGGAAATAACGTTCCATTTCTTCTTCTGTCATGTCTCTATAAATTTAAGGAGGAGATGTTAAGTGAAAGCGGAAATTAGTTTGCTAATTTGAAATGAGAACCCAAATTCCGTATAGGAACCAATGCTGGGTATTAGGCATTTTGTGGCTCCAGCCTTTTTCAAATATAGTTCCAGGGTTCAAATTATTGGCTCCAGCTCCGGAAGCTGGTTACAGCTCCGAATGCTGGGTCCAGAGCTTGCTCCCGTACACATACCCAGCACTAAAAAGCACCATCCTACCAGCACTAAAAGGCACCATGCTAATTTTAAATAAAAATCCGAATTCTGTATGGGATCCAATGCTGGGTACTGGGCATTTTGTAGCTACAGCCTTTTTCAAACCCTGTTCCAGGGTTCAAATACTTGGCTTCCAACTCCGGAAGCTGGGTCCGGAGCTTGCTCCCCGTAGCCATACCCAACACTGAAAGACAGCATCCAAATAATGCTAAAAATTTATAAAACGATTAAACTTACGCGTATTTATTCCGCCGCTTCTCCTTAAGTTTTTCTTGTTCTCTCAAGAAACGTTCAGCTTCAGCCCGTTCACTTGGATCAACACCAAAAAGTTCATCACCATCTCCACCATCATAGTCATCCTCGTCTTCATCATCGTCGTCCACCTCAACGTCGTCTTGAATAAAATCACGGGCTGTTGGGCGTTTCTAAAGAAATATACAAACTTAAGAATAAATTGCAATCTAAAAAAACCCTTGGTCTGCGCTGTCTTTTCTTTCTTGGTCGACGTGTTCGAAAACTTAGATCCTCATCCTCTTCAACATTTCCCTCATCCTGTTCTTCCTCATCTTCTTCGTCGGATGCAATTGCCTGAATTATAAATTAAAAAATTTGATGATAGAAAGGGCTAGTCCAGCAAGTCAATCTTACACGAAATTTGCAATTTTTAGGACAGATATTCGGGCAAGAGTAAAAATATATTTTCTGTAAGCAAAGATCAAGCTGGGCCTGTACCAATGCCTATGTTTTTCCTGTACCCAGAGTCCAGATTCAGACATTTTTTGACCTTCCTTGGTTTTTCCTGGGCCTGGGTTTCTGGACTACAGGCCTTGGATCCTGTCCAAGCCAATAAATCGGTAATTTTGAACTTCGTACCCCCCCTTTTTTTGTTTTAAAAGTATTAAAAATGGTCAGTCTTAAGATAAATATAGAACACAACGAGCTGTGTCGAACGACACCAAAATCAAAAAAATCCGACTTGATTTGACCGAGATACAGACCCCTGAAAATTAAACAACCACAGGGGTGATTTTTTTTAATTAAAAAAATTTAAGATAATTATAGCTCATTCGAAAGAGCTCTTCGAGCTGAGTCGAATGACAACAAAATCAACGTGATTAGACGAGATCTGACAAAGTTATGACATTATTTAAACCACCGGGGCCGAAGATTTATGTCATATCTTTGTCAAATCAAGTCGGATTACGTCGATTTTGGTGTCATTCGACTCAGCTCGAGGAGCTCTTTCGAATGAGCTATAATTTGCTTAAAATTTTTAATTTAAGAAAATCACCCCTGTGGTTGCTCAATTTTCAGGGGTCTGTATCTCGGTCAAATCAAGTCGGATTTTTTTTTGATTTTGGTGTCGTTCGACACAGCTCGTTGTGTTCTATATTTATCTTAAGACTGACCATTTTTAATACTTTTAAAACAAAAAAAAGAGGGGGGGGGTACGAAGTTCAAAATTACCAATAAATCAAACCCCCAGAGCCCAGGAACAGGCCCAGGCTTTTCAAAAATTTTGAACTCTTCTTCGTTCAAGATTTTTGGAAAAAGTGACCATCAACCAGGAAAAACAAAGAAAGGTCAAAAAATGCCTAGGCATGTGTTCGGCTCAAAGCCGACAAGCCCTCCCTATGACCTGTCTCATTCGCCTAATCGGAATTTGCTGGTATCCCCAAAATAAATCAAACCTTTCTCTTAAGCGATCTTTCCTTTTCAAAATTGTTGTCATCTTCTTGATCATCAATAGTATCTTGAGTTGTATCTTCTTCACCCCCAGACAAATTATCGTCAGAATTAACAGGTTCCTCATTCAAATCCGCATCAGAATGAACACTTTCATTTTCATCAGAAGACATTTTTAAATACTTGAATAAATAAGCTGAATGATTAAATTATGCACTTTAAAAATAAAAATGATAAAGATGAAAAAAAATTTGATAAGTAAACCAAATCTGAGATTTTACAAATTTTATTAGTGCTACCAAATGGCCGATTTTATTCTAGTTGGCAAAAAGTCGTTTTGACTAAGTGACTATCAACAAATTTAGACATTATGTGCATAAAATTAAAAAAAAGTTACATTTTGCCAATTATATACTAACTTTTTTTATTATTTAAACTCGAAAATCCAGACATTTTTGGTCATTTGTCCTTAATCATTTCCTTGCAATTTAATCATTTCCTTATCATTTTTTAACAATTTTTAGGGGCACTTGTTGGTTATCCCAAACCAGTTTTTGCGGACTCATTTTTTGAGGACTCATTTTTGCACAGAATGGTCAAAGGTTCTTCCTAGATTTTCTCAATTTTCCCTGTGAGAGATAAAATCGAGCAAGGAAGAACCCTTGACTATTCAATGCAAAAATTAGTCCGCAAAAACTACTTTGTGATAACCAATAAGTACCTTTTTAAGATTAACTGTACAAATATGGAGAATTGTAACTACTTAACCAACTTCAAAAAATATTGTCTCGATCAACTTAACTACATTTACGCGGCCTGGAACGCTTTAGTTTCATATTCAAATAAATTAGAGGAAGAAAACAAAGCTTTGAAAGAAGAAAATAACACTTTAAAAGAAGAAAGGGATTTGGCGGACAAAAAACTTGAAGAAATGATTCAAGTGTTCAACACATTTATTAATCAAGACGTCAAGCAGCGCAACATTTTTGAAGAAATTGAAAGTCCAGAAAATGTAAGGAGGTTTTTTAGACTTAGGGGAAGAGGGAGGGGACTAACATAAGGAATTTGAGTACTTCGCATTGTGCCTCCAAATGTCCGCAAAAGTTTGTCTGCAAATTGTTATCGACCCTTTCCCCTCTCTTTTTTCCTATCAAGGATTAAAAAATTTTTTGAAGACTAATAAAGGTCAGGCAAACAAAAATGTCGGACACGTAGATTTCAACGTTTCCAGTTGCGGACAAACATTTGCGGACAAAAAATTGGCGGACAAACATTTTGCGGACAGAAATTGCGAACAAAAATTTGCGGACGTTATAACGCGTTAGTACAGAAATTTTTTCTAGTCAAACTTTTGGTACTACTGAAGATTGTGGGGCTCTTTCTGCGGACTTTTTTTGCGGACTTTTCCTCCCTTTCTTTTGAATGTTTTACTTGTAGCAACTAACTGTCAACGCCCCTCCCCTATTATTTTTCTTACATAAGATTGTACATAAAGGTCAGATTTTCTTCTTCCTCTCCTTCTTTTATTTGCCCTGTAGCAAATTCAAACGAGACATTGATAAAGAGAAGATTAGTTTTTATAGTCATACACTTATTTTTTTGCCTTCGAAAACAATTTAAACAAAAAAAAGCAGTAAATAAAATTGATTTGGTGTATAACATTATGAATTTCTGTGTAAAAACATTACATTCTTATGTATATTTAAAAATATTGAACAACTGAAAAAATAAATTGAACTCAATATTGAACAACTCAATTAAAAATATTGAACAACAATTAATTTTAATCTTCTCTTTATCAACAATGTCTTGTTTGAATATGCCAAGCTCAAATAGAGGAAAGAGAGGAAGAAGGAAATCTGACCATTTTATACAATCTTAGGTAATAAAAATAAGCGGGGGGGGGGGGGGCAAATTTTGAAAGTACCCGCATTTCTGTTCCACAATCACATGTTCTTTTTATTTCCGAGATCAGTGATCCATTGTTGAAATTCATCGAGTAATTGAAATCGTTATAATGTTTAAATCAATGGTAAACACATTTTTCAAACTGACATAAAAATTAATCCTTTGACAGTTAGTTGCTACAAGCAAAACTTGCTGCAAGCAAAACAACCAAAACTTTAAAAAATACATTCAAAAGAAAGGGAGGAAAAGTCCGCAAAAAAAGTCCGCAGAAAGAGCCCCACAATCTTCAGTAGTACCAAACTTTTTTTCAGATATCAGCAAACACTTCAACTTCAATTGCAACCGAGTTCCAAAACAACTACAACAATGTTGCTGGTCCTTCAGATCATTTCGAGCTAGCTACATTACAATCACTCAATTTCAAGCAATTTCAAGTTTTATTTCCAGTTTCTCCGTTGCCTCCACGAATTGAAGAAAAAACTATTTGGGATGAGGATGACGACGAGGAGGAAAATGAAGAAAATTTGGAAGAGGAGGAAAATTTGGAGGAAGAAAACGAAGACGATTGTTGGTAATTTATTTTAAAAAATATTCAAAGAACTCCTGGTGATAATTTAAAAAATAATTTTTTTAAGAGATTTATTCCAAAAAATACCTTTTTTAATTATTCTAGTTTTAACCCTTTTTTCGTATACCTCAATTGTGATCTTTGTGTCTTTATATTTTTGTTTTTTGAATTAGTAAAAATAATAAAGGTTAGAAATCATGGAGGGATCTCGCAAAATTTTTTTAAAGATTTTAGGGGAACAAAATTGTAAAAATATTTTTACAGGGTGAAAATTTGCATTTTAAAAAAATGTTCACAATATTCCAAATTAAAAAATAATACAAAAAAACTTGTTGGCTTATTCAGTATGATAGAATAAACTTAAAATGAGGATCTCAAATTTTTTATTTATTTGATCATTCACCGTTTTTTCAATTTATCACAATTCCATTCCTTGAGTTTCATCTGAAAAAAATGAAATTTTTATCAAAGTTTAATAGATTCTGTTAACACAAGGCCAATCTCCCATAATCAGGGGTGTCCGCAAGTGAAAAAAATTTCCGCAGCCCAATCCGCAAGCCAAAAAAACCCGCAATTTACGCAATCTGCAGTCAGTGTAATTGCGGTCACCAGGCCCGTAGCCAGGGGGGTGAGGGGGGGGGGGAAATTCCCCCCCCCCCCCCCGAAATGGGAAAAAGGAAAAAATTTGGGGAAGGGCTGGGGCAAAAAAAGTGAATTTTTTTGGCCTACGGCCTCTGAAATTTAAAAAATTTTCGCCTGCGGCGCTAAAAATCAAATTTTTGGCGCCTGCGGCGCCGAAAAAGTGAATTTTTTTGGCCTACGGCCTTCTAAAATTCTCAAAATTTTCGCCTGCGGCGCCGAAAATAAAAATTTTTGGCGCCTTCGGCGCCAAAAATTTGGCGCAAAAAATTTTTCCCCCCCTTGGCCCCCCCCCCGAAAAAAAATCATGGCTACGGGCCTGGCGGTCACCCTATCTATAATCCTTATAAGAAGAGTTTGCGAGGTGTCCGAGCTAAAAACGGTCGAGACCGGGCTCATTCGAAGAGAATGTGCCCTTTCTAGCAAGGATTTTTTTTTGCTTCATTCTCACCAGTATAGGAATTAACAATTAATTCCTACACTGGTGAGAATGAAGCAAAAAATCCTTACTAGAAAGGGCACATGCCACCTTCTCCTCCTTTAAAATTTCCCCAAAAACAAAATAAAAAAACCTTCATAAAAATCAGAAATTGTAGAGTCTGACTCATCATTATCATCGCATTCAGTGTCATCCATTCCACCACTGGCAGTTCGTCTATCTAATGCTTCCAAAACTTCTTCTGTTGCATATTTGCTTTAAAAACGATTTTAGAAATAATAAAAAAAAGAATTTTTACCGAACATATTCCCCACATTTTATTTTAAATTCTTCAGGTTTGTGTAAATATAACGACGCTGCTTCTCCATTTAATGGGTCAGTTGGGTTTGGATAAGTGAGTAATTGAGGTAAAAAAGATTCAAAAATATTGGATAAATCTGTAAATTAAACAAGAAAATTTTTTTGAAATTCAGTTGAAAGACAAGGGCCAGCTTAAATTTCGTTTTATTTTTTCATTGTTTCGATCGAAGAAAAATAGAAAAATTTTATCCGGCCTCGGTCTAGCGAGCTCAATGAAGGTTTATGAGGCCCAAGAAAAATTAAGCAAAAGATGGATTCATAAACTAAATCAGAGTCAAAATCCCCACAGTCAAAAATATTTTTAAATAATTAAAAGAAACCATATAAAGCTGTCCAACTCTGATTTATCACATCCAAACAAACAGTACCAGAAGCTTCATCAATATTTGGGTGATAAATTTTATTCATAAAACCAATCGAAGGAGACTTTAAAAAATTTGGTAATAGTGTCGTTTAACCCCTTTATTCCTCCCCTCTAGTTCCTTTAATTTACCCAAGTCAAAATTAAAAAGAAAGACCGAGAACTTGTACTTCGAAGGGCAAGGAGCTCTGAATTAGGGCAAGGAGCTCCGAATTAGAATTTGAAGTACGTGGTGTACAGAACAATTATGCATGATGTAAAGGATATGGGTCGACGAAGGATTCAAGCCTTTCCATTCTCTTATAAGCAAAATCGGGCCCTTTCTAGAAAGAAAAAAAGGGGGTAAACAACACTATCAGCAAAAAAATCAAAAATTAAAAAGGAACCTTGAACGGATATTTTTCTGGTAAATCGACTCTAACACGCCAAACACCTCCTTCATATGCTGCTAAAAATAAAAAAAAAATATTTTTTTAATTAGTTCAAATCCAACTTCCTTTAGGCCCATAAAATTTAACCTTAAGTTAAAATAAAATTATTTTTTAATTAAAAAATAAATACCAAAAATTCATTTAAGCCACCCGTAATAATTACTTCATGATTTGCTTCAATTCTAAAATTGAAAAAAAAATTTAAAAAAATTTTTGGAAGGGAAAACTAACAATTTAATAACATCAGTGTCCATTCTCCTTTTACCTAAAAATTTTTAAAAAATTAGAAAAAAATTTTCTGTCAATTCTAAGGCTTACCAGCACTTGGAGACGACATAATTAATTGAACAGAAGAAATAAAACAAAAATAAGGTTAAGTTGAAATCAGAAAAAGCTCTTTAAAAAGAATTAAAAATTTTAAAAAGTTAAGAGAAAAATACAAAAAAATACAAATAAAATTCTGGTTTTAAAAGAAGAAATAATTCATGTGTTTTCCGGAAAAAGAAAAACACAAATAAAAAAGAAATTCTGATTTTTAGAGTAAACACAAATCAGAAAATACAAAATATTTAGTTAAACATAAATTCTGATTTATTTTCCGGAAAATACAAATAAATTCAGAAAAATACAAATAAAATTCTGATTTTAAAAGAAACAATTTTTCATGTGTTTTCCGGAAAATACAAATAATAAATAGAAACTCTGATTTTTCCGAAAACACAAATTCTGATTTAATTTCCGGAAAATACAATATTCGGAAAAACACAAATAAATTCTGATTTTAAAAGAAACAATTTTTCTTGTGTTTTCCAGAAAATACAAATAATGAATTCAGAAAAATACACATAAAATTCTGATTTATTTTCCGGAAAACACAAATAATAAATTCAAAAAATACAAATAATTCTGATTTTAAAAATAAATTTTTTCCTTGTGTTTTCCGGAAAATACAAAAAGAAAACTGGTAAATAAAAGAAGTTCTGATTTTTCCGGAAACACAAATTCTGTTTTATTTTCCGGAAGAGAAATAGTACACTTAATAAATGCACGAGAGAAAAACGTGATTTTAAATCCGGAAATATTGATTTTCTGAAAAGTTAATTTCTCTAACCTAAACTCTTTTTCTCTACCGGTCTCTCTTCTTTTTATACACTATTTTCAATTTTATTTTAAATAAAATTTCTTTTTTTCTCAAACCGTCTCTTATTAATGCGCACTATTTTCAGATATTTTAATCATTAATAATTTTCAAGAACAATAGAGTCTAAACATTTTCTGATAATTTTAATGCCAATTTTCTGATTTAATTATTTTAGTTTTTCGAATGCAACATTGCAATAGTAATGGATCTGATGATGAAGACGATCAAAAATGTCTGGCAACTACAACTCCATTTGATGGACAAGTATTGATATTGAGTGAATCTGGCAAACCGATTTTCTACAGGTTTGTTTTTGTTTTTATTTACCCTTTTTTAATAGTTTATGACTGTAAATTAAGGATCGGCCTGGACCAGGACCTATGCTTGGGTTTTTCCTGTACCAAGAGTCCAGGCCCAGGCATTTTTTGACTAACTTTGTTTTTCCTGGGCCTGGGTTTGCACGGACTACATCACAGAGGTCAATGAATCAAACCCAGAAACAGGCCCAGGCTTTTTAAAAATACTGATCTCTCCGTGAACGTGTTGAAGAATTTGTTAATTTTGAAGCTTATGTGACTATCCTTTTTTTTATTTTCCTCCAATCTCCCATTTTTCCTTACTCAAAAGCCCTTCAAATTTGCCTATATTTTATTGATTGATTACATACCATAGGGTGGAAGGTCTGTGGAACGAAACAGTCTGACCATTTTGCAACCTTTTAAGAGAATGGGAGTTGAGATTTCTTCTGACCATTATGCAACCTTTTGGTGAAAGCAAAAATGGGAGTCAAAAAATTAAAAAAGGAGAGACATTAGCTTCAAAATTACTTAAAATTTAAATTTAAAATTTTCATTTTATTTTTCAGCAAAGGAGACGAAGATGAAATTTGTTCCTTTTTTGGAGTTATCTCAATTATTGTACAACGATACCATTCTTTGGGGAATGAAGACGGGGTATATTTTTTTTAATTTAAATTTGAAAAAATTTTTTCTTTAAGAGAGATTCACTTTTAAGTATTCAAAGAAGAGATTTATTTTTCCAATTTCTTTATAGAAGTCCTTTGATCCTTTGTTTGGTTTCTAAACAACCTTGTAATTTACATATTCAATTGGATACAATTTATAATCAGGTTTCTTGTGATTTAAGGAAAAGAATTTTGCTAGGGAATTGGGGCCCTTTTTTAAGGGAACGGGATTCAACAACCGACTGTCACCTTTTTAATGAGTTATTTCTTGATGGAGAATGGCGTGCCACTATAAAACACCTTTTAGCTGAAGGGCAGGGGTCGGTCGGAAATGACGAGGGTGTTGGAAATCGGAACTGGCTCAAAAGTCGGAAATCGGAAATCAGCTTAAATTTTCGGAAATTGGAAGGAAAAACGTCGGAATTCCGACCGACACCTGCTGAGGGGACAGCCCTGCTGCCTCTATTTTTTAGCCTCCCATTGGCTCCCATTTTTGAGTACCTTTTAAGTTCATTTGGTTGAAAAATTCGCAGGATGGGTGTCAGAGTAGATCCATTGTGGGATTACAGGCTTTTAGCCAGGTTGGGAAGGGAGAGGGTTTTTTCTATATTTTTTGGTTTGTCGAAAGGTCCCCTCTTTTCTTTGCAAATTTTATTTTAATTTTTAAAGATAATCTCAATGTTCTCAAGAAAAATGTTAAGAGAATACTATCAAAAACGTGGTTCTAATTTTGATATTCGAAGCCTTTTTGGTATTTTTTTATATTGTTTTATTAAAATATTTTTTTATTTTTTATATGGAATTGACAAACGAGTAGAAGCATGTAAGAAAGGATTTAATGAAGATCCAGCAATTCTCTATGGTTTATTTTTAAATTTCATTTAAAAAATATACAAAGAAATTTTTTAAAAATTAAGTTTTTTCATTTGATAGGGCTCGAACCCCACACCCTTCTGGCTTTACTAACTGACTTACACGAGAGCTACATATGACTAACAGACATGAACCTGGGACTTTAGAGGGCCATATCTTGGCCAGATCAAAAAAGGGCAAAAACGGCACAAAATCCTTGCTAGAAAGGGCAATCGAATGAGCTCGGTCTCGACCGTTTTCAGGTCAGACACCTCGCAACCTTTCCTTGTGAACCTACCCATCTTTGATAAAATTCTCGTTAACGTTAGGGTTTGTTAAGTTGGGTAACATGTATTGTTGTGGTCGAAGATTTTCGGTTTAGATATCGATTCCGGATCACAATATCCAAAGATCACCAAGTAATCACCAATCCTATTGTTGAGGGTTCCCAGCAGGGTAAAATTTTTTAAATTAATCTTTTTTAAAGGTTTCCGAATTCTTCCACTTTTACCAACTGACAGAGATTTTCTCGTACAAACAATGGGAAATATAATAAATGAATTATGTCCAAATGTATATTCTTTAAATTTAAAAACAAAAAAATTTTTTGAATTTTTTAACAGCAAAGGTTGTAGCTTTTGGACTTTTAATTGCTCATCGTCAACTGGTAGCACTTGTAAGATTTAAAAGGCTAAATTTGGATGCTCCAGATTTTAACACTATTGTGGTTTGGAATTTTTTTAATTAATTTAAGGCCCAAAAATTTTTGAAAATTTTAATAAGATTTATTTTCGAAAATGGGACAAAATGTCTCAAACTATGTGTGCCCCCAAAAACTTGCATTTTTCGGTTTTGCCAAAATTCAATTTTTATCATTTTAATTTTTTAGAATTTAATCGAATGTCACAAAGCAAATATGATACACAGTGATCATCAATTCCCTTTTTGTCTTCCAAAATTTGATCCAAAGTATAATTTAATTTATTTTAACTTTAAAAAGTCAAAAAAAATTTGACGGTGGTGGTATGTGTGCAAAGTTTGGTTCAAGTTTGGGTTCCAAGCCATTTCATGTTCGGGCCTTACGCCCACTGGGTCTGGGAAAAAAAATTTCTGGGGGAAAAAGTTCCAAGACCCAGTGGGCGCAGGTACCAATAAACCATACCCCAACTTTCCTCCTCCTTATCCTGTCCCTCGAAATTTTCTGAAAGTTAAAGCCAATTTTTTAAAAAGTTTCAAAAAAAAAACGAGTTTAACTCAAAATTTCGAGAAATAGGGTAAGGAATGGTCCAAGACCCAGTGGGCGCAGGTACCAATAAACCATACCCCAACTTTGCAATACCGATAAAAATTTAATTTTTTGTTGATTGTACTCATAAACTAGACTAGCGCCAAAATTATTTTTCTCTTTTTCCAGTCAATTCCTTTATGCCTACATTTCATACCTCTGGGAAGGCACAGGTCCATGTCTAGTTTTGCTTTCAATTACAAATTCTGATTATGAAAAATTAACTCAAATACGGCCAAAACTTGAAGAGAACATTTCTTCTTATAAATATAATACAAGACTTGTATCTGCACTTTCTAATCCTGAAGGTTTTTGTTTACAAGAGGTTTTTGTTTTTAATTTTAAAGAATTTTTGGAAAATATTTTTTTCAAAGAATATCAAATGGGCAGAACAATTGTGGCATTTTATCTATAAAAATACTTCAAATACTCAGGTTTGTTTGATTTTGGTAAATTAGTTAAGGTTCAAAACCCTTTGGATACCCATAAAATTTATAAATTATCTCATGTGATCGTCACTGATCTCAGGGGGAAGGGTCCTCTTATTTAAGAATTAACTCTTGGCCTTTAAAGTGATAAGTAGGGTTGTTCCCCGTTCCAAAAGTCGGGGAATTTGAGAGATTTTCTGAAGTCCCCCCTCTCCGTGACAAAAGAAAAAATTTAATCTGTCCCCCACCCCGTGGCGATGCCTCCCCGAAAATTGTTCCCTGTGCCCCCCTCAACCCCCTCCCCCCGTCGTCGGGGAACAACCCTAGTGATAAGCCTAACTCTCTGAAAAATTAAAGTATAACTAGGAAATTTGTGGCTCATCTTTCTCTCAAAAGAGGTCCTCTCTCTCCCTCTCTCCTTAAAATTAACCTTTAGCCAGGATGTGACAAGATCCGACCCTATCCCAAAATAAGGGCGGAATCGTTTTTTTTCATTAAATGTAAGGAAAGGAAAAATTAAAAAAATGGAAAGGAAAAGGGGGACGGATGGACACGGACAAATAAAACACGGACGAAGACGGACAGACAAAACACTGACTGTGAGTGTGTTTTGTCCGTCCGAGTCCGTCCGTGTTTTATTTGTCCGTGTTTTTTCCTTTCCATTTTTCTTTTCCTTACATTCAATGAAAAAACGATTCCGCCCTTATTTTGGGATAGGGCCCAAGATCCGAACTCCCAGAAAACCAAAATTTCTAAGAAAGCTTTGTCTGCAAAAATTTTTTTGTCCGCAAATTTATACTTTTTCTCTTTTAAGGACCCAACACAAGTTTGTTGTTCAACACCCAAAAAACCATTTATTTCATATCAAGAATTAATATTATTATATAATGGTTATACTAAATTGGCTGATTTATTGAGAAAAAGTGGTGGGGGAATAAAAATGTTATTTCAAATGTTGGAACGTTATGTACTTTTTGCTTGGATTACTACTAGTTTTGAACTTTATTGTGGGTTTTTAGTTGATATTTTTGGGATTGGTTATGATTCTTTGGGAAAATTTCGCGAAATTTCGGAAAAAGTTTCTTGCGAAATTTCGAGTTTTTGCGAAATTTCGGAATTTTTTTTAACGAAATTTTGAAAATTTTTTTTCTACACCTAAAGAATTTTTTTAGGTACATTTTCTCCATTTACCAACCAAAAGAAAGCAATGGAAATAGCAGAAAGATTACTTCATGTTTTACGAAAAGAAGAAAAACGAGTACTTTTTAGTTGTAGTCCTGCTATTTTAGTGGGATAATTTTGTATATAATTTTTTTTAATATTTTTTTGCTTAGGGGCAATTAAATAAATTTGGGGAGAGAGATTAGGTTAGCTTTTTTGAAAGGTGGATGGAAAAAAATCTTTTTGTAAAAAAATTTTTGGGATCAAATGTCACCCTTTCTTGCATTTTTTATTTTATTTTTGAATAAATTAGGTTTTAATCTAATAAATTTTTTATAAAAGTTATTGTCTAATAAATACTTTAAAATATTTTTTACACACATGTTAGACTTCAAATTTTTCTTGATTCCCTTGGGTCAAGTCTTGCGGACAAAGATTTTTCCAGAAAAATTTTTTCCCCTTTTATTTTACTTTTCTCATATGGATAGAATTTTCTAGACTTGTTTGGGCATTTTATAGAGACTTGTTTGCGGACTTTTTTGGAATTTTTGCGGATTTTTGAGATTTTTGCGGACTTTTTGGAATTTTTGCGGATTTTATAGACTTTTGCGGACATTTCCTTAAAAAATCAATTTTTCAAATTTTTAGCCAATTTCTAAATGACAATTTACAATTTCTATTTTTTTAATCGCAAAGGAACATGTTTAGCCTACAAAGAATGGTGCAGAGAAAAGAAATCTGGATTATCTCAAGAAGAAGAATTTAAATTAGTTCACGGGATGTTGCTTTCGTTGCGTTCTTTTACACACAAATTGGCAACCAAAACGGGGCATTTACCTTTGGTACACAGCTACAAAACTTCTTCCTACAAAATGAATTATATGGAGACTGCTACTGGGCTTAAAATGGTTTTAAATGCTGATCCGGATGCAGTGGTATTTTTTAATTTTTTTGAGGGGTTTAGGGGAAGTATTTTTTTGTGTAAGAGGGGATGTTGAGGATTTTTGTAGGTGAGCCGATGGGGAGAGGATTTTTCTTCTTGGTAGGGAGGAGAATTTTGAATGGAAGAGAGAAGGATTTTTGGGAGCGGTGAATTTCTGTGGATTGTAGAGTGAGAGTATTTTTTGGGGTGAGGGATGAGAGGGAGATTTTTAGAATAGGGAAAACCTTTATTGGTAGAGGGAAAATTGGGATTCGGAAGTTAATTGGTGATATCTAAAAAAGTGACCCAATACCAAGAAATAAACTTCCTATCACTTAAGTTTGCGGATGAGGATTTTGTCCGCAAATCTTCTGCCATGCTTTCTGATCCTGAAAATCGTGGTGTCAGAAAAGGAAAGCTCTTCTGAAGGAAATTTGTGAAGGATTTTGGAAATAGGAATTTTAGAAGATCTTGGGAGGGGAAGATACTAATTTGGAAGACGTCTAAACAAGAAGGATGACGTCTGTTAAAAAATCAATTTTTAATTTTCAAGGCTATAGCAGAATTAATGCAAGCAATATTTGCAATGTTTGTTGAAACAGTGTTAAAAAATCCATTTTTGGATACTTCAAAACAAATAGATTCTGAACTATTTCATAAAAGACTTGATGAGCTTGTAAGGTCTCATTATTGTTTTACTTAAATTATTTTTTGATTAAAATTAAAAATTTTTTATTAAAAAATTATTTTGAGGTTATTTCCTCTCAAAATAGAAAAATTGCCCTGTGGAAGGTTCGAACCCCCACCCCAAAAAATTAAATTTAACCCACTACACCAAAAAAAACTTTTTTCCTATAAAGGTGAATTAAAATTATTTTTATTAAATTAATTATGAAAATTTTATTAAAATTAAATATTAAATTATTCCTCTTCCTTTTGATAAGCTAATTTAAAAGAGCGTCTAGAAATTCCAAAAAACTGGCTTGGAGTAAGATCGTCTGATGAGGTAGTAAAACGCCACCCAATATGAGTACCACATTCACTGCATTCCATTATTGTCCATTCATACCTTTAAAAAATTTTTTATAATTTAAAAATATATTTAAAAACATTTTTGAAGTTATTTTCCCAAAAATAAAAAAAATTACCCGGTGATGGGTTCGAACCTCCAACTACTTTTCTCCATTAAATCAAGTTTAACCCACTACACCAAAGACGGAATTTTTTATTTTCAATAAAAGATATTTTCCAAAATATTTCCGGGGCTATTTCTCCTCAAAATAAAAATTGCCCGGTAAGGGGTTCGAACCCACACCGACCTTACTTCAGAAACTAAATTTAACCCACTACACCAAAAAACAATTTTCCTGAAAAAACTTTAAAAAATACCCTGAAAACCAGCAAAATTCTGGCGATGGTTCTCCTTGAAAATCAACATTTTTAATCGTTCCAACAGTAAAAAGGTCATGCACAAAACCTCCTTGATTAACAAAATGTGCAGAATTTGCATCAACAGAAAGATTTATTATATCGTTTATACTGCATTTAAAGTCGTGACAGGCTAAACAGACAATCCGAGTCATCTGAATTTTTAAAATTTTAATTAGATTCAGTTTAGTGATGGAAAAACAAAGGCACTTTCCGTTATATGCCCACAAATATTCCTCTCAAAAAATTACAAATGGTCAGGGCTAGAGATAGATCGAGTAAAGAGCCCGGGTTCCGTGTTTTCAAAAAGTAACCGGGCGAGGTTTCGGGTTTACAAAAAGTCCGGGTTTTAGGTAGGGCGTATAATTTATTTTTTAATTTTTTATTCCGGGGCATATTGGATATGTTTGGATTTTTAAACCATTAAAAATAAGAAGGATATGAACGAATAAGCATCATTAATGGGCATAAGTTCCAAGAACAAAGAAGAACCGCAAACCATGAATAAAAAATTAAAAACCCAAATTGTTCGCCCTAAAGAACGAAAAGTCATAGGACACGAAACATAAGTCTTATGTCATTTTTATAAACCTGTGAAATAATTCTCCATTCCATCCTTAACCTCCTGTCAGTTGAGTTTTCTTCCAAAAGTAACAATTTTGAATCTAAACTCATTGGGATATTTGAGGCAACCCAAAAACTGAAAATTGTCATTCCCTTAAAATTAAGAAAAATAATTTTCCATTAAATTTAGAGTGAAAAACCTGATTAATAATCAAATCAATTTGGCTTCTTTTAAACCTAAAAATGAAAAAAATGAAAGAATTTTAAAGAAAAATGGCTCTAGACTAGTTTATGAGTCCAATAAAAGGAGAAATGACTCTGGTCTAGTTTATGGGTTCAATGGAAGGAGAAATGGTTCTAGCCTAGTTTATTAGTCAATGGAAGGTTTCAAGGGCGTAGCTAGGGGGTCGATTTCAGGAGGGCTAAAATTGGGTGTGCGCCGAAATTTTGGCGTGTACTTTTGCATTCCTAACACAATTTTTTAACCATATTTATATTTTTCAGCGCCGCAGGCAAAATTTTTTTTGAATTTGGACGGTCATAGGCGAAAATGCCCGTTCAAAGGGGCGTAGTAGTGGAAGGTATTGAGAGCCCAGTAAAATCTTTTTAAACGAAAAGAAGTTCCGTGGGAACTCACAAACCGGTCGTAGACCCCTATACTTTGGATTAGAGTCCGAAAAAAATTATTTTTTTTACCAAACAGAAAGCCAATTGACCAGTCTTTTTAGAAAATTTTCCTTAAAAATTGAAATTTAATTTGTATTAAATTAATAAAAAAATTAACCGTGGAAGAATAATTGTAAATAAATGTAGTGTGAGGAGTTAATGATGCAAGGAATTTGTATCTCTATTAAAATTTTGGGGAAAATTAAATTAAAAAATAAAAATTCAAGAACTTTCTAGAAAATTTTTATTCTAAAATTCCCCCCTAAAAATAATTTTTTATCGAAAAAATTGAAAATTCGACATTATGACATATTTTTTTTTCGAATTCTTAGTCTCTAACTAAAAATAAATCAAAAAATAAAATCGGAAAACTCATGTCAGGTGGGGTTTCGGGTTCAAAATTCCCTCTATAGTTTGCCTACAAACAATCAACACCCTCCAGACCCTAAAAATTCCTCATTTTAGAAAACTTAAAAAATTTGACCCAAATGAGCTTTTTAAAAATTAAAAAATTTTTTTTAAAAACCTCATTTTCTTTTAGCCTGTTAATTGAACTTTCAGGGAATTTAATTATTTGTTTAGACAAAACTTCTTCATCCAAAACCCTCACATCTACAGGATTACATATAGTAATAGCAATATCTTCCATATAAATATCGTGTAGCATTAAAGGGGAATTTAAAGAACAGCGTTGACGTCCAATTATTTGGATTGTCATGTGGTGGTCGTCGTCGTTGACAAAAGCATTTTGGATATAAAAAATTAAGAAAAATATTAGAAAATACAAAAAACACAGAGCACACGAAAAATACAAAAATACGAAAAAAACACAAAAAAAAATACGAAAAATACATGCGAAAACACAAACACGAAAAACTCACAGAAACACAAGAACAAAAAACCCAAAAAAACGCAGTAATACAAAAACGAAAAATACACAAAAACACTAAAAATACAAAAATACAGAAACACGAAAACACGAAAAATACATCGAAAACACAAATACATGAGAAAATACTTTGCACAAAAATACGGAAAAACACACAAAAATACACTTAAAAACACAAAAATCACGGGAATACAAAATAGGATTAAAAAATAAATTCAAAAAACCTGAAAAAGAGTCCCAGCAGAATGGCAAGAAATTCTCGAAAAATCCTGAGCATTTTGAAACAACACATTTTCGTTTCTAGTAAACAAAGCAAAATAGGAACGTTGTCGAATTGGATCACTCATAAATTCAATACTTGTTCTGGCATATAATTTGAGCGGCAATTTTTGGCCTGGTAACAGACAAACTTCGCCCATTAGGAGAACTAAAAAATTTTTAAATTTGACCCAAATGAGCTTTTACCCTTTTTAAAAAAATTTTTGAAAACCAGGCCCGTAGCTAGGTGGTAGGCCCCATTGCCCTCCTGAAAAAATCCTGACTACGGCCTGTTGAAAACCTCATTTTGGAGTAATTTGTAGTTCTTTTAGTTCAGGAATTTAAAAAAATTCTCCAAAAAAAATTTTTTAGTTCGACAAAATGAGAAAAAATGTGGGGAGTGACGAAATGGTCAATTTTCTCATTTCCCCGTATTTCTCTCAAAATATTTTAAAAGTCAAACCTGGCACTTTTAATTGAGTATTAGGCTCCTCATAAAGCGATTCAAACAACAATTCTCCTTGGTGTAGATCCCCCAAATATGAATGCAAAACTGGCAGTCGACGATCAAAATTTATTGAAACTACGGGTAAATCTGAAGGAGAAGAGGGAGAAGAAGGGTTGTTGTTGTTCTCTTCAGTCATTTAAGAAAATTTAGAGGACTAAAAAAGAAAAAAAACAAAGAAGGGGATAAACAAAAGCTGCTTCAATAGGAAGGGTCCCCTTCCCTTTGCTTGCGAATAAATGGGGTGTGTTAAAGGGGAAGGTACACCCCATTTATTCGCAAGCTCAAAGGTAAAGGTTACCCCTATAAAGTTCGACAGTACGTTTGTGGGATATTCTGCGAATCGCGCGGGGTTATGTGGAACGCGTCTCGCACGAGTCAATGGTTGCTTTGTCTAGTACGCAGTAATATGGGTCTATTGTTAGCTCGCGAATAAACGGGGTGTTTGGACAATTCGCCCAAAAATGCGGGTGTATTCGCGAATAAATGTGGTGTTCTGGGAAAGGTGATTTTGAGACTCTAACGTCCCCCGTTTTTTAAAAATAAATTTTCAGACTCAACTGACCCCTAGACTTTTTCGCACTAAAGTGTGTTTTGAATATTCAAGTATACAAGCCTAATTTTAAGCGCGTCTTCCTCTTTTTTAGTAATTTTTTAAACGCTTATCTTTGTTTTTCTGAATGGTTTTGGCTGTCAATTTCACTGAAATTTAAATTGTTTTTTTTAATTTAGGCTTAGATTCATCTTAATTAATCTTTTAATTTCCTCCATTTTGCCTCTAAGTTTGTTGCAATTTTCCGTGCGCATCTCCCCTCTTCTTTTTGTTTACATCGTTTACCTTTTCTTTAAATCGATATTTAAGTGTATCTATTGTTTGGCAACTTGGAAATTAACCCAAAGGTTTGGGTTAATTTGGGTTAATCTTTCGCCTCTTTTAACAAGGAAGACGATCGATTTTAACGTCAGGAACGCTTCGGAGAAAGTTTCCTCTGGCTTTGTTCCACTCAGGAGAAGTTTGCCTCCTCTGGCTTTGTTCCACTCAGGAGAAGTTTGCCTTCTTTTGGGGGTTCACCGAAGAATAGAGATCGGCCTGGGTCTGAACCAAAGCTTGGGATTTTACTGTACCCAGAGTCTAGGCCCAGGCATTTTTCGACCTTCCTGGGTTTTTTACAGGGCTAGGGTTTTTACTGGACTGCAGACTTTGGAGTTGGCCCAAGGTCAATAAATCAAAGCTAGAGTCCAGTAAAAGGCAAAGGCTTTTCAAAAAATACCGATCTCTACCGAAGACGCGCTCCCGCCATTTCTTTTGTTTTTTACATATTTTTAACTCAAAAATTTTCAGTTCTCTAATAAAATTATTTATTAAAAATGACCACAGCACAAAAGAAATCTAAACCAATTTTGAAAGAAGTCCCAGATTTGGTTTGTGATGCAACAACAAAGCAAACTTATACAAAAGGAAAATTTCTTGGAAAAGGAGGATTTGCGCGTTGTTACGAGCTGACCAATAACAAAACAAAAATTGTTTATGCTGGAAAGGTGGTGTCCAAAACTCTTTTGATAAAGAAACATCAGCGTGACAAGGTTTGTAATTTTTTTTTTGGGGGGGGGGGGGGGGGGGGGTATTTATTCTACGGTCCTCTACGTAGCGGTGACCTTCTCTCACTAGCAAGGGCGTAAACAGAGGGGCTTCTGGGGCTATCCCTGAAAAGCGGGGACAAAAGTAGGCCTTTTCCGTGAATAATCCTTCCCCTTGAAATGGGGAATGTGAAAAAATTTTAGGAGGGAAATGATCAGAAAGGGGATTTTTACGCCTACACCTCCACAAAATTCTCAAAATTTTGGGCTGCGTCGCGATAAATAAAAATATATGTCCTTGATCACGTGGTTTCGTTATAACCTTTTTGGGATTATTCTCGAAAAAAGACCTACTTCTGTCCCCGCTGTTCGATGAGTTGTTGACACTTTCTAGTAGTGTGTTTCAATACCAATTACTTCGGGTGATTGGTCTGGTTTCGAAAATGGCATTTTTTTGTTCTATGTGTTCGGTGAATTGTCGACAACTGTTCGGGTTGAGGTCCCGCATTTTGTGAACTTTTCCTTGTCTTTGCATCCCTCTAGTACGCTTCTGACTTTCATAATGAAAGAGAGAAAGTTCCCAAAGTAGGAATCCTAACTGTACGATTGCCCTATTTCTCTCATTTTTTGAAATTATTATAAGCATGATTGGACAATATTCCCTTATATTTAGATGAAACAAGAAGTCCAAATCCAAAAAATGCTTTCACATCCAAACGTTGTCAAAATGGAAGGATTTTTTGAAGATGAAGATAATGTTTACATTCTTCTCGAGCTTTGTTCACGTCGTTCCCTTATGGAGCTTCACAAAAGGAGAAGGGCTGTGACTGAACCTGAAGCTCGTTATTTTACGCACCAGGTTTTCTTAAAGTTTTTATTTGAGTTATTCCTTGATAAAAAAATTTTTTTGACCTGCCAGGGTTTTAAATTTTCTTGGAAAAATTTTATTTTATCATTTTACATCAAATAAAATTATTTTCCACCAAAAGGGTTCGAACCTCTTACCCTTTTTTAGTCTGAACCTGAAATTATCCGACTACACCAAAAAGTCATTTTTTGAAAAAATTTTCGTTTTTGAATGGGCCTGGATTATCAATGATTTATTGAGTAAAAAATTTTTTTATAAAATTTTTATTTTTTAGATTGTCCTCGCTTGCCATTATTTACATTCAATGAGAGTAATTCACCGAGATCTCAAACTTGGGAATTTATTTTTGAATGAAGACATGCAAGTCAAGATTGGGGATTTTGGCTTAGCTACAACTCTGAATCATGAAGGAGAGCGTAAAAAGACTTTGTGTGGAACACCAAATTATATTGCACCAGAAATGCTTGACAAAAAGGGACATTCTTTTGAAGTTGATGTTTGGGCTATTGGTTGTATTTTGTACACGCTGTTAGTTGGAAAACCACCGTTTGAGACAGAGACGCTTAAGGTTGGGTTTTTTATTTATAGAATTAAAAATAGGAATCTGATTTTCTTCATCCTTTCCGCTCACCTTTTTTTGGTTAAACAGTCAGCTAAAAATCAAAAGTCACGATTACACTCTCTTATCCCTCCATAACTTTTTGTGAAATATTCCGATCAGATCACTCCTGTTAAGAAAAATAGTCCCCACATTCAGAGCTTTTGTTTGATATAAAAATCATTCAAATCGGTTGAGAATTAAAAAAGTTATGATGCAAAAACAACCCTGGGGTGGTGGTTGTCCGCAAATATTTGCGGACGTCCGCAAATACAATAATTTTCTAAATTTTCTAGGACACATATAGCCGTATCAAGAATAATCAATACACCGTTCCACCAAGAATTGGAAAGGATGCTACAGCATTAATCTCAAGATTGTTAGCTCATGAGCCTTGTAGACGACCAAAAATTGACGAAATTCTTAATTTTCCATTCTTTACTGATGGTTTTCTGCCTAAAATTCTTCCAAGTTCATGTCTTACAATGGCACCAAAGTTTAATATGCAAGCAGTTAGTGGTGGTCAAACATGTGCGCCTAATGTAAATTTTTTTTGAAATTTTTGAAGGGAAATTTTTTTAATTTTTTGAAGTCTTCTGATGTTCAACCAAGTCCTCGGTCGAAGGGCCCAGCCTTTACTGGCCGTGCTCCTCTTGCACCAGTTCCTGAAGCTAAGGAAACACCACCTATGGTCACACATAAACAGGATAAAGCTGCAGTTCTTATTACGGAAATGCCTGCTGGTAAGATTTAAAAAATATTTTTTGTCCGCAAGTTTCGTCCGCAAATATTTGCGGACAAAAAAATTTTGCAATTTTTTTGAAATTTTATTTTTTAAATTTAGGAGAGAATAATGGCGTTCCTCAAGATTATTATCTATCTGATCTGTATGCGCAGTTATGTTCACTTTTGAACACCAACACTGAAAGATTTAATGAAGCTGATAGAGGTTGTTTTTTAAAAATTATTGGAAAAAATTAAAAAAAAAATTTTTTAGGAGAAATTGAACATCCAGCTTCTACCCCAATTTATTGGGTCTCTCGTTGGGTTGACTATTCAGATAAATATGGCTTAGGTTATCAATTTTGTGACAATAGCGTTGGCGTTTTGTTCAATGATAATACTAAAGTTATATTGGATGCTCCAGGAATGTAAGGAAATTTTTTTGAAAATTTTTGGGATCAAATGTCATTTAGCAGTTAAATTATCGTTTATTCGACTTTAAAAAATCCACTGGGATTTTTTAAAATTTTATTCTAATCCTTTTTGAGACCAAATGTCGCATTTGGGGTAAATGTCATCTTTGGGACCAAATGTCACATTTTGGGGATCAGATGTCGTATTTTGGGACGAACTTTTGTATTTGGGACCAAATGTCATATTCTGGGACCAAATGTCATTTTGGGGATCAAATGTCATCTTTAGCGATCAAATGTCATTTTTACCCATTTTTTATTTTTCAAATTTCAGACAACTCCAATACACAGAACGTAACAATATGGAACATTTTTATGCTGCAGACAAATACCCACAAGCTTTGGAAAAGAAAATTACTTTGCTAAAATATTTTCGTTCTTATATGAATGAACATTTGATAAAAACTGGTGCAAACATTCCAATACGTGAAGGTGATGAATTGGCTCGTCTTCCATGTTTAAATACTTGGTTTCGAACTAAATCTGCAATTGTTTTGCATTTAAGTAATGGAACTTTGCAAATTAACTTTTTCTATGTAAGTTTTGGAAAAATTTTGGATTTGCGGACTTTTTTTTTGGATTTGTGGGCATTTTTGGGGTTTGCGGACATTTTTCGTGTTTTGCGGACATTTTTTTAATTTGCGGACATTTTTTGTGTTTGCGCAGTTTTTTTTAGGATTTGCGGACATTTTTGGGGTTTGCGGACTTTTTATGGATTTGCGGACTTTTTTTAAATTTGCGGACTTTTTATGGATTTGCGGACAAATACATATAGTATATTTGCAGACATTTTTTCTAAGATTTTTAATAGCGACTAGAAAAATCGGGGGTTTTCCGGAGTCTAATAGAATTTGTAACTAGAGTCGGACCGGACCCAACCTGATTTTTCCGGTTTGATCCGGAGTCTGCTTTAATTGTCTGTAACCAAAAATATTTGTCCGCAAAATTGAAATTTTTTTAAAATTCATTTTTTCAAATTTTTAGGACCATTCAAAATTAATTGTTTGTCCATTAATGTCTGCTGCCACATATATTGACCAAGCCAAAAATGTTTTTACATGCAAATTTTCTTTGTTGGAACAATATGGGTGTCCGAAAGAATTGTTACATCGACTTAAATATACAAAGGTTTTTTTGAGATTTTTTAGATTTTATTGGGGTTGACTTTCTTATTTGTTAGAGTTTGTGTTCTTTAGGTTTTTTATTTTGGTTGACTCTGAAATTTTTCTTAATTTTTTGAAGAGTCGGAGTGGGGAAGATTTTCTCAGCCTCTCTTTGGTTTGTACTGGAAAAAGCTTGACCCTACTATAGGATACACCCAAAAATTAGTCCAAAAAATTAGTCCTGTTTAAGATATTTTTTTAGGTTGGTTAAGATTAAAAAAATTAAATAGACGTGTAAGCAGTTTCTTTGGACATGATAACATTTTCGGCTAAAGCTTGGGGTTCTGTCCGCAAATTTTGTCCGCAAAAAAATTTTTTTAAGGTAATGGTAGAACGTTTAATATCCCGTAATGCAGCGACAAATCATGGAGATTTAAAAGAAGGTGGTGGTGGTCGTGATATTGTTGTTGTTGAAGGAAGTGGACGTGGTGGTGGAAGTATTGGTAGTGTAGGAGGAGGAGGGACAACAACATCATCTCGATTGCCAGTAAATTTTTGAATTGAAAAAAAAATTTTTTTTTAATGAAAAATGGAATGGGGAGGGAATATAATCTTTCAAAAAATATTATTCACTTTTATTGTAATGTTTAATGACACACTCTCCAATATATAAATTTAAAAAAAAAGTTATGTGGCATAAAAATGATTTTTAATCAAATTTTTTGTCCGCAAAAATTATTTTTGTGTTTGCAAATCTTCTCATCCCTTTTGTGTAGCAATTAAATATTTTTCGTTTTTATTCTGAATTTCTTCTAGTAAAGAATCCAGTGCCCGTATAATTATTGAGTCATCCTGAAATTTAAAAAAAATTTTTGTCCGCAAGTTTAGTCCGCAAAAAATTTGCGGACAAAAATTCTGTCCGCAAATTTTTTGCGGACAAATACTTGAAAATGCCCTAATAAATTTTAAAATAATTTTTAATTTACATTAATTAAATGTCCACAAGTTGCTTGTAATAAAGCCTTATCATCAGATTTAATTTTATCCAATAAGGCCAAACTATTTGATAATGGGACAATCTGAAAATTAAGAAATAAATATTTTTTGTTAATTTTCAAAAAACCTTGTCGTGAATTCCATGAACGATTCTGACAGGGAAATCAAAATAAGGAGTTGGCAGTCGATTGTTTAGGATACAGTTCTTAAAATTTTTAAAAGTCCGTAAAAAAATTTGCGGACAAAAATTTTTTGTCCGCAAATATTTTTTGCGGACAAAATTTTTTGTCCACAAAAATTTTTCAAATTTTCAGAAAAAAATTTTAATTTAATTTTTACTTGAGCATAATCCTCCAAACTTTTCAAATCAACTCTTATTTGCTCAGAAAATTCATTGTTTGTTGTTGGATGTTCAACAGCAAATCCACTCTTTAATAATTTTTGTTCCTCCAAAGGAAATACTCTTCTAATATAATTATCAACTTGCATTCCAACACCAGGGGAAATTAATAAAAGACCTTAAAAATGTATAGAGGACTTGTAAAATTAGTTTAGGAGATTTGCGGACATTTTTTGCGTACATCGTTTTTGTCCGCAAAAAATTTGCGGACAGTCCGCAAATTTTTGTCCGCAAAATTTTTAAATGCCCATAAACATATCCCCTTTTCTTACATTAAATTCCCCTTACTTACACCCTAATTCCTTCAATAAAATTTTAAAAACCTTCAATTCCATTAGTAAGCTCAGGTTTATACCAAACCGATCTAAGAAAAGCTTGTGCACTAGCAGAAACACAAACAGCTATTATTTTGTTTTTTTCTTCTTGTTGTTTTTGTAATTCTTTTGCCACGTCTTGAGCTAGAAAAATTTTAAAAAATGGAAAAATTTTGGAAAAAGTCCGCAAATTTTTTTGCAGACTTGGAAAAATCCGCAGTTTTTTGCGGATTTTTTTAAAAATTTATTTAATTACCCCAATTTTCTACCGTCCAAATTTTTCTGTCTCCACTACATTCATTATATTTAATCCTAAAATTAAAAAATTTTATTAAAAATATTTGCGGGCATTTTTTGCGGATTTTTCTAATGGATTTTTGCGGACATTTTTTAAAGACCCAAGGGTGTACAAATAAAAATACTACAAAAAATTTTTTTTAATTGTCCGCAAAAATTTTTGCGGACAAGATTTTGCGGACAAAAAATTGTCCGCAAAAAATGTCCGCAAATATTTTTTCCGACCCCAAAGGGACAAAATTGATTTAAAAAAATAAGGCAAAATCTACCCACATTTCAAATTTTAACAAATTAATTTCTGTCCATTTTTGAAACAATTTTTTATCATTTTTTGCTGACCCCAATCCATGAAAATAAAATAATTTGCTATAAAATCTTTGAAAATTAATAAAAGGGAATGGACACATTTTTTAAAAATAAAAGAGAAAAAGAAATTGACTGAAGGAAAATTGACCTAAATTTCTATCCAAAAACTGGTTGAAAAGGAAGGATATTTAAAGGATCGAAAATTAACAGGTCAGTGAATTTTGCGAAAAAACCCTTCCATGAAAAAGAATTTTATTTTACAAACCGTAGTTTATATACACTCTCAAAATGCAGCACTGAACTGACCACAATAATTGTAATTTATTTTTCTCTAACTACACTATTTTTTCTTATATTTCTCTAATTATGGGGATGAAATGTCATTTTTTTCGAAATGGTATATCGGGAAGGAACGACAAAATGGAACACAGGGAATGATTGACAAAATGGAACGAAAGGAAGGGGGGACAAAATGGCACCTAGGTAAGGGCCGACAGAATGGAACACGAGAAGAAGACGGACAAAATGGAACAGACAAATTCTAAGAGATTTATAAACACCCAAAATCTCGCAAAATTCTAAATTAAAAAACTTGATTTTCAAAAGCACTTTTATCATCAATTTATTTTCAAAAAATACAAGAGTAATTTAAAATTAATAGCAAAAAAAGCTTGTTAAAAAAATTTTGGACGAAACGACGTTTGTTATTTAGAAAAAGTGAGTCACAAAAAATTATTATTTTTTGAATTTATGGGTATTAAATTTATTTAAGACTGGTGAAATTGAAAAATAAAATTCGAAAAATAATTCTTAAAAAATTTAAATTTAAAAAAAGTCCGCAAATGTTGTCCGCAAATTTGAAAAAAATTTTGGCATTGGTTTTTGCGTCCAATGAATGGCGCTGGTCTAGTTTATGCGTCCAATGAACTTTTGTGCGTCCAAACAAAAGATGGACGCATAATTTTTATTAGAAAAAGTCCGCAAGTTTTGTCCGCAAATTTAAGAAAATTTCTTTTCAAATAAAAAAATCCGCAAATGTTGTCCGCAAAACTTGTCCGCAAATCTAAAAAGTTTTTCACTACAATTTCACCAGCCCTAAATAATTAGAAAAAAAATAAAAGCAAAAAATCAAACTTTCTTTTACATTATCCGATTCATCTATTTTCTACATTTTTTTGATAATTCGTCTAGGACCGCCCCCCGGACGTGGAGGACGTTCAAATTGTTGTTGGCCATTGTTTGCTGGTGAATTGTTTTCCAAAATTGTTTCACAAGTTTCTGGTGTCATATAATCTAATAAAGTTGTTTTGTCTAATTTATCTCGACTGTCTACTTGAATCTGAAAAAATAAATAAAATAGAAAAATTAAATTAATTAATGGACCTCCCTTGAAAGGAAAATAAAAATCCGCAAAATTTTGTCTGCAAATTTGGATAAAGTTTTAGCCTATGAAATTTGTATCTAATTATAGGGACATCGTTTAGGTATCCTAAAATTGTTAAGAAAAAAAAATAAAGCGAAAAAAATTATGACAACAAATAAAGGAAAGCAGGCCACAACCACTTCGTGTCATAGGACTATAAATTAATCTGAAAAAAAATTTTGACCCCGGACGCTACTTTGAAAGTATCAGTGACAAGCTTAATCAAATTATAATTTGGTGTCCAGGATTTTAAAAATTTTTTTAAAGAATTGATTTGTTAATGGACCCACGGCAATCCTTAATAAAGGCTTTTTTACTAAAAAAATTTTTTGCGGACACTTCTTGCGGACAAAACTTAAAACAAATTTTCAGACCAAAAGGTATGGACTCCGCACACCCCACCGGTTAAATAAAAATTTTATTTATTGAAAAAACTCCCAAACCTTTTTGTCAATAACAATTCCAATAGATTTACTCTCAATTTCACCAATTAAAGGTCCTTTACAACTTGAAAAAAGCATTAATTCTTTGATTGCGCAAGATTGTGATGGTGGGATAGAATAAATAAAAACTTGGAAAATAAAATTGAATTTAAGGTAATCCTGCAGAATCTGGGAGACACCTGAAAAACACCTTAAAGATTGTCATTTTTTCTGAAAATTATTTTATATAGGTAATAGACCATGCTGATTACGAATCTGAGCTTAGAAAATGTTTATTTCGAATCCCTGACCTGGATTCGACCAGGTCGAATTCGGGGTAAAAATTCAAAATGACGATATTATGGTCATCTTGACTCGTCTCTTTATTCTGAGTCGAATGGTATCAAAATTATTCAGTTTCGACAATTTTAAACGAAGTTATGGTATCTGATTTGTATACGGAAGTCTAACCCAGCGTTATTTAACTGGTTATAACTTCGTCCAAAGTTGTCGAAACTGAATAATTTTGATACCATTCGACTCAGAATAAAGAGACGAGTCAAGATGACCATAATATCGTCATTTTGAATTTTGGCGTGTCAGATTAGCCCTAAATTTTTAATTTCGAATTTTTTACCCCGAATTCGACCTGGTCGAATCCAGGTCCGGGATTCGAAATAAACATTTTCTAAGCTCAGATTCGTGATCAGCATGGTCTATTACCTATATTAAATTATTTTTGTGAAAAAAATAATAATTTCGAAGGTGTTTTTAAAGTGTCTCCCAGATTCTGCAGGATTACCGAATTTAATAAAAAATTTAAAAAAATACAAATAGCTTCTCCTTTTGCCAAATTTTCATTTTTAAAACGTAAAAGAGAATAACGAGGAGATTTTTTAGGTACAAGATTTTCAAGTTGTGAAATATCTTGTAAAATTGTATGATGAGCTTCTAATTTTATTGCTTCGTTTAGACCTGAAAAAAATATTTTTTATTTAAAAAAATTTTATAATCTGGAAGAAAATTTTGGGAAAAAAATTTTAGGCGTTGGGAAATTGCGAAAAAAAATATTGGATGAAAAAATAATTTTGCGGACAAAACTTGCGGACAAAATTTGGGCATGCTTTACCAAAATTGGCTTTTATCCCAACATGTTGAAAATCAAAAAAAAATGAGGAAAAATTTGTATTTCAATATTAATTCATATACACAAGTTAAAAAACCAACTAAAATCCTAATGGATTTGTCCGCAAAAAATTTGCGGACAAATCAGAACAAGAAAAATGAATTCCCCTGAATTTTGGTAATAAACAAAATTTTTAAATAAAAATAAACAAACAATCAACAGAAAGTTGTACAAAATCGCATTGTCCAGAAGCAAAAGAACGCAATTTCTCTTCAGCATCTTGATCTATTGGGAATTGAACACCTCGCATTGTTTGAGAAGCGTGAAGTGAAAAAGGAATATTTGCACGTTCTTTGGTTACTGAACTTAACTGAAAAAAAATTATTTTTTAAAAATTTTTAGATTAGAAAAAAATTTAAAAAAATTTTTAATAAAAAAAATTATTTTAAAAATTTAAGAAAAGTGAAATAAAAAGGATTTAAAAACATGTTTCCATCATTGGGACTCGAACCGACACCCAGACAGTTACAAATCCAAACGCTTAACCAATACACCACCAATGCCACTTATAAGAAATATTAAATTTTGCATTAAATAATTTAATTAAAATTTAAATAAACCTCTCGTTCGACAAAAGAAAGTGGTCTAGACTCGTCTCCATCCTTTTTAAAATTTAAAAAAAAATTTAAAAATTAATAGAAAATTAAGAAACCTCTATAGCAGAATTCTCCGCATCTTTATTCAAATAATTCTTCTCAAAATTATCCAATTGGAGTTCGTTTCGATTTGAAATTTGATATTCTGCATGAATGAATGACTGGCCAAATTCTGACTAGAAATTTAAAATTTAAAGACAAAGCGCCAAAAAAATTTAAAAAACCTTAAACGTCGCTTTAGTAGCTGCCAAGAGCATTTTATCTTTAACGGAAGCTTTGTCATCAGCAAAACTTAAAAAAAGTCATTTATGTATACACTAGATACCGAGATTTGTGAAAAGCCTGGCCCTGTTCCTGGGTTCCGATTTTGATTTATTGACCTGGGTCGGATCCTGGGCTTGTAGTCCAAAAAAAAAACCAGCCCCAGAAAAACCCAAAAAAATCAAAAATGCCTGGGCATAGCTTTTTGGTACAGCAAAAACCCAGGCCTTTGTCCAGACCCGATCGATCTCTAGTATACACCATCTGGGGCTAAAGTGTACCTTAAATCTGGGTCAACATCAGGCCCGTAGCCAGGATTTTTTTCGGGGAGGGGGGGGGCAACCAATACCCCCCAATTTAAAGTGTTCAAGAGATAACACAAATTTAAGGCGGCCTAGTTAACAAAAAACAATTTTTAGCCCCAAAGTAAATCCATAAATGAGAATAGTTAAAACTAGGGTAGCACCTCGTCCTCCAACTATTTTTTGGCAAAAACTCTGACCCGAAACCCGAAGGCTCTAACCCGGTAAACCCGACCCCGAAGGGTCGGGGTGCTATCCTAATTTAAATAAACCTTATCAAAATCCAATCATGTCCAGAATCAAAACGAAAAAGAAGAAAACAGGGCTCATAAGAATCTACACATTCTGGCAAACTTAAAAAAATATTTAAAAAAATAAAAAATAAAACCATTTTTTCCAATCCTTTCGCCAATCTTTTGAAGGATTTAAATGGTAATTTACATTTAGATTTGCTAAAAAAAATTTTAAAATTAATTTAAATTAAAGATAAAGAGTTTAAAAACAAATAAGGAGAAGTCCCCAAATTTACCAAAAATTAGGAAGAAAATAGATTAGGAGGTTAGAAAAAAATTAGAAGGCCCGTGGACAGAAGAAATTTTTAGAGATGGATGGAGGAAAACAGGCCCGTAGCCAGGATTTTTTTTCGGGGGGGGGGGGGGGGGAATTTTTTGCGCCAAATTTTTGGCGCCAAAAGCCAAAAATTTTTATTTTCAGCGCCGCAGGCGAAAATTTTTTGAATTTTAGAAGGCCGTAGGCCAAAAAATTCACTCTTTCGGCGCCGCAGGCGCCAAAATTTTGATTTTCAGCGCCGCAGGCGAAAATTTTTTAAATTTCAGAGGCCGTAGGCCGAAAAAATTCACTTTTTTTGCCCCAGCCCTTCCCCAAATTTTTTCCTTTTTCCCATTTCGGGGGGGGGGGGGGGGGGGGGGGAATTCCCCCCCCCTCACCCCCCCCCCCTGGCTACGGGCCTGGAGGAAAAGGATCATCATCAAAAATTCCCATCCTCTAACTTCGTACCGGATCCGAGAACCCAATGGCACACGATCCGAAACCAATCACCGAATCGAAATCCAATGATAACACTGAAACCTGGACTAAACTAATAAGGGATAAATACGCCCATAATCGACAACATAGTCATGTTTACAAATTAAAAATTTTGGACTGTCATGGAAATATTAGAAGCCTTCCCAAAATTAAAATTAAAGAAAAATACCATTATTAATAACAATTTTCCCAAAACGAATTTTGCATTGTTTGCATTGATCAAAAAATTCCAACAATTTAGAATCGGCTAAAAAATTTAAATTAATATTTTAAAAATTAAAAAAAACCTCTAATTCCAGTTTGGCAAGTCATAATAAAAATAGTTAATTTTGTAGTGTTAGCAGTGAAGGATTATTTGATGAATAGTTATATGTTAGCGACTAAAAATAAAATCGAAACTACGGTATAATTAGGGTTGGGGCCCGATCCGAAAGATCAAGTCGGGCATTTAATTTTGGCCTGTAAAAATCCCGATCGGACCGGACCGATAAAAATGAGGCCCGAAAAAAATTACTCGAACGCCGGCCCGACGCGAAAACCCCCAAACTCTAATTATCCTCCCCAATAAAATACACAAACAGTCTAGTGTATATTTTAATAGCCACTGGGTTAGGTTGATGACTGGGATGGGCCGGTTTAAGAAAAAAGCCGGTTTCGGGTAGGAGGACCCGATTTAGGCTTTCGAAGTAACCCGCACAATTCATGCCCGATACCCTCTTTTTAGAGGTAAAACAGTTAAATAACCGACATTTCCAGTCAAGAACAAAAAATAAAAATATTGATTTTATAAAAGAAAACCCTCAAACAAAAGAAAACTAAAATTATTTTCTTTAAATAAAAGAAAAAATTTCGAGGAAAGACAGTTGAGTCACAATGGGTGAATCATTAGGGAAAATAGTTTGTTCATAAAATTTTTTGAATGTTAGTCATTCAAAACTTTTTTTTTACTTAAAAAATTTTTATGATGATTCGCTTGTAAGTTGAAAACAGAAAGTTAACAGGGAAAATAAAAGATTACTTGACTCAACCATTTTGAGACTCTAATTTACCTTATTTTCTAGTTCTCTGTGTTATAAAATTAAATAAACATATTTTGCCAATTCCACATTTTGCCAATAAGGGTAAAAAGTGACATTTTGTCAATGAGGATGTGTTGGCAAAATGTCATTTATTAGCCTTATTGGCAAAATATGGTTTTGGCAAAATATGTAAGCGTATATAAAATTTTTCTCTCACTGTCTAATTTAGGAAATAGTATAGGGGATGAAATGTCATTTATTTTAATAAATATCATTTTGCCAATTTGCAACATATTTATCAATTAAATATTGGCGGCGTTTTGTTTCATTTTTTGTGAGGGGTTTCTCCCCTCTAACTTTGATTTTTTTCGTTTTTGCTGTCTCAAAAAAGTCTTTTTTTCAGATTCACCGCCTAGAAAACCAAAAAACAAAGAAAAATGACAGAATTAGCAACAAAAAGTGAAATAACATTAAAAGGAAGTGCTCAAATGATTCAACAATTTTTTCATTATGGAATTCATAGTATTTTATATCAAAGGGGCATTTATCCGTCTGACAGTTTTACACGGTTTTTTGAATTTTTTAAATCAATATTTAATTTTGATCTCTTTAAAGTGAGAAAAAGTATGGAATGACTTTGTTGGTTAACAACGACTCTAAAGTTCAGGACTTTCTTAAACCCTTGTTGGAACATGTTGAGGTTTGTTTTTATTTTTAAGATGATTAGGTTCATTAGAGGTCACAGATTCTCCGACAGTCCGAAAAAATTGTAAGGGACGACGATGGGAAGAGTCAGAACACTCGGGGACTTCGAAGAAGTTCTTCTAGACGAATTGGAGGGCAACCCTAATTAGGTTATATTTTTAAAAAATTTGGAGAGGGATAAATATATTGAAAAGTTTGGGCTAAGCACCCAATCAGAGTTGTCCGCAATTCAATTTTATAATTGATTTTAAAATCGATTAGTCTCAAATTTTAGCTCTAATAACAAAAACAGATCCATTTTCCTCACTTTTTTATAAAAATTCCCACAGATGTTGCTCGCCAAAAAGAAGCTCAAAAAATTGGTTTTGGTAATTACTGATATAGCTACAAAAGAAGCATTGGAAAGATGGCAATTTGATATTGAAACAACTGCTGATATTGAGTTTGTTTTTTAATTTTTTTTAATTTTTAAAAATTTAAAATTAAGTGAGAAAGGTTCTGTTTGTAAAGATGAGAAGAGAATAAAACAAGAAATATCTGATGTTTTGAGGTTTTTTTTTAAATTTAATAAAAACTAACATAAATTTTGGAAATAGGCTCAAAAAAGTAAAAAGTCCCTTTCCATGTCCATGGTTTAGTCGGAAAAATTCAGCTTAAATAGGTAGAGGGTTCGAACCCCATCAAGGAACTTTATTTTTTCTTTTAACTGAAATTTAATAGAAATAATAAACAAATGGTGGAGATGGGCTCGTAAAGGTCAGAAACTCCTTTTTTGGTTCCATGGTTTAGTCGGAAAAATCGTGACTTCAAAGGGTCGAGGGTTCGAACCCCACTGAAGAATTTTATTTTTTTTCTTTGATTAAAAAGCTTTGTATCAACAAATTAACTTTAAATTTCTTAATTTTTAATTATAACGCTTTCCCCTTCTTTACAGACAAATTACCGCTTCTGTTGCTTTTCTCCCTCTACTCGAAAATCGATGCTCTTTTGATGTTCTCATCTACACTTTTAGAGACATTAAACTTCCAGAGGTTTTTTTTAATTTTATTTTTTTATTAAAAATTATTCTGTCCAAGCGTACTTTTTTCTCCTGACCTCACTCAAAAAGGGGAAATTTTTTTAGCCTTATTTGCGGACAGAACTTGCGGACTTTCTGTTAAAATAAAAATTCTTTCCTTTTATTAATTTTATATATTTTTTTAAAGGGATGGGCAGATTCAAGCGAATGTCGAATTTCTGATGCCGAACAGGTTCAACTTCGTTCATTCTCTACAGCAGTACATAATGTGCTGACTAAGGTGCAGTATAAAGCTGATATTTAAGTTTTATTTTTTTGACTATTTTTTTGATTTTTTAAATAAATATTCAATTTAATATAAAAATTTTTGCAAAAATAAATATTCTGTTTAAATTTTGAGGTTTTAAGGGAGGTCATTTTTAAGGCATAAAATTTAAAAAAACTCTGAATCCGCAAAAAATTCAAAAACAATTTTAAAATATATTTAATTATTAGAAATTAATTTTTACATTAAAATTAAAATTTGGGATAAAAAAAGTAACGCCTGGGTATATATGAATTTTAGAGATCGGAAGTTTTAAAAAACTTTGATTTTGGTTGAGGACCCAGATTCTTAACCTCTAATCGAGGAAAAATCAAGGAACACTGAAAAATGTCTTAATTTTGACTCTGGATCCAAGAAAAATTAAGGTCCGGATCCAGAAGCAGTCCGATCTCTAACGACTTTACAGGTACAAAAAAAAGGTTTAACTTTAAAAAAAAATTTTTTACCTTCTTTTCCTTACATCTTTCTCTTCAATTTCTTCATCATCTTCATTTTTATTATCATTTTCTTCCTCAATTTCCTCTTCCAATTCACTCATCTCTTCCTCTTCAGAACTTGTAGAGAATTCTTCCTTATCATTTATTTCTTCACCTTCTTCCTCTTCTTCAGAATCTTCACATTTGTTTCTAAAGGAATTTTTTATCTGTTCATTTTTCTTATAAATCGCAGAAAGTTTCTAAAATTAAAAAAAAATTTTAGGACGACATAAAATCCGCAAAATTTGTCCGCAAAATTAAAAACGCGTTCTTATAAATTTTTCCAAGTTTAGAACCCAATTCCCAGAATTTTGAAGGTCAAAATCCAAATCCAGTCAGTTTGGTGTAGTGGGTAAATTCCCAATCTGTTAGAATTTAGGGGGCAGAGGTTCGAACCCCACTAACGGAAAATAATTTTAAATTACAGGAAAATGTATTTTTTAAAGAAAGGATGTTTAATTTAAATTTTCAACTTCAAAAGAATTTTTTGTTTCATTTTTAAGACCTTACAACAAACCCCCCCCCCCCCAAAAACTTAAATTTTGGAGTTCTTAAAAATTCAAAAAAATTTTCAAAAAAAAAATTAAAAATTTTCAAACCTTCAATTTTTCCAAACTTTCTTCCATATTTTGTGTCTCCTCTTTCAATCTATTTTCATCTTCAACAGATTTATCTTCCCCTTCATTTAATACTTCTTTATTTGTTGCAATTAATTCTAATTGACTCAAAATTTCATTCATTGCTTTTTCTGTTTTTCGAAGTCTTTCTTGGACTGATTTGAGTTTGTAACCTTTAAAAATTAAATTTTAAATAATTTAAAAAGAAATTAATTTTTCAAACGCTTTGTCGGTGCTTCATCACTTCCACTTGACTCATCCTCACTTTCTTCTTCCTCATCTTCCCAATTTAGATGCCCTCTAGGTCTCTTATGTTTCTTCTTTTTCTGAAATTTTTTGATTAGAAAAAATTCAGAAGGGAAGGGGAACACTCCGAACAACTTATTAGACACTCGAACCTCTATCAAAATATGCCGGAATAATTTTCAAGATAAAAACCCCAAGTTGAGCAGTTTGGTGTAGTTGGTAAACTCCCTGTCTGAATAATTTATGGGTCATGGGTTCGAATCCCATCAATGGCAAATAATTTTTAGTTTCACAAAAATGAGATTTTTTGAAGAAAAAAATGTTTAAATTAAAATGCCAACTTTAAAAATTTTTTTGGGAAACTTTAAGGCCTAGAAAAATTCAAAAATCCAATTAAAAAATCTCCCATTCCTAATATTATTTTCCCATGTTTTTAAAAGATATTCTCCCCAAAATATTTTAAAATACCCAAAAATTTTTCAAACCTTAAAAAGCGTGTAGAGCAAAAACAAAACAACACCAATTGTATAGAAAGGAAGGAGCCAAGCAAAACCACCCCTGCCACCACCTCCAACAGCCTGAGTTTGATGCGCTCTGGCCTGAGCATGCATTGAAGCAGCGGCTGCTGGGTGTGAATGGGGAGGGCGACCGCCGCCTTTAAAAAAATTTTTTGGAATTTTAAAAATTAAAAAAAACCTCTATGCCCTTCTGGATGTGGAAAATGAGAATTTGGTTGATGAGAATGTTTATTATCACTATTTCTCCCAAAAAATGAATTAATCATTGGTGCAAAAACGCTTGGATATAGAAGTGCAAAACACATAAAAACAGCAGCACAAACGGCATATAATTTCCATTTTGGGAGTAACTTGAAAAAATTTTTAAAAAATTTTTAAGCTCGAAATAAGTAGTTGTAAAACACAGTTTCAGTGAATTTTCAAAAATTTCAACTTTCAGGTGTTTTGGTTTAGTGGGTTCTCTTGGAGATAAAATTAATAGGTTGAGGAAATTAATAGGTCGAATCCCAGTGACGAAAAAACGTTTTAAAGGGAATGAGATTTTGATGAAAAATGTATTAGTGATAAAAAAATTATTGAAAATTCTTTGTTGAGGAAATTTTAATTGGATCTTTTGCGCATTTTTTTAATTACAACGTTTAAAAGCCGTCTTCGCATCCCAACAAAAAATAAAAAACATTTCTAGGGGGTTTTAAAATAATTTTGAAAATTTTTCCTAATACCCCTTCCTCCCCTCCCACCAAAAAAAGATTATTTTAAAAGAAAATTCAACAAACCTCTTCTTTATGCCTTTTACAGTCAATAAAGTCTTCATATTCTTCATCATAATATTTTTCCATTTTTCTTCTTTTCTTAGTTTTTCTTCCAATTTTATTTTTGTATTCATCAGAAATGGACATCTTTTCTAATTAGCTATTTCCCCCCAAATTATTGCTAGTTTTGTTAAAATTTATTCTTAAAAGTGCACAGAGCCCTTCCTTTTTGCAGCAACAAAAATAAAAATTTTTTTTGCCAATTTTCTTCTTTGCCTGTCCTAAAAATAAAAATGTTTTTAAGTGAGAAAAAATAATAAAATCCTTTTACCACTTTTTTTACTCAGCTAGTCCTCTAGAGATGTGTGCAGTCATGCCTTGAAGCTATACAACTGAATTCTTTTTTTAGTCAATAAAATAGACAAAAAGCGGCCACAAATGTTGACCACAATAAACGTGTGTGTTTATTTTATTTTTCTTTTTCTTCTTCTTTTTGACTAATCCCCCACCAAACACCTTTAATTTCTAAAATTTATTAAAATAAAATTAAAAAAATTTTAAAATATTTAAAAATATTTTTAACAATTTTTTCTTATCAAAAAAATTTTTTTTTTAATTTTATAAATTTTTATGCATCACAACAGCGTAAATAAAAAAAGATTTTTTTTTTCAAAAAAAATTTTCTTTGCTTTGCTATTTTTAAAATACGGCAAGAAAAGTTTTAAAAAGTACATATATTATGGCACAAAAAATATGCAAGTATTTTCAGAAAAAATAAAATAAACTAAAGCTAGGGTTTAGAAATTCATTCCAAAAATTTTCAAGGTTATAATTAAAAATTCGGGCAGTTTGGTGTAGTGGGTTAACCCCCTGTCTGAATTATCTAATGGGTCGAGGGTTCGAATCCCACCGGTGGAAAATAATTTTTAAATTCAAGAAAATAAAATTTTTAATGAATTTTAAAGGTTAAAGTCAAAATCCGGACAGTTTGGTGTAGTGGGTTAACTCCCTGTCAGAATTACCTAAGGAGTCGGGGGTTCGAATCCCACCAGTAGAAAATAGTTTTTAATTTCGAAAAAATAAGAATTTTTAAAGAAAAATTGCTTCTTAAGGCTAAATTATGGCCTATTAATTTTTTATCCAATTTTTTAGCTTGTTTTCATCTTTATTTTTGTTAATTATTCATTGAAAAATTTTGGTCTAATTTAAACTCTAGCTTTTTACAAATCTTAAAAATGAGATTTTTTAAATAGAGGTAGAGAGAATTTGACTGAATTCTTTAGGTATAATCCTAAATAAATTCTAAACAAAAATGTCCATTATTTCACAAAAATCAGCAAAAATTTTTTTGTCCGCAAAAAATTTTTTTGTCCGCAAAATTAAAAAACGGACATTTTCAAAAAAAATTGATTTAAAATAACGAAAAATACCCTCAAAAAATTTATTTAATAAAAAAATATACTCTTCTTCCTTTTTTCAAGTTCATCACAAATCCTCTACCAATTATCAGCCAAATTGTTTATTTCATTATTATTCCTCTTTAAAATCTTTGAAAAAATTTTTTTTTAATTTTAATTATTTTTTAAATAAAAAACCTTATTATTATTTTCCTCCTCAAATTCATCTCTATAATCTTCAGTTTCGTCAATTGGTGGAGGATAATTTTCACAAATATCCTTCAAAATTGATAATCTTGCCTGTTTAAATTCTCCAACAATTTCCATTAAATTACTTTGCCTTTTTAAATTTTTTGGGACTGTCTAGAAAAATATATTTTTTAAACTTTTATTTAAATTTTCGATCCATAAAAAAGGCCCAGACTTTAATTAAAATTAATCATTTTTAAAATTTGAGTTGGACCTTCAACTCTTCGTGATCGAAAAGTTAGAGGTCTGCCTAAATATTTTCGAGGTCTGGACTTACGGTATCAAAGGGGTTCTAGCTCAAAAAGGCGGTCGGAGTCCAGCTCTATTCTAAATTAACGTTGGGACAAAATGTCTATTTTCCCCGTCTTTTCAATTATATTTTAACCTAAATATCTTCTCAAAATTAGTTTGTCCACCCTTACAAACTGAAACCAGACTTTTTTCCCAACCCGTGTGACATCCATGCTCGGAAGTCCACTTTCCATTTTTTGAAAAAAATTTTTTTAACCCCTCATTTCAGTCTGTTCCTACCCATATCTGGAGCAGAGCAGTTCTGGAGCAGCCTATCCACCTATGGAGCCCAAAATATTTTTTTAAAAAATCCTCCCAAAATTATTAAAAATTTAAAAAAAAACCTAACCATTCCATCATAAGCCTCTTCAATAAAAAACATATATTCTCTTTCTGTATCAGGCAAAATACTTCTAAAATTAATTTTAATATATTTAATTATTTAAAAATAAAAAAATAAACCTATCAAATATTTTCCCTTCTTTAATCGAAATTCCCCATTCATCATAATTAAAACGTGTATAATAATCAAAAAATCCATAAATTAATTCTCCAATAGTTCGTTCATTTTTTGGTATTTCTAAAGAAAAAATTTTTTTAATTAAAATTAAAAATGCCTGTAAAAATTCTTTAATACCCCTTCATAATGAATAAAATCCCCTCACAATCCCTTACACTCCTACCTTAATAACAGTAAATAGCAGGGTCAGATTAGACGAAGCCCAGACTTTTTTCAACCCAAAACCCGGCCTGAGAAATTTAAGATAACCAGATCTGACTTTTCCTCTTCTCAAACTGACCACTTTCCGGTAAAAAAGGATGGACGAAACTAATGTGGGACAAAATGTCTCCCCTCCACTCGAAAACTTCTTACACTCTTCTACCTTAAAAAATTTCTAAGAACCCTGACTTTTTACTCCCTATTCTCCAAAAAAAAGTCAAAATCCTTGTTCCTCCCAATTCACCCCCAAAGTCCCCCAATTCTTCTTCCTTCCGTATCCTCTCCCCACTAATCCCCTTCCCCCCCCCCCCCCCAAAAAAATAAAAAAATTTAATTTACTAGGCAAGTCAAGTTCCATAGCATAATCCAAATCTTCCACATTTCCAGTTCCATCAAAATGTTTAGGAAACATTTTGAATAAATTGGGCAAAATTGGAGGATAAACACCACATTGCAAAAAATGAATAATCATTAAACTGACTGTATAACTATTAAATTTTCTCCTAAAAATATAAAAATTATAAAAGAATTTTTTTTAATGGTTTAAGGAAAGTTTAAAGCTATTTAGGCACTATTGTAGCTCCCTTCACCAGTAATGTTCCAAAATTAGGTGTGACAACTCATTGTCAGGAGTGGATCAAAAAAATTTTTTAAGGACACCTAAGACAATAGAATGGAGTTGTCGGCTCGGAATTGAACCAAAGAACCGAGGATTTTCAGTTAGGTTCTTAAGTTCGGTTTCGGATATCCAAAGGTTTTTCAAAAACCAACAATCCTAATATTTAACGTATTTTAACCCACACAAAAACAAAAAACTTTGGGGGATGGGTAGACAAAAAAATTTTTTAGAGGGTGTGAGGGACTTTAGAAGGAAAGGTCTAAAAACGGTCGAGACCGGGCACATTCGATAGAGAATGTGTCCTTTCAAGCCCACATAAAAACAAAAAACATTGGGGGTGGGTGGACCAAAGAAATTTTTAGAGGGTGTGGGGGACTTCGAAGGAGAAATGTGCCAAAAAAATTTTATTTAAAGGGAAGTCAAAAAAATATTTTTTTAAGTCAATCTATGTTTAAAATAATAAAAAATAACCTTGGATCAACCACATGATTAACTTTTGCCCATTTTTTGAGAATCATATTCATCTGCACAAAACGGTTATCCAGTCTTTCAATTTAATAAAAAAAATTTTTTTTAATTTAAAAGAAAACCTCGAAAGATGTGCAAGTAAATGTGTATTAAAAATCCCAGCTACACAATTACAATTTATATCAACTTTAACATCCATATAAGGAAAGGCTAATTCGACTGTTACAATTGGGACCTGAAAATTTTAATTTTTTATAAAAAATACAAAAAATTTCGACACGCCTCCAAACACGCCCGAATTTTTTAAAAATTAAAAAAAATTTTAAGACACCCCATTTATTCGCAAGCTCAAAAGTCTCAAAACGGTCAACCAAACCTACGGGAGTTGGCGAGACGCTCGTACAAACCCCTACGCTTCACGCAGCTTGAGGCTCGTGTCTCGCGGGAGTCAACGGGTGCTCGGGCCCTAGGGCCTTAATCCAGTAATAAACCCCCCCTAGGCCCTAGGGCCTTAATCCAGTAATAAAAGGGGGCTTATGTTAGCCCAAATAATTCAGTTTAAGTCCCAATTCTTAATCAAAATTTTTTTCTGCTTATAAAAAGTTACCCGAGCGCAGATATGCCTTAATCCAGTAATAAAAGGTTTTTGTTCAAGTATTCTATGAATTTTGCTCAAAACAAAATTGTTGACACTGAAAAATAATTTTAGTTAAAAAAATTTGGGAAATAAAAAAAAAATTTTTTTTTGGAAATTTTGGGGCCAATTTTCATTCTTTTCCCCCTCATAAAAATGAGCCTGTCATAATTGTGGAAAATTTTTTTAATAAATAAAAACGTGGGCCTTAAATTTTGCCAAAAATTTTTTTTATTTTTCCACTCAAAAGAATTTTTTTGGAATTTTTCCAATAAAATTTTTCCGAAAAAATTTCCCAAATTTTTTTGTAATTTTGAGGCCCTCAAAAAAATTTTTTCTCAAAAATCAAAAAATTAACCCTTCTTCAGTGTAACTCCCGTCTTCACATCTGACAGCAAAACAGAGATCCAAATCTGCCCCTTTAGTAGCTAAATTAGTTAAGGTAGATCCTCCCATTGCTAAATAGCTTCCCTCTCCAAAAAACTAAAAAAAATTAAAAAATTTTCTAAAAAGCTAACCGGTTCAATAGTTTTCCTTAAAAGTTTCCAAACATCAATTCGAGTCTTTCTCTCATGATCTGGCTAAAATTTAAAAAAATTAATAGTTCAAAAGAGAATTTAAAGGGAATTTCTCATTTCCGTTCGACCAAATGCAAAAAATTTGTGGGTGTGGCGAAATGACCAGTGGCGAAGTGTCGTGGGCAGAAAAAATTTCTAAATGCCTGCCTATTGAGAGGTTTCTCAATTTTCCAGAAATAACACAAAATTTCCCTTACCCCAAAGCTTTTTTAAAATAACCTGTCGATTTTTAACTATATAATCCTGCACACTTTTCGTATACTTTTTAAAAGAGTGTCGATAATCACTTTTTCTGTCATCCAGAATTTTGAAAATTTTATGAGCATTAGGCGATGTTCTGACTTTGTATAATTCATTAACCGTGTATTCGTCCATTAAGCCTAAAAACTTTAAAAAATTAGTAAAAAACACTGGAATTTAAATGTAAAAATTTTGGGGCCTCAAACTCTAAAAATAGCTGCGACAAAACGGAAAAATTTTATTTATTAGTTTCGACGCGAATTGACAAAATGAAATTTCAAATTGGTAAATAATTGTTAATATTTCATAACACCAAAATATCGAACGCTTTGTTTACCGTTAGACATAGAATTAGAAAAAAAATAGTGTAGAAAATGAGGAGAGCGTAAAATAGTCTCTTCTTTCTCCACACTATTTTCTCTCGTTTCCGGTTTGTATTGAAAGAATTTTTGTTGAGGGGGGATTATTTAGTTTTCTTAGGAAGGGTTTGTTTTCCTTGTTTTCTCTTTTCATCCACACTTATTTTTCATGATAAAATCTGTTTTTTAAACAGCTATTGCTCTCTATAATTTAACTTTCCTCCAAATTTTCCCCAAATTTTCCCCTAATTTTACCATTTTTTCAGAGAAAAAAATGTCACAAGAATTACAGGAAGACGACACACTTAGAAAAAGAAATGTGCTACAAGAATCAATTAATGAATCACTCCAACAAACCCCAAAAAAGGGCAAAAGAACATGCGAAGCAATTTCAGCCTCAGCCACTTCAGCTTCCTCAGATGATGAAGATCCTTTAACTGTAGTTAAGGAGAAACGATTGAATAGACTAAAAAGAATATTGCCTCAATCTTCTGATAAATTGGGAAGTTGTGTTGATAAATTACTTTCTCATCTTCCTGAACGGTTTTTTTCTTTTATTTTTTAAATATTTTTTATTTTTAGTTGGCGAAATTGGGTTGTACGAGGGATTTTATCGGTTAGTTTATTTTATTCCTATATTAGTTGTTCCTTTTTAGAATTGCTCCCATTTGGGTAGGACATCTGAAAAAAACCCTTGACCAGATTTTTGGTTTTGAGTCAAAGGAAATCCTAAAAATTTCCTCGATTCTTTGCTCTGTTTCTAGGCCAATCTCTTCAATTTTTATGTACCTTTTGGGTCTGTTAAATCCAAAATCAAGACATTTTTTCATGCTTCCCTTTTAGAGGAAAGGGAAAGGTAGGCACATAGCCAGGAAAAATTTCCCCTCTGACTCCCTGCCTACTTGCCTGCTTCTTGTCTCCGGCCAGGGCAGTTGAGTCAGTTTATCAGCTCTTTCAGAACCCACACATTCCTTTTGAAGACATTTTTAAGAGACTTTTTGGGAATTTAAAGTCTTAATTTCCTTAATATTGAAATTCCAACCTTTTAATTTTTTTCAGCTTGTAATGATTGGAATGTTTTATTTTATTGTCAAACGAGGAGTTACTTGTCTCATGGCATTGGTCAATTAATTAAAAATTATTTTCCAAGTAAAAAATTTTTTCAGGTTTTCCTTTTACAATTAAAATGTTTCTCAGAAATTATCAATATTGGATTAGCCGTTTACAGACTTTATGATTTGCCGTGGTTTAGAGCACTTTCGTGGTAAATTTTGAGCATTTTCTCATTTTTGACCACTTTGGTATAGTGGGATAATTCAAATTTTTGTAGCCTATAGGTCTCGGGTTCGAACCCCATTGGCGGAAAATAATTTTTATTTAATTGAAAATCTAGAATAAAAAATGATTTTATATTTTAAAAGGGTAGGAGATTTTTAATGATCCTATTTCCTTACATTTTTCATTTAAAAATTTTTATTTCAACTTAAATATTTTTTGAAGGTATTTTTTGTTGACTAGCGATTATTTCTTTTTTGGAGAAAGTCTAATTGATTATTGGGGGCTTGTATTACGTAAAGATGTAAGCAAAAATTTTTTCTTTTAAAATTTTTTTCCTCTATTTTAAAAGCATTTATCCATTTTTGACCACTTTGGTGTAGTGGGATAATTCAAATTTTTTGTAACCTATAGGTCTCGGGTTCGAACCCCATTGGTGAAAAATAATTTTTTATTTGATTTTTTTCCTTTTTTAATTTAAAAAAATTATTTTTCTTAAAATAAAAAATTTTTTTTTCTCTCCCCAGAGATTTCTTTTTGCATTAATTGTTCATCATCGACTAATAAGTTTTGTTTTGTATTGTTTTGGATTTATTTGGTTTGTTCTCTCGTTACAAAAAGGATTTTATTTGAGACAATTTTCATTGGTATTTTTTGTTTTTCTTTTATATTTTCTTTTTTATTTTTTCAGTTTGCTTGGACGCATGTTACTTTATTAATAATTGTTAGCCAGTCATTTTTAATAATCCAAAATTTGTTTCAAGGATTAATTTGGTTTGTTTTTTAATTTTAAATTTTTTCTAGACACTTTAAGACTTTTAAAATTTTTTAAAAATAAATCCTAGCACCCCCAAATTTTTAAATTTTAAAAAAACAGTTTTTTGGGCAATAGAACCATGACTCTAGTTAGGGCCAGGGAACCCCACTTTTCGGGCTCTATTTTCGACTAGTTTGTGAGTTTTATGTCAAAAACTGTTTAAAAGGAATAAAAAGGAGCCTGATTAAAAATTGCCTCTCATTTTAAAAAATTAAGTTTTGACCACTTTGGTGTAGTGGGATAATTCATTATTTCTTTAACTAGGTCAAGGGTTCGAACCTCATCCGGGGAAATTTTTTTAAATATTTTTTAAAAGATTATTTTATAAGTTTCAATTTTTTTAAAGGTTCCTAGTCCCCGTTTCAATGATTATTTGCTGTGATATAATGAGTTATATGTTCGGATTTTTCTTTGGCAAAACTCCATTAATCAAAATTTCACCAAAGAAAACTTGGGAAGGATTTATTGGTGGTGCTTTTAGTACAATACTTTTTGGACTTGTGGTATTTCTTTTTTAAATTATTTTGTGTTTTTGAATGGTTGAGAGCAGACTTTAAGGTCAGATTTAGAGGGAACGGGCTCTAGGGGCCGGGTCAGATTTTAGGAAGGTGTGGGTGTGGCCAAGGGTTCAGGGAGCTGAGGAGGTGGGGTAGCCTAAGTGTTAGGTTTCAGGGGGAGTGCGGGTAGTCGATTGGGAGGCTCAAAAGTCAGATTGCAAGCGCGATGTCCTTAAGGTCAGATTTCTAGGAAGGGGTGACTCTAGGGTCAAATTTATGAGGAAGGGGGATGCGAATTTAGGGAGCTATATCTTGGCGAAGGATCCATGGGTACTCCGAAGTCATTAATTCAAAATTTTTTCAGCTTTCCCACTTTATGATGGAAAATCCATTGTTTGTCTGCCCAGTAGAGTCTTACTATCAAGACAATTTAAATTGCACAATTCCACTATCATTTCAATACAGGTTTTTTTGCTTCTTTAATTTTTATTTTTCAAATTTTTCTAGAGAATTCGAAGCTCCTCGCCCCTTCTCTTTTCTGTTCCGATTATTCCGCCAACAACCAATTGTTAGATTTAAACCTTTTCTTTTCCATTCTGTGGTAATGGCTCTTTTTGCTTCCTTAATTGGACCATTTGGAGGATTTTTTGCTAGTGGATTTAAAAGGGCGTTTAAAATAAAGGTTTTTTTGTAAAAATTTTTTGAAAATTTTGAAAATTTTTTTTGAAAAATTTTTCTGAAATTTTTTTGAAAATTTTTTCGGAAAATTTTTTCAAAAAAATTTTTCTGAAATTTTTTCGAAAAATTTTTCTGAAATTTTTTTTTGAATTTTTTGAAAATAAAAAAAAATTTTTTAAAGGATTTTGGCGACATAATTCCGGGTCATGGCGGTTTAATGGACAGATTTGATTGCCAATTACTCATGGGAACATTTGTGAATGTTTATATATCTTCTTTTATTAGGTTTAATTTTTTCCAAAAAATTTAAAAATTAAAGAAAAAATTTTCTTTTAGATCCCCAAACCCTCACAAAATTGTCCAACAAATTTTGTGGCTAACAAATGATGAACAATTGGCAGTTTATAATTCCCTACAAGAGCAGCTAATATCAAGTGGACTAATTCCTCCAAGTTAAATAAATTTTTTGTTTAAATAAATTGGGTAGCACCCCGAGCCTTCGGGGGCAGGAGTGTCGGGGTTTCGGAGTTTGTCGGAGTAGAGCCTTCGGGGGTTTGGGCCGGGGTTTTTGCCGAAAAAATTCGTCTGGGGACGGATCGGTGTTTTGCCCGCTCGGGGGTGGGCGTCGATGATCGGGGTTTTGTCGGGGTAGAGCCTTCGGGTCGGAGGTTTTGCCAAAAAAAATTCGTCGGAGGACGGGGTGCTACCCTATTTATAAAAATATTTAACCAAGTCGCAAATGATCCTCCTCTCTTTGTAAAAAAAATTTTTTTTGAGTAATCTAATTAATTTTTGAAGTCCCGTGAATACTAAAAATATTTTTTATAAAAATCTCATCCCCGTTAAAAAAATACAGAAAAAAGAAATTCTTGTCGATTTTAGATATATACACAAATTTAATCTCTTTAGACAATTTTAGTCTTAAATTTTGTATTTTTTATGTTGTAGATAGAGCCAAGTTTTTTGGGAAAATTTGTCTCTTGTCTAGGTTTTCTTGGGGGCCCGGTCCGAAAGATCGAGTTGGGAATTGAATTTTGGCCCGAAAAGGACTCGGTCAGGCAGGTCTGATAAAAATAAACCCCGAAAAATGACTCGAACGTCGGCCCGACTTGAAAACCCCCAATTAAAAAAATATTTGTAAAAATTTCCGAAAATTACATGTCAGTTCTATCTACTTTAACATAAAAAATATATTTTTAAATAAGTATATTTCTTAATAATTTTGCTCTCATTTTTAGGGCATTTCTTTTAATTCTAAAATAACAAAACTTTTAGTTAAATGTGTCTAGTATTTTTTTATAATTCGAATAAAAAATTTAATTTTTTTTTAATTTTCAAAGCAAAAAAGACCCCAACCGCGCATTCATCCTATCCAACTCTCGAATTAACTCTTCAATAGAACCTTTACGTGGAGTGCGGTCTGTACAAGCACTACAACGTCCATTTGTTAATAATTGAGTAAGGGTCTGGAAAATAATAAAAAAAAATTTTTGAAGTTTTTGTTTTAATTAAAGCACCCCCCCCCCCCAGCAGTCTTTATTTTTCAATCAAGAAAAAGATTTTCATCATCTATTGCTCCTGACTGAGAAAATTGCTCCTGACTGAGAAAAAATTAGGAAAAAAATAAGGATGGAAGTTGGGAAAAAGTAAGTTGCAAAAAATTGAAGCAAGTAGGGCCTGAGGAGCTTACTTATTTACTTCCGCTAATGAAATAAAAAAATCAAGCAAACTCCAGGGAACCGCTGAAAATCAAGCAAAACTCCAGGGAACCAGCTATCTTTGGGCAGAGAGGCAAGGAAAAATAAAGAGAAAGAAGGAGGCAATCACCCACCAATCCTTCCCTGTGTCCATTACTCCAACCCTCCCTCCTTCCCCTATTCAACAAAAAATAATTAAAAAAACCTGTCTGCATTGTGCATTAACCCTTTTCTGTTCAATCAACTCCCATCGTTGATCCATTAATAATTTTGAAAGTTCATCACATTTTTGTTGAAGTTGAGTATTTGAAGGAATTTGTTGACGATTTGAACTAGTTGATTGGGTAGATGTTTTGGGTATTGCACACTTTTCCCTCATTTCTTTTATATAATTTGTTAATTTTCTTTTTGGGCCCTTAAAAATTAAATAAAATAAAATAAAAAAAATTTTTTTAAATACCAAAAGACCAATTCCCATATCATCAAGGTCTTTTTCTGTCAATTTAAGTAGAGATTCCATTGTTCTGAAAAATAAAAAGGGATGGTGGGCATTTTTGAAAAAATTTATTTTATTTTTGGCATTTTGAATTTTTTCAAAAATTTTCACTTAAAAATCTTTAAAATTAAAAAATACTTAATTCCGTGCTCCATCAAATTTTTCACGTATTTCTGCAAATCCAATTGAAACAATGCCTCTCTCAATGCTGGCTCCATTTCTTGTTTGTAGCGCCTTAGAAGGGCTTGTAATTTTTCATCAGTAGCTAGAGCATAAGCATCCAATCCTTGTTTATTACGTCGATTTGGATTTCCCTTCTTAAAATATTTTAATGAATTCTTTGAATTTTTTAAAATTAATTTTTGGTTTAAATTTGAAATTAATAAAATGAATAATTGTGCTTCAAGTTTATTTTATGATTGTTTAAAGTTTTATTATTTTCAAGTTTATTTTTTCCAAGTTTATTTTTTCCAAGATTATTTTCAAGTTTATTTTTTCCAAGTTTATTTTCAAGTTTATTTTTTCCAAGTTTATTTTCAAGTTTATTTTTTCCAAGTTTATTTTCAAGTTTATTTTTAAGTTTATTTTTCCAAGTTTATTTTCAAGTTTTTTTTTCCAAGTTTATTTTCAAGTTTTATTTTTTCTCACATTCTCTCCCTTTCCCCTATCTCTCCCTATTTTATCTAAAATCGTTCAACAACCCTTACATAATCCAACAAATAGGATAATATTTTTTCATCCCCATTTTCGCAAGCTGCCAAAACTGGTGTTGATTCATTATAGTCTTTTTAAATTTTTTAAAATTAATTTTTAACAAATTCCCTTCAAATCAACCTGCCAAATTAGGGTCTGCCCCACGTTCTAATAATAATTGTACGACAACAGCGTGATAATATTTTCTAAAATTTTTTTTAATTAATTTTGTATTTCTAAAATAAATAAAAACACTGCATAATGCAAACTGCTTCTTCCATATTGGTCTCGACGGTTCAAATCGGCTGAGAAATCCAACAAAATTCGAACCTAAAAATGTGTGAGTATAATTAATAAAATTTAAGGAGTGTAAATTAATTTAAAAAATTTTTAATTAAAAAATCCCCCAAAAATATTTTTCCTTATTTAGTATTCTATTTTTAAGATAGTTTAACGTTAATGTGTTTCACTAAGTTTGTATTTTATTTGTGTTTATTTTCAAGTGTATTTTTCTCAAGTTTGTATTTCAAGTTTAATTTTACTTGTGTTTTTAATGTGTTTTTCAAGTTTATATTTCTCAACTTGTATTTTCGAGTTTATTTTTAAATTTATTTTCAAGTTTGTATTTTCAATTTAATTTTAGTTGTGTTTTTTAAGGTTTATTTTTTCAAGTTTGTTTCCAAGTTGTATTTTTTTCAAGTTTATTTTTAAACTTGTATTTTTAAGCGTGTATTTTCAAGTTTGTATTTTTGTGTTTAATTTATAGTTGTATTTTTCAAAATGTATTTTTTCAAGTTTGTTTCCAAACTTGAAAAAAGTTTGTGTTTCAAAATGTTTCAAAAATTTGCTGCAAGTTTTACTTCCCCTATAAACAAAACACCTTACCACATCAACAGCTCCACACGACGCTGCCAGCATCAACTAAAAAATGAAATTAAAAATTAAAAAAAAATTTTCTAACCGCAGTTTGATTTCTTTCATTAACTTCCTCCACTTTAGCCCCTTTTAAGATTAATAATTGGCAAAGTTCTCTATGTCCCAAATATGCCGCGTACATTAATGGGGTCCACTCTAAAAAATTTTTTTAAAATTTCAAAAATTATTTTCCCAAAAATAACCTGAATTATTTTTCTTGTTCACCTCCTCTTCAAAATTATAATCCTTTAAAAATAGTCAAAAATTAAAAAAAATTTTTTTTAATTTCCCCACATGTATATTTTCACTATTCAAACTTGTAGCAGACCAAAAATCCATTTCAGCATAATCCAATGTTTCATCCACTAGATGTTTTGAGGGTAAGGATAAATAAAGAATTTGTTGGACAGCTTCATGCATTTTTATTGGTATTAAGGGAGAAGATGCGTTTTTTTATTTTGATCCTAATTTCTGAAACAGACACAACCCTTCGAAAAGGCACTCTGTGAATTTAGAACAGGTAACCATTTTAATTAGAAGCCGAGAAGAGAGAAGCTAAGGGGAGAAGCTAACTAAGGGGAGAAACTGAGGAGCGTTCTAATTATCGCCTCAAGGCGACCTTGTGAGTGATTTATGGTGAGCAGGTGCTTAGGGGTAGAGAATGACTGTGGTCTAGGCCTTGAAATCAAGTCTATCCTTTAAAAGTCAAGGCTTGTCAAGCTAAGAATTCTGAGCGTTAGTAAGTTTATTCTTATAATTTCTGATAGCTGGGTTAGCATCAGCTCAAGGCAACACTGATCCCCTTATTTTTCTAGTAACCCCCCCAAAACTTGTAAGGTATGGATAAAAAACTCCCCAATATAGATGTGATAAAGAAATATATTGAAAATTATATTAATAATCAATTCATCTTTTCATCATTTTTTAAAATAATTTTTTAGAGAGTAGCGGGTAATTGCTATTAATTAATTTAACCCAAAAAAGTAATTCCTTTCTAACGTAAAAAATGATTATTAATTAGACTGCAACTATATCTATTAACGCTAATTAATCTTTTCTCAAGGTGATCAATAAAAAAATTTTTTTAATAATTTTTTAAACTTAAATTATAATAATAACAATTTTTTGAGCAGGCAAAAAATATGAGAGAGAAAAACAACATTTTAATTAATAAGAAAAAAATTTTTTTGTTGTTGAATATAATTTTAAAAATAGAGAGAGACCTTGTTGGAGACATATTTTAATAATTTTTTTGGTTGTGGTCCTCCCCCAATATTGGGAATAAAATAATAAAAAATAATAGGTTAACAAGAGATAATAGCTCTTGAATTTTTAAATATAACAAAAAAAAGAGTCTCTACAACTTGATTTTTTAAGTTGGAAAACTCAAGATTTTGGAAAATTAACCCGAAATAATATATCGTTTAAATGGAGACACCACAATTTACCACAGATTTTCTCAGTCTACCCAGAGCTTAAAAAAAGTCGCGGATCTAGATCAGGACTGGGGGCGCAATTGGGGATTACGTGTTTTTTTTTTGACTTGCGTGATTGCGTTTGCGATATAAAAATTAAAATTGCGGATTGTGGCTGCGGAAAATTTTTTTCCAATTGCGCCCAGCCCTGATCTAGGCAAAATCTTGAAATGATCTACTATATTTCGTCGCGCTACATCGATTAGTAAAACAAAAAGAATCGACCTGAAATGAACATTAAGGCCTAGTTATAAGAGTCTGTGGTAGACTGAGGACTATTAATGGCAGCTACTACAGCTCAAGTCAGACCCCCTTAACTATTTTTTAATAATTTTTAAATATTTTCTCATTTAGCAGCCTCAGTTTTAGCATTTTTAACCATTTCAGCCAATTTTTTGTATCTCCTAACACATTGTTTCTTTGTTTTTCCATCTACAGCTGCAGCTATTTTATCCCACCTTTCAGCATCACTTGAAGGTATTTCCTTTAAGGCTTTCTCAAATTGCCGTTGTTGTTCAGCATTCCATTCATCTTCAGTATTTTTATTAATGTTGTTTTGTTGCTCATTATTTTGGCTGTTGTTTGTGTTGCTAATTGTAATATCTGTTGTTGTTTGTTGTTGCTGTATGTTTTTATTGACAGGAACAGTAGATGAATTATTGCTTGGAGGAAGTTGCCCAGACTTGAGTTGTTTAACCTTAAAAATACACAAATGTTTTTGTTGATATGAACATGTTTTTAAGTTTGTGTTTTTCAAGTTTATTTATTTGTTTTAAAGTTTGTGTTTTCGGTTTGTGTTTTTCAAGTTTATTTATTTGTATTTCAAGTTTGTGTTTTTCAAGTTTATTTATTTGTTTTAAAGTTTGTGTTTTCGGTTTGTATTTTTCAAGTTTATTTATTTGTATTTTAGGTTTGCGTTTCAAGTTTATTTATTTGTATTTCAAGTTTGTGTTTCAAGTTTGTGTTTTTCAAGTTTATTTATTTATTTGTTCTAAAGTTTATTTGTTTTCAAATTTGTGTTTTAAATTGTATTTTGTTTATTTTCTACTAAACAAGTTTGTTATTATGTTTGTATTTTTGTTGTTTAAACAAAATTGTATTTTTATTCCTGTATTTTTATTGTTAATTCAAGTTGTATTTTTAAAGTTTTGTATTTTTCCTATTTTAAGTTTGTAGTTTACTCTATTTCTCTAATGTATTTTCTCTCTTGTTTCCAAACATGTATTTCCTTTTAATTTAATTAAAAAATACAACTTGCCTGTTTAATTACATCTTTTTCACTACGCTTGTTTCCCTCACCGCTGTGCTCATTAATATAGCCAGAAACTTGCTAAAAATTAAGAACCTTTTAAATAGTAAAACAAAATTTTTTAACCTTCCAACGTTCTTGAGTCCCAGGAGGGAATAAATTAACAGCTTTTACCAACAATTGTAATTCTGTATGAGTCCAAGCATTTGTTGTAGAAGAATTTGTTTTGGCATCATTTGGCTGGGCTGAATTTTTAGGCATTCCATTATTTGACTGTTTGGAGTTACTAGAACTCTCAGGATTTGACTGGAAAAGAGTAAAAAAAATTATTTTTTAAGCGAAATTTTGACTTAAAGATAGGAAAGGATTTAGGGCCCGTTCTCATCTACAGGTCTATTTTTGGTTGCTTTTTCTTTTGGAGAAGCAGGGAGTCATTTCAGCAACTCCTCAGATGCTGGCGGATATTGGGAGAGAGATCCTTTCTAGTTACGAATAGGGTTGGAGGCCCGGTCCTGTCCAAAAGATAAAGTCGGGCATCGAATTTTGACCCGAAAAAAACTCCGTCGGGTCTGCCCGATAAAAATGAAGCCCGAAAAAAAAATGACTAGAACGTCGGCTCGACTCTAAAATCGCAACCCTAGTTACGAGGGAGATACTTCCAAAGAAACTCTTCAGATGCTGACAGATATTGGGAAAGATCCTTCCTAGTTCCCTCATCCCTTCCCATTTTCCAGTTTACCTCCAGTTACGTTTCCTGTTCCTAGTTTTTCTTCGCAATTTAGATCTACAATCCTATTACGTTTCCTGTTTCCTAGTTTTTTTTCGCAATTTAGACCTACAATCCTATTACGTTTCCTGTTTCCTAGTTTTTTTTCGCAATTTAGACCTACAATCCTATTACGTTTCCTGTTTCCTAGTTTTTTTTCGCAATTTAGACCTACAATCCTAATCCCTCCTCTCCCCTTCACAACTTTGCAATTAAAAACACAAATTTAAAAAACTAACACATTCCCTCAATATCCTCAATGCATCATCATAAACACAAATATCTTTTAAACGTTCACAAAGATTAACCAAATCATCAACTTCTACAGACAAACATAACCTTTAAAAATAAATTTATTAAAAAAAATTTTTTTTAATTAAAAAACCTCTCAATCTGTTCTGAAATTGCAAAAACTTGTTCAGGATTTTCTGCAGCAAGTGAATTATCCAACCAATAATTTTTGGTAGATGATAAATCACGGAGTTGTTTACGTTGAGTTGACAACAATTTTTTCTTTTGTTGTTTAGCCTTTAAAAATAGGGAAATTAAAATGGTTAAAATTAAAGTACAATCTTTCGTTGCTTTCCTGAAAAACCGGGAGAGATCTTATGACTGGAGAGCTACTATTTCCCGGTTCCGGATTCTTATAGTTTTTTCCTTCCAGTTCAGTTCTTTCTATTATAAAGTTAATGTTTCTGATCTAGTTGATACGTCAAATGATCCCGATCAGTTTCCCAATCTTTAATGGACTCACAAACTAAACTAGAGCTCATATTCCAGACGTGGTAATGGACATGGAGTTATGGCGGATATAGGCGGATACCCGCAGGCAATTTGAAATTAGCTGTATCCATATCCATTACCAAGTCTGCCTTATTCGAAGTATTTTACAAACATCAAATATACATCGAATATCAAATATTCAGCTTCGACGAATTTATTTCATCGTCTATATTCCCCCTCACCTCCACACAAAAGACCAATTCAGATATAAATTATTTTTTCAAAATTTAAACCTGTAAAGCCTTCTTTTCCTCCTCATTCTTTTTAATCATTTCCTCTTCCAAATCCTTTTCTTTTTGCCTTTTTTGTTCCAATTCAATTTTTTCTTTCAATTCCTTTTCTTTACGTCTACGCTCTTTCATTTGCAATTTTTTATTTTTATCCTCCTCTTTAATTTTTACAATTCTTGGATCAACAGAATATGCCATCTCGACCAATGTAGAAATTCTTTTCAAATCTTTTTTTCGTCTTTTTTCTCTTTCAGCCTTTACAAAAAAAATTTTTGAAAAAATTTTTAAAATTTAAAAAAAACCTTATTTTGTTTTTCAATTTCTCTTCTTTCCCATCTATCCTCTCCTCGTTGTTTATCTTCAGCGTCCAAATAAGAAAATTCACGCCAAGATTTCCAATTGTACCAAAAATCGTAAAAATGTTCGACGTGGGAACGGTCACTTAAAAATTAAATTAATGGCTTTGGACTAGTTTATGAGTCCAATAAAAAGTTTATGAGTCCAATGAAAGTTAGTGATCATTAAGAGTATTTTTTTGTGAACTTTAGAGGTATGTGATTTTTTATTAGAGTCAAGGGCTCCCCTTGAGTCAAGCCCCCAAGCCCCCCCCCCCCCCCCCGAAATGGGGAAAAGGGAAAAATTTGAGGAGAGGATTAAGCAAAAATGTGAAATTTTTTCGCCTATGACCGTCCAAATTCTCAAAATTTTCGCCTGCGGCGCTGAAAAAATGAAAATAGTTAAAAAAATTTGCGTTAAGAACGCCAAAGCAAACGCCAAACTTTTGGCGCTCACCCAATTTTAGCCGCCCTTGAAATCGACCCCTGAAATTGACAAGCTACGACCTTGATTGGAGTTATAAAGGTTCATTGGACTCATAAACTAGGCCTGAGCCAAATAAATGAAAATTAGTCTCCCCCTCCTAAAAGGGTAAATAAAAATGATCAAATTAAAAAAAAACTTTGTTGCTGATCCTAAAATTCATTTATAAGACACAAATTTAGTCAAATAAATATAAATTTTTAGACACAGCATTAAATTTTAATTTATCCTCATTGATTAGAGCTTTACGTCTTTTTTAAAACAACGCAAACTCTTGCCCAACAAGGAAACAAACAATTAAACCACTAAACTACAAACACGCTAGTTTTTAGACAAAAATTATTCCTTACAAATTCGTCGGAATTTAATTTAAAAAAATATTAAAATTCAAAAACCTCTTTTCATCGCCAAGTAACGGCACTGGTTGGTTTACAGAAAATCTAGAAATAAAAAAATAAATTAAAAATTTTTAGGGGGGATAATATTTAAAAATGGTGAGTGACTTTTGGAAGGCCAAAGGTTTGGAAGGTTCTTGGCTACGTGTCTGCCTCCGGTTCCAGGAAAATAAAACAAATTCACAGTTATTGAAGCTGGTTCATGAAACCAAGAAAACACTAATATAGAGCTCATCCAACCCACACCCTACGTAAAAAATAAAACAAAACCTTGCATTTCTCTGAAAAACAGGACCCAAAACACGGAAAAAATTTGTAGAATTAACATCAGAATTGTCAGGAATGTTTTCATCAAAGGTTGGGTCAACAGAATCGAAAGCTCTCCTTTTCTCTTCAGAAACCCCCAATTGTTCATAAGCTTTTTGGATACAGGCAAAAACAGATTCACTTCGAAGTCCATCCCCAGCATTCCCTTTGTCTGGATGATATTTAAGTACTTTTTGGCGATCTTAAATTTTAGAAAAATCAAAGTCCATGGACCAAAATATTTTAAAAAATTTGCATTCCCAAGGTTTTCGAAGGTCAATTTAAAAAAATCAATGGGTGACAGTTAATCCCAATTTCAAGCCTAAAAATTATTTTTCAAAGAATTTGGAACTTGTAATAATCAAAAACCCAACAAAATGACTAAAAACCTCAGAACACATAATTACCACTTTCTCCAAAAATAGCAAATTGTAACAAACGCTAAAAAACAAACTCATACCAGACCCTACCGAAATATGAATCCCCGATTTCGGGAAACGGGATTACCAGCCCTCGTTAAAAATTTTCAAATTTAAGGAATAGGAATGGCAGAATTCCTTCTCCCCCTCCTAATTAAAAATAAAATAAAAATACATGCAGTCCTGATTTGTGCTGCTGTTGCTTCACATCTCAGCTTCGTCAGGCCAAGTATTTTATAACTTTAAAAAATTAAAAATATAAATCAAAAAAAAATTTAAAAACAAAACTGGTCTTGGTCCTTAGCGTCATTCGGATCCAATCTAGCCAGATATTTTTTGTATTTTTCAGTCTCCTCATCCATCCATTCAAAACTAGAATCTTCTGTTTCCTCTTCTATTTGGATTGGTTTTACAGCATTTTTTAAAATTGGCCAAGTTGAAAGTCCAAGAGTTAATTTGTCTTTAACTAGAGAAAATTCGTATGAAATACCAGCGGGTTCAATTTTACGCCGGCGGGAGAGAAAACCATAAATTGCTATGGCCATTTAAAATTATCTGGAAAATTTTTAAAAAGAAAAGAGTTAAAAAAGGTAGACTGGGAACTATTTTTTAATTTTTAAAAATTGTTTGCCGCCAAAAGGACTCGAACCTTCGACCTCTTTGGGAGGTCAAATTTTAAACATTTCCCACTAAACCAAAAGAACGGAATTTTTTCTAGAGAGTAATCAGTCGAATAATGAGTTTTCCGGTAAAGGAATCCTTTCTTGAGTCAAAAATAGATTTTAGTACTTCCTTTGTAGAGGTAAAATGCCCAGATCATCGGTTAAAGGGGTCGAAGGTTCGAGTCCGCTTGGCGGTAAATAATTTTTTTGAGAAGAAAATGGGTTAAAAACAAATAAAAAAGTATCAATCAGTATTGAAACCGATATTATTGAAAAATTATTTTAACGAAAAAAGCCAAAAATTTAATCAAAGATTAAAATTTTTACACAAAAAACCTCTAAAATTCAAGATTTTTTCTTTTATTTCTTTTCTTCAGCAATTCTTTTTCCAGAATTCTTCGACATTGAATTATTAATATTTTCTCGTTTTAATGGTTTATTTGACTCTTTTCCATCTCTACATTGCGGACAATACCATTTTCCTTTTGGAGATGTGGTTAGGCCAACACAAGGGAAATGGAACCATTCAATTAAACAGTTTTTGTTATCACAACAAACCATGCTTCCAAATGAAACCTTAAGAAAAATAGGGGAAAACAGTCAAAACTCATATGTAAGTACCCCCACTTGTAAAGGCGCCTCTCTTAAAGGTACAATTTTATTCTCAATTACGTTTACTCCCAGCTAATTTAACACATAAAAGGAACCATCGTTAACTTTGACTGTGAATTCAGGCCCGTAGCCAGGGGAGGGGGTGAGGGGGGGAATTCCCCCCCCCCCCCCGAAATGGGAAAAAGGAAAAAATTTGGGGAAGGGCTGGGGCAAAAAAAGTGAATTTTTTTGGCCTACGGCCTCTGAAATTTAAAAAATTTTCGCCTGAAAAAAAATCCTGGCTACGGGCCTGTGTGAATTAGATATAATTTTTGATCCACTCGATAGAGGACCCCCGACTTCCTATTGTGAAGTAATTCCACTCGGAGAAAAAACTGAAACATCGGAGAAAAAAATGAATTTGGGCTGACATTGGCCGAAATGACTTTTGGCTGTCAAAGTTCAGTCCATGGGCGTTGTGAGAAAAAAGAAGCGAGTTCCCACCCTCAAGGGCATACCTACAAGTGAGGTCCTACGTATCCTAACGGATAAAAAATATACCTGTTGGCAAACACAATATCTGGGCTCATTTGGATCAACAGGCATATCACAATGTCCAGGCATTATGAGTGGTGTTTGACCAGCAGTGACAACTAAAGAAACATCAGAGATATCTTCAGCGACTAATAAAAAGAATAAATTTATGATAACAAAAATTAAAAAAGGCAAACCTGTAGTATCTGTACGTTTACGCTTTTTGGGAGCAGAACTTGTACCGCTTGCTTTTCGCGAAGTAGTTGAGACTGGCGAAAGTGGAGTGGCGTGTTTGGACGTTTTGTTTGATTGTTGAAGATCTTCTAAAAATTTGTATAGAATAAGTAGGTTAGAGGAAAAGATTTTTTTGGAATTCTATTAGGGAGTACAAAAGTTTAATCTAGACAAGAAACAAAGGGGAGATCCAAAAATTGTGACAAACGGAGAGAAATGAGATGCAGAAACAACCAGTAGCGAACGTTTGTGGTCCGTTCTCGGTTCGGACCGTTCTAGACCATTATGGGAAAAACGTCTGAAAAAGACTCGATCCTTCGCGTCAAGTTCATTAACTTAGATACCCCTCCCCCCTTTCTGAATGTTTTTTGGTTACATGTATGACTTCATCCCACTTCTACGGATCGCCCACAAACCTATAATTAAAAGAAACCTTTTTTAAAGACATTTCTTGAGGTTGACGGAGTTTGTTTCTTCCCCTTTTCCTCAGTTTCATTCTGTTGCTGCTGCTTTTGAGCCAAAAGTGTGTTAAACTTCGAAGTGTCAGAATCCAATTTTTGAATAAAACTATCAACCAATTCGTAGGTTTCGGAGGCAATAGAAATCTTTTTGTCACAGAAACTTCTGGCTCTGAAAAAATTTTCAAGTTAGTTTCGTGCAGTCCTTTAGTTAAGTGGGAAAACGTTTGATTTCAACGTCCAAAGGGTATAAGGTTCGAGTCCTTTTGGTGGTAAACAATTTTATTTCGACAAAAAAGTAGTTAAAAACAAATTAGAATTGACAAGATTTGCGAACAAAGATTTGCGGACAAACCTCCTTAGATATCACCAAAATCGACCCAAAATCATTGTCTTAAGATCAACGTCTAAAGGGTATAAGGTTCGAGCACCTTTGGAGGTAAGTAATTTTATTTCGACGAAAAAGAGACAAAAGCATATTAGAAATTGAAAATTAGAAGTGATCCGGATTTGCGGAGAAATATTTGCGGACAATCCCCCTTATGTTAGATATCCCCAAATTCGACCCAAAAGATTTAAAAACTTTAACTTACTGTGCAAAACACTCTTCAATCTCTTCGTAATTTCGCCGTTGTTCCTGACGATTCAACTTATTCCAGGAACAAACCAACTTCATTATTTTCTTCTTAGCTTCTTGTTCTTTAAGTTTGTATTTAATGTCCAAATGTCTAATTGACAGCATATTAGAATCCATTTTCTGTTGAACTGGTCGGGCATTTTTTAAGCATTTTTCATACAAGTCGGATGCCATAATGAAAATTCTGAAAAGGAAAAGGCTTAAAAACTTGAAAAAATCAAGAAAACTTAAGTTCAAGCTTAAAGCAGGGATGAGACTCTAAAATTACACTTTTTCTTAAGTTCTCTAACCGTCTCTCATTTCTAACATACTCTCTCGCACATTTTTTCTTTTACTCAAACAGCAAAAAATAAAAATGGGTACGGCCCACTTAGTCGCGCGGCCACTTAGTCGCAGAGCTATAACTTCCTTCAAGTTTTCCGAATCTCACCAAATTTAGTATTAAACGATTCCTCTCATCGAGCTAAAGAGATTGGTACCAAAATTACTAAGGGCCAGAAATTTTTTAGCAAGTTATGGCTCTGCGACTAAGTGGCCGCGCGACTAAGTGGGCGTGTCCCAATAAAAATATAATGCCAAATCTCTGCCAAAAGTCGCAATTCGAAAATCTGAGGAAAATTTTTTTCCTAATTTTCTTATTTCTTATTTTTCATTTAATTTTGTTTTAGAGTTTTTCCCATTTTTTTCTAGAGTTTTCCTTTTATTTTTTACCAATAACCTTTTCAGTTGTTCTTTGTATTAATCAATTTATTGATTTATTTGTACAATGACTGAGGAAGACTTCGATAAGCAACTTAGAAGGTTTAAACCCTGACACAACCCCCTTCTAAATTTATTTATTATTAGGCTTTCCAAGAACTACAATCCCAAATACTAGAAAGTAGGGAGAACCAGAAGCATGCCGACGTTACAAAAGCTGCGATGAAACAAGTTTCTTCCTGATTCTTTTAAAATTTTTAAAAATATTTTTTAGAACATAAGAGTGGCAGAGATCGTTAAATTGCAATTGGAACACCTCCCTAAAGATGAGGATCGTGCTCTTTATTGGATTGTTGGTCGTGCGTTCTTACAAGAGACAACGACTTCAGGTTTGCGTTTTAAGTTTAAGGGGAACAAGTTGTGCTTGGAAAGCGGTTTAGTCCGCAACTAGTTTTGCGTTAGTCCGCAAGTTGTTTTTTAGTCCGCAATTAGATTGCGATAGTCCGCAAGTGGAGTCACCGCGTCGATCTCTGAGTCACCGCGTCGACTTCTCTCTGAGTCACCGCGTCGATCCCTGACAGTTTTACACAAATTGACGCTTACTAGCTTATGCCCAGTTTTGGCTCTGCTGTAGACTAGTAATCTTTTGCTGTCCTTTAGCTTTTTGAAGGTATTTGGTTCTGGAAAGAGGCCCATTTCCTTTGTGGTTTTTGAACATCTCTATTTAATTTTTTATTCAATTTGAATTTAATGTTTTGTCTTTAAGAGATTCAACGCCAGAATGCTGACATCAAACTGTGCAACGAGCGTATAACTTTAATGGATAGGCAGAAGGACTACTTGGCCAAAAGCATTGCCGATTCTGAGAAGAACTTGCGTGAGCTCATTCAGACGAGATGTTGAGAAGATTTCGAGTAGGAATGCAGTTGAAACAGTTTTCATTTTTTGGTTTTTTTGTTTTAATTTATATTCGTTTTTTGTTTGGTACAAGATACGCCTTATGTATCTTTCTTTACTTTTGAATTATCTCAGCAAGTGTCTACAAGTTCATTATAAACAGAAATTTAAACCGTTTTTCGGTCAGCTTGGAGTTGGGTTCGAACCCTCTTAATACGATAATTATTCTGATCCTATTGTTTTAAATTCTTTGTATTACTAAATTCCAGACAAAACTTGTGGGCATTTGTTACATCTTTTGGTAATAGTGCTGTTTCTGTTCGCCATTCTTTACTATTCCTCTTGATCTGAAAAATTTATTTTGTATACATTTTAAAATAAGTTTTTAAGTTATTATCTGCTTGTCTTGTTATTTCAATATTGAATATTTTTAGATGTTGTTTATATTAATTTTTGTTTTAATGATACAGATAACTGACCATTCCTGCTAAAATAATGTGTTTCAAATTGGGTCATTTGACACTTACTTTGGCTAATCGTGGTTCTGGTTACTCTCGTATTTTTTTGATTCGTAAGATTTTTTTAATTTTGGATCTTAGGATACCTTAGATTATTTTTTGATTTATTTCCCAACCCCCCTCCCAGTAAAATGTTTTTTTACATTTATGGGAAATATTTTACGAATATTTCTCATACTTTTGTTTTTTTTAATTCTTTCTAAATTATAGGGCGAATCCCTGCTTCACGTATTGACTTTACTAAAATGTTTTCTCAGAAAACTGATAATGTGCAAGAGGTTGTTTTAATGTTTTTGTTCGTATTATGTTATGAATTTAGAAACTGATGGTTAGTTATGACGTCAAAGACTTATTTGACAATGTTACGAAGCGTTTTGATAAATTTGATGATAAGGTTGATAAGCTAAAGGTTTTATATATATTTTTGAATTTATTGATTTTTACATTAGGACCTCGTTAACCAAGTTGACAAACAGTTGGTTGAACTTCGTGGGGATGTCAAGAAGGATCTGACTGAACTTCGTGGGGATGTCAAGAAGGATCTGACTGAACTTCGTGGGGATGTCAAGAAGGATCTGACTGAACTTCGTGGGGATGTCAAGAAGGATCTGACTGAACTTCGTGGGGATGTCAAGAAGGATCTGACTGAAATTCGTGGAGATGTTAAGAACATTTACATTATTGTGGCAATTTCTTTGAGTGTAATCTGTGCTGCGATAATTAATTCGTGGATTAGATCGCTTTCTGACAGGTTTTTCTTTGTATATAATTTTAAATCTATTATTTTATTCACTCTAGTGCAAAGGCTGGTAGAAGTGATACACCAATTACAACTTCTGATTCTTCTTCTAGTGTAGGTTACAAGAAAGGCACCGGTTTTGTTATGAAGGCTTTCAATGATGACTTATTTGATTCTCTCTATTTTCTTTTTTAAAAACTGGCAGCGTTAATATTGCTTCGGTTAGGTTCCAGTTTTTTTTGTTTTGACTTGTCTCATACCTCTTTGACTTTGGTATTTGTAGGATATCTAAAATATTTTCGCTTTCAAAAAACACATCCTTCCTTTTCTTGATTTGGTTTAGCCACTAAAAACCAAATCACTAAAAATAGCCACTAAAAATACTTTTACCTACAAATGCCTTTACTTATTTTTGAGATATTTATTTTCCATAGTCTCAAAAGCCTTATTATGTCTTTTGCTCATTTGACTTAATACGTGTAACCCAGACTTAAAAAATATTTATTTTTTATTCTAGATACTTGTGTAGTATTCCTAGGGTCTTATTTTGGTAATTGATAAATCTCCTACTTTTGCCGTTTTAGAATAGATGCTTAGTGGCGTCTTTTTTTAGAGTTGTTGGCATTTAAAACTCTTACTTAGGCTTGGATGTAGGTCTACAGCGATTTTAAGCTCCCTTTGTAAGCCACTCTATAATTCTGAGCTGTTAGTTGAGCTAGTCAATTGTTTCCTATTTGAGTGCGAGAAAATATTTAATAATGAGGTGGTTCATCATCTGTCCGCAAACATTGTCCGCAACTAGGTTTACTACACAAGTATCAGTTTTTAACTTTCTTTCGCAAAATAACAGGTATTGATTCGGTATTTATCCTTTATGTCACACCCCCTGTTTCTTACTTTTATTAAACCTTGGACCTTTTTGGCTAAAACTTTCGGCACCATGGACCATTTTTAATGAACTGATGGTTCAGACTAATTAGTGTAATTAGAGGGGAGGGGTTAAATCGATGGCCCCGCTGTCCCTTGCGACTGGTAACTGTTGAATTCTTGGGTCAGTTGAGCGCTAGGGAGTTGACTTTAGGAAGTTGAGATTCAGAGTTGATCTTGTACGAAGTAAGGGGTTGACATAAAGTAAAGTACCGTTTATTTACATATAGACCTCAGGGATGGGTCGGGTCAACCGAAACCCTGACTTTTTTCAACCCCAAGGCCCGAAAAAATTTTTGAAACTCGTCCCGAACCCCGACCCAACTTTTTTCTCAACCCGATCCATCCCTGATATATACTACAGACATTTTTTTAATTAATTAATAAAACTAATTTATAATTTGAAATAAATTTTTCTTAAATTTTTTATACATTTTTAAATAAGTTTTTAAGTTTCTGCTTGTCATGTTATTTTAATATTGAATATTTTTAGATGTTGTTTATATTAATTTTTGTTATAATGATACAGATAACTGACCATTCCTGCTAAAATAATGTGTTTCAAATTGGGTCATTTGACACTTACTTTGGCTAATCGTGGTTCTGGTTACTCTCGTATTTTTTTGATTCGTAAGATTTTTTTAATTTTGGATCTTAGGATACCTTAGATTATTTTTTGATTTATTTCCCAACCCCCCTCCCAGTAAAATGTTTTTTTACATTTATGGGAAATATTTTACGAATATTTCTCATACTTTTGTTTTTTTTAATTCTTTCTAAATTATAGGGCGAATGCCAGCTTCTCGTATTGACTTTACTAAAATGTTTTCTCAGAAAACGGATAATGTGCAAGAGGTTGTTTTAATGTTTTTGTTCGTATTATGTTATGAATTTAGAAACTGATGGTTAGTTATGACATCAAAGACCTTTTTGATAACGTTACGAAGCGTTTTGATAAATTTGATGATAAGGTTGATAAGTTAAAGGTTTTTATATATTTTCTGAATTTATTGATATTTTTACATTAGGACCTCGTTAACCAAGTTGACAAGCAGTTGGTTGAACTTCGTGGGGATTTTAAGAAGGATATGGTTGAACTTCGTGGGGATGTCAAGAAGGATCTGACTGAACTTCGTGGGGATGTTAAGAAGGATCTAGCTGAAATTCGTGGAGATGTTAGGAACATTTACATTATTGTGGCAATTTCCTTGAGTGTAATCTGTGCTGCGATAATAAATTCGTGGGTTAGATCGCTTTCTGACAGGTTTTTCTTTTTATATAATTTTAAATCTATTATCTTATTCACTCTAGTTCTAAAAGTGAGAAAGGTTCAACTTCTACTCATGATGGTTATAGTAAAGGATCCGGATTTGTTTTGAAGGCTTTCAATGATGACAAATTTCTTGATCTACTCTGCAATCTAGATTGATGATCTTTCTTTTTTAATCGTTGAAACGTCATATTGATTTGGTTAGATTTTGAAGGTTTCATTTTTTTGACTTGTCTCATACCTCTTTGACTTTGGTATTTGTAGGGTATCTAAAATATTTTCGCTTTCAAAAAACACATCCTTCATTTTCGATTTGGTTTAGCCACTAAAAATACTTTTACCTACAAATGCCTTTACTTATTTTTGAGATATTTATTTTCCATAATCTCAAAAGCCTTATTATGTCTCCTGCTCATTTGACTTAATACGTGTAACCCAGACTTAAAAAATATTTATTTTTTATTCTAGATACTTGTGTAGTATTCCTAGGGTCTTATTTTGGTAATTGATAAATCTCCTACTTTTGCCGTTTTAGAATAGATGCTTAGTGGCGTCTTTTTTGAGGGTTGCTGGCATTTAAAACTCTTAGGATTGGATGTAAAAACTTGTAAGTTTTAAACTCCCTTTGTAAGACACTCTATAATTCTGAGTTGTTAGTTGAGCTATATTTGAGTTCGAGAAATTAATTATTTAATAATGAGGTGGTTTATCATCTGTCCGCAAACATTGTCCGCAACTAGGTTTACTACACAAGTATCAGTTTTTTAATTTTCTTTTGCAAAATAACAGGTATTGATTCGGTATTTATCCTTTATGTCACACCCCATGTTTCTTACTTTTATTAAACCCTGGACCTTTGGCTAAAACTTTTGGTACCATGGACCATTTAGTTAATGAACTTTGCGACGGTGTGGTTCAGACTAATTAGTGTAATTAGAGGGGAGGGGTAAATCGATGGCCCCGCTTACCCCGCGACTGGGGTAACTGTTGAACTCTAGGGCCAGTTGAGCGCTAGGGAGTTGACTTTAGAAAGCTGAGATTCAGAGTTGATCTTGTACGTAGTGAGGGTTGACATAAAGGAAAGTACCGTTTATTTACATATAGACCCCAGGGATGGGTCGGGTTAACCGAAACCCTGACTTTTTTCGACTTTTTTTCGACCGATCCGAAGAAAATTTAAAAACCCGATCCGACCCCCGACCCAACTTTTTTCTCAACCCGATCCATCCCTGATATATACTACAGACATTTTTTTAATTAATTAATAAAACTAATTTATAATTTGAAATAAATTTTTCTTAAATTTTTAATGTAATTTATTAAATATTTCAAAAATGTTTATAATCATTTTAAATATTTATAAAAATTAAGAAAGACCAAGTAAAGGTTTGAACTTGCAAAATCCAAAAATTAAATTGCGTCGATTTATTTTTAGTTTTTACATTTATTGGGCCAATTCTTAAGTAAAAAATTTTTTCCCATTATTGGCATAATGCCAGTATAATTTTATAGATAAGGTAAAAATAGGAGGGTAAAAATTGAACTGATATTCTATATGCCGAAATTTAACATTTTTTTGTCCTAACGATTTCAATAGATCAGAAAGAAATGTCAGATACCGACGATGCATTACTGCGTTAATTTTTTGTTATCCATAGTTTAGTTGATTTGCTTTTGGTTTGTAGTACTAATAGGTCTAGGGTTCGAACCCACTGGTTGAAATTTAATTTTATTTTTGAGTGAAAAATTATTTTTAGTACAAAAAATGTAAAAATCAACATATATACGTTAATTTAAAATTTTATTTAGGGTCTTATATCACTTAAAATTATTTTAAAAATGAATAATGAAGAAGATGGTCAACTCACTTCGCGTTACAGTTATCAGGATTTTTTGGAATTACTTTCAACCTATGAGGGTGAGGTACAAGCTAGAGATGTTATAATTGATTGTCTTCTCAAAAAACAACAGGTTTTAATTTTTATTAGCTTTTCTATAATTTTGGGGATACATGGTCCTTGACGGTTTGAAGTCTTTGTCATTTTTTGGCTTCTCAATTTTGAAAATTTATAAGTTTTCGATGGGTGCTATTCTGCTCAAACTGGAGCAGAAGTCATAAATGTTTGAAGTTTTCAACTGTCAAAATTCCTAGATTTAGTCTTTAATTTAATAAATGCTGGAATCTTGTTTGCTTAAGGGACTTGAATAAGTTCATTAGTGCGCGGCCCCGGACCGAATTTCTCCGAAGTCTAGGCCATAATCTGGGGTTTTCAACGATCTCCGGACTATTTCCTGGTCGGATTAACTCAGAAAGCTTTGCCGTGTCCATCCCCTCCGCATGAGCGCGAGAATCCTATTCTTGACATGAATAAGCAATTTTGCCGTAGATTAATTTCATCCTTCAAGTCGACCAAACTTTTTGACTTTAATTCAAAAAAATTTTTTCAGTTAACTTCTACTCCCAATCTTCCTTCAAATTCAACAGCAAATGCATTAGAATCCTTAGTTAGAGATTCAACATATATAGATTCTTCTAGTCTACAATCAGTCAATCGTTGTTGTTCTTCTTGTAGCAATAATCTTTTGTCTACTGCAAAATTTCTTCTTTCACAAAGAGAGGCTGATATTAAAATTGAAAAGGTTTGGAAAAATTTTACGAGTTATTTTGTTGAGTGGAGTTTACTCGGAGTATATCTTAAAAATATCTGCCCCGTCCCCTTATCGACAGTGGAGAACAGGGGAGATATGGAATCTTCTCCCTCTTTTGGTGCTTCCTCCATAATTTTTTTAGACAGTCACACTGTTGGGGGCAATAAAGTTTTTGACTAGGAATTTTTATGAATATCAAATAGTGAATTTGTGTCCTAAGAATTGACTGCCCATCGCTCAGGACGCGACAAAATACCCACTTTACTCGAATAATCTCGGAAAACGGAATGTCCAACTGAACTAGATTGGGATCACCGATCCTTTATATATTATATGGAGTGATTTGTTTTTATTTTTAGTGCCTAAACTTATTAACACAACGTCATTCAAAATATATGGAAGAATTGGCGGAAAAGCATAAACATATTCTTGGCATTGCTAAAGGCGAGGATGGTTATATTAAAGAATTGGAACTTGAAAGGGATCAGCTTTTTGAACAGGTTTTTAATTTTTGGGTGATTATGAATTTTTTTGAGATTTTATTCTCTTTTTGGCTAAATATTTGGTGGTTTTCGGATTATTTTCAAACATTTTTGTACCAAAAATTCAAAATCGGAAGAATAATAGGCTCTTGTCTAGTTGTAAGCCTCTTTTGTTCAGACCAACTGGCCATAGCAGGGATTCTAGCAGACAAAAAAAACAAATTTGCAATTTCGGGAAGACATAACATTTTAATTTCCAATTTCGGATCGGAATCGCTACCCAAAAATCAGAAATTTCCGATTTTCAGGAAGGGTCGGCAAAAATCTATAGGAAAAAATCTTACAAACCCAAATTTTGAAAATTAATGGACATACAATACTCAACATTGTGAGAGACATAGATTCTCGTAGATCCAGACATAGATCCCATGTCACGACACATAAACTGGACATGGGCCTAAAAAATTGACGCTTTCTCTGTTTATATTTTCTTTTTCGTTTTCAGCTTAAAAATCGTCAAGATGATTTTACCGAATTGGAAGAAGAAAAGACAAAAATTGAACAAAAATATTTGGAAGAAAGAGAACGTGAAAAACTTTTGGTTCTTTTCTTGTTAGAAGAACGAGGAAAATTGCTAAAAGAGATTGGAGAACTTAAAGCTGTTAATAAAACGTCAACAGGTTTTTATTAAAGTTAAAAATTGATTATATGTTGTCTGTGGTGTATTCGGATAGTTTTTTTGTTTTCGTAACTGAGGGGTGTTAAAGGTTCGAGTCCTTTTGGTGGACACGATTAAACGAAAAATTTTCCCTTATTCTTTTTCCATTCAAGAACGAGTATATTCGCTCAAAAATTTTATCGATTGGTTTTAAGATCCTCTGCGGTTTAGTTGGATATTTCTTTGTTTTCGAACATAGGGAGTTGAAGGTTCGAGTCCTGTTAGTGGACATCAATTTTAATTTTGGGAAAAATGTTTTCCTTGAATTTTTCCTTAAAAAAGTAGTTTGATTTGCTTAAATTTTTTATCGAAAAAATTTTATCAAAGAGCATCTTTGGTGTATTGGGATAGTTCTTTGTTTTCGTAATTAAGGAATCGAAGGTTCGAATCCCATCAGTGGATATCAATTTTTAATTAAAAGGAAAATAGTTTTTCTTTGAAAAGAGGTGTCTGTTCACTCAATTTTTACCTTGAAAAAATTTTTTTTAGTTTCAGCCCCCTCAGAATCTTCATGTACAACTTCCTCAAACGATTCCAATTTAAAATTATTATACGCAAATTTGGAAGAAGAAAACAAACAATTACACAAATCATTAAGACATGTTCACTCTGAAAAATCGATTCTACAAAAAAGATTGGATTTTTTGTTGAGAGATTTGCAGCAAAATGAGTTTCAACGTCAATTTCATTTTCTTCAGGTTTTTTTTTTGCTTAAGAAATTTCTCGGGATTTTTGAAAAAATTATTTTTTTGGTAATTTAAAGTTTATGTTTCTACCTATTTTCTTTATCCCCAGTTTTCTTTATTATTCTTTTTTGAGTGTTTATTAATTTAAAAACAGGACCCACAGGGTTGATTAATTTCTGACTTTACTATAGTTGGAGTTTAGCACCAAACTTATAATTAGAGCCCGGAATTTCGTATCTGTCGGTATTTCGTACCGTACTACCGATACGGAATACCGAAGAATACGGCCGTAGTACGGTACGGTCCGGTTCATTTCTGACTTGAAATGAACCGGACCGGTTCATTTCTGAGCTTTATGCTCTCCACTAGGGACACTAAAATGTGAAAACACAAAGTCTAAAATAGCCACAACAAAAATTCGAAAAAATTAAAAAAGATTTTTTCTAATTGAAATTTAAAAAAAATTCATTTTTTCAGCCTAGAACAGGTTCCATATCAGAAAAAGAAATGATTATAATTGGAACGCCCACAAATAATTTTAACAACAACACAATGCCTCCCCCATTTCCAACAGACAAAAATAGTCGAATTATTTCTAATAATAAAATTAAAAATTCTTCAAGTTTTCCACAAACATTAGACAATTTACAACAACAATTAAATAAAAAACCTCCAATAGAACGAAAACAATCCACAAAAACTTCACATTTTGACCCTCAAAATAAATTGTCGACGAATTGTCATTTTTCTTCAAGTTCGTCAATTGTCCCCCAAAGTGTCGGTAATTCAACAACAACAATGTTGGTTAATACAAGAAAAACATCTCAACAACAACAACCTAAAACTAATGTTTTTAATAATTTAAATAATAACAATTTTCAACAACAACAGCAACAACATTATTATAGAAATATAAATGTTGGTGGGAGTGGGGGAACATTTGAACAAATGAAAAAATATCAACAACAACCACAAACAGGTTTTTATTTTATTTTATGTGGGTTTTGTAATTTTCGAAAATTTTAAATTATTTTTTTGGTTATCCTTTAGGGACGGGACGGGTTGAAAAACTTTGGGCGTGTATTTTTTAATTTATTTTCGGGTCGACAAAATCTGTATTTGGGTCCAACCCCAAAATTGACTCAACTTGTTTGGGGCGAGACGACGACTCAGACTCACAAACGACTCACCTTCTGTCATGGTCTTGGAGTAAGTCTCGCTTAACTTTTAACGAGTTGAGTGAAGGTCTTACATGCTCGACTCTTTTAAGGTTTTAGAGAATATTCCAAAGCATGGGGTACAAGTCAGAATAATTTTGACGTCGTTAAACAGATCTAATCCTTTACCATTATGCATCCTTGGCTTTTTGTAATATTTTGTTGTTCTAGTTATATGTCGTCGAAGTACTTCACTTCCTCGCCGTATAATTAGCGCTGCACAACAAAATTCACCAATTTCAACAAAACATTTACTTCTTCCCCATAATTCCTCTGAACAACAACACCAACAACGTAATGATTTTTATCAAAAACCCCCACTTATGGGAACAACAAATTATGCAAATAATAATAAAAATATGTGATTTTTTCTTAAATTAAATTAGAGAAGTGGATCTCCTAAAAAATATTTTTTAGGGGATTTAAAAAAATTTTTTAGGAGATTTTAAAAATTTTTTTTTAAATTTTTAATTAATTTAGTTTTTCCCCTCCTCATTTTCTTTTCCTTCCCAAAATATTTTTTTATTTTTTTTCATAATACCTTATTTTAATGGCTACAGCCCAAAACAGCGCGAGGCCATAACGGCGCAAAGCCATAACTTGCTGGAAAATTTCTGGCCCCTAACAATTTTGGTATCATTCTCTTTGGCTCAATGAGAAGAATCGTTTAATACTAAATTTTGAAAGCTTTGTTAATTTTGAAGCGGGTTATGGCTTTGCGCCGTTATGGCCTCGCGCCTACTTGGGCGTACCCCCAATTTAATTTTTTAACAATATAGGCTAGTTTAATTTCCAATTTTTTTTCTGGTTGACTAGGATTATTTTTCTATTTTATTTTTTGTTTTTCCGGTCACTAACTTGAATGTTGTTCTTTTTACAAAATTTTTTTAAATTTAAATTAGCAGCCCTGACAATATTTTTTTGGGCAAAATTCTGACACCAAGAAAGTCACAAATCCATCCGGACTATCCGGAAACTCCGGGAAAACCCCTAAAACTCCAAAAAGCCTTACTTGACTAACCCTAAAATTCCCAACATGTCCGCCCTTGGAAGGTCAGAGTTGCTACCCATCCTAACCTTTTTTTTAATTGTTTTGAGTGCCTTTTACCGTTCACTCTCTATTTGTTAGATATGTAGGATTAGAAAAAAGTCAAAATTCTACCAATAAATAATTTTTAAAAATGCCTAGCTTCCCAAAATTACTTATTCTCATTATTCACTAATTTGTTTATTTTTTAGTCACGAGAAGAACATTGATTTTTCCGAAAATTTAAATTTCCAAAAAATGAGCTGAATAAAAGATGTATTATTATCCAATTATCTCCTTGCTTTTCTGTATCAACGTCTTATTTTTCACCTAAAGTCGTTTTTTTCGGTACTTCTGTTAGGTCTTGAGAATGCCAAAAATTTTCTCTGGAAAATTTTTTTGGAACTTTCAATGGGCAGGAAAAAACTATCAAGTTTAGGTATACTAGTTTAATCTAGAGAACGGATTGGGAGCAGGACCGTTCCCAGAGGGATGGCCTTCTAAAATCCTCAAAAATGCAAGGCGATAGTCGGGTAATACCTTTAATTTTTTAATTGTCTAATAAAAAAAGATCAATTGTTCTCCAAAGATTCATAAAATTAAATAATTTAGAAAATAAAACAACCCAAAAAATTTTTTTGTTTTCTTCAAATAGATTTCCTCCGCTCTACCTCTTCCACAATTTCTGCCACATTTAATTTAGTAGGAGGAGGAATTTCTTCTTCTTCTCCATCTTGTACTTCTTTTTGTTGTTCCTTTCCTTTTATTCCAAATATTCTTTTTAACATACTTTTAACGTTCCATAATTTTGGAATTAAAGATTCGTTTTTCTTAAAGTTATATTAAAAAAATTATTTTTAAAAACTTAAAAAAAACCTTCAATTTGTGAACATTTCTTAAAGATTCACTCCATAATGGATATATTTTATCCAAAATTGGACAATAAGAATGATGCTCTTCCATTGGGTTAAGAGGTAATTTCTGTGAAAAGACGCAACATTTTAAATCCCGACCGCATAAATGACAGGAAAATTGAATTCCTTCGTTGTTCCTAGATAAAAAAAAAGATTTTGATAGGAGTTTTGATCCTCAATTTTGAATAGAAAAACTTTCTTAAAGGTGACGGTATGAAAAATCCAACAGAACAACCTGAGTTTAAGGTGCAGTACGAAACGGATCCTGACGAGATTTTCCATGATCCCGTTCTGAAATCCCAGGAGTTTCAACGACAGACGGGAATTAACAGGACTTTCGGAATTAATCCCAAGGGATCCTGTACCGTTCAACTTTTTGAAAAAGACTCCTGGGCTTGATCTTTGGGGGAAAATTGTTAAGAGTTTTTGGTAAAAGAATCAAGTCCAGGATCCCTTTTTCAAAAAATTGAACGGTACAGGATCCCACGGGATTAATTCCGAAACTGCTCTCTAGCTAGCAACGAGTCGAGAAGGAAACCTTGGAAGAGAAACCAATTAAAGTGTACTCAAAACTCAGGATCAAGTCCAAAATCAATGTTAAAGCTCACAATTACTTAACTTAATCCTATAATTAATTTAAAAAAATAAAAATACTTTTCAGCAGGTAACCATCCAAAAATTGCCATTTGAAGAAAAAATTGATTAACATTTCCAAATTTTTTTAAACTTTCCTCGTCATCAAAAGCTTTAATAAAATCAACTTCTGGAAGATTCGACTCAGCCAAAACTTTGTATCGTTCAATTACATCGTATGGATTGGAAATTGAAAGACCACCGTTTGTTCTCCACGGACATATAACTGTGTGGGCTTCTACAAGTCTTCGTTGAATATACCTAAAAAGAGAAAAAAAATTTTTAGGATTTATAGGATTGAGCTTGATTTGATTTTTCCTTCCTGAACTTTTTCTAGACTTAAAAGTTAGGATCCGGTCCAGATTAGAAATCAAATCCAGAATGGATGGGCTCTATTTTCCGCAGAATTTAGTCTTTTTTGGCTCTGTCGCTTTACGTTTCGTATGCCTAGTCTGACAAGGAGAGTTTGCGAGGTCCGAGCTCAGAGGGTCCACTCACAGAATCTAGACCAGGGATAGGCTACCCTCCCGCTTCCGTAAAATTCCGCCGTGTTTTTGACCCTTTCGCCTCTATTTTCTGTTTGTCGCTTTATTTTGTAATGTATTTTAATGGTCCGATCCAAAACTTTTTTAAAAAAAGTTTATATTAAAGCCATCAAAGGAGACCAAAAAGACAGAAAATTTTTGAAGGAAAAATCATATTAATTTAATTTAATGAAAAAATAAATTAAGAAACAAACCAAATACACCGATTAAATACTCGATTCGTAATATCTTCACCAACAGGCATTTTAACGCATAAAATCTTTTCACAATCATCACATTGAAGAAAATCGTCTCTAATATTTTTCCAACCATGTCTAGCACATTCTACTGGAGATACTTCCTTTGACAATAAAATTCGACTTTTGAGCTGAAAAAAGAGGGAGGGAGGTGATTAGACTCAGGTTAAAACACACGGTCCAGACAAAATACCGTCAGACTATGTTTGGGACGGTATTTTGGTATACGGTGTTTTGTCGGACCGTGTTTTGACCCCAGCCCTTATATAATAAATTTAACTAACATCAAAAGTTGCAAGTCTCTGGCGATATTTCTCCCAACGTTCACCTCCATAATCCAAAAATTCAATATTCCCATCATCATTTTTCACGTTCGCAGCTTCATTTTCTACCAAAAATTCTGATATTGAACGACGCAAATTTTTGACGAGTACAGGACATTCTAACTCTGTATCGGCTTTACGCTTAAGCATGATGCTAAAATTTGAAAGAAAAAAAATTTTTTTATTGAAAAAACGAGAAAAAAAGACAATAGAAATCGATAGGTCAATTTAAAAAATTAAATTTAAGTTTGACACTTCGCCATATTTTTCTTTTCCTTTATTTGTGTATGCTCCAATTTTTGCCAATACATATTTTGCCAATGAGGCTAAAAAATCTCGTTTTGCCAATCAACTTAGTGGCAAAAAGTAAGTTTTTAGCCTTACTGGCGAAATGTCCATCGGCAAATAGTATATACTATATTGTGTGTTTAGAGAAAGAAAAGGTTAGACAAACTTTAAATTAATTATAAATAGAGAAAGAAAAAATTGGAGAAAGTGTGCACTATTTCTCTATTTTTCCAATATTTCTCAACTGATTTTTTTTCTGTCAACTTTCAAAATGTCAACTAAATTAAACATTTCAAAACATCACACAGTGTAAATTACTACAAAATTTATTGTTAAGGAGAGAATGGTATTTAAAAGGCAGTCCTCATTTTCTCTATCTATTCTCGATAATTTTGTTTAGTCACTTTACAATTTTTTAAGTGTATAGGTTGGTGTCAATTTTATTTCTAAATTTGGTTGGGTTTAGTAAACAGGAAATTTTTTTGAATTATTCGAAATTTTATATTGAAAATTTTGGAGTGGATTCGGAGGTGTTTATTGAACTGGGTCATATTCTGAGATGATTTTGAGGGTTTAGGAATAATCCTAGGCGTAGGAAAACTTCCAGAAAGCTTGAAAAATGGGTGGGGCTGTGAATAGAAAAAGCTTAGAGGCCATGGCTAATAAGGGAACTTTCCTAACTGGGACCAAAATATTTTTTCATCGTGGTCGATAACCTATTCCCATACCTGACTTTTCTTTCCCTGACCCCCATTTCGAATTGCCTATCCAGTTTGAGAGGCAATTCTCTTATCATTTGTGCCTTGCATTTTCTTTTTCCCCTATTTTCACTTTTCTTGCCAGTGGCCATCAAAACAATCATAAAAACGAATTAATTTAGGCATACAAACTGTTAAAAGGTCACATTCTTAATTACACAAAATTAAACTTTTTTGAATTGTGTTGATTGCCACTGGCCAAAAAAGGGTGTAAAAATAGGCAGACTTTCGTGCCTTGCTGAGCACTATAAATATTTGTCATTTTTTACTTGTAATCACATTTTTTTAATTTGAATTAAAAAAATTTTCTTTTTTTTCAGCTTCTACCCAAATAATTTATACTCCTCAGGCTAGATTATTTTTAGCTTTTCTTCAGATTTATTTTTTTTGTTCATTTTTGTCGTTAGATGAGTATAGCAGAAATGTCTAGTGATGATAATTCTGATAAAGAGTGCCCCTTGTGTATGGAGGCCTTTGACCTTGATGACTTTAACTTTTTTCCATGCAATTGTCAATATCAAATTTGTAGATTTTGTTGGCATCGGATCAGGTTTATTAAATATTTTTTGGCAAGCTAATAATAGTGCTTGTGCTGGGGATTCACCCAGATTGGACCTTTAGGGAGTTGATCTTCAGGGCTAGACCCTAGGCCGATTTCTATAGCTTGAGGCTTTCTGACAATTCCGTAGCCAGGGGTAGGGGAAATCCTGGCTACGGGCCTGTTTATGACGCCAGCTTTTTCCCTCGGTCCTGAGTTTAGTTTAAACCATCAAACCAATTTTCTTTTATTTTCCCTTATCTTGATATTCTTTGATTTAAGTTCATTAATTTTAAGTTCATTATTTGACGCCGAGATTGAGTTGTTTTCAGATGACCTTTTAAATATGCAAGTTTCCCTTTAATGGCTTTTATATCATCCTGCCTGTTGAATAGCTTGAGCTTTAGGGGGCCACTAATCTAAGATCCTGATAGATTAGTGGCCCTAGGCTAAAGAATATCAAGGTTACGTAAAAGTCAAGTAACCCTGTAAATTGAGGGAAAATTGGTTTTGTGGGCCCAATGCCCCCATTTTGGCCCCTCCCCCAGCTCCAGATCTGGGGCCTGATATGGTCGATATATATGTTATTCCATTCTCATGTCAGTTCGCTTGCTTTTTGTAATGACGGCGACCATAGCTGGACTTGACCCCTCAAAATCTTTTTTTACAGAATTTAGACTCTGTCCTGCCTTTTGAATCCAACCTACCTAAGCTTCAGATTGTTCTCACATTAATTAAAAATCCATTTCAGAACGAATGAGAATGGACTTTGCCCGGCCTGTAGACAATCTTACCCAGAAGATCCAGTCAACTTTCAGCCACTTTCTAGCGCAGAAGTTCACAAAATTAAGACAGAGAAAAAGCAAAAAGTTTTACAACAGAAAAACAAAATTATTGAAGACAGAAAACATTTGTCAGAATATAGAGTGCTTCAGAAAAATTTGGTTTATGCAGTTGGGATAAGTCAGCGTATGGCGAATCCTGAACTTTTGAAAAAGTTTGTTTGCATTTTTTTTATTTTGGAGGGGTTTCTTGGACAAGTGTGAATATAACAGAGTCTCCTTGGTAATATTGAACCGGACAGACTCGTTTTTTCCTCCCGAATTTCCCCCCTATATTTTTCCAAATGGTCATACTTTTTTCTTTAAATCCAATTTGCCTTCCAAATTTATGCCTAAAATCAAACATAAATTATTATTTTTCATATTTTATTTCCCATTTCTCCTAACTAATTTTATAATGGAAGAAAGGCAATTTGGATCGAAGACAGGAATCCTTTTTTGGTATTTTTCGGACCATTTTGTCCCTTTTCAGGAAAAATAACGAAACCTAGTTCTGGGAAAAATAGTCAGAAAAATAAAAGGGAAATACGGAATGTGTGGGCCATAGTATTTTCTAAAAACCGCCCAAGACTCTTGGTCTTGATTCCTGACTCAGGACTTCTTGGGGTTTTTTTTTCGGTCTTGGTCTTGGGGTCTAGTTTTGGTCGTGAGTCTTGGAAAAATTTCGGTCTTGGACGTTTCTAGTATTTCCTTCATATTAACGAGTATTTCCCTGTACTTTACTTGTTGAATTTTTTTTCGACATTTCTTTTGGGTGTTTATTCTTTTTGCCTCCACAAACTCGTGTTCAAAAAATTTATTCAAGAGAAGGGAAAAAATCCGCAAAAAACTGCCCGCAAAAATTTTTCAACTTTAAAAATTCTTTTTTAGGCCAGAATTTTTTGGAAAATTTGGCAAGATCCTCAAAGTTGCAGTTGGTACCGCTCAAGCAATAAACAATTCGACACCTCCGACACACACTGCCTATGTGACATTTGCTCGTTGTGAAGATGCACTTAGAGCTATTCAAGCAGTTAATAATATGGTTGTTGAAGGCCGTCTGTTGAAAGCGTCGTTAGGCACAACTAAATATTGCTCAAGTTTTTTGAAGGGACAGACTTGTTATAAACCGGTATTTATTTAAAACTTTTTTTAATTGGGAGAAGGACTTGGGTCGATTTTTCCATGGAATACCCTTGGGTTATCTTCATTATTTTATCTTCTATAAATTTTATTTTTTAAGGAATGTATGTATTTACATGAGGTGGCAGATGAAAAAATTAGCTTTACAAAGGAGGACATGCATCAAGGTTGTTTTTAAATTAATTTTTATAAATTTGGGACTGGTACTATATTTGAATTTGTTGATCGTCCCCCAATCTTAAGAGAAGTCTAGAAAAATTTTAGGTTTAGGGAACCCCAGTAGCTTTTAAATTATGATTGGAAACAGAAAACGGTAATAGTCGGTTTCGTACCCCGCACTTTTTTTCTTTCTAAATGTATTAAAAAATGGTCAGTCAGTCTTAGGTTATAGAACTCGTCGAGCTGTGTCGAATGACACCAAAATCAACCATTGGTCTTAATTTTGGGCCAAGATACAAACAAAAACCCTTTGAAAAAGTAAGGTGTTGCAAAAGCGTCTCACGACTACAATACGATTGCTTCATGTCATAACTTTGTCAAATCTTGTTCAATTATGTTGGTTTTGATGTCATTCGAATCAGCTCGACAAGCTCTTTCGAGCTCTCTTACAAGCTCTCGACAAGCTCTTATTTGTTTAAAAATGAGCTTCGTCCAAAAAATGAGTTTGGTCCACCCTTTTATTTTTCAAATTTCGTGGGTCTGTATCTTGGCCCAAAATTAAGACCAATGGTTGATTTTGGTGTCATTCGACACAGCTCGACGAGTTCTATAACCTAAGACTGACTGACCATTTTTTAATACATTTAGAAAGGAAAAAAAGTGCGGGGTACGAAACCGACTATTACCCAGAAAACCCTCAAAGGACTCGACCCAGACCATGCCCGTAGTCGAAACCTGGTTAGGAACTTTGTTTAAACTCCAGTCTGGCCTTTAATCGTTAAAATACTTCAAAATTAATTTAAGGAAAACACACAGAATATGAACGCCGATTGCTCGAACATATGTTTGCCTTGTTTGGAATTCAAGGTTCAACGGGTTTTAATCAGCAACAACAACAGACTTCTACGTGCAGAGAATTGGTGGTGGCAAGAAATCGTGCGAGAGTGATGACATCGGGAGGAGAGCAATTGTATATTTTTTTGTTAATTTTGAGCGGATTTTTTATTTTAAAATTTTTTCTGACATTAATTTATGGATTTTTACTAATTGAAAATCCATTTTCCTTCGAATAAAAATATTTTTCCTTCGAAGGTATTCGAACCTTGGACCCCTTCCTGTTGAATCAAAAAATTTTCCCACTGCACCAAAGTGTACATATTTTCTAAATTTTAATGATGTTGGGGTGGATGAAGTTTGGAATACTTTTTTAAATTTATAAGATGTTGGGTAAAATTTTAATTATTTTTTACAGGGAAAAGAAGCGTCCTACAAGCGGTTCAGTTGAAAATTTGCCAAAAATGATATCACAACAAATTAAGCAGAAAAAAGGAAATGATGATACAGTTTTAACACAGAAGATACAACAACAACAGCAAAAACCATTAACAATTAATGGAGATGTTTTAAATAATAATAATTTTGAAAAATCAAATAATTCACAACAACAAATGTTGCTGCAAAATAATAATAACAAAATGTCTTCTTCATCAACATCAACAACACCATCTCCGCCAACATTTGTTGCTGTTTCTCAAAATGTTTTGATTCAACAACAACATCAACCACCAAATTCTTCTACAATTAATTCGTTTGTTGATGATGATGATTTGGGATTTGATCCTTTTGAAGGTTTTTTTTAATTTTTTGGGAAGTTTTTGGGAATGTTGTGAAATTGTCCGCAACTGGGATAGGTTACCAGAAACCCTCGTCTTTTTTGAAAATCCGATCCGAAACCCGACCCGTGAATTTTTCTTTTAAAAACCTGATATGAAGCCGACTCGGCTTTTTTTCAATCCGACCCATCCTGGTCCGCAATAGTTGTCAGCAAAAAAATTTTTTTTGATTCTAATAATAAGTTGGATTGGACCATGACACTAGAGTTGGTTAAAAGAAAATTGTCAGGTTCAGACTCGTATCTAGAGGGAGAGGGGGGGGGCTGGGGTTCGTGTGAGAGTTTTCGATATTAGCCTTTAGCTAAAAAAAGGTAGAGGTCCAAGTCTAATTCAAATCATTTCGAGGCGTCCCTTTAGCTCGAAAAAAATAAAAAAATTTTCTTTTAAGAATCAGCAAAAGCCTTGAAAGAAATTATGCAAGAAGAAAAGAAGAATTTTGTTATTCCACAACCATCACAACAGCAAATTTATATGAATGGCGGAGACAAATATACTATTAATGGTACTAGTAGTAGTAGTCATACAACAGAGAAGTAGGCTATTTTTTTTAATTTTTATTTCTACAAACTTTGAATTAAAAATAATCTTTAATGGGTTGTACCCAACTTTAGGATAGGGTATCTCAAATTAAGAAGGGTTTTATATGTTTGGTTTTGCTATTGACGGAGCAGCTTAGGTTTAGTTCTAGCTCACACCAGCCCTCGGTCAATGCGTCATTGGGCAATCCAATTAGGGGTTGGATTAATTTAGGGATATAGAGAGACTAGAAGTTGTACCCTATCTTACCTCCTAAAATTAATTAATCGTCCGATTATCCCTGATTATGGCCTGTTATCTGCCGATTGCCACACCGGGTTTCAATAACCCCCACCCACCTACGGTTAAAGAACTTTATTTCTATTTTTTAATTCATTTTTTATTTTTTTAAAGTTCATTTTACAATAATAATAGTAATCCAATAATAACTTCAAATAATCATCATCATCCTTCACTTTATACAACAACAACAGCACAACAGCAACAACATCGCCATCATCTTCAACAACAATTACAACATCATTCCAGTGTACCAATGATGACTTCAATGCCAGGATTACACCAACAACAACAGACTCAGAACCACCAAAATTATCATCAAAATAATGGTAATTTTCATCCATCAAATTTTCATCCTCAGCAACAGCAACAAGGAGGTTATCTTCAACAGCAACATCAGAATTTTAATTTTCAACAAAATAATTTTCAAAATCATTCAAATTTTGGTGGTGGTGGTGGAAGTTTTAATTATGGTTCTTCTTCAACAATTTTAACAACAAATGATGGAAGTGGTGGAAGTGGACGACAGCAACAGCAAAATCCAAACAATCATCCAAACAATAATCATAATACTTGGTTGCCTGTTCCACCAGGATTTTCTCCGCGTTCATCAACGGGTTCATCAGGATTTTGATGTAAGAGAAGAGGTGAAATGAGAGAGCAATAAAAAGTTTTAAGAAAAAAATTTGATTTTTATTATATAAATGTTTAAAAAAAATAAGTGAGAAAGGAGTGTGAGAAAATTGTTGAAGAAAGGAAAGACTTTAAAAAATTATATTTATTTTGAAAAATGACTACTCGGTTTAAAAAAATTGTCAAGGTATTAGTGTAGTTTCCGCCCCATAAGACTAATTTGTTCCGCCTGGATTTTATCCGCGTTCATCATCAGGCTTTTGAAATGTTTTTTAAATTTTTGGTTCCCTCATTTATCGTTGACCCTTGTAAGAAATTATCGTTGACCTTTGTAAGACCCTTGTAAAATGCCACTTATAAGAAAAGAAGAAGAAAGGGGGAGGAAATAGGGGCTTTATGGAGGGTATGGGAGGGAAACTGCACTATTACCCAAATTTGATGTTAAATTTAAAAAGGGATTGAAATAACCATCACCAACAAAGCAAGAAATAAAAAAAAACTATATATCCATCTCCCAAAAATTTTATAAATCTTTATTCTATTTATTTTTTCCCTCGTGCTTCTCTAAAATGGAAATCTTTGATTTACAAAAAAAATTACTACGTATAATGCTCTTAAGAAAATTAAAAACATTGTTTCTCGAATTATTATTCATCTATTAAAAAAACTTTAAAAAAATGTTTCCTTTTTTCTATTCCATAGATAAACATTATTAGTGGAATCCCGTTGATACGTTCACCACCACAGGGGAGCAAACATGGGTGAAACGTTTCGTGAAAAAAAATTTTTGGCCCACAAGTCAAACCCTAGAGGACAAATGACTAAGAAGGTCAAATACAAATTTTGGGTGGATAAAGAAGGATTTGGGCGGATTAAGACGGATTTGTGGGTATTAAGGAGGATATCGTCGGATTTGTAGGGATTAAGGGACCATCTGTGTTTTTACCTGGGTGATTTGACCTCCATGGTCTTGACCTTCTGGTGTGGACCTTAACATTGTACTCCCGCCGATACGTCACCCTCGAGGTCTAAGTAAGCCGACGGTTTATTTGAATTTTTGAGGTGCCGTATTAACGAGATTCCACTTGACAATCATTTAAAAAATATTGACTTTTATCATACTATAGTTAAATTTTCGTCTTTAAAAAATTTATTTTTCTTCTTTTTTTGTTCTCTTCTGATCAAAACAATGAGCAGATTGTCTTTGGTCACATATACAAATTTTATTATATATTTTTCTGTTCTGGCTTGAAAAAAATTTTTATGAGGGGAGAATGTTGTGTTGTTGTTGTTTGTCCTTCTCTGCGTGAAAGAGTATTTCCTTTGATTTTCAAAAATTTTTTTTGTGCGTTGATTATAAAGAGAGAGAATAAAGAGAATATTTTATTTGTTTTTAATTTTTGTTTGTAAATTTTATTTTAAGAAAAGTGTTAGTTTCACTTTAATATTTTCAAATTTTAATGGGTGATTTTCGGGTAGGGTAAGTAGAGTCTTAAAAATTTGATTTCTTAATTTCGGCCTTTCCAGGGGATTTGAATTGCAAAAGAACTGCCTAATGTCCCTTTAAGTTTTTAAAAATAAAAAAAAATTTTGGGTAAAAGGGAGGTCTTTTGAGTCCTAAACTTAACTTCTCAAAAATTCGACTTTTTGTGAATTTTGTGGGTTCCTTTTGAGACTCTAGTGACTGAAAAATTTTTCGAACGGCCAATGATATACCTAGGGTCCCTGAAGCTGTCTCAGACTGGCTTTGGGATTCAAAGTAATTTTGAGACTCTAATAGCCAAAAATTTTTTTTAGAATTTTTTTATAATGGAAAACAAATCAAAGCTTCCATTAACTGGAATTTCTCCAAATACTTTAAACAACACAAAAATAAGTTCAACAACTCCTGCAAAACCAAAGCAAAATGCTAAGGAACGAATGCGAAGGCTTAAAACTATTTGTATAAAAGGACAAGAGCCTTTGTCTATAAAGAGGGAAATTAAAACTGAAAGAAATTCTGAGATAAGGTTGGTGAATATTTTTGAATTTTTGGGATATTTTTTGGGGTAGGTCCGTAAACTTTTGGGGTATTTTTTGGGGACGTGCCTGATTTTTATGGGTATTTTTGAGTTTGGCCCGTAATGGGGTCATTAGAGTCTGGGACAACTCACTAGTCTTGGGTGACTGACATGGGTCAACTTTTTTAGAGCTTAAATATTAATTCTGTAAGCCCGTCTAGGCCATCCCTTTTAGCTTATATTCTAGATGCCAGTCATATTTTTTGAGGGTGATCCGTAAGGGGGTCGTTAGAGTCTGAGACATTTTAGTAGCGTTGTGTGACCGATGGACGTGGCTACGTCTTTCAGAGCTTAAATATTAATTTTGTAAGCCCGTCTAGACCACCACCTTTAGCTTATATTCAAGATTCCAGGCTTTCTCTGCTTCCCTCAGACTAATGTACCTAAAATTCGAAAATTTCAATTTTCTCTATAAAATTCCCCAAATTTTTTGTAGAAGAAGAAAGGTTCAACATATAGACACTTCCCTCGGAAAAACATTCGCCTGTTCAACATTTGGAGGAGTTTATGAACGTTTGTCTCAATGGATGCGTGAAGGAACTCGAATAATTGTTAAATTGAGAGCTTTTGCCCCGGGAAGGGCACAACAAAGAGGGCCAAATAGAATGTTACAGGTTTTTTTATTAAAAAATATTTTTTAAAATATTTTTTCAGGGTTCCATAGTTGCGTTTGATAAACATTGGAATTTGGTGCTGAGAGATGTAGATGAGGCTTATTTCCCTTCTTTAAGGCTTGGAAAGGTTTAATTTCTAATTTTAAGGGTAAATTTAGGGAGAAAATTAAAGGATTTAGTTGTGGTGTTCAGTGGTGTAGTCGGGAAGGGCTCGGACTTTGGATGAGATGGGCAGGGTTCGAATCCGTTCACGGGATTTTTTTTCAATTTTGAATTAAATTTAGTAGAGAAAATTTCTAATTTTACTAGGAGTAATTTTTAAAAATATTTTTAATGACTAGAGGCTAGTAAAAACCCCTAAAAAGATTTCATTTCATTTTAAGAAGATCCTTTAATTTTTCCAGGTCCAAGCAATGCCTGGAGCTATGCCCAAATCAATTCGCTATGAAATTGAAGGCAATGCGAGGAAAGGACGCCCAACTCTTATTAGACATTTGAAATGTTCTTTTATAACGGGTTCTTCAATTGTGATGATACATGAAGGGTAAAAAACGGTTTTTTTCTAATTTATTTTTAAAAATTTTCTTGGGTTGTCTCTGATGGGCCCAAAAAATTTTTAAATTTATTTTTGATTTTAAGATGGGAGAGCTGTCTTAGAGAATATGTATCAGGTTGTCGGTTCTGGACTGAACCGAAGAACCGATGATTTTTAGGTTCGGATATCAGAAGATTTTCCAAGAACCGAAAACCCTATATATCAGGGTGTCAAGGGTTAACTGAAACTCTGACTTTTTTTTGGGTGGAATTGTCGTTTACGGCCACTTTTTTCCAACTTTTTCCTATGAATATAGAGAATGGTCAGCCCGAACCAGACCCAAGAAATTTTTTTAAACCTGACCCGCCTACTTTTTTTTCTCCTGATGCCTCTTCCCTCTTAATCCCCTTAATATGTTTCATGTTGAATTTTATTTTTTCTAACATTTTTTATACAAAAAATAATTTTATTAGAAAAAGATATGAATTTTTTAATAACGTTAATATTTTCAGCAATAAAAATTTTATATTTGTCTCCCGTTTAAATAATTAAAAAAAGGATTTTTTAGTAATTAAATAATATACTTCATTTAACCTCTTCTCCCATTTTTCCTTTACTATCGCATCAAAAAATAGATTACAAGAAATACAAAAAAGCAGAAAAGTACAAGGTAACAGAGAACATTTCTACCTTGAAAAATAAATTAATTTTAGATATTTAAATAATTTTTAAAAAAACCTCCAGCTTTTGAAACAATCCCCAATTTTTTCATTGTTGAGCCAAGAAGTCCTTTTGTTGTTTCAAACTTTGTGTCCTAAGAAAAATTTTTTTTAATAATTTTTAGGGGTTGAAATTCTCAGAAAGCTTTTAGACTAAAATTGTGATTTATTGCCTCGGATCGAATCGTGGGCCTGAAGACAGCTAAGGGAAATACGTGAATCTTCCAAAAAATGTCTGGTTCTGAACCCAGCCCGAACTGAAATTTTGGGAAAAAAAACTAGCATTTGGGAACTGGTTTTGGGGTGAAAAAAGTAACTTATTTGTTAGATACTCCTGCCGTTTAAGCGGCTGCCTTTCTCTGACGATTTGAGACTATAATTCTGGCACCAAATTTCAATTGACAAACATTATATTTGTGAAAAGTTAGTTATGGGGTAAAGAATGATACCTTTGATTGGTATAAAGAGAACACTGGTAAAGAGAACCTATATAAAAAGAACCCCCTTAAACGACAGGAGCCGGAGCTTAATAAAAAAAGTTAAAAATCAAAAAACAAACCATTTCATTCAACAAACGATTTTGTTCTCGAACATCATCACCTATAGCAATAGTAACTCGTTTAAGTTGAGACACTTTACTTGACAATTCTTCAACCATTTCATCATTTTGTTGTTCCAAAATATTATAACCTCCATTCATATTAATAGAAGAACTTGGGCCAGGTCCACCTGTTTCTTTTTAAAATTAATTGAGGAAAAAAAGGAAAATTTAAAAAATAAACCTCTATTTGGTCTGTATGACATCATTTAACTTGATAATATTTTTTAAAACAAGATTTACTTCAAACCGCTGTGGAAGGAGTTTGTCTAAAAGTAAAGGAGCTTAAAATAAAATTTAAGGTGATGTGTAAGTTTTTGAAAGTTTTACGTGGCGAAACAACCTTAAATAAAAGAAAAATGACAATTTATCCTTTATTTTTCTCTAACTTTAAGGCTATTTCTTGTTTTATTTTAATACAAGAATTTCAAAATGTTAACAAGAATAAATTTGTTCAAATGGTCATTTCTTATTATCTCTCGCTTATGTAATATTATCCTTTATTTTTCTCTAACCTTAGTGCTTTATTTTTAAATGTAAATTTCAAAATGTCAACAAGAATAAATTTGTTCAGATGGTCACCTCTATTTATCTCTCGCTTATGTACTATTTCTTCTCGTCTATTTCAAAATGTAAACTGATTTTAGTATAAAAGCGGATTGCGTGGGTTGTCTAGAAATTTTAAGAAAATGCTTTTTGTCTCTTAATTATTTGAACTAACTGAGTTTAGACTCATTTAATTTAACTAGATTGTACTCTAATTTACTTTTATGTACTCTATTTTATTTTACATGTTTTAGCTTCCAGAATATTTTGACTTTTGCTAAAAAAATTTTTTTCAGGTCTTGTGACATACCTCTAAAATTAAATATTCTTAAACAACTTCTTATCTATACTACTCCAATATGACTATTACGCAGCTGGCTGAAGCATCCAAAAGGGCATTTGGTAATGGACCATTGATCACTGCTAAATGTGAGGTGAAAGCTCCAGTTCCTGCGAAGGAAGGTTTGTAATTTGTTTATCTTTTGAAATTTTTAAATGAGGGTAAAACTTTATAGATAAGCCCTGGGTGACGATAGAATATTCTTCGGAATCGCGAACTTGGCATAAAACCTATAAAATCGGTTTCTGTTATGTAAAAGTCGGAGACGTGAACCTTGAGTTTTCCTAGTTTTGCTTGAACTAGCGGCCCTATCCCAAAAGAAGGGCGTAATTGTTTTTTCATTACCTGCAAGGAAAGGAAAAATAGATACGGATAGATACGGACAAACAAAACACGGACGGGAATGTTTTAGAAATTGATAGCCGTCCGTGTTTAATTTGTCCGTGTCCATTCGTCTCCATTGTTCCTTTACTTTTTTCCTTTCCTTGCAAGTAATGAAAAAAAACGATTCCGCCCTTCTTTTAGGATAGTGTCGAACTAGCTTACACTCTAGTTTTCTATTTGAACTTTCTCGTTTTAAGGGAGAATTGACTCCGTTTCCAGAAATTTTACGATGCCTTTTTGAACCGAGTAATTCTCGATTCTCTAGAAATCGAAAATATTAGGAACCAGGGCTGGGCGAAATCTAAAAATAAAAAGCGAAATGCGAAACTTTTTGCGCTGAAAAATGCGAAACTCGAAAGTGCGAAATAAGCCCAGCCCTGTTAGGAACGCAAATGGAAAATAGATATCTCCCTTGAACTTATCGCGAATCGAGTTTATTGATCTTAAAGTGTGTTGCTCTTTTGGATGAGAAACTGAAGTCTTCCATCCTTGATTTATTAACTCCTAGTTTTATCCATAAGATCGCCACCCACCACCTTTTTTCGCTAACAAGAGTTTGTGGTGATCTCTTGGGTTTACTCTATTCCAGTATTCTCTCGTTTGAAACGTGGCAATCTCTTTGAAATTTATAATTTTCTCATTCAGAGGATTTTTAATTGAAAAATGACCTCGGAAACTACAGAAAAGAAAATTTACGTAATAATCCCGAAAAATTCAAAACATTTCAAAAATTTTGAAAATCATTATGGAATTCTTGTAATAATCCTAACTTGGATATACCTCTATTTTGCCTTAATCCCAACATTGTATGATGGCCTAAAAGATTTTTTCTTTTATTCTGGGACAAATATATTAATTAATTTAACTGAAAAATTAATTTTATCGTCAACAACTCTTTCCCCTTATTTAGGCGGCGGTGGAAATAAAGGACAAGTTGAAATTGGAAGTCCATTATTCTATGCTTATTGTGGCATTGGTGGAATTCTTTCTTGTGGAATTACTCATACAGGTTTCTTTAATTTAGAAATTTTTACTAAATTTTGTTGTTTTTCAGCCATTGTTCCACTTGATCTTGTCAAATGTCGCATTCAAGTATATTTTTTTAAACTATGGGGTGTCTGTTGGGTGTGGGGTTGGACTTGCACGAAACGTTTTAGTTTTATTTTTCGGATGATTTTGTAGTTCGTATTCTCCTGTTTAAGTAGTTTTCCGTCTTCAGAATAAATATGAAAGGTTCGTGCAGGTCTGCTGGGAAGTCCTAAGCCGGAGCACCACACCGGCTGTACCACCATCCAACCCGGCTATGTTTATATTTTTCCTTTTCCCCAAGTGAGTGTACAAACAATCATCTTATGCCTTTAAGGTTGACCCAGCCAAATATAAAGGAATTCTTAGCGGCTTTAAAGTTACCTTGGCAGAAGATGGAGCTAGAGGATTGGCTAAGGGTTGGGCACCAACAGCTATTGGATATTCGCTTCAAGGATTGGGAAAATTTGGATTTTATGAACTTTTCAAGAATGTTTATGCGAATCTTGTTGGAGAGGTTTTTTTATTTTTAAATTAAAAATTTTGTGAATTTTTGTAAATCCGCAAAACTCGTCCGCAAAAATAATTTTAAAAATTTTTCGAAAAAATTTTTTTCTTAAAGGAAAATGCCTTCTTGTATCGTACGAGTCTTTATTTGGCTGCCAGTGCATCTGCTGAAGTTTTTGCTGATATGATGCTAGCCCCAATGGAAGCAGTTAAAGTACGTATTCAAACATCTCCAACTGCACCTCCCAATCTTCGTGGCTGTGCTCCGTTTATTTACAAGACTGAAGGGTTGATGGGCTTCTATAAAGGATTGCCACCTCTTTGGATGCGTCAGATTCCATATACAATGTAAGTTTATTTTTGGAAATTTTTGAGGTCATTTGGGTCATATTGTGGGTTCATTTGGGTCAGATTTTAATGGGGTCAACTTTTTATTTTTGAATTAGTTGGTCAACTTGTTAGTTCCACTTTTTGCTTACCGTTTCAAAGAATAAGACCAGGATTTATAGGATTTCGAAAGTTGACCCAAATGTACTCTGGCTTAGGTTAAAGACAATAATTCAAATTTAAAAAACTTTTCTTTATAGGATGAAGTTTGCCTGTTTTGAGCGTACTGTTGAATTGCTCTACCATCATGTTGTTCCAAAACCTAGGGATCAATGTACTAAAGCGGAGCAGCTTTTGGTTACTTTTGTTGCTGGTTATATTGCAGGTTTTTTTTTTGAAAATTTTCATATGAAAATTAATTCCAAAAAATAATTTTTAAAGGTGTTTTCTGTGCTGTAGTTTCCCATCCAGCTGACACTATTGTTTCTAAATTGAATAAGGATGCTGGAGCTTCGGCTATTGGAATTTTGAAGCAATTGGGACCTTTGGGTATTTTTTTTTAAATTTTTGTTTCTTCTTATTAAATCTTTTTTAAAGGTGTTTGGGGAGGACTTGTCCCGCGTATTATTATGATCGGAACTTTGACTGCATTGCAATGGTTATTTTTTAAATTTTAATATTAATAGTAGTGGGCTAGTTATAGGATTTTGGTTTTATTTCCTTTATTGAAATTAACCTAGGTAGTTTCTTGAAAATTTACAGCGGGATTAGCTAAAGTCTGTTTCCTTTCGGTCTACCACTAGGTAGCTGAGATGTATAGTATTGGTTTAAGAAAAAGCTGGGTCGGTTCTCATTGTTTACAAGGAAAGGTTGCGAGGTGTCCGACCTAAAAAGGTCGAAACCGGGCTCATTCGATAGAGAATGTGCCCTTTCTAGCAAGAATTTTGTGCCGTTTTTTCCCGAATGAGCCCGGTTTCGACCGTTTTTAGGTCGGACATCTCGCAATCTTTTCTTGTTAATGTTTCGGGGTGGGTTTTAAAAATTTTCTTAGGATTTGATTTCGGGTCTGATGAAGTCCGAGCATTGGATAAGTCCGGGTGACTGGTTTGCTTGTCCGGTATTTGACCTTGAAATTTTCAAGGTGTCAAATAAAGAATTTTTTATTCTTAAATAATATTTTTTCTTCTTTCTAGGTTCATCTATGACTCTGTAAAGGTGGCCTTGGACATTCCCAGGCCCCCTCCACCCTCAATGCCTGAATCATTGAAGAAGAAATTGGAAGCGCAAGGGATTAAAAATTAGGATAAAGAGAAGAGAGAGGTATAACATATAGAGAAGGGTATATAAAGAATTTATAGAATAAATAAAGAGAGAAATTGACTCTTTTTCTTCAAAAAATGTTAACATTTTTGTTTTTTGTTTAGTTAGTATATTTTTTTGTAAAAGTATTTTTTGAGAGTGTTATTTGACCTTTTTTGATACATGTCCTAGTAAAAGAGAAGAGTTACGGTTAGATTTTGGGGAAAAATTGTGAAGTCCATTTTTGCGGACAAATGAATTTTTTTGAAAATTTTGAGAAAAAATTTTTTTGGATAAGCGTAGCTCTTTTTTATTTTATATTAGCGTTTAAAAATTGTATTGTGACGATTTATCTCTCTATTTTTCTAACAAAAAAAGTTAAATAAAAATTCGAGTTGATAGAAATTTTTTGAAGGCTTCGTATTATCGAAAGGTTTATTTTTAGTTTTTGAAGTTATTTTAGGATTAATTTTTTTCAGATAATTTATTTAAAAATAATGTATTGGATAATTCAACCAATAATTTCAAAAAGTGCTTTGGTTACTGAACTGATTTATAAATTTGCAGGTTCTAACAGGTTTGTAAATGATTTTTTTTAGATTTAATTTTAGTGGTAATTTTTGTTTAATTTTTGGGAGGAATGTGTGTGGAGATGTGCGGGTTTATATGTCATAAGATACAGGCCCGACTTTCCTCATTGTTCCTAATTCCGTACTCAAGCTTTAAAATTTGCAAAAAAAAAAACATTAATTTCTGCTAAAATATTTACAAAAAAATGCGGACGCCGTTTGCGGACAAACTTTCTAATTTTAAGAAAATGTTTATTTTAGAATAGCACCCGAGCCTTTGGGGCCAGGAGTGTCGGGTTTCGGTGTTTGCCGGGGGCCTTCGGGTCGAGGTTTTTTCCTAAAAATTCGACGGAGGACGGATTGTTGCTCCGTACATTTATTTATAAATTCGATTTACAACCTTTCTATTGCAAAAATGCCGAGGCAGCTTGACTATTAAAAAAAATTTTTTTTTGCAGATTTCTCAGTTTGTTGCTGGATTCAATCCTAGGAATTGTCATAATTAATTTAATACCAACTGAATGGAAATTAATTGAAAATTTTTGGAAAATTGTTTTTCTTTCAATTGAACAATTAGAAAATGTAATTAATTGGTTAACTCAAAACCCTGCAGGATTAAAATTAAATGATGCATTAAATACTTTTTTGAGCAACTTTTTTCTGTATCATATACATTTGTGGAAATGTAAGGAAGAGGTTTTTTTTATTTTTTTTGGAGAAGAGCCTAGGGAGATTTTTTCGAAAAAGTTGCTAGGAATAACTGGGGTTTCCAAAATGGACCGCTCGGACCGAAAGATCGAGTCGGGCCTAAGATATTTGACCCGAAAAAGACTCGTCGTGCAGGCCCGACTCGATAAAAACAAGCATGGAAAATGCCTCGACCGTCGGGGTCGACTCGAAAACGGGAACCCTAGGAATAAATGATGTAACATGTTGAAAAGAGAAGGCTAGATCGGGTTTTTGAAAATTTCTCGGTTCGGGTTTCTGGTCAGAAAAAGTCTGGGTTTTGGGTAAGCCGTGTTATAACCCACGACATCTCTGTTAGGTGACATCTCCTTAAACTGACCCTAATGTTAAACTTTTGTAATGTCAAATCTCAAAAACGGAAATTGGTGTCGTAATTCCCACTTTGGCATTTCGGCGGCTTTTTTGGGAGGGGGGGTTGGCATAATGGCACGCTACAAGTCTACCTTATATGAAAAATCGACAAAATAAAAATATTTTAAGTTTTTTTTTCAGCATATATAATTGCATTAAAACATTCTTCTGTGGATAGGATATTTCTTGTTGGGTTCTCTACTTTAGGTTGATTTAAAAATTTTTTTTTAATTAATTAGATAAAAATTTTTTAAAGGTTTTTCTGTATTAATTGCTTTTATTTCTGACTTTTTGAGGATTGTTTCTTTACATTTATTTTGTTTTCATATTTACACCTACAGGTTTTTTAATTAAAAAATTTTTAAAAATTTCGAAAAAATTTTTTTGAGGTCCCAAAAATTTTTTGGACCCCTAGTGTTTTAAAAAAGTTTTTTTTTTTTGAAAAATTTCTAAAAAATTTTTTTGAAGCCCTAGTGTTTTAAGAATTTTTTGAAAAAATTTTCAAAATAATAAAACACCAAAAATATTTAAAAATATAAAATAATTCAAAAAATAATCATAAAATACTCCTTTCTCCTTCTTGTAAAAATAATTTTTTATTTTTATTCCCAAAATTCTTATCTTTTGCTTACTTTTGATTTGTATTTAATATTTATTTATTTTGTCTGTTATTTTTGATTTATTTTTCTTATCGCACTTTTAATTATTTTTATTATTCTATTTAGAATTTCTCTTTAAACTTTCTTATTTTTTGTAATTTTTTAACATTTTTTGTATCCTTTCCTTCTCCCAACCATTTTTATCTTGAATATTTTTTGAAATTGTTAATCGTTCAAAAAACCCATTAATGGACTTAATTTTAATCAATGAAAAACTATAACCTTGAGAAAACCCGGACCCAGAGATTAAGATTAGGTAGAGTACGGCAAAATCGATTTGTCCGGATCTGGATTTGCAACTAGAACCGAATCCTGATTTTTCCGGATTACTCCGGTCGGGAAAAAATCCAGAGATCTCGAAAAAAAACCACAGATTTTAGATCCGGGAAAATCAGATTTTTTAGGCGACATATTAATTTTTTGAATTTTTAATGTTTTGAACGGTTTTTTTTTATTTTTTTTTGTCTATTTTCGAAAAATATTTTTTTTAATATTTTTTCCAGACTTTTTAGGAAAATAATAATTTAATTATAAATTTTAATTAAAAATTTAACAAAAAATGAGTGAATCCCAACATTTATTAAAACAACAACAAGGCGATAATATTGAAATAATAGAAGAACAACAACCAATTAATTATGGTTCTTTACAACAACAACAACAACAAACTCCTTCAGTTAAATTTAAAATTGAGAAAAATGAGAAGAATAAAATATCTCCGATATTTATTAGTTGGCATAATTTGACTATAAAACATCCTAAAAGTGGAAGAATTATTTTAGGTTTATTTTTATATTTTTTTTAATTTTTTTAAAGAAATTTTTTTTAAAGATAATGTTTCTGGTATGGCAAAATCTGGACAATTGGTAGCTTTGATGGGGGCGAGGTTTATTTTTATTTTAAGACAAACTAGTGGGACGGAGATGGGTAGGATTAGCAGGGGGTTCCTTGCCCAACGTCAGATTGAATTTGTCTTGATTTTGTAGGAGTCAGAGTTCCAAATTTGAGGTTTTTACGCGTTAGGCTCATTTTATTTTTGGACCAGATTAATCCAGCAAAACTTTCGGCTGGGCCCGGTCCTGCTCTATTCACAAATCTGAGATTCGGCAAATTTTTTTCTGGAGCAGTAATCCCGGAAAAGTTTAGGAAAGTAAAAATGAATGGTCTAGGGCCGTATCGGATTTAGTGATTTTCCTATTTTTATTGTATTTCTCTTATTTAAGTGGGGATTTCTGACTCTCGATCAGTAGTACACGTTTTTGGTCAGCAGGATTTTCCCTGTCCAGCGCCGAAACTTGCAGCAAAAAATTTTTTTTTAATTATTTGAAAAATATATTTTTGATCGGATCTGGGTCAAAATTCCAAAAATTTGAGTTTTTCCGTGTTCTCCTGATTTTGTTTTTGGACCAGATTATTCTAAAAAAATTTGACTGGACCCGGTCCTTTCGGGACTTAAGATTAGTCCACCACAATAGATTTCTTGATCCCTTTACGGGCGTTTAAACTTGCAGCAAAAAATTTCTATAAAAAATATTTTTTAGTGGTGCCGGGAAAACAACATTATTAAATACTTTATTATCAAGAAATTTAACAAATTTGACAGTTCAAGGAAAAGTTTTGGTTAATGGAGAAGAAATGGGAAAACAAATAACTTTTGTTAGTGGGGTAAGTTTTGAAAATGTTTTGTTGAAAATTTTTAAAAAATTTTAATTTAGTATGTTCAACAAGACGAATTATTTATGGGAACGTTAACAGTTAAAGAACATTTAATTATACAAGCAAGACTTCGACTTGTTGGAAGTACTGAAAGACAAATTAGAAAGCGTGTTTCTGAGGTTATTTCTAATTTAGGATAAAAAAAAGATTTTTTGAGAGGAGGAGGGAGGGGATGGAATGAGCTAGCTATTAACTTTGTGGTAATATTTGGACTAGGAATGGGCCGGGTTACCCTAAATCCTGACTTTTTCCTACTCTAAAAACCCCATCCGAAAAGAAATTTTTTTGGAAACCCCGATTCGAACCCCCGACTTTTTTTTCTCACAATCAGTCAACCCGATCTATCCCTGCGGAATAAAAATTAAGAGTGGACGTAGGGGTAAAATATGCCAATTTCTTACATTATTTTATGTCTTTCTTCTGGGCGTCTGTCATGTTGTACAAGACATTAGAGCTGTCTCAAACCGGAAATTTTTCTAGACTCGAGACTAAACCCCCAAGACTAAGAACCTTGGACAGCTCTACAAGACACCCAGTTTCCTCCGAAGTCCAACCCCATTTTTCCGAATATCTGGCTGGGAGGCCTTGGCCAATAACAGCCACCTTTAAAACAGACATATAATCCCATAAGACAGAAAATTGCTTCACTCTGCTTCACTCTTAATCTTGACTCTAAAAAATTTTTTTTAGATTCTAAACGATTTGGGACTTCATTCTTGTCGACATGCCCGAATTGGTAGCCGTGGAATAAAAAAGGGAATATCTGGAGGAGAGGCTAGACGTTTACTTTTTGCTTGTGAATTGTTAAGTAATCCACAAATAATTTTTGCTGATGAACCTACAACTGTAAAAAGAATTTTTTGAGGTTTTTAAATTTTTTTTTGTTAAGGGATTAGATTCTTCTATGGCAGAAAGTGTAATTAATGTAATGAAAAAATTGGCACAATCTGGAAGAACTGTTATTTGTACAATTCATCAACCTTCTTCTACAATTTATAGACAATTTGATATGGTTAGTTGGGAGAGGTTTTTTTTTTAATTTTTTTAGTTGGAGGGGGATCTACCTTTAAAGTTTTATTTTTCATTCAAAACTAGGTTCTTTTCCTTCTGATCCCAAAAATATCCTAGATTTCTATCCAATTTTATGTCTTTTTAAGATCCCTCTTTCTTCCCTTATATTTAAAATCCTTTTGATGAATATGACTTGCTACCAAAACTTGTGGCTTTTTGAGAGACTTCCTTCCTCCTCTGAAGACCCTTTCCTCCTTGAAGACATCTTTAACCTTTCCAATGTGAGTTCGCGGGCTATTTTTTCCCTTCCTCGAAAACCCTTTCTTCCTTTACCCCTCCCAATGGCCTTTGGGACCTTGACCTTGCCCATAAACCCTTTGGGAAGTATTTACTTTTTATTTCCAACCTCTAGTAACCCTCCTGACAAATTGTTCTAATTATTCTAATTTAAAGGTAATGTTTTTGGCAAATGGGAGACTTGCTTATTTTGGAGAACCTTCAAAAACAGTTGATTATTTAAATTCTTTTGGTTATCCTTGTCCACGTAATTATAATCCTGCGGATGCTATGATTCAAGTTTATTTTAAATTTTCTTTTAAAAATTTTCAAAATTTTTTTTCAAGTGCCTAAGCATCGAAATGTATAATGAAGAAATTTGTAAAGAAAGAATTGGCAAAATTTGTGATGATTGGGAAGTTAATGAAAATGCTTTGAAATTGAAAAATGAAATTGAGGAGCAAAACAAAATTGTTGTTGATAAACCGGAGAGAAGAAAAAGAGCAACGTTTGGTGTTCAGGTTTTTTTTTAATATTTTTTTAATTTTAAATTTTGGGTTACCTTTGGAGAGACAACCCTGTTTATATTTTTTAAAATTCAACGAGGGGGTTAAATTTTTTTTTGGGGACATTTCTGACATGAGTCTTATTTAACTCTTGGGCCTTTTGGGAGTCTGAAAAAAATTTTTTTCGTTCATGAATTTTGTTCAGTCAGACCTTATTTCACATACACCCATGGGGCTGAAAATTTTGTCATTATAACGAGGTGTATCCTAAATAGAGGGTGTATAAAAAATTTTTGGACAGCCTCTATCCAGAGACCAGCCAAATTTAACAAACCGTAGCTTAACTTGGGGCGTTTTGAGGATATGAATTAAATGTAAACTCGAGACTCTAATGTCCCCTTATAGGAATATTCCTTAAATTTCAAAAATTTTTTCAAAAAAATTGTTTCTTTTCCCACAGACCTCAGCTCTATTAAAACGTTCAATACTCGATAATATACGCAATCCAGGCTTAGCAAAAGCAAAATTATCCCAAAAATTAATTATGGGAATATTTATTGGCCTATTATATTTTCAAACTTCTCCTCAAAATTTTATTGGAATTTCAAATTTAAATGGGGCAATGTTTTATATAGTTGTAGAATTAACTTATTCGACATTATTTGGAATTATAACATTTATGCCAGCAGATTTTAATTTAATTGTTAGAGAATATCATGATGGGCTATACAATTTATTGGCTTATTTTGTGGCGAGGATATGCTCATATATCCCTTTGTTTGCTATAGATGGAATTGTGTTGGTGGGGAGTTCGTATTGGATGACGGGATTGGTACCCAATGTTGGTAGATTTGGAATTGCTTTGGGTAAGGATTTGTATTTTGGTGGGGGGAAGGGGATATGGAGAGGAGGGTTGGGGGAGGTTGAGGTTTTTGTAAATTTAAAGTTGGGACTCTAGTGGTCAACGAGGTAAGAGAAAATATTTTTGGAGAGGATTTTTAGGGCTTTTGTGAATGTGTTTAGAGAGGAGTAATGTGTTTGTGTTTAAAGTGAGACTCTAGTGTACAATAATAAATTTTTGGGATTGAGGTAGACGTTTGGGCCCACAGGAATACTTTCCTGACTCTATTAGGCTCTGGGATTAAGGTTGTAAGATCCGGATATTTCCAACTATCCGACAATCTTATCTGGAATGTTGGGATTCATGTCGGAGCTAGGCGGGACTTAGTGAATAGACGCTTGAGTCTCAGTTTTGAATGTTTTAAGAGCTAGACCTTTTCCTCTTATTTAATTCTCGACTTAAATTGGCGCTTGTAATTATACCAAATCTCGATTATAGACCATTATGAACTTAACTCAGAAATAAAATCAAGGTCTACTAGAGTCTCAAAGTTTTCCTTGTTTTTCTAACTCAAAAAAGGCCTAAAAATTTCCCCTTGTTCTTTCTAGGTATTGCAGTACTTATTGAACAATCAGCAGCAGCTTTTGGTATAATGCTGTCAACAGCTTGTCCATCATATCCTGTTGCTATTTCTATTGCTGGACCAATTCTGACAGTTCTTTCATTGACTGGTGGATTGTTTGCTAATGTTGGAGAATTACCTTCTTTTATTAGCTGGGTTAGTTTGTTAGCTTTGCGTTGTTGGGGATTATTTGGGTACTTTTAAAGCAGACGTTTTGAGTAGTGTCGAGATTTTTGAAAAGCTAGGGTCTGTTTTTGGGTTTGATTTATTGACCTGGGCCGGATCCTGTGGCTGTAGTCCAGTAAAAACCCAGGAAGGTGAAAAAATGCTGGGCCTGAACTCTGGTGGTACAGGAAAACCCCCCAGGCCTTGGACCAGATCCAGCTCGATCACTAGTTTTGAGATATGGGCATCTTGAAATATGGACATTTTGTCAGGGTTTTTTTTAATTTGAACATTTTGTCCTGACCATTTTTAAATTTATTTTATAACCCCAAAAATATCCTTCACTCTTTTAGGTACAATATCTTTCATGGTTTCGCTATGGCTTTGAAGCTTTTGCCATCTCCCAATGGGAAGGAGCTTTAGGAGAACATCCAACAAAAAACTGTACCAATTTTAACAACCAAACAATTGCTTGTCCAACAGCCACTTCTGTCCTTCAAAAATTGTCATTTAACCCAGGAATGTTTTATTTTGATTTGGGTGCCATGGTTTTATGTACTTTTATTTGTTATTTTGTTGGTTTTGTTGGACTTTATATTCGTGTCCTTAGGGCTCGTTGATTGAGACTTTTTAGAGTTGTTGTTGACCCTTTTTAAGTTATTGACCATTTTGTGACCAAATTAAATTTATTTTGACCTATTTTTAACTTTGTTCTCAAAGGGTACAGCCCAAGTAGGCGCGCGGCCATAACGGCGCAAGGCCATAACATGCTTCAATATTTTCGAATCTTACCAAATTTCGTATTAAACGATTCCTCTCATCGAGCTAAAGAGATTGGTACCGAAATTGTTAAGGTCTAGAAAATTTTCCAGCAAGTTAGGGCTTTGCGCCGTTATAGCCTCATGCCTACCTGGGCGTGTCCCTTCTCTGGTGCCCTTCTCACAAAAAATTGTATTTTTGCTCAGATCTAATTTTATTCATATTTTGACCCTTTCGAGTCTTTACCTAACTGTAAATGACCTAATTGAACTTTTTTTGAATTATTTTTTAAATTTTTAATTAATTTATATTAATCTCATATCAAAAAGAATTTTTATTAAAAATTTAAAATAAAAATTTTTAAATTTTTCAAAGACTAGCAACCCTAAGTTGGAATGCATTTTCAAGTTTTGGACGCGCTTTTAGAGGAAATAAATGGAATCCTTTAAGAAAAAGAATAGACACAATTAATTTAGATTTAAAACAATTATTTTTAGTGACAATATTTTTTATTATTTTGTTGTTTCTATTGCCTACAATTGGAATTTATTTTTTGGTTTTTGGATTGGTAAGAATTTTAGGAGCAGTTCAGTTGAGTTACAACCCATATATAGTTTATCGTAACGGGCCAGTTGAGCGTGGCCGGTTGAGCGTCAGCCAACTTTGATCGGCTATAACTTTTTTCCGCTTGATTCAATACTAATGAAATATATATCATTCGAAAGCCCTCGTTAAACGCTATATTTGTTTCAATTGGATGGATCATGATTGATCGCTATTTAAAAAGTTACAAGTCGATAAGTGTGAAAAACAACGATTTTCTGCACTTATCGACTTGTAACCTTTTAACCGGGATCAGACTTGATCCATCCAGTTGGGATAAAGATTGGACTCATCGAGAGCTTTCAAATGATATATGATTCATTCGTATTGGATCAAGCAGCAAAAAGTTATAGCCTTTCAAAGGTCGGCTCACGCTCAACCGGCCACGCTCAACTGACCCCAACCGATAATTTATGATAGGATTGATAATTTTTAATTTTCTTGATATCATCGGATAGAGAATAAAATTTACTACAAGATACCATTTGATTCTATCCCTTGATATCAAAGACATTGAAAATTATCCATCCCTTCTTGAGTTGTTATGAGGCCGGGATTCTATTGAACTGTTCCTAAAAGATAAAATAAAAAATGTAATTTAAAAATTTTTAAGCTTTGGAGGTTGGTCGACTTGTCTAGTTTAACATTAAAATGGTTGGCTAGTTGTTGTAGAAGGACTATAGAATGGATTGCGGTAGTTTGTTTTTAAAATTGCATCAGAATTTAATGGAAGATTAGGAGGGTTATCCTCCTTACGTCAACAGAAGTGACTAAAGTGTATTGCTTCAGTGGAACCAAAAAATTCCGGAACTTCCGGTGAAGCTCTGCTTAAGTGTGTCGTTATATAGAGCTTTTACTAATTTCTGTGAAAGCTTAATGTAACGACGTATACTATGCGTCCCTTTCTCTCTTATGACAGTTAAGTTGGTATAGGGGTGTCGGGTGTCATTTATATTTTTTTTACTAATTTTGTGGCGAAAGAAATAACCTTTTTTATAATTTCTTTAACCTTTTCTAAATACAAATTTAGCGAGAATGTTGACGCCCTCTTTTTCCCTTTAATTTTTGGACTTTCGGGTTAGAAATTTTCCAAAAAAAAATTGTTTTGGATTCCAAATTTAATTATCTAATTAATACAAATTTTCCAAAAATAGAAAAAACAAATTTTTTTATTAATTTTATATTTTGTCAAAAATTATATTTTAAAGGGAAGAGAGAGGCTCTTTTTTTCTTTCGTTCTTTGAAGGCTGTAAATAAGCGCCTTCAAAGAACTTTTTTAGTATGGGGGGAACAAAGAGACAAAAAAAAATTATTTTTTAGTCGATAAAATAATCACTTGTGTCTCTTTTATTTTTTAAAATTACAATTCCCTGTCATTTCCCTTAAAAAAATTTTTTGACCGTGTATTCTTTGATTTTTACCCTTTATTTAAGGGGAAAATAAACAATTTTTGTTTATTTTTTCGAAAAAAATCAATTTTTGGTCTTTCCAATTTTCGTAAAAATATTTTATATAAATTGGTTGAAGAAATGACTATTCTCCTTTTATTTAATTTTTCATTCCTTATTTTATCAAATATTTTTTTCCTTTAGAACTCAAGCACAGTCACCCTCTATTTGTTAAATTTATTTATTTTTTTATTTTGTTTGTTATTTAATCAGTTAAAATGTTTATCTGTTATGTTGTCTCTGTGGTGTAATTGGTAGTGGTTGGGATTCCCCCCTAGAAGGGTTGAGGGTTCGAGTCCTTTCGAGTGTTTTTCATTTTTGTTTTGTTTATAAATTATTTTTCTTGTATAAAAATGAATTTAAAAATTTTTAAAAAATTTTTTAAATTTTTTAGATACCTTTTTATGTTTGTTTTTATTTTTTACTCGTTAATTTTTATTTTTTAGTCAAACAAAAATGTGTTTTGGACAAATTCGTTTTGGTGTACTTCCAGCGGCTAAACGAGGATATTTGCAAATAAATGGTCAACACAAACCTTTTATTTTCACTCCCGGATTGAATAATTGCTCAATTGAATTTAGAAAGTATGAAAGCACTTCTACGGGTCAAGGTTTTTTTTTTTAATTTTTTTGCTGGATAGGTTTTTCGGGCTTTAGGTGTTTCCTTTGACTGTGGAATTTTTTTCTTTTTTAAATGGGATTTCAGAGACTGGTTCCTCACGTCTTCGTCCTTTTTTGAATTTTATTTTGGCTAGTAGCATCCCTTTTTCCGATTATTTTTAAAATTTGGGAGGTGAGTACCTGACCTTTTTCTAATTTTTTGAAAACGGAAAAGCGTTGGATAACGTATAAAATATTTTATTTTATCACGCATTTTGGTTAAGGGTTTGAGGGTAAATTTGTCCCGGGAGGTCCTTCCTCATGTTTATTTCCCGACCTAATGTTGAAAATTTAATTTTCTTTTGGTTACCCAAAAACATGTTTAAAATACCAATAAAAAAATTTTTTAGACAGTAAATACAACTGGACGCCAACAGAAAAAGATCGTCGCAAACTTGTTCGTTATGGTTTCTTCAAATCAATAAATGATATTCCTGAAGAATTGCCGTATTTTTTAGCTTAAATTTTTAAAATTTCCTTAAATTTTTTAGACCGTCTTTCTACAAACGTTATCACAACAGAACTCGATTTATTATGGTTGGCATATTTTCCTTAGTTTTTACAATTATTGTGTTTGGTGGACATTTTGTTACTTCAAGGTTTTTAGTTTCTAAATAAAATTAAGATCTTTGGGAGCCTTTAGGATAACTTCGAAATTTTCCTAAATTTTCATTTTTTCTTATTTCCCTGACCATTTTGAGCTTTTTTTCGTGTAGAAAAAAGTGCTCGGGTCCATTTTGAAAATTTTGGGGGTTGTAAGCGCAAAAATCACTTTTTGATCATTTCCCAGTTCTTGATGTTTAACATTAGACGCCTGAATCAGAAATTGTGAACTCGAAAGGGGTGTGAATCAAGTACTTTTTGAAGTTCAAAAATGGGCAGGGAACTGAGTGGGAAGGAAAAAAGGACGACTTTCCTAGTCTTCAAATTTAGGGAAGGTAGTCCATCCATTTCTGTCCCTTAATTTCTTTTTTTAATTTTCATTATTTTAAATTTCCTCTTAAAATTCTTTTAAAAATATTTTTAATTATTTATATTTCTAGTTATTTAAACAAAGTTGAACAGAAACGTGAGTCTTTTCTTGCCTATAAAAAATCTGAAAGAGAAGCAGCTTCTCAAAAATGATGCTTTATTAGAATTATGCCTTGTGTATTTTTAGACAACAAAAAATTTTTTGGGATTTTTTTCCTTTGCTCTCTTCCACAAGTTTTTTTTCATTTTTAGAGTTTTTGAAGAATTTAAAAAATAATTTCCCCGAGCGGATTCGAACCTACGCCCCTTTTCCCGTATACTCAAAACTTGCGGACTTTTGGAAAGAACAAAGGAAAGAAGGCCCAATCTTTCTTTTTTAATTTATTTTAAAAATAAAAATTAATTTTAATTTCATTTTTGAAGCTTGTTAATGTTGTTGATATTACAACACTTATTTTTTTGTCTCTAATTTAATTTTTTAAATTCTTTTTTTAGCTCTAAAACCTTTAAAAACTTTAATTTTCTTCTTCCAAAGATGACTTCAAATATTAAATTAAATTCATTTCTTCGAATGTCTGGAAAGCTTTTAATTGCTACAGCACCTGCTTTAACGGTTCTTTTAAAGTTTTTAATTTTTAAAAATAAAAAAAATTTCAGACAGAATTGGATAAAGATGACAAGACAGCACAAGCAGAACGGCATCCAAGAAATCAAAGAACATTTAATAAGGTACGGGGTTTTGATTTTGTTTGGGTTTCTGAATATTCAGGGGATGTTTGGGAACATTTTTTATTTTTTTTTTAATTTTTAAAATTGAAGGAACTCAGAAATATTATTTTTATGTTAGTTGAGAGGGGGTCGTGGGTTCGAACCCGCTTGGGGAAATTATTTTTTTATTTTGCTCAAAAACCCTTCTAGATATCTGAGAGCTTGTTTGCGGCAATTTTTTGATTGTTTCCATTTATTTTTTTTCTCCTGAAAAATTTTGTGAATAATTTAAAAAATTAATTTCCCCGAGCGGGTTCGAACCCACGACCCCACTTTCCCTTAGGATGTTTAAGGGGAGAAGTGTAACAGGAGGGGAAATTATTTTATTAAGATTTTTAAAAATAGTTTTGAATAATTTTTAAATTTTTCAAGATTCCACAAGCTCCAAATACTTCAACAAAAATGTTGACGCCAGAAGATTTGCATCATGAACAAAAGAAGGGAGGCTTTCTAACTAGTCATCCAGTTGTTTTGGGTGGTGCTGGTCTTACTATGTTTGTTTTCTATTTTATTTTTCTGATAAAAATATTTTTGGGAAAACAAAGAGATTTTACATTTTTTAGGAAATTTACAAAAAAAATTTTTTTTGATTTTCGGGCTGATTAACGTTAATTTTCACTTAAAATGAGTTTCCCCTTCCTCTTGTAATAAAATAAAAAAGATTGTCTTCTGTTGTTGTCGTGGTGTAATGGTTAGTGTGTTTGACTCGCCCTCTTAAGGGCTCATGGTTCGATCCTTTTTGCCTCCATTCTTTTTCTTTTAATTATTTTAGCAGTTTATTTTAGGTTTAAAATTTTTTATTTGATTTTTAGGGGTTCAAAAAAATTTTTTTGGACCCCCTGGAAAATTTTTTTCTCAATATTAGAAATTAAAAATTTTTTTATTCTTTTAATTTTTTTAAATTTTTCAGTGCAGCACTTATGTACATGATTCGTTCTTCAATGGCTGGTGATGGCAATGCTATGCGTTTGGGAGCACAGTAAATATTTTTTAAAATAAATTTTTTAATTAAAAATTAAAGGTATCGTATAGCAGCACAATTAGCTACTTTTGCTATTTGTTTTGTTGTTGCTTTGTCTGCTGCAAAGACTTCAATGGCTAAAGAAAAGTAGAGAGGATATATTTTGTATAAAAAAGATACAAAGAAGAGGGGGTTGTAAAAAACAGGGATGTCACGGGTTGAGAAAAATGTCGGGTCGGGTTTCGGGTCGGGTTTCCAAAATTTTTCTCGGATCGGGTTTCGGGTTGAGCAAAAAGTCGGATCGGGTTTCGGATCGGGTTTTCAAAATTTTCTTCGGATCGGGTTTCGTGTCGAAAAAAAGCCAAAATTTTGAGAATTTTGGAAGGCCAAAAAGCCAAAAATCTTCCCTTCTCAGCGCCGCAGGCGAAAATTTTGAGAATTCTTGAAGGTCCGAAGCCAGATTTCTTCCTTTTTCAGCACCGCAGGCGAAAATTTTCAGAATTTTGGAAGATCATTAAGCTAAAAATCTTCCCTTTTTCTGCGACGCGGGCGAAAATTTTGAGAAAACTCGGGTCGGGTTTCGGGTCGGGTTTTAGAAATTTTCTCGGATCGGGTTTCGGGTATCGGGTCGAAAAAAAGGCCGGGTTTCGGGTATCGGGTTTCGGATAACCCGTGACATCCCTGGTAAAAAATATTTTTTTAGAAATAAAATTTTTCAAAAATTTTCTGAGAAAAAATTGTATTTTTGAGAGAAATTATTAAGAAAATTTAAAAATTAGCAAAGTTTGGCGTAGCATAATTTTTGAGATGAAAGACATTATGTCCCAACCGATAGAGAAAACATTTGAGAAGTAGTCTAGGCACGGCGCTTCCACCCTGTTGACGCACGCGTGAAAACTAGCTAACTCTTTTCCTTAAACATAACGCCAAAATTTAAATTAAATGTCTGTTATTCTCCAAATTCTATTGCATCTCTCGTGCGTCTGACTTTATTGTAAACAAGAGAAAGGGTCAGAAGGAGACAAGTTAAAAATGGTCAGAGTGAAGGAAAATGGTCAATTCTCTCATTTGTGAGGGGGAATTAGTTAAATTTTATAACTTTTTATCCTCCCATCCGATTTTTTTCAAATTTTTAATTTTTGTAGTCCTAAAATAGTTAAACAATCTTACAAAGTTTGAGAAGCTAATATACATTTTTAGCTAAGTTATGAATTTTTGAAAACTCGACATTTGAACTTTTAGGAGTCTGTATCTCAGCTCATAATTAAGGTCTTTTCTTGATTTTGGTGTCATCGACTCAACTTGACGAGCTCTTTCGAATGACATATAACACACATACTCGGGAATTGTCCATATTCGGAAGTATAATTTGTCGACATTCAGGAGTCTATAACTAATAAACCCAAGTGGCAAAATTTCCTTCAAAAATTGCCAAATTGTAGTACTATAATTGATATACAACTTTGCAAAGTTTGAGCGGAAAATATGCACTTTGGGCGAAGTTATGATTTTTCGAAAATCGGTGAAATTTCATACATTTTTGGCCATAACTCCCCCTAAATGAACTCTATAAATTCGAAGTTTACATAATACGATGCGTCTCATCGAGCTGCATCGAATAGTACCAAAATCAACTTTCTTTGACTTTTTTACATTTAGTTTTTTGTTTAAAATTGATAGAAAAGTTACTGAAGCAAATTTTCTTGAAAAAAAGCAAAATTTCCCTAATTTTTCTGCAGGATGATCTTAAAGCTCTTATCTATTAAACTGTTAGACAAAATCAAAATCTGTTATAAAAAAACAAAGATATGGGATTTTAAAGTTTTATTAAAATTTGTTTTCGCAGTCGCAAAAAAAGAGTGCATAAAAGAAAGAGAGACAGTTAGAGAACGAAAGAAAGGAGAAATAGAAAACTAAGTAGTTTTCACGCGTGCGTCAACAGGGTGGAAGCGCCGTGTCTAGGTAGAGAAAAAAATCTGTAGATTCGTAGATTTTAAATTATGCCAAATTTGGCATTATGTAAATATATCTTTAATAAATGACATTTCGTCCCTAAATTAGAGAAGCAAAAACTAGAAATAGTGCAGTTAGAGAATCAGAGAAAAAATATTTTTTGGGAAATGAAAAATCGATATCAATCGATAAAATCAATACTAATCGATAATTAATTTTTTAAAAATTTTCATTTTTCAAAAAATCGATATCAATCGATAAAATCAATACTAATCGATAATTAATTTTTTAAAAATTTTTATTTTTCAAAAAATCGATATCAATCGATAAAATCAATACTAATCGATAATTAATCTTTTAAAAATTTTTAATTTTCACAAAATCGATATCAATCGATAAAATCAATACTAATCGATAATTAATTTTTTAAAAATTTTTATTTTTCAAAAAATCGATATCAATCGATAAAATCAATACTAATCGATAATTAATTTTTTAAAAATTTTTATTTTTCAAAAAATCGATATCAATCGATAAAATCAATACTAATCGATAATTAATCTTTTAAAAATTTTTATTTTTCACAAAATCGATATCAATCGATAAAATCAATACTAATCGATAATTAATTTTTTAAAAATTTTATAAACATCCTTTATTCATTTATTCAAAATAATATAAAAACGAGCACTCAAACGGACATTAGAGTCTTGGAACAATAAAGGGATCAATTAAACGAAGGCGTAAAATTGCACAAAATTTAAATGATCTATTGCATGTAGATAATTTTGGGATATTTATTAAATTATTTAAATTTTAGAATAGGGACATTAGAGTATCACTGTTCCAGCAAGCTTTTCGGAGTCATAACTTTTTTGCTTCGAAAATAAATAGGGTCAAGCTTGGTATCGTTCGAAAGCTAATGAGTAGGGGATTTATTTATCTGAAAGGACTCATCTGATCCGTCCATCTTTAAAAAAGATATGGCCTGATAAACGTGGAAAACCTCGATTTTTCGCCCTTATTTGTCTATAACCTTAAGAGGAAGGATCGGACCAGACCGGTCCTTTTAGATAAAAGAATCTACGCGTCATTAGCTCTCGAATGATACCAAAGTTGGCCCAAATTCCTTTAAAAATGATAAAGTTATTGTCCTACAAAGCTTTCTGAAATGTGATACTCAAATGTCACCATATCCATGAGTGGTTGATTAAATGCGAAAAATAAAAGCTCTGAGCTAGAGATGCCTCTTCTATTTTTTGGTCTGAAATTATGTTTGATTTAAAAAAATCCAAGTGGCATCCCTTGACTAAAAGAAAATAAAAGCAGAGATTATTCAAGGAAATTTTTAAGAAAAAAGGAAAAAACACCGGTTTTTCTTGTTTAAGTTGTGGTGAATGAATGACTTGGCATTTTTTTTAGTTTGTTCAAAAATAATTTGTTTTTTAAGAATAAATTGTAACAACTTCTGAACCTGAGCCACGAACTAATAAAACTCTCGGTAATCCTTCTGTGAGGGCTTCGATAAATTCCATATCTGTTTAAAAAATAAATTTGAATATAGGGGGAAAATAAGGGGAGTAATACATACAACTCCACGCCTGTCTCCATGAGACATATTTCGATCCTTAACTTTACGCTACCTCAACTATTTATAATAAACCTTATATCATTCTAAAGCCCTGGATTTGCTGATTATTTTGCTTATTGAGATAGATCTGTTACGATCATCTAATAAAAAGTTAGAAGCGGTTAAAGACCAAAAATCACGATTGCGCGCACTTAACAGCTCATAACATTTTAAGTAATGATCAAATCGTGTCAGTCCCTTGGGGATAAAGAATAGACACATTCAGAGCTTTCGAATGATATAATTCGAAACGGCTGATATATTATTCGAAACGGCTGATATCTAAAAAAGTTTTTGATCAAAGAATGGGTCAGGGAATTAATCAAAGGTACGTCCCCCTACTCATAAAAATATAAATAAACAAATTCCGGAAAAAATATAACCTTTCCGGAAACTAAAAAATAAATTTGAAAATAACTATAAAATATAAAAATAAACTTAAAATTTCCGGAAAAAATATAAAAATATATTCCGGAAAAATATAATCTTTCCGGAAAAAATATAAAAATATATTCCGGAAAAATATAATCTTTCCGGAAACGAATATAAATAATTTTCCGGAAAAAATATAATCCTTTCCGGAAACAATATAAAAATAAATAAATTTCAGAAGAAATATAATCTTTCCGGAAACAATATAAAAATATAATAATAACAAAGTTCCGGAAAAAATATAATCTTTCCGGAAACGAATATAAATAATTTTCCGGAAAAAATATAATCCTTTCCGGAAACAATATAAAAATAAATAAATTTCAGAAGAAATATAATCTTTCCGGAAACAATATAAAAATATAATAATAACAAAGTTCCGGAAAAAATATAATCTTTCCGGAAACGAATATAAATAATTTTCCGGAAAAAATATAATCCTTTCCGGAAACAATATAAAAATAAATAAATTTCAGAAGAAATATAATCTTTCCGGAAACAATATAAAAATATAATAATAACAAAGTTCCGGAAAAAATATAATCTTTCCGGAAACGAATATAAATAATTTTCCGGAAACCTATAAAATTTGCGATAAAAAATATATAAACTCACAGTAAGTATCATTTTGACCAACTTCCGGAGGACCAGGTAAATTAACTACAAGTAATTGTGCATTACTACTTCTTTCCCTCATGTACTGATTTAATTTTAAAGCTGTATGCATTCTTGCTACGGTATAAGGGATTTGTTGTTGTTCATCAGAAATATTTGGAATAGTTCTTTCTGGAGATGGGGTAGTAGTAGAAGGATCTATTGTTGTTGTTGACGGCTTTTTGAACTTGGAAAAATATTCTTTTTAATTTTTAAAAAAATTTTTTAATAAATATAAAGCTTGGTAGAGGTTATAATTTTGCTTCAGGAAAATTCCGGAAATACCGTATTTCCTATATTAGAGCCCCATGGGGCTTTATTTTTCAACTATCCGCCAAGGTGGGGCTGTATTAGAGGGTGGGGCTCTAATTGAGGGTGGGGCTCTATTTTACAACCCTCTTTTGAGACAAAATCCCATTTATTAACTATCCATTGCAACTAGAGATAAGCCGAATGTTTGGTCGATAAACCTGCAAAATATCGAAAGAGAATCGATATTTTTCGATTTTTCAAGAAAAATAAGCTTTTTAAGCAATGAATAACAAAATAGTCCCAATAGTTCAATGAGGCTAAGATTAATTATTAACTATCGATAGATTTGGACGGATTAAATGAAATATTAGGGGACTAGTATTTGACATCGATGGATCAGAGGTATAAAAGCGGATTTTAAGGGATTATGGGGTATATCAGAGGTTTAAGTTTATATTGAGAGATTTAGCGGGATTAAGAGGGATATTCTGGACTAGGGGTATTAGAAGGCATATGAAGTGATTTTGTTTGAGGAAGCTTTGGAACATGTTCCATAACTGGAACTGAAGAAATTAAAAAAGCAGTTCCAGAACTGGAACCGGTTCCAGAGACCGGTTCCAGATAAATGTTGGAAATTCTCCATCACTGATTATAAGCGAGATCCCTAATAGATCTCTAATAATCTCGCGAATTTTCGTCAAGTGGATTAGATTTTGGAGATAATAGGAGGGTTTTGGGGGAATATAAGCGACGATATTAGAGTATTTTGACGTTCATCCCTATATCCCTATGATCCCTCCTCTTACATGATCACGACATCATAGATATCCCCCTTTAATTTCTTAACTCTCTTAATACATCTTAAAAGTTATTGGGATATTTTTTCCTCCAATATTTTTTAGGTGGGGCTGTATTTGGGGTGGGGCTCTAATTGAGGGTGGGGCTCTATTTTTCAACTATCCTCCAAAGTGGGGCTGTATTAGAGGGTGGGGCTCTAACAGAGGGTGGGGCTCTAATATAGGAAATACGGTATATTTTGTATATAAATTTTATATTTTGTGTTTCCGGAAAAATAATTAAATATATTGGAAATTCCGGAAAATACAATTTTTCCGGAAATTAAATAACAGAAAAAAAACAAAAATTCTGGAAACAATATTTTTCCGGAAAATATAACTATTTTTATATATAACTTCCGGAAACAAATATAAATAATTTTCCGGAAAGTTGATAGCAATAAATTCCGGAAACCATACTTCCGAAAACGAATATAAATACTTTTCCGGAAAGTTATAAAGCAAAATATAAATATAATATATTTTCCGGAAAGTTGATAGTAACAAATTCCGGAAAAAATATAACTTCCGGAAAGTTTTAAAATTTAATAATTTTCTGGAAAGAGTATAATAATTAATTTAATTTTTATTTACCTCAACAGAATGTTCACTAAATCTAACTTTATTTGTTGCCCCCACATTTTTTGTTGTTTGTCTTACATTATTATTATTTTCTGTTTGTTGTTCTGGTTGTTGCTGTTGTTCCAAATTACTAGAACGACGTCTAATATTATTATTTACACCCATTCCATCTACACGAGAATATTTACGTTCTAAAACAGCTTCGTCCATTGTTGCCTGAAAAAATTGAGAATTAAGTTTTTTTAAATTCAAAGGAATTTCTTCAATAAAAAATTTTTTCCAAAAATGTTTGGAAAAATAGATAAGACAATTAAACGATAAAAAAATTTTTTTAATAAATTTTGGAACCATAAAATTTTTTTTTTGGAATTTAAATATAATTGATGTCCAAAAAATGTCCAAAATTTCCAAAAAAAATTTTTTTTTGAAAGTAAAATTTTTTTTGAATTTTTTAACCAATATTCTAAAAGATCAGAACGGTTTTTAATTTAATTTTTAAAAAATTTCCAAAAATAACTCTACCTGAATGTCAGTAATTTTTTCATTTTTTCTCATTTCTTTCAACATTTTAACCCTTTCCTCCATTTTCATTGTCCTTTGATAAACATAAGGTTCAATTTCAGTACTATCAATTTCCATAACATTTACTTGTGCTTCAATTCTTAAATGGTATAAAAAACGTTCCAAATCTTTTTTCATTAAAATTGGATTTTCGTCTGTTTGGGCAAAAGTAAATAAACGAACTGTTGTATTTTTCCAGGTCTGAAGGGGAAAAATTAAATAATTAAAAAAATTCTAAAAATTGTTTTAAATTATTTTTAAAATTAATTTAAATTTTTAACACAATTTTTAAATTTTTTGAAAATTTTAGAAATTATTAGGGTATTTTTTAATTCATTTATTGGCATTTTTTGGGTTATTTTTGACTATTTTTAATTAAACAATTTAATTTTGAAATTCTAAAAATTGCTTTAAAAATTTTAGCATTGTTTAAAAATATTTTTAAAATTATTTTAGAATTTTTAAAATTTTTTTAAAAATTTTAAAAATAAATTTGTTACTTAAAAATTATCAAAAATCCCTCAAAAAGTACCCAAAAATTAATTTAAAAATAACCCAATAATTTTTAAAAATTCATAAAATATCCAAAAATATTCAAAAATAATTTTAAAAAATTTTAAAAAAATTTTAAACAATTTTTAAAACGTTTAAAAATTAATATTTAATCATTAACTTCATCAAAAATGTTAAAAAATTGAAATGACCCCGGTGGGACTCGAACCCACAGTCTTCTGATTAGAAGTCAGACGCCTTGTCCATTAGGCCACGGGGCCACATGTTAGTAATTATTTATTTACAGTCATAATGAGAATAAAATAAAGAGGGAATTACTTAGATAAAAGGAAAAAATAAATTTTGAATACAAAAGAGAATTTTTTTAGTTTTTTAATTTTAAAATAATGAAAATAAATTTTAAATAAATTCAAAAATATTTAAAAATTTTTTTTATAATTAAAAATTAATTTTTAATAAATTAGAGGTTTTAGAGTGAAAAATGGTAATTTTTTGAGTAAATTTTAAATTTTTGGGAGGACTAAAAATCTCAAAAATAATTTTTTTCGGCTCTGAAATTAAAAAAATTTCAATTTTTAAATATTAATTAAAAAAAATAAGTTTAAAAATTTTTAAAAATTAAAAAAAAACGACAACCTTATTTTTAATGAGCAAAAAAGGTATGAGCATAAGTAGACCACCATCATTAACAACCTTTTAAAAAAAATTTAAAAAATTAATTTTTTAATAGTAAAAAATATCTAAAGATTTTTTTGAGGTTCTACAATAAATCGGACCTCAATTTTATATAATACATATCCAAGAAATACATCCTCAATTTTTAAAGGACATTTAAAAAAAGTTTTTTTGGCTGGCTATTTGGCTGGAAAAACAATTTCTTATTCCTTTCCGGAAAAGAATGAAATTGTTTAAAAATTCCGGAATATCTAATTGTTGGAGGAGAGACTAGTTTTTAGATTAAATTAAAAAAATTTTTAAATTTTAAAAAATTTAACCCAATAAATATCAATAGTTCCATTAAGACGTTCACTACATGTAGGAAAATTGCTTGCATATTTTGGAACTAAAATAGCACAATTTGCAGCTGAAATAGTTCTAACAGTTTGGGCAAATAAAGAAGCTTCTTTCATTGGGTTTTGATTCTTTAAGGAAATTTTTTTGAGAATTTTTTAAAAATAAATTTAAAAATATATACCTCATTAGAAACACTCCAATGTTCAGGCCAAGCACATACAACACTTTAAAAAATAAATTTTAAACAATTATTTTTATAATCAAATGTTTTTAAAATTAATTTTTTATTAAAAAAGAGAATTTTTAAAAATATTAGAAATAATCGAAAATTAGAAAAGCCCCTTCCCTCTGGTACCATTTCTACATATTAGAAATTATAGTCCATAAAAAATTCCGGAAAAATAAATATATTTACCTAAATTAATGTTCCGGAAAAAGAATAAAATTGTTAAAATAATTTACGGAACAAGTATAACTATCAGAAACATTCAGAGAAAAAAACAATATAAAAATAACTCTCCGGAAATTATAAATAAAATCCGGAAAAATAAGCATACATATATTTAATATTCCGGAATAAATATAACTTCCGGAAAATAATATGACTTCCGGTTAAATATACTTATATAACTTCCGGTTAAAAATATAAATATATCTTCCGGAAAAAATTCCGGAAAGAATTAAATATAAAAATAACCGTCCAAAAATATAAACTTTCCGGAAATTATAAATAATAAATCCGGAAAAATAACAAATTCCGGAAAAATTTATTCCCGGAAAAGTACTATTAAATAAACATATTTTTTCTCTACCTATTATGTCGAAGACCTCCCAAACCAGACGTTTGAATTAAATGGGATATTCCTTGCATAAAATGTTCAGTTACCAAAACATCACAAAAACCACGAATTCTACTTTCTTTTACAGCATCTTGTAATTCCTTTGAAAAAATTTTTTTTTGTTTAAAATTTTTCAAGAATCCACCTCTTTAATTGTACAAATATCACTTTTAGAAATTTGAGCAAATTGTCCTTCAATACATTCAGCAATTAAAGTTAATCCTTTCCCAGCTTTTAATTGGGCTACAAATGCAAGTAAACCTTTACGTGTATTTTCTAAATTTGAATAAAGTTGTTCCATTTTCTTTGAAGGATATAAAACTAACTGAAAAAAAATATTTTTTTAATTAAAAAATTTTCAAAAATTTTTAAAAAATTCTCAGAAAAATTTTCAAAAAATTTTTTTTAACAAACAATTTGAGGCCGCCAATTTCTAGTATGCATAATTCCACGAGAATCAACATTTAAAAGTGCAAAACGTGCGGCAGACAATGCAAGACCTTTTAATCCATCACCCCATTCTTTTTCTGCTCCAGCATATTCTATATCTATAATTAAAAAAATTAAATTTATAAATATATAATTCCGGAAAAATAATAGTTAAATATATTTAAATTAGTGTTCCGGAAAAGAACAGAATAATAATAAATTCCGAAATAAATATAACTCAAAAAATTCCGGAAGAAATAAAATATAACTATAGTGACTAGAGAATTCCGGAAAAATAATTAAATTCAAACCAATGCTCCGAAAAATAAATAAAATTATTAGAATTAATACAGGAATAAATATAACTATCGGAAAGATTCCGGAAAGAATATAATATAAAAATAACATTCTGGAAATTATAAATAAAATCCGGAAAACTAAGTATATATATATATATTTAATGTTCCGGAATAAATATAACTTCCGGAAAAATTTTGGAAGAAATAAAATTTAAAAACAACTTTCCGGAAGTTATAAACGTTCCGGAAAAATTATATGTAGGCAATAAAATCAGGAAAATGACAAATTTCCGTAAAAAGTTTAATTATTTTAAAAGCTTTCCGGAATATAATAAATAAACCCTACATTTATAAACAGCAGCCCCAATAAATATAGCAACCAAAGCAAAATACCAAGCAGATATAAACATTACAGCAATACATAAAAATGCTCCCAAAGTAGATAAAGACCAATGAAAATATCTAAATGATGGACGCCAACCTAAAAAATAAATTTTTTAAATTATTTTTTACATTCCAGAAAAACCAACCTGGAGCCTTAAGTAAAGATTGTAAAGCACATGCTGTAAATTAAAAAAAAATTTTTTTTTAATAATTTTAAAATTAAAAAAAATTATTAATATACCTGCATTTACACCCAAATAACACATTAGGAAAAATTGTGTAATTAATGCTGTTATATTTTCTATGACGGCAATTAAAATACCTTGAAAAAGTCACAGTTAAAAAAAAGTAAAAAAATAAAAATAAACATTTTTAGAATTTTTAAATTTAAAACGGTCTGAAATATTTTTGATTTTCAGGCTTTGAAAAATATTTAAATAATATTAAAATTTTAAAGTTAAATCTAAAAACTTAAGAATAAGGTTAAATTTAAGCTTAAACTAAGTTCAAAGTTTACTACTTAAGTTTTAAATAAGATTTTAAGATTGAACTTAAAACAAGTTTAGACTTAAAATAAGCTTACACCTAAACTTAAGATTAAGCTTAAATATAAGACTATTCCAAGTTTAAACTTAAAACAAAGTTCAAATTTAAGAATAAGCTTAAAATGAATTCTTATAATAATTCTTAAGTTTATGAATTAAAATTCCCCACCTAACCAACATATACAAAGCGTCAAGAAAATAGCTCTAATAGGTTCTCCACGTCTATCAGTTTTTTGAAATGGCCGCAAGAAGGGTATAACATCTAAAAATATTTTTTTTAATTTTTAAATTAAAAAATAATTTTTTAACCATCAGCAGAAATAGCCTGTAACAATCTTGGAGCACCAGTTAAAGATTGCATACCAGCACCTATTGTGGAAGAACAACAACCAATCTACACAAAATAAAAATGCCGTATTTTTCCCAATAGAAGCGCATGCGCTTCTATTTTTCAACCTCCTCGTAGCTGCGCTTCTATTGGGACGTGCGCTTCAAATGGGACGTGCGCTTGTATTTTTCAACTCCTATGCGAATTAATTTTTATAACATAATAGGAAAAAAAATTTCAGAAATTTCTTTATCTTCTCATACTTGATGTAATAAATCCAATCCATCTGGCCTAAAACAATGTATTTCATCATCTTTGGAACATCACTTGGAATTCCAATTCCACAAACACTAAAGCTTTTTGCAACATTTCCTTTTGAAATCACATCTCATACTTTAACTATCCATCCGAAATAAAATTTCATTGGTTGTAAACCCAAAAAAGCAAGCGTTGTGAGAACAATGATTACCCTATAATTGCTCTCAAATATTCGGCAGGGAGGGCATCATCCATCCAGCTTTTCCACTCCATCTCCTAGCAAGATGGAAATAAGTTTTTCCCCGATTATAACTCAAAAACCTTAAAACTTTCGACAAGAGAGGGATCAGGTCGTTTACGTGAAAGTAGTACAAAGGAAAGATTGGAAAAATTTATCGATAGAATAAGATTTGCGTTTTCGAGTATATCACCGGTTACATTACTTGAACATTTACCTAAGCATCAATTTCTGAACTGGAATGAATCCATTTTTATAAAAAAGTGTAAATTCTTAATCGTAAATGAATTAAGAATTGTTTAAAATAATAACTATGTAAAAGAATAATTGCTCAAATAACTATTCCATAGGGTGCGCTTCTAATAGGACATGCGCTTCTAATGGGACCTGCGCTTGTATTTTTCAACCTCCTCGTTGACTGCGCTTCTAATAGGACGTGCGCTTCAAATGGGACGTGCGCTTCTATTGGGAAAAATACGGTAAGTCCAAGAATAAATTTTTTAAATAGTTTTTTTTACCAAAATAAGAAGTGGATGAGGAATTGCCAATTCAGCTATTACCTAAAAAAATTTTTTTTTAATTTTCAAAAATTTTTTTCTTCTCAAGAGAAAGAAACATACAAGTTTTCCCATAGCAGATTGCCCAAATTTATCTCTTATAAACATTTCTGCCACAGAAGAACCAATAAGACCAGCACCAGTTAAATAAACTATAGAAGTTGTTAACTGAAAAAAATTCTTTATAAATTTCAAAAAAAATTTTTTTTAATTTACCTGAGCACCCAAGGTTCCAACAGGTATAGATTTTGAAGCATCTAGTATTTTAATTTAAATATTTTTAAAATTAAAATATTTTTTTAAAATTTACCTCTCAAATTTCCTGAACGATTTGAACCTGCCATTATTCCTGTTACAGAAGGGAAGAAAACACCAACCAAAATCCTAAAAAAACAAAAAAAAGATAGGAAAAGAATTGAAGTTTATAAACTTAATTTTTAAATATTAAAAAGTAAGATCAAGCTTAAACAAAATTTACACAAGTTTATAAACTTTAAACTTAAAATTAAACTTAAAAGTTAAACTTAAACTTAAAAAGTTAAGTTTAAACTTAAAGATAAGTTTAAAGTTTGTAATTAAATTAAAACTTAAGATCGATCTTAAAACTTAAGTTTAAACTTTAGAAAATAAACTTTTAAGTTTAAACTTGAAAAATTAAGTCTAAACATTAATTAAATATTGAGTGTAAACTTAAAAAATTAAAAATCAAGGGTTGAGTTTTAGTATTGAAATGTTTAAGTATTAACTTGTGTTAGAATTAGATTACGATTTTTTCAGATGATAATCTAAAAAATATTATTTAAAAAAACAAACATAAAAGACGTTGTTGTATCAGAAAACACCCAAAACGAATTTTGTTTATTATTTGGATCTGGAGGTAATTCAGGAGTTTTTGATTGTAATTTAGTTAAAACATCTCCATTACGTCGATATTTGCTATATAAATTTTCGTAAAATACTCCACTAGAAAGACCAGGGATTGCTGACTATAAAAATTTTAATTATTTTTTTAAAAATTCACATAATTTTTTATCAAGTTTTAATACTAAAATTTAGCTAATTAAAATTAAAAATTTAAATTTCGAATTAAGTTAGGTAAAAGCCCATCATAAGTCCCAAACCCCGAGTCGGAGCATAGATTTGGCTTACAACTGAGTCCGGAGCTAAGTTTATTGTCATTTTTTTATTGCTCGTTAAGCTCATTCAAATGACACATGTATTGGTTGCCCGAATAAAATATATGGGACTTAAGACGGATTTTATCCTCAAGTTCAACTAAAATTTTAGTTCAAGTCTTAATTCAACCAAAAAGAATAGTTTTTCTCATCTAAAATTCCCCCTACCTCCATTCTAATATCTGACGGATTCGATTGCACCACTCTTTCAAAATAACGATCACAATTTGATAAAACTGCAGGTTTTGCATAAGAATGAACTATTTTATTCCTTTGAAATGATTTTTTAATAGATGTTTTAATTGTTGTTGTATCCAAATTATTGTTGTTTTTATTGTTTGTTGGTTTCATACAAAAAACATTTCGAAGTCCTTCATCTGTACAATTTGGTATATAACCATGAATAGCATGAAAACCACTCAAATCAACGGGGCGATTTCCAACCATGCAAAATCTAAAGAAAAAAATAATTAGGTTTAGAAGTTAACGAGATGAAGTAAAAGCTGAGGAAATTTTAAAAATAAAGTCAAAGAATTTTAAGTTGAATTTTTAAAATTGAAAAAAAAAGAAAAAATTTTTTTAGGTTGTATATTAGAAAATTTAAAAAAAATTTCTTCAAGTTCAAAAATATATGTAGTTAAAAAATGAGAATTTAAGCTTAGAAATGTAAAATTAAAACTTAAGCTCTTAAAACTTAAAATAAAGATATAAACTTAAGTTCAAGCTTAAAAATAAAATTTAAACTTGAAAAGGTATAATGAATAATTTTTAAATTTAAACTTAATTTTAAAAAAGTTTCCGGAAAGAATAAAATATAAAAATAACATTCCGGAAGTTACAAACTTTCCGGAAAATATAAAAAAGAAAATATAATTTCAGGAAAATTCCGGAAAGAATAAAATATAAAAATAACATTCCGGAAGTTACAAACTTTCCGGAAAATATAAAAAAGAAAATATAATTTCAGGAAAATTCCGAAAGGAATAAAATATAAAAATAATTTTCCGGAAGTTATAAACTTAACGGAAAAACATAAATAATAAAGAAAATATGATTTCCGGAAAATTCCGTAAGGAATAAAATATAAAAATAACTTTGCGGAAATTATAAACCTGCTATAAACTTTCCGGAAAAAATAAATAAAATACGGAAAAATAACAAATTTCCGGAAAAAGTTTATTTTATAATTCTTTCATTTTTTAATTTTTAAAATTTTACTTAAGTGAATCAGTGCCTCCAAATTTAAGAAAAATACCGACAAATGTACAAACTATACACGCAATAACAACAAGAACAGCAGGTAAAGCAAATTTATTTACAATCTAAAAAAATTTCAATTAAATAAAAAAAATTAATTTTTCTACCTTAACCCCAGCTAGCACAATTAATCCAACTAGAATTAATAAAATAGAACCAAAAAGTCGAAAATTGTGATACTAAAAAATTTTTTTTCAGCAAACCCTCATAAATAAAATTACCATATCATCAAATACTTTTGCCTGAGGCATTATGTAAATTAAAAAAATTTCCACAGCGCCAATTATATACATTGAAGCAGCTATTGTTGTGCCTAAGTAAAACTGAGAAAAAGGGGGGAAAATAATTTTCAAAAAAATTTTTTTTATTACCAAAATTCCAACAGCACCTCCAAGCTCTGGTCCAAGATTTCTTGAGATCTAAATTAGAAAGAAAAAAAAATTTTTTTTAATTTTAAAAATTGAGAGAGAAAGAACCCCACCATATAATAAGGACCACCACCTGAAACAACACCGTTAGTAGCTATGGCAGAGAGTGAAATTGAAGTGAGAAAGGTCTGAAAAAATTTTTTGAAGTTTCCGGAAAATAATAAAAAAATAAATTAATTACCACACTGCAACAAAGAAGCACCACTAAAAAAGCTTCAAGTACTCCGGCAGTTCCAACAATCCATGGGAGACGAATAAAAAATAAAACACCAAAAATATTTTGAAGGCAAGGAATGTAACTTAAAAAAATTTTTTTCTTCAAAAAAATTTCACAAAATTTTTAACTTACACCCCCATAATTGTCCCCAATTTAGCAGCAGCCTGTGGTTTGCCATTTCTATTTTTCCCATTATTATTATTCCCATTTGCTCCATTTGAAGACCCTTTAATCGTAGATTCAGGGTCCTCATTAGACGTTGGTAAAATGGAATTGTAGAGGGATAAGGAACGCAACATCTGACCGATATTCTGTCGTTTTGCTCCGCTGTATTCATCCTACAAATAAATTAGAGTTGAATCCGGAAAATATTAAAAGAATAATATTATATTTTCCGGAAAATATATTTATTATGCTTCCGGAAAATAATATTATAAAAAATTGTATAATTAAACCTATCCGGAAATTGATATATTTTAATGAGAATAATTTCCGGAAAATGTTTATTTTTTCCGGAAGATAATATTAAATAGTTAGATATAATTATGCTTCCGGAAAATTATATTATAAAGGAAATACACCTAAAATTATTTAAATACATTCCGGAAACCATTATATTTTTATGAAAATAATTACTCTTCCGGAAAATAACTATAATATTATGTTTAAATACCAAAATAAAATAATAACGCCTTAAATAACTATATTTTCCGGAAAATATACATTTTCCGGAAAAAATATATTATAACCACATTGTTTATTATTCTCTATATACCTGATATAAAGCTAAGTTTAAATCGCAATGTTGTTTAACACAAAGAGGCACATTTTCAGGCAATAAAGGAGTACCCCCATTATTATGGGAAGTATCAACTTTATTATTGTTCGTCGCCAGCCTGTTATTAGTATCAGTAATTAATAGAGGTTGTTGTGACAATTCTTAATGTTTAATAAAAACATTTTTTGATAATTTTTTGATGATTTTTTTAAATTTTTTGATGGAAATATAATTTTTTTTATTTAAAAAAATGCCCAAAAAATTCCCCTTAAAGATGCATATTTTTTGGTAGGTGAGAGGGCGAAGTGTATAATAAAAATATAGAAAAATAAATTTTCTTTAAAAAAATCTAAAGTGTAAAAAGAAATATTTAATAATGGAATATTAGCAAAAAAATTTTTGAACAAAAAAAAATTTTTCAGTCCAGACAAAAATTATGTGTACATATACTATTATTAAATAGATGTATATTTTAGTTCCTGGTTCAGGCCTATATTTACACAAAAATTTTTATTATTAACTATTAATTTAAAAACAATATTTTTTCAAAAAATAGACTAATTAGTAGAAAAAATTATAAAATATAATTTTTGAAAAATATTTGAAAAAAAAGAGAAAAATATTAATGTAGATACGAGATTTTAACAAGAAAAAAAATTAACAAGAAAAAAATTTAACAAAAAAAAACATACGAGATTTTAACAAGAAAAAAATTTTTTGCATGATGATATCAAAAAAATTTTTTTCAAGAGATATTATAATTAATTTTGGCTGTACTGTAGTGTAGCACCCACTCCAAAAATTTTCAAAACACATATCATTCGATTCGTCTCGGCGAGCTGAGTCGAATGGTACCACTCTCTTTCTGCGGAAATGCCTAAGAGCTGAGATATAGGGCTTTAAAAATCGAAAAACCAAAGAGGGGACCAAGCTGATTTTTGGGGTCAAAAATTCGAATATGCATATGGCAGCTCATTCGAAAGAGCTCGTCGAACTGAGTCGAATGACACCAAAATTAACGAAATCCGACTTGATTTGACAAAGTTATGAGCATTTGTTTTAGCTCCTTACCTTTGGGCTACGTGCAGGATTTTCTTGCTCGGGAGGAAGCCAGACATGCCGACCGCAGCTAAAATAGGCATAAGTTTATGTTACGAGCCCAGACCCAGCGCCCGTAGACTCCCCGCGAGGCGCGTGTCGCAAAACTCCGCGCGAAGCGCGGAGTTTTGCACAAGCGCCTCGCCGACGCCCCATAGGTTTATGTTGCTTGTTTTTGTGTCGTAACTTTGCCTAATCTTGTTCAATCACGGTGATTTTGGTGTCATTCGACTCAGCTCGATGAGCTCTTTCGAATGAGCTATCATTTGCATATTCGAATTTTTGCCCACAAAAATCAGCTTGGTACTCCCTATGGTTTTTGACCCTTTCGAGCTCTATATCTCAGCTCCTAGGCATTTCCGCAGAAAGAGAGTGGTACCATTCAACTCAGCTCGTCGAGACAAATCGAATGGTATGTGTTTTGAAATTTTTTGGAGTGGGTGCTGCACTACAGTATATCCTTAATTTTTTTTAAATGACAAGTTTTTTCGTGTATGATGTCCTTTAAAAAAATAAAAGTACTCTTATAATTTTATGTAAAAATGAAAAAATTTTTTTCCTCTACCAAAGGACATTCAAAAAAACAAGCAAAAAAAAGATAAATTAGAATACCCATAATTATCATCACAATATTTTTTTCACATTTAATAAATAAATTTAGCAGAAGCCTCAACTAATCATAATAAATGGGTATGTCAATGTACGTCAAAAAACATATATTTTTAATTAGAGCATAGCCGAATGGGGTCGGTCAATATTTTTCGATAAATATCGAAAACAAATATTGAAAAAAATATTGTATCGAGCAGGGCTCTAATTTTAATTAACAATATTTTTGAGTTAAAAATTGAAAAAAAAATTTTTAAGGAGGATTTCTAAAATTTTTTAATTTTAAGCTCCGAGGCCTCGAAAATTCTTTTTTAAAAATCAAAAAAAAATTATAAAAAAGCTTAGAGGCCCAGAAAAATTTTTTTTACTTTATTAAAAAATATATGGTAAAAAAAGGGGGAGTGAAAATTTGACACAATTTTTATAAAAAATATAGAGGTAGTAAATATATATTTGAGAACATAAAAAATGAAAAAATAATTGCTTCCCATAGATTTAACACACTTTTTTATTCAAATTTATATACATATGTTTGTGTGCCTCTAGGCTTCAAACAAAAATTAAGGCTTTACTTAAAAAAATAAAAAAAAAAGAAGAAAGGACAAACAAAATGTAAAAAATTTATTTATATATATTTAATTGGCATTTGACAGACGAGAATGAAGAGAATTTTTGTAAGTAAAAATTGAAAAAAAATTTTTTTGCTAGTTTATTAAAAAAATCTACGGCAATGTCAGAAAAATGCACCCTAAAGCAGCAAAAATGTTAGAAATAAAAAATATGAAAAAAATAAAAAAATAAATAGAAGAAAAAAATTAATTAAATATACAGCAAGTAATAAAAGGTACTTCCATTAAAAATTCGAAAAAAAATTTTTTCTGAACAAAAAAAAATTTTTTTGGAAAAATTTCCATTTAAAAAATTTACAAACCCAGAAAAGTAAAAGAAAAAATTTTTTTCTAAAAAAATTTCTAGAAAAATTCTAGAAAAAAAATTTTTTTTTTGGAAAAATTTTCCCTTAAAAAATTTACAAACCCAGAAAAGTAAAGAAAAAAATTTTTTTTTCAGAAAAATTTTTATTTCTTGAACAAAATTATTTCCGAAACTAATTAAAAAAAAGGACAAGAATTGTAATATCCAAAAATAGGCGCTGTATCTAAATATATAAGTGGCATAATTTTGTATTTAATTTTTTTTAAATATTTCATAGCGTGATTTTTAGAAAAAAGAAAAAAAATCTCCTTTAAAAAATTTACAAACTCGGAAAAGTAAAAACCAAAATCTCAAAAAATAATTTATATACCTACTATGGAAAACCAGGAAATAAAAAAAAGTGAAAAAAAATTATAAGAAAAATTTTTAAAAATACGTAGAAAAAAATAATTATGCATATAAAAATATATAAAAAAATAAGACAATATGTAGTTGATTATTTTATTTAAAAATTTTTTTAAAAACAATAAAAATAAATAAAAAATAAATAGAAAAAATAGATAAAACAATATGTAGTTGATTATTTTATAAAAAAATATTTAAAAACACTAAAAAAATATAAAAAAGAATGGAGAAATAAATAAATAAATTATTTAAAAATAAAATGGAAAAGGAAAAAAACAGTTTTTAAGAAATAAAAAAAATAATATTTATTGTTCAAAACTTTAAAAAAGCAAAAAACAAAAATAAAAAAAAAAACAAAAAAAAATACAGGTTGTATTTAAAAACCAAATTTTCAGAAAAAAATTTTACCAAAAAAATTTTTTTGAAGAAAATTTTCTTTAGAAAAATACTAAAAAAATACAAGGAAAATAAAAAAAAATAAATAAAAAATTTTTTTTTAAACAGGAAATTTCTTTAGAAAAATACTTTTAAGAATGCATAAGATAAAACAAAATTTAGAAAAAAATACAAAAAATATCTAGAAAAAAAATTTAAAAAATATATTTTTGTTTTCCAAAATAACTAACCAAAAAAAATTTTTTTTACCTAACTTTTGTTTAAAAAAATTTTTTTCAAAAACAGGAAATTTTTAATAAACAGGAAAAAACACATATTCTTAAAATCTATTTAAAAATTAGGGGAAAAATAAAAAGAAAAAATATTTTTAAAATTAAAAAAAGTGAAGCATTTTGTGCCTAAAGCCTTACTTATAAAGAGGAGAAAACCTCTTTTATTCTCGCTTAAAGCAGAAAAAAAAGATAAGAAAAAAAAATATTTAAAAAAGAGTTTATTTTATTTTCTCGGCAAAATTTTTTCTAGTTAAAAAAATGAAGATTTTGGCCAAAATATTTGTGTGAAAAAAAAAGAATTTTTTAAAGAGGAAATGAAAAAAAAGGAACCACAGAAAAAAAGTTGTTAGAGTGTTATTTATTTTTTTTGGCAAAATGAGGAACTAACAAAAAAATTTTTTAGAACGAATAATATTAAATGAAGAAAAAAGTTTTTTAAGAAAATTAGTTTTTTTTTGAAGATATATATAAATTTTAAAATTAAATTTAAAATTAAATTGAATATAGACAAGCTTTAGTTTTATAAGAATATAAAGTCTTAAAAATTGAACATTGTATGTTTTATTTTCCGGAAAATATATTCAATTTACATATGAGGTTTACTTTCCGGAAATAATATAATAAAGTAAAATCGATTATTATTCTGGTATAACATTGTTATTATTATATTTTCCGGAAAATATAATATTCCGGAAAATAATTCCGGAAATAAAATATTCCGGAAAGGAATAATTAAGAACATATATAGAGAAATATAATTTTTCCGGAAATATACTGATAATGTTTAATTCCGGAAAAAATATTTATATTTTTTTAGAATTCCGGAAATAAACTTTTTACGGAAAACCTAATTAAAATAAACTTTATATACCTATTTTATTTTCCGGAAGAGTTATTTATTTTTGAAATAGTTAAGTAGTTTCTGTTAAAGCTAATAAAAATAAAGAAAAAAATCCAATAAATAATAAACAATAGAAACTCCAAAAAACATTAAATTTATTATTATTACCAGATTAAAAGGGATTAGACAACTACAATCATTTATTAGGTATAGAGGGTAAAAAAAGCTGAAGGGGAGCTTTGCCATTCCCCTCTCCTCTCTGCTTCAACGGGACCAAAGAAAAGGGAAAGAAAAAAGCAGGTGCCAAAAAAACATGTGGTGGTTCTTCTCATCAAGCATATTAGGCAGATGATAAAAACAAGCAAAAAAGAGAAGAGGGTAGAAGAAAAAGTGGAGGATTTTTAGTGACAGCCGATAGATATTGAGAGAGAACTGGTAGACTGGGCAAAACCCCTAGAAAGGGAAAAAGGAATAAAAAAGAGGAAGAAGAACATCGCTAAAGGCACGAACGGAGAAAAGAAGATGGAAGGAATATATTTTTATTTTTTGAAAAGAAAAGTCGAAAAAAGGATTGCAAACGCGCATCACTAAAATTTTTATAAGTTGGGAAAGAATGGACCGTTCAAAATAAAATTTGTATAATTAAATAGAGAATTGAATTAGCTACAAAAATGGCCAAAAATAAAAATTTTAATTAAATTACAGAAGAAGGTTACGGTCCAAAAACTAAGATAGGTATAGTAACATTTTTTCTAAAATATTCCAGAAAGAAAATAGAGCCAAAAATAAATTCCGGAAAGAAAAATAATTATAAGAAATAAATTCCGGAATGTAATTATTATAGAGAACAATTTTCCGGAAAGAATATAACTATAGTAAATTATTCCGGAAAGAATGCACCTATAAAGATAAATGGTTCCGGAAAGAATAACAAATAAAAATTAATTCCGGAAAGATTGAATAATGGAAAATAAATTCCGGAAAGAATATAACTATAAAGAATTAATTCCGGAAAGAATCGAATAATAGGAAATATATTCCGGAAAGAATATAACTATAGAAAATAAAGTACAGAAAAGATAAAAATTATTTATTACTAAATTTTTACAAGAGATTTTCAACAAAAATTTTTTTTTGAAATATTTATTTCAAAATTTTTTTTATTTAATTTATAATCTTATTTTTGTAATACAAATTCAATTCTTATTTGTAAAATAAATAAAAAACCTAAAAATATTCATAAAAAAAATTAATGCATTTTTTGTGTAATATAAGGTTGGAAAGGGATGAAGCTAGAAGAAGAAAAAAATATTTAGAGAAAGAAAAAAGGAAAATACATATATATTATTTAAATGCCAGCTGCTTTTTTTACTTAAAATATTATAGAAAATATAGAAAAAGTAGAGAGTGACTTTTAAAAAAAATAAAGAGTCATCTCTCTCCAAAAAGGGGAGTTTTATGGATATTTATTTAGATAAATGGAGAGAAAATAGAAAAAAAGATTTTTTTGTTCGAGATGACTGACAAGAAAAGAGAAGAAAAAAAGGTTTTAAAAAACATGTAAAAAACAAAATTTGGAAGAATAATTAATTAAAGATAGAAGATGGACAAGAGAAAGTGGATTAAAAATGGAACTAAAAGAAGAGAGGCTGGTAAATGATAGAGGCAAAAATAAAAAGGGATTTAAAATTAAAAATGAAAAATGGCTTTATTCTCTTTGGCGGCATTTAGATATTTTTTTAAATATTGTTACAAAAAAGATTTATATATTTTTAGAAAATTAGTTGAGATAAAAATTATTATTTAATATATTTTTAGGGTATGTAATAAATTATTCCTGAAAAATAAAATAGGGAAAAGAATTTTCCGGAAAGAATATAACTACAGAAAAATAAATTCCGGAAAAAATATAAAAAAGAAAAATAAATTTTCCGGAATATAACTGTAGGAAATAAATTATTCCGGAAAGCATAAAGAAGAGAAAAGTAATTTTCCGGAAAGAATATAATTACTAGGGAATGGCAAAATATGCTCGGAAAATCCCAAAATATGCGCATATATATGCACCGAAAAAGCCCAAAATATGCACCAAACTATGCCAAATTTGCCGAAATATGCACTAAATATGCAGCGAAAATAATGAAAATGTGCTTTAAAATTCAATATTTCAAGTAAAAAATACAAAAATACAAATTTAAATTGCAGTTCAAGAGCACTTCTTAAAGATTTTATTAACTTTTAATTCAACCAAAGAAATTTAATTTTTCCCTAAAAATTTTTCGAAAAAATTTTTTCACCAAATTTTTATAAAAAAATTTTTTGCTCAAAAAATTCCAAAATTTTGAAAATTTTGCCCGATTTTTACTAAAATTTATCAAAAAATGCCAAAATATGCACAAATTTTGGCAAAAATATGCAAAATTTCCCAAAATATGCATTGATATGCAAATATGCACGAAAGTACCGAAATATGCAAAAATATGCTATAGGAACCCGGTCCCTAATGTTCGTACCGACGTAAAAACACCATTTTTGAGCGTTTCAGCTCATGGCATATCCGCATACAAAATATGCATTTGCATGTTTTGCCACTCCCTAATAATTACAGAAAAAAAAATTCCGGAAAGATTAAATACAAAAAATATAAATTTTCCGGAAAGAATATAACTATTTAAAATAAATCCCGGAAAAGATATAGTTAAATTATGAAAACCTGAAATAAATTACGGAAAGAATATAACTATTTAAAATAAATCCAAGAAAGAAACAGTCAGCAGAGTATAACTATAAAAATTGTATACAGAAAATATAGAAAATAAGTTTCCGGAAAAGTAATAGTATTATCAAATAAAAATATTGTGTATATGCAAAAAGATGTACCCTTGCAAAAATAATAATATAAGTAAAAATAATAAGCTCATTAATTAATTATTATTAAAAAAATAACATTACTAATAATATTATTTTTAATAACATCAATTATTATTGCAAAGGATAAGCATCAAAAATAAGCAAAAAAAAATATTAAATAAATTTTTAGGAGAAAGTTAACGTTTAATAGAATGAAGAGTTTAGGAAAATTTTTCAAAAATTTTTTAAAAATTCTAGAAAGAGAAAAATTCCCTAAAAATTCCAAAATTTAACACAAAATTAGAAAAAAAATTTAATTTTTACTACAAAATTTTGTAGACTAAAAAATAAATAAAATTTTGCCAACTACAGTATTTTCTCGATTAATTCCTCTCCCTCGAATAATTCCCCCTCTCGATTAATTCCCCCTGCCAAAGATACGTTGAAACAATAATTGCCCTCCCCCAAATACCCTACTGCGCGTTCAAATTTCAAAACTCAAATAATTCCCCTTACTTGAATAATTCCCCATGCCATGGATGGGTTGAAAAAATAATTCCCCAGGGGAATTAATCGAGAAAATACGGTATGTTCAGGTTAAAAAAATAATTATCGTGTTTTTATATATATTTTCCCATGTTTCAAAAATTAAAAAAAATATATTTAAAAAAAATTAAATTAAAAATAAATTTGTAGTTATTTTTGGATTAATATAAAAATAGAAGAATATCAAGAAAAAATCCTATGAAAAAAAAAATTGAAAAAAGGAGAGAAGCAAGGTAGTCTACAAAGAAAATCCCCAAAAATCACCAAAAAATTTTTCAAAATAATATTTTTTTTCAAAAAAATATTATTTTAATTTACCCCAATTTTTAACCCTCTTTCCCACCAAAAATTCAAGTACTAAAATTTAAAAAAAAATAATTGTCACAAAAATATTGAGGGAGGTAAGATAAGATATTGAGTTACACACAAACACATGCATCTAAAACTCCCCCAACTTTAAGGGTAAACAAAAAAATTTTTTGAAAATTAAGTAATTTTGGAAGGGAACCTTTTTTGAACACATTTAGGTAAATAAAAAAAAACCGACCAAAGGACAAAAAAATTTTCAAAATTTTTTCAAAAGTTTTTTCAAAATAATCCAGAAAGAAATGGAGTTACAGAAAAATAAATTCCGGAAAGGAAAATAATTATAAGAAATAAATTGCGGAATGTAATTATAGAGAATAATTTCCGGAAAGAATATAACTATAGTAAATTAATTCCGGAAAGAATGCACCTACAAAGAAAATAATTTTCCGGAAAGATCGAATAATAGGAAATAAATCCCTAAAAAATATAACGAAAGTAATTTTCAAAAAAAAAATAAAATTTGAAAATTAAGTAATGATTGGAAGAGATTTTTTTCGAACACATTTAAATAAAAAAAATCCCCAAGGGACAAAAATTTTTTTCACAAATTTTCAAAAATTTTTTTTTAATTTAACCCACCTCCACGTCCTTCTAACTGTCCAACATCTCCATTATCCACTTCTTCGTCATGATATAGAAAAGGCTGATCATCTTCTTCATCTGCTGGAATTTGTTGAGAATCAACGTTGAACACACGTATCTGAATTACAAAAAAATTGAATTGAAAATTTTCACCAGACTCAAACGACCCGTTAATGTCAGACTCAAATACTCCTTTACCTAAAGACTCGAAGTGTCCAATGGACAAAAAGGTCTAGCAATAAGAGGTCGGCGCGGGATCGGATCCGGTCCCGCTTCCCGGTCCTCTTTCCCGGCTTTTTGAAGATGCCGGGATGAGACCTGGATCGGGAATTTCCTGTTTTCCCGGTCCGGGTCCCGGTCGGTCAATTTTCATTTCCCGTTCCCGGCGTTTTCCAAATTTCGATCTATACTAACAATAAAGAAGACTAACGTCACTTAAGAAGGGAAAATTTCGGAATTAGCAATCTAGCAACATTCGAATCTGAAAATTTTTTTTAAAATTCCCTCAAGGAATTACCCCAAACTTGGCCCCTTTCTCCATTCCCCAATTTAAAAAAAATAAAAAACCTGAACTTCCGGGTTTCTCGTTGGAATAGTTGTCGTTGGTCGAATACAAACATCTTTTGACTGTTGAAAATAATTATCATCGTTCTCAATATTAGCTATTGGAGCTTCTTTGTTAACTGAGGATACCTTTAAAAATTAATTTTTAAATTTATTTTTAATTCCCAAAAGATCAACAACCATAAAATCACCCCAAGGTAAAAGCGTAGCCAGGGGGGTCGATTTCAGGGGGAGGGGGGCTTTTTTGCTTAATCCCCTACTCAAATTTTTTTCCTTTTCCCAATTTCGAGGGGAGGGGCTTTAGCCACAGAAGCCACCTCCCCCTTGTCCCCCTCCCCTTGCCCCAAGGTAAAGGCTTTCTTCCAATTGTCCAAAAAAGGTTCGAAAAGGGTGTCCAAAAGGAAAAAAACAAGAAAGATAAAACAAAGAAAGAAAAAAGGATTTAAAATCACGTTAATCTCTTGAGCATCAAAGCTATAAAAAAATAGAATTTTTCAAGTTTCGACTCACCTGAAATCGAGAAGCCATTAATTAATTGTTGCACGCTTTCCTGATTTTCTTGTAGTATAGCACCAAATAAGAAGATAAAATAAAAGCAAAATCTAAAGATACTTTGAAATTTTGTCTAAATAAATCTTAAAAAAAATAAAAATTTAAGGAAAATTTAAAGAAAATTACAGAAAAAAATCCAAAGTGTAAAATGGACATTTGGTCCAATTTGCAAAAAGTGCCACTTTGCCAGTAGCCACTTTGCCAATTTGCATTTTGTCGAACGGGGAAATGAGTATACCTCAGGGAGGTTGCAAAACGAAATTCAAGAAGCGGAAAGTGGGAGGGATGGAAACTTGAGCGCTAATAAAAACGGAAGTGGAAGTGCTAGGAGAAAAGACGGAAAGACGAAAATCGGTCGACGGCGAAAGAAGCAGATACCCCTGACACATTAAATGGTCATAACTTTGTTCAGTTAAATCAGATTTGGATAATTTTGGTGTTGTTAGAATTAGCTCGAAGAGCTCTTTCGAATGATATATAACTTGCCCATAAAAAGAGAAAAAAATTTTTCTAAAATTTTGGCGGAACGATAAGTACCCTTAGAGACAGTCTAAACTTGAGCGTTAATAAAACAATCAAAAAAACACCTAAAATCACAAAATTTTGTACATAAATTCTCAATAGTGTTAGCTATCTCCATAAAAAATTTCAGAATTTTAAGTCCTATATTTTCATAGTTATGGCCAAAAAACTACCTAAAGGTCGGTATTTTCCCCTGAAAGCAACCTCTTCCCCCATAACTTTAAAAATACAAAACCAAAAATTTTAAAATTTTCAGGCTAGTTAACTACAAGTATTGGAAACATTTTTTAACAGAATTTAAAATTTCAAGAATTAAAAAATTTTTTTTCTGTTTATTTTATAAGCGCGTGTCAATAACGTCACGCTATAAATTAAGATTTTCTAAAAAAAATTTTTTTTTGTGTTTTAACAATAAAATCACCCAAAAATATTTTTTAAAATTGAAAGTGTCATTAAAATAAATAGAAAAAAATAATCTCTCAAGTTTATTTACTCAAGCTTATCTATTATTTATTATTTTTTCTTTTCAATTGGAAGAAGCGCAAGAACAAACAAAATTAATTAGAAAAACCCAAAAGATCACCGCCAGAAATATCAAGGTGTATACTAGAAGGATAATAGAGTCTGGGGTTGGATTCCGACTCTGAACGATTTTGTCGAACCCGAACCCTGACATTCTTAACCCAGACAAACCCTAACCCGGACTTTTCGACCCCCTAACATTTCGACTAAGGGTCGAGGGTCCATCCCTCTCGGGTTGGGTACAACCCAGCACACCGCAGAGCTATAACTTCGTTCATAATTGTCGAATCCGGGAGGCCCTGGTATGGTTCGATGCGCCTCGACTAGCTGAATCGAACCATACCAGGTCGTTCCGGATTCGACCATTTTGAACAACGTTCTCTTGCGGTACGTTGGCCTGCTCCCTCTGGGAGTTTGTGAAGTGTCTGGAATGAATTTTCCTTCGTTTCTTAGTCTTCAGACTCTAATGGGAGTGAAGATGATTTTTCATTGAAAAATTGGAAAAAAGTAAAGAATTAATAAAAAAAATTTTTTCCCTTTTTCTCACAAGTTTAGAAATTTGATTCTTTTTAAAAAAGCTATTGGAGGGGGAAAAGTTATTTTAGTATTTAGTTTGTAGAAAAAAAATTGGAAAAAAGGTTTAAAAAACAGAAAATATTTTTAATTTTTTAAAAAAAAAGTAGGGAGAACAACAAAAATAAAACAAAGAAAAACATTCAAAACGGGTAGGGGACACTTGTGTACCGGCCGTTTGTGTAGCCAGATAAAGATCAAAATCACGATTGCGCGCATTTATCGAAATGTAACTTTTTGTATAATGATCTGATCAAATTACTCCTGTTGGCAAAAATAATCCTTATATCCAGGGCTTTCGATTGATATATTAATCATTTAAATCAATTAAGAATCGAAAAAGTTATGGCCCAAAATATGGCCAGGTACACAAGTGAGACGTTCCTTCAAAACGCCATAGAAAGAAAAAAAATTGACAAAACGCCAAAGGCTCAAAAAGGTCAATTTTTCCAGGAGGGTATGAATATAGTCAAAAGGTACTTTTAGGGGTTATCTATGCCAAAAATATTTTTTTAAAATCAGCGCAAGAAAAGAACAAAGGAAAGAACAAAGGTCAGAAAAATAAAAATAGGAACACAAAGTATTTTTAAAAAATATAAGCATGCAATTATGACGAGAATACGAGAAGGGCATTTTAAAACAAATAAATAGTTGAATTTAAAAAAAATATTTTTTAAAATAAATTTTGTTTTGTTTTTGCACTTTGACAGAGAGCTTATGTTCATTTAACTCTACTAGTTTTTTTTCATTGGACACACAAAAAAGCTATATAGAATTTAGAGAATAGTTGATGGCAAAAGTAAATGTGGGGGTATATAAAGCTTGCAAATGAATAAATGAAAATCGACGCTAATGACAGAAATAAAATAAATAGTAAAAATTGTAAATAAAGTTAGAGAAGCAGAAATTTGTTTTTATTATGAAATAAACGTGAATATAAGGGTGAAAAAATCAGAATTTACAAATTCTGATTGTTTTACAAATTCTGGTTTTGAGAAATTCTGATTTTCTATAAGTTCTGATTTTTACAATTTCTGATTTTTACATATTCTGATTTTTACAAATTCTGATTCTTACAAATTCGCAAATTCTGATTTTCTATAAATTCTGATTTTACAAATTCTGATTTTTACAATTTCTGATTTTGAGAAATTCTGATTTTTTACAAATTCTGATTTTCAAAATTCTGATTTTACAAATTCTGACTTTTACAAATTCTGGTTCTTACAATTTCTGATTTTACAAAGTTACAAATTCTGATTTAACAAATTCGTTAATTCTTTTACAAATTCTGATTTTATTTTATAAACTTTTTCTCAACTTGACAAATTCTGGATTGTAATTCTCAATAATAAAAACCAGAAAATATAAAATAAAGAATAACAAAACAAACATTACAACTCTTAAAAAAACAGTTGTAGTAATTATTAAAAATAATAAGTTTAGAAAAAGTTTTTTTTACACTTTGTTACAAAATGTTATATAAAGTGAATCACACTTGTTTTTTAAAATCTAAAATGAAAAGTGGAAAATGATGAGTAGAATGAATAAATAAAGAAAAAAATAACAAAATGAATAAAAGAAACTGTTTCTTACACTTTTAAAAACTAAAAGAATCAGTAAAACAGCTTTCAAATAAAAAATAACACCTATAAAAACATATGACTCTAATGACTAAATATGAGGACAAAAAAATAAAACATTATTCATAAACACCCCTTTGTTGTATAAATTATGAATTTTTACAAATTCTGTTAAAGTACATAATTAATATACCTACAATATCAGAATTTTACAAATTAAATTAAAATTACAATCAGAATTACAAAATAGAAAAGGGAGATAAATATAAAAGCTGATAGCAATTTACAAATTCTGATTCGAAAATTACAATTTGCAAATTTCTGATTTTTACAAATTCTGATTTTAAAATACAATTTCTGATCAGAATTTACAAATTCTAATTCTTACAAATTCTGATTTTTACAAAACCTTGCCTCTTAAACTTGGACTTACAAATTCTGATGTGTAAATTTGAATTAATATTATCAGAATTTTACAAATCAGAATTAAAAGGAATAGTGCACCCTTATTATTTCACTAAATAGAAAAATGCTTCAAGTTTGTAAACAAATATTCTGATTTGTAAAATTTACTAATAAATGTACCTATTTTACAACACCGCGCCAAGTTGTATTAATATCATTTTTAATATATTTTTAATAAAAAATAAACACAATTTTTGTCCATCTTCATAAAATAAAATATTGTTGTCACAAAATAAATTCATTTTCTGCACTAGAAATGTGTACTTTCTTCTTATTTTCCATTAATGAATAAAAAGGAAGGAGAGTTCCCCCAAAAAGGAAGTTAAAAAAAATTTTTAGGGAACAGAAAATAATCCAAATTTAATAAAAATAAAAAATAAAATTTAAACTGAAGGGAAGGAATAACACTTAACACTTTTTGGGTATTTTTTACCCAGCTAAAAAATTTTTTTTATTAAATTTAAATTCCAAGAAAATTAAAAAATTGAGTATATTCACTAGTGATGGTCGGGAGTTAAAAAAACCCGAGAGTCGAGAGTCGAGACCGAGACCGGGAATTGACCCCGAGACCGAGTCCCGGGTCGAGACCGAGAGTCGAGACCGAGAGTCGAGACCAAGAGATTAGGAGGGATACCCTCTATCAGTCCCACATGTCCCACGGGACATGTGACACAACAAACCACACAACAAACGTTGCAAGGCTTTGAAGCCATAAATCCTCCTATTTCATCCATTTCCTGCGCCGCAGGCGAAAATTTTGAGAAGTTTGGAGGTCCTTAAGTCAGATTTCTTCCATTTTTGTGCCGCAGGCGAAAATTTTGAAAAATTTGGGAGGCCACTAGCCAGATTTCTTTTTTACCGCCGGAGGCGAAAACGCTGCGCCGCAGGAGGAAATTTTGAAAAATTCATGATTAAATTAAAATTTTTAATGTTTTTTTCTAGTTTAAAAATTAAGAAAAAATAAATTAAAAATTTTAAAATCAAAATCAAAGTTTAAAAACGTTTATTTCCGAGAAGAAAAATTTTCACAACCTCATTTCCACTTTAGGATTCGAACCCAGCACTTACAAAATATTTAAGTAAGTGAATCAGTCAACTTAACCACTCAACTATCAACCATCAAAAGCAAATTGGAGAAATTATAAATATATTCCTTTCCCCTTTCCTTCAAAAAGTTCAAAAAATTTCCGTCATTAGGGGTGTAAATTTAGTCTCGTTTTCCGAGACTAAAACACCGAGACCGAGACCGAGACCGAGAGCTCAAAAAACCCGGGAAATTTCCCGACTCGGGAACCGAGACCGGGAATCCCGACCATCACTAATATTCACATTCTATATTTCATTAAATTTTTTAAAATTTAATTTAAGAATTAAAAAAAAAATATTATAAAATTTAATTTGAAAAAAAAAAACTAAAAAAAGTTTTTAAAGTACATTTGAAAAATTGAGGTTTTTAATAGAAAAAAAATTAAGAATCTAGATAGATAGTATTTTTTCAGAATTATTAAAGAATTTTTTTTAAATATTTTTTCACTCCCTAAAAAATTAAATAAATGTTCTATTTAATCCTGTACCAGGCCAATAAATATTTTGTTGATTACTTGCATTTTTACTTGTTGTAGTTGTTGTTCTAACAAGTCTTTCAACAGCTACAAGTTTTCCCTGAACACAATTTTCTTCTCTTTCTACTCGATCTTCTATTACTCTCTCATATGGAGATTTTTCTTTGCAAAAAAAAATTTTTTTTTGATAATTTAATTCAATTTTCCCTTTAATTTACCCAAGATTAATTGAGAATATGTAATAGAATTAGGGCTTATCTGTCTTATTTTTATATAGCTGAATTCTCTTTTGGGACGTGAGAATTCCCAGACCTAAAAATAACGGGAATTCCATATTTTCAGGAATCTAGAAGACTTGCTTTGGGGAGTATTCCAATATTCACCATTTGCCAGAATTCTGGTGCCACGCTACATTTTCGAGACTGTTTCCAATGCCAGAAATGGCCATTACCAATTCTGCCAATCTGGAAATTGCCAGAATTAGTCAGTCTTTTCCCGGTATACCATCGTCAGAAATGACGAATATTGGAATACCCTTCTGATAGGCATGAATTAATAATCTCCCCCATATTTACCTCTAATATTCCATTGCCAACGAGGAATTGGTTGTTGTGCTTCTCTACACATTGATGGAGTTATTACAGAATATTTTGTATTATCCTTAGGTTTTTTCAAGATAGATTTAATCCTCTTCCTTTCTTCTATTTGCTGTGGAATTTGTGGTGTTGAATATTCTGGTATTGTAACATAATTATCTGGGGATTGAGCGGGTATATAGAAACTTGTAGTTGATGGCTTCTAAATTGTATAAAATTTAAATTTTATGAATTTCCATCTAAAAATGGTTGTAAAATTAAGTAAGAGCGAGGTAAAGTTTAATCCCGGGCAGGCTTCGATTCTGCAGCCTTCTGGCAGTCATTGCTAGGCGCTTTCGCTCACCACGTACAGGTGTTCGACCAAGCGTTTTAAATGCTAGCCAGCTGAATCTTTCTCTTCCTTACAATTATAAAAATAGAAAATTTTGTCTTTAGGGTGGTCATTTTTGGACAAAATGTCACCTTTGGACACAATACTGCCTGGATTCCCTAATAGGTATGGGACGGGTTGAGAATATTGGACCGGGGTTCCGTATCGAGTTTACAATGATTTGGGTTCAGAAAGGACTGGATTTCGGGTAAGTAACCCGTGTCCTCCCTGCTGTCTATCATTATTTCTATAGGTGTTAAAATTTGTATCCTCGTCCCAAAAATCTAGAAGGAAAAGAACAGCTACAGGTATTTCTATAAAAATTAAAAATTCACCTCTACAGGAAAAACAGTGCTAGAGGGAGAAGCAATCCTTTTAGTACCACCAACTTAAAATCAAAAAATTTATTAGAAAAAATAAAAAATTTTACAATTTAAATTTTGCCATTTTGTTTGTATTGAATTTTTAAAATTTGAAAAACTTTTTGTTGCGCGTTCACTAAATGATGGCCCTTGCTTGGGTTGAGGCTAAATTAAATAAATAAACTTCAAATAAAAATATTTAACTCACAATTATTGTATTCTTATGAGCGATGCTTTGAGGCTGAAAATATGAAAATTAATTACAAATTGTAATTTGAATAAATTTGGGTTACAAATTATAATTACAATTTGTAAATATTTTTGAATAAATTATTACAATTTGTAATTCTGATTTAAAACCTTACAACGTACAGGTTATAATTACAAAATTAAACTTGATTGTAATTTTAATTACAATTCAGAATTACAAATTGTAATTCTGTTATCTAACTCTAAAACTTGGAATTACAATTTGTAAAATAAACTTGATTATACCTAATTCTATTTACAATTTGTAATTCTGATTTTAATCCTTAAAATACAAGTGAAAATAAACTTGATTGTAATCAAGATTACAAATTGTAATTCTGGTTACTTAAAACTTGTTCATAATCAGAATTACAAATTGTAATTCTGGTATTTAACTCTGGAACTTAAAATTACAATTTGCAATTCTGATTACTTAAAACTTGTTCAGAATTATATTACAAATTGTAATTCTGATTTTAATCCTTATAAGTGAAAATAAACTTGATTGTAATTTAATTACAAATTGTAATTCTGGTCACTTAAAATTACTCTATATGTTTATAATTAAATTTACAATTTGTAATTCTGGTAATATACTTTTCCCAGTCCCCACAAACACCCCCAAACTTTATCAAATTCACAAACTCTACCTTTGTCCAAAAAACATTTTCTGCTTCTCTTCTTTTAACAGGCTTAACATGTTGTTGTTTTTGTTGTTGTTTGTAATACTCATTTAAATTATTTAAACTTTGTTCCCCAACATTTTCCCTTCTTTTATACCAAACATAAAAATAAAGGGATAAAGCAAAAGCAGCCGAGATAACCAAACCAATAATTAATAAAATAACAAAAATAGTTACAAATAATTGAAAATCATCTGATGATTGTGTTGCTAATGTTGGGGAGTTAAAATTAAATAAAAATAGGAGAAAAAATAAAAATGAGTGAATTTTGGGGAATTTAATAAGAAATAAAATGGTTGACGCAGAGAATATTAAAATAAAATTTCTTTTAGAAAAATAAAATAATAAAAAATTTTTTTGGCCAAGTTGGGGAAAGAAACTGTAAAAATAGAAAAAATAATAAAATTATTTCAAAATTAATTCTTAAAGAAATTCATTCAAAATAGCAAAATAAGCAAAGAATTCGTTCAAAAAATTCATCCAATAAATATTGGGCGAAATTCCCCTCTTAAGAGTCATCATCAAACCCATCTTAAATTCGATCCTCATTTTTAGATGCCCCCTTAGAAATGAAAAAATAGTATCTAATAATAAGGGGTACCTTAAATAGAGGGTATCGCTTAGGTGGCTTTTCCCTCACTTAATGGTAAGCCTGGTATCGCCTGGACAGCTTCCCCAATTTGATGATCAATCAAATTAAAGATGGACCCTAAAGATGAGGTATATAGCTAATTTCTGGGCGCGAGGCTCTGTCTTTTTCAAAAAAAAATTCTGAAAAATAAGATACCGTATTATCTCTAATACAAGCCCTGGGCGTCTATTTTTCAATACCCCTCATTGACTGGGCTTCTAATAGGGCATGGGCTTCTATTAGGGCATGGGCGTTTATTTTTCAATATCGAAATTTTATAGAAGATAAAAATAAAAGCAACAAAAATTAACTGTTTGTCAGGAAGAAAAAAGAAAAATTTAAAAATTAAATATCAAATCAATATAAATATCACTAAAACTCCTTTTCCTCAACATAGTAATGAGGAGATCCCTTCTAATCCCACAAATCACTCTTAATGAACTCCTGAATAATCAGATTAAGCTCTCTATCTATCTTTATTAAATCCATCTTAATTCTAAATATAAGTTTAATTCCAAAATATTGCTCGATATCCCCCTTGCTCTTACACCTTAACTTTCCATATCACTATTGATCTTTTTATATTTAACAATATCCCACTTTAACAATATCCTTTTATCTTTAACAATATCCATCATAATCCTTCCATATCCTCAATGGAAAAATATGAAAGGATTATTGATAACACTTTCGATCGAGGGATCCCTCGATATTGAACTTTTTGGGTGGACCGAGGTATATGAAGGATGTATATGCATTGAATACTTCTTGAGGATTCAACCAAATCTCTCAATATTCAATCTCTGAATATTCCTATTAATTCGATGATATCCAACGATATCCCACTCAATCATACAATAGACTCTATACCACAAATCCTTAGATACCTTCTTAAACCCGCATCTATCTTTCTCCAAATTCTCTTAATTCACTTTAAATTCTACTTAACTCATCCAAATCTCCCGATATTCCATTCAAATCCCTCTATACTCATTTATGGAGACTGGAATTTTGTTATCAATACCTTTAGTCGACTATAACACGAGTAATAGAAAAACAGGTAGTCAAAAATCAGATGGGCTTCTATTAGGGCATGGGCTTCTATTGGGGCATGGGCCTTTATTTTTCAATACCCCCTATTGGGTGGGCTTCTAATAGGGCATGGGCTTCTATTGGAGATGGGCTTCTATTAGAGACAATACGGTAATTTTTTCCAGTTAATTTTTTCTAACAATTTTGAAAATTTAAAAAATTCCTCTTCTCCTTAAAAAAAGGAAAAAATAAAAATCAATTTATCATTTTCAACAAGTCTTTTCTACCTAAACAACATTGTCGCGATTTGATTGCCCTTTTTTAACAGCCCCCCAAATATGTACGTGAATTAAAAAAGAGATAATTCACATGAAAAAAAATTATTTGGCCGTGTAAATTGTTAAATACAAGTAAAAAAATGAGTGACAGATTTTTAACTCTCCTCTCCTAATATTTTTCTCTCCAACAGAAAAAAAATGAGAGGATTTTTTGGAGTAAAAAAGTTTTTTTTCTGCATAATTTCCCTCTCATTTATTTTATATATAATTCTCTCAACACAAAAATATTATTAATCCCTTCCCATTTAAAAATTAACATAAAATAGATACACCTATTTTTAAGTCTCTATTTATTGAATAACTTAAAAATTCCTTTAAAAATAGGGCTGGAATCAGGGCTGGACGCAATTGCGGATTGCGGCTGCGGAAAATTATTTTTCAATTGCGCCCAGCCCTGGTTAGAATCACTTAAAATATGTAGGTTGGTTTATATGGTACCCAAGGTTTTAGGCTATCACCGGATTTTTATTGTTTAGTCCCCAGTTGACCTTTTAGTTTCAAAAACAACCTAATTAAGCGTGAAATGAAAAAGGTTTTTTCATAAAAAAGGCAATACATACACAGTTTTTATTTTTTTAATGACAGACATATTAATGGTCAATTCTTGTGTAATTTTTAAACACGCTAAAAATTTATTTTTTTATGTCCAACGGCTTTAAGAATTATAATGGTCATTTTTCTCTTTAACACTCTTTTTTTCTAAAGAATATTTCTTTGAAAAAATAATAAAATACCCGAGATAAAACTATCTTTTTTCCCCTAATTTTTTTCTGTCACCATAGAAACTCTAAAAAAGAGACTAAAAATAAAATTCCTTTAAAAAAATATAAATTTAGGTATATAACTGACCAAGAAATGGCCGTTATTTTTTCAAACGTAGAGGATGAAGAAGGGGGGGGGGGGGGGGAATGAAGAAAGGATATTTTCTTAAATTTTACGTCATTATTTTCCTTATTTTTTTAATAAAGAAGGAATTTAGACAAAATTAAAAGATTTTTGTTGAACAATTAACATAGAGTCCCTAACAAGATTTTTTTTGTTAGTCACAAACGAAAAAAACTTTAAACAAGAAGTGAAAACAATTACTCCTTGAATGCTTGGGAAGGAGACACATAAAGTAATTTATCAAAATAATCCAATTAAAAAAAAATTGGATTAAATATATATTTATTTCTTTTCTTGCCATTTTACATCCTCTCTCTCCCTCGCTGTTAGAGGGTTCATCGCTGAAACGAAAAACTAAGGATTTTTCGGTTCGGTTCCGAATAACAGAAGATTACACTAAAACCCTTAGCCCTTATAAACTAAAACCCAACTGAATTCTCCTTATAAAAATAAAATTATAAAAAGTATGTTTAAGTAATATTATTTCAAAAATTTAACAAGAAATTGTGTCAAAAAACATGGAGAGAGATTATTTTTCAAAAAAAAAACTTATTCAATATTAAAAAAATATAGACCTACCAAAAAATATATAGCTTTTTCGTAAGGTATAACAAAATTAAAACCTTCATTTCAATTTTTTTCAAAACAAAAAAATTTTCCTTCCTTCGTCAATTTTTTTTAAATTTATTGTCCTCCTCCTGCTCCACCTTTCAAATCACGCAATCCAGCACGCATAACTTCATCTACTTCAAGTAAATTACTTGCAATAGTTACTGCTGCAGCTAAACTTGCTTGTTTAACACGAACATTGTCCCATACACCCTAAAGTAAAAAATTTAGGCTCTACTCCAGTTTATGCGTCCAATCGACTTTTATGCGTCCAATGAAAGTTTATGCGTCCAATTTAAAGAAAATTGGATTTTTCTTTGTATTTTGAAGTTGGGGTTGGGTTTTTTAACATTTATTCATGTTTGGTCCTACGCCCACGTGGGCTGGGACCATTTCTTGCCCTATCCCTCGAAATTTTGGAAAGTTATTTTTGTTTTTCCGAAATTTTAAAAAATTGGCTACAACTTTCCAAAATTTCGAGGGATAAGGCAAGAAATGGTCCCAGACTCAGTGAGCGTAGGTCCCGAACATGAATAAATGTTGTTTAACAATACCCCATCTTTGCAACACCAAGAAAAATCAAATTTTCTTTTTATTGGACGCATAAACTTTCATTGGACGCATAAAAGTCGATTGGACGCATAAACTGGAGTAGAGCCAAAATTTAATTTTAATTTGAAGAGGAAAAAAAAAGAAATTAGAGCTATTTCTTCACCATGAAACACCCAGAGAATCAGGCCCGTAGCCAGGGGGGGGGGTGGGGGGGGGGAATTCCCCCCCCCCCCCCCCCCCCCGAAATGGGAAAATGGAAAAAATTTGGGGAAGGGCTGGGCAAAAAAAGTGAATTTTTTTGGCCTACGGCCTCTGAAATTTAAAAAATTTTCGCCTGCGGCGCTAAAAAAGGACGAAATCTGGCTTCTTGAGGTCCAAAATTCAAAAAATTTTCGCCTGCGGCGCTGAAAATCAAATTTTTGGCGCCTGCGGCGCCGAAAAAGTGAATTTTTTTGGCCTACGGCCTTCTAAAATTCTCAAAATTTTCGCCTGCGGCGCTGAAAATAAAAATTTTTGGCGCCTTCGGCGCCAAAAATTTGGCGCAAAAAAATTCCCCCCCCCCCCCCCCGAAAAAAAATCCTGGCTACGGGCCTGCAGAGAATAGTTCAAATTATCAAAATTTGAGGTAATTTAATAATCCTCAAAGGAACAAATATGCGGGTCTGGACTAGAAATGGGTGAAAATTTAGTTTTTTTGGATAAAAATAAATGCATATGGGTAGGAAGAAAAAAAAATTTTTTTTTATACTCCTCAAGGAAAAGTAAAAAAAGAGGAAACTCTGGACCAAAGTTATTTCAAAAACAAAAAATATTTCAAAAATAGGCGACGGAATGATGAACAAGTATCACATATGTCAGGACCAAGAGAACTCTGGATTTTTCCTTGAGTTAGAGTCAACCTATCAATTTTTTAAAATTTTACGAGTTTTTAATAGAATCTATTTCACTGACCCACTTTTCCAACAAAAAAAAATTTTTTATTATTTAAAAAACCTGTAAAATACAAGCTTCCCCACTTTCCAAATCTAGACCAATACAATCAGTAGAAGATGACGACAAATTATTATTATAAGCTTCAACCAATTTAACAATAACTTCTTGTGCATCATGTCCAGCATTGACTGCAAGTGTTTTTGGTATAACTAAAATTGCTTCTGCAAAGGCCTAAAAATTTAAAAAAAAATTTTTGGAACAAATAATTGAAAATAAACCAAAACTCCAAGTTTAGCACGTCCTTTAACAGTGTCAGCTAACTTTAAAAAATCATTTTTTAATTTTTTTTAATAAATAAAACCTTTTTAAGAGTACAATACGCAGCAATTTCAAAAGCACCTGCTCCAGGAACAACAGCACCTAGATAATAAAAAAAAAGCATTTTAAAAATAATTCTTTGACTAGATTATCAACTTATTAGGCAATTATCTAATGTTTTCACAAATAACTAACATGGTTCTTTATTAATATCCCGCCCCCCACCCCTATTTGAGTCTCAGATTAATTTTCCTTTTTACCTGTCAATCATTTATTTTCCCTCCTTTTTTAATGTCAATCATTCTCTTCCCTCAAATATAAGACACCCAAAAGGGCGCGCGGCCATAAAGGCGCAAAGCCATAACTTGCTTCATGGTTTTCGAACCTTACAAAAATTAATATTAAACGATTCCTTTCATCGAGCTAAAGAGATTGATAACAAAAATGACAAGGGCCAAAAATATTACAGAAGGTAATGACTTTGCGCCATTATGGCTGCGCGCCTTTTTGGGCTGTACTCCTCAAATATCTAAAGTTTCTAACTTGTCTTTTACTTATAATATTCGAGGGAAGAAAATGATTGGCATTAAAAAAGGAGGGGAATAAATGATTGACAGCAAAAAAAGGAAAAATAATCTGAGACTCAAATAGGGGTGGGGGGCGGGATATTAATAAAGTACCACTAACATAATCATTATATAATTTATTAAGCTTTTTTGGTCCGCAAAAGCCTACAATAAATTTAGATATCCTCGACTCGCATAAAAAAACACCAAATTAAAGAATTATTTGCTCCAACTTATTCAGTCGCTTAACTAACCATGAATTTACTGGACGGTCCCAGGCAGTAATCGAACCCCATAGACTCCTATAGATACATATACTCAATTTTTGGTTTAAAAATTTTTTTTCAGCCCCAAAAATGTGCCTAAAATAGAGGTCCCACGAATAATATTAATCTAAAAACACAAACAAACCATCTTTCAAAACATTAAATACTGCTCGAATTCCATCATAAATAGCATCTTTGATTTGTCCAACACTATGCTTATTTGGGCCTTTCAATAAAAGCGTGACAGATTTTGGGTTTTTGCAATCTTCTATAAAGGTGTATTTATCCTCTCCCTGTGTTAAAATTAAAAAATAATCAAAATTAAAATAGGCAAAATGTCCATTTTTGACAGACTGGTCAAATGTCAAAACGACCAAATAATCAAAATGTGACATTTTGTCCCCATGGCAAGATAAAATTAAACAAAATGTCCATTTTTGACTGACTGGTCAAATGTCGAAACGATCAAATGTCAAAGTGACCAAATATCAAAATGACCAAATGTCAGAAAATAGCAAAATGGACATTTTGTCCCCTTGGCAAAATAAAATTTAAAAATATAAAAAACCAACCAAAATGTATTCATAAACACTCCCAGACCATCCAAGAACTTCAGGCGTCAAATCATCAACAGAATTAACAGCAGTACCACCACAACATAATTGTAAACGTTCCATATTTCGGCGCTTAGCTCTGCGTAATGCCAAAATTCCATTTTTTGCGAGCAAATCCAAACTTGGAGGATCTATTCCCTTAAATTTTAATAACTTAAAATCTCAATATATCCTACGAGCAAGGATGTGAGGCGTGTCCATGGCTTCGGAAGAAGCCACTGGATTCGAGCGAAGCCCCCAGGGGCTTTTATAACTCTGACAATGAGGCAATTTCCCCCACACGATGACTAACCAAATTTAAAACCAAGTATTTTAAAAGTATTTTTTATAAAGAAGTAACTTAGATGGAGGGATAACTTAATTCCAAGACCAAAATTTCACCCAAAGACCAGGACCGAAAAAAAGCCCAAGAAAAGTCCTGGAATCAAGACACAAGACCAAAAGTCTTGGAAGCTTAAACTCCCAGCACCCAAATTAAAATAAAACGTATTTAGCTTGTGTTAAGTTATGCATGGATTTACTTAAGACATTTGATCCCAAAACGAACCCAATTTTAAAATTAACAAAAAAACCTTTTGATTAATAACAACAAAAGAAGCATCTTCCTTTCCTTTTTCACCACAAACTTGTTTCTTAAGTTCAATTATTTTTAACACACGTCTAGTAATATATTCACGTTCAGCTTGTAATAAAGCTTCTCTTTCAGCTGCTGTTTTATAAAAAAGACCGGAATTGACTTCACTGAAATTTTGAAAATTTTTTGAAAATTTTCGGCTCTTGTCCAGTTTAAGCGTCCAATCGCATTTTTATGCGTCCAACAACAAATTTTTGTGCGTCCAATCACATTTTATGCGTCCAAACACATTTTTAAGTACTCGGTTCTATGTGAAAAAACCTATGCTCTGCTTATATCCGTGTGTATCAAAACGATATGTTATAGAGCCTTGTATCCCCATAGATTTTAAGGTACTAAATTGAAGAACCGGGGTACTTAAAAAATGTGATTGGACGCAAAAATGTTATCGGACGCATAAATTTCTCATTGGACGCATGAACTTTTCATTGGACGCATGTCTTTTCATTGAACGAACAAAGGTGCGATTGGACGCATAAACTGGACAAGAGCCAAATTTTCCCCTTACGTTTTTTCAAATTCCAAAGAAACATTGCATGTCAAAACAAAAACATTAGTCAAATTTTTAGGCATATCAGGATGACGACCACCATGGTCTAATACTAAACCACGAATAAATTTTGTATCAGATTCCATTTCATTTTCCATTTGCTTAAAAAAAATAAAATTTAAAGAGTCTATCTGGCCCACTTCTATCAACTCATTCAAATTTGTTTTTCAAAATTGGAATGGGAAATTGAAGAGATTTACTTGGAAATATGAAAAAAAACTAAAACTTACATTTATTGATAAAAAAAACTTGGGCAAATGTTTAAACTCGTACCTTAAACTTACCCAAATCTTGGACTCAAGGGCGTATCCAGGGGGGCTGGGGGGGCTAGAGCCCCCCCCCCCCCCCCCGAAATGGGGAAAAGAAAAAATTTGAGGAAGGGTTGGGGCAAAAAAAGTGAATTTTTTGGCCTACGGCCTTCCAAAATTCAAAAATTTTCGCCAGCGACGCAGAAAAGATGAAAATTTATGTACAAAAAAATTTGTGTCCGGAACGCCAAGGTAAACGCCAAAAATTTTTGCGCCCACCCAGTGCTAGCCCCCCCCCCCCCCCGAAACCGACCCCCTGAATACGCCCTTGCTCGGACTCTACCTTTTGGCGAGTTCCAAAATAACAGTTCAGCCAAAGTAGAATATTCAGGCAAAGGTGAACTTGGGGGCTAATATTATCGAATTAATAATTCTTTTATCCAATTTAAAATTTGAAAAATGCAAAAAGTATTTCCGGACAGAGAAGCGATCAATTTTTTTTTCGATATCGAAAAAATATCAAGAAAAATTGTAACGGTCTTCAAATTCAAAAAATTTTTTTGAAATTTTCGAAGTTGGAGATAAGAAAAAACATGAAGCCATAGCTCAAAACACCCACAATACCAAACACACTCCCCAAAACTTTAAAATTAAAAAACCCAAACCATAATTTCAATCATATGCAAATCCGGATCAAAATCCTTTTCATCCTTTCTAATAGCCAAAATTGCATCAACAACACATTCAGTTATATGATTAGCCAATTTAAGTTCCAATTTTGTCCGTAAAGCTGTTTGAGCTACTTCAACTAACAAATTTCTTTCAATTGGCAATTCTTTTCGAAATTCAATCAAAAATTTGCAAAGAGCATTATAAGCAATTTGAAATCCTTCAGTTATTAAATGTGGATGCATTCCCTTTAAAAAAAATTGGGAAAACGTAAGTGAAGTAGTCTGAGATTAAATTTCAGCATTTAAAGAAGCTGGGCTAGAATTGCTACCTTTGGAATTGAAATACACGTTATGGCTTGCCCTTTGGACATCCCTGAATGGGGCTTTTAAATTTACTTGCCGCCCTTGGATATCCTATACGCTTTCTGAACAGAGGCTGGTAAAAAATGGTGGTCAACAAAAATTTATTGGGAGCAATGGAATGCCTCTTTGGAACTGCAATACGCAATATGTATGAACCAAGGAGGGTCAAGTTAAGTGAAAAGGCTGGTCGGGTTTCAAAATTTACTTAGGATCGGAAAAAAGTCCGGGTTTAGATTCGACCTATTCTGTGCCAGAATCTAGGCTGGACAAAAAATGGTTGCACAAAAATTTTGAGTGGAGAGTCATTTGAGCCTATAAACCTCCGAAAGTATAAAAAAACCTCACATCACTAATATAAAGTTCAGCTTGTTTCAACAATTCTCCAATTAATAAAACCGTAGAAGTCGTTCCATCCCCAGTTGCGTCATTTTGTGCAGTACATGCTTTTGCGATTAATGAAGCTGTTGGGTGTTGAATTTGCTTTTTTGAAAAGAAAAATTTATTTTTTAAAGAAGGGAATGAGGCTTAAAAATGATAAGAATTCGACTAGTTATGATTGTCTGCAAAAAGCATAATGTCCGCAAGTTTGGTTGCGAACAAAAATATGCAACAAAAACACTGTAGAGGCTAGCTTAAAACAAGGCAGGACTCTGGGAGTCTCTGGACTCCAAGTTTGATTTATTGATCAAGGCCTAATCCTGGGATTGGAGTCATAGGTTTTTTGAGGTTTATGCAAACCACAGGCCCAAAAAACCTAAAACTCTCAAAAATGGTCAGAGCATGGTTATCCCTTGGTTGCCTCGACCTGATCTCTAGCAGGGCCGTAACCACGGGGCCTTGGCCGGTAGAAATTCGGCACACAAAAAATAGCCCCCCTTGGCGCCCTCCCCCCGAAAAAACCTCAGGAACAAGGAAAACCTAAAACGCTCAAAAATGGCCAAAGTAAGGTCACAGGTTTTTTATGATTACCCTGATCTCCATTATCTAATCAACCCTTTAAAGAAATTAAAAAGCAAAAATACCATTTCATGTAAAAGAACATTTCCATCTTTGGTAACCTTCAAATCGCCAGAGCCAGAGACTAACCTAAAATCAAAATATTACTTAAACTTTAAAAAACAAAAAAAAACATTTTGAGTGTTCCTTTAGGTCCCAAATTCGATTTCATAACTTCTTGGAGTCCTTTAGCACCGCTAATGTTCATTTCAAGTGCAGCTGTATTCCGAGCAAGTTCAGCATTTGGATTAAGGCAAGAAATTGAAGCCATTATTTAAATTGAAAATTTAATTCTGAAAATAAAAGGTGTTTTTAAATAAAAAATATAGAGAGATGGAACACTTTTTTAAGAAAAATAAAAGAGGGCAAACATCAAGAAGGGCAAAACACCATAGGGCAAACCCTCTTTCTGGACGTTATTAACGTAAGACAAAGCCTTATAGAACGTGTATTGTCTGGACAGAGTTCCGCTCCTCGCCAGCCTTACAATGAAATAAAACACAACCCCTCCCCCTAAAAGAAACGGTGGGGTAACGTGTCTAACCGAAAAAAAATTTTTAAGAAAATCAGAAGAAAAAGGCTACCCTACAAAACATATTTTTTTAAAACAGCAAACGCTCAAAACATCTAGACGACTAAAAAGGCTCAAAATATATTCGCTCAAAACATCAAACGCTCAAAATATCTAGACGGCTAAAAAGGCTCAAAATATCAAAATATTTTTTGATTAAAAGGGACAGTTGAGTCCAATATTTCTTCCTTGTATCAGGGGTGAATAATGTAGTATCTCAGGACCAATTTTGCATGAACTCGACGTGTTGAGAAAGGGCTCGACGAGCTGAGTTGAATGACACCAAAATCAGCTCGATTGGATGATTGTGAACAAAGTTATGACCAACTGAATCTTCGCTGGAAAAACTGTTTTTGTGCTGCTACGGAGGGTAGGCCGGGCATGGTCTTCGCTACACGATGGCCGTGCTTCGCTGCGGTCGTGCTCGCTTCGCTCGCGGCGACCGTAGCGAAGCGGCGGCCGTCGTTCCGCTCGACATGCCCGGCTTCCTCCGCAGCGGCAAAATTTTTTTCCGCGGACTCAACTGTCCCCTTTAAATGAAAAATATATTTTGATATTTTGAGCGTTTGATGTTTTGAGCGAATATATTTTGAGCCTTTTTAGTCGTCTAGATGTTTTGAGCGTTTTTACCCGTCTAGATATTTTTAGCGTTTTTAGTCGTCTAGATATTTTAAGCGTTTGATGTTTTGAGCGGGCACGAAGAAAAATCTCAAAATTTCTCTAACCGTCTCTCTTATTTTTACACACTCTCTCGCCTAAATAATTTATTTTTGGCGAAATGTTTATTTAATTTTTAATTAAAAATTTTTAATTTTTGTTTTGTTTAGTCTTGTGAAATTTTATTGAAGTTTTAAAGCTTTGTTTTGATGACACCAACAAGTGAACAACAAATTTTGCTATATGATGTTCAAAAAGGTTTGTGAAGGTTTTGATAAGGGGGATTTATTAGGTCCAAAACTACTCAAACTTTGAAGACCCATAAGTTTCCGAAAATGGCTCCGCAACTAAAAATCTAAAAATTGGCAATAGGTTATCGACTATGCTTATACAGAGGTATCAGAAAAAATGCAAAATTAATACAGTTTGGGAGGGTTTCTTTGTAAGCTTTTTTGGGGGAGGGGACTGGTTTATGATTCTGATTTTAGTTCTGATTCTTAATTCTGGTTAGTATTCTGATTTTATTTCTTGATTCTGGTCTTCCGGGTCTTAAAAATCTGATTTTTAATTACATTAATTTTAGATAGTCGTTGGATAATTTATTGGTTACCTGTATCTTCAACTTTTGGTGTTACTAATTTTAATGGATTGGTCTATGAAATTAATCTTGATGTTCAAGAGAGAAGGAAATTAATGGGAAATATAGCTGAAAGTTTGTTGAAGAATAAATGGAGGTAAGGGGATTTTCTGATTTTTTAAAATTTCTGATTTTTGATCCTGGTTTTCTGGTTTTGTAAATTCTGATTTATGATTCTGTTCTGAAACTGATTTTTTAGTTCTGATTTCTGGTTTATATTTTTGATTTTTTTCTGATTTTAAAATTCTGGTTTGAAATTCTGATTTTTAAATCTGATTTTTGTTTGATAATTCTGGTTTTTAAAATTCTGACTTGAATGTTCTGATTTCTAATTGTGTCGTATTCTGATTTTCAGAATTTTGATTTTTAATTCTGGTTTTAGGATTCTGGTTTTAAAATTCTGATTTTTTTCTGATTTCTAAAATTCTGATTTCTAATTTTATTTATAGTTCTGATTTTCAGAATTTTGGGTTGTAATTCTGATTTTTGAATTCTGATTTTTTACAATTACAAAATTCCCTATTTTTTCAGTAACATCTTTAAAAGCAAATCTTTTGTCATTGAAAAATATGACGATGAATCAGCACTTTTAACTTACGTAACTCGACCGGTTGAATTGCCTCGTATTGTGGATAAGGACAAAATTATGGAATCTAATAAAAATTTGTTTTTTGGTGTTTATTCGGTAGGGAGGATTTTTTTGAAAAAAAATTTTTAGTTGGACGGGGGGAGGGACAAATTTTTGGGTATGGGACAAAACACCGTACGGACCAGGCCTGTAGCCAGAGGGCCAAATAAAATTAATTAAAATTATTTAGATGTTACGTGATTATCAACAAAATCTGCCATCAGATAAGAGCACTAAACCTACATCTAATGCTCCTCCAGCAAAGGTATTTTTTAATTAAAAAATCAGAATTAGAAACTAGAATTAAAAATCAGAATTTTTTCAATTTAAAATCAGAATAAAAAATCAGAATTTAAAAATCAGAATTAAAAAAATCAGAATTATAAACCAGAATTAAAAAATCAGAATTTCAATATCAGAATAGAAATCAGAATTCTAACATCAGAATAAAAAATCAGAATAAAAAAATCGGAATTAAAAATCAGAATAAAAAATCAGAATTTAAAAATCAGAATTAAAAAATCAGAATTACAAACCAGAATTTTTTTCAGAATTACAAACCAGAATAAAAGAGCAGAATTTTAAATATAAAAGATCAGAATTAAAAATCAGAATTCAATATCATAATACAAAATCAGAAAATATTTTTTTAAGAAAGGTAAATGGAATCAACCAAAAACTAGAAACAAACGTAAACCGGGAGATTATATTGTTACTGGGCCAATATCTTTTGATAAAGAAGGAGGGGAAAATAATAATTGTGTTGAAAATGAAGGAGAAAATTGTAGCGAAAATTAGATTTAAATATTTTAAAATGTGTGAAGCTTTATTTAATTTTTTTGAAGAATATTGATGTGTTTTAAACCCTTTTTTGGGGGTTTTTTGTCTTTTTAATTTTAATTTCTTGTGATTTTCCCTCTAATTTATTTATTTTTTTGTTATTCATGTGTTTTTTGAATAAAAATCAGAATTTTAAATATGTTAATTAAATCAGAATTTATAATTACAAACCAGAGTTTACAATCAGAATTACAAAACGGAATTGTATTTTTACAATCAGAATTTTATCAGAATTAAAAAAATAGAATTAAAAACCAGAATTTTTTAAATCAGAATTTGTAATCAAAATTACAAACTAGAATTAAAAATCAGAATTTTTTTCAGAATTTTAATATCAGAATTAAAAAATAGAATTACAAACCAGAATTTACAATCAGAATTAAATGTCAGAATTTTCTTTATTTTTAAATTATCAGAATTTTTGTATTTTCTGGAAACACAAAAACTTGTAGAATGTATTTTTTCTTGTTCTCCTTGAAGTTAAATACAAGTACTTTTATGTATGTATTTTTCTTCCTTTCCGGCTTTTTTCCTGTTTGATTAAAATTCAACAGTGATTGACCTGATTTTCTCTTTTCTTTTTTTCCTGAAGTAACAATTTCACCCATTTTTATCCTTTTATTTTTAAATTAATTTTTAATAAAAATGAACAGTTTATTTATAATATTTTTATTTATTTTTATTTCAAATTGTTGTGACTCATGTAAAATAACGATAAAATTAAAAAGTCAGACTAAAGCAAAATTCAAAATACAAATTCTGGTACCTTCTGTTAAGCAGAAGAGTGAGAGATTGTTATTTACGGGGCCGGAAGAAAAAAAATTACAGGTGGAAATTTAGAAAAAAATTTTTAAATCAGAAACATTTCAAAACATAGTAAATATTTGGGTCCATAGCGGGCTGGGTGAAATATAAAAATAAAATGCGTAATTAGCCTAACCCTGGTGTGTAGAGAGAGGCGTTCGACGGAATAGGATGGATCGTTGCCATCGTTGCCAGAAATAGGGGGTGAATGACCGTTGGAATATTTTACAAGGCCAAGACGTACAATAACTATTGAAAGCATATAGCTATTTAATTCCTAACGTAGGCGGCGTGGTGTAATTGATAACACATCAGTCCGATCTACTGAAGGTTCTCTCCCAGCGTCGAAAGCCTTTGCACTAGCTAAAGGAGAGAAATGGCTATAGCCCAGCTGCCTTACTATAGTAAATATTTGGGTTGTTAACAGGCGTCCGACAGGATAGGATGTATCGTTGCAAGAAAATAGGGGGTCAATGACCGTTGGAATGCTCTACAAGGCAAGGGAGGTACATAACTATCAATGCCCCTTTGATTGTTGTTTCCCTTCCTTTACTGCCCTTCACATGGGTGTTATATGAATAAATTTTATATCTCCCTACTCCCTCACCACCTCAAAATTTCAAAAAAAAATTTTTTAAACAGATTGATGGCGAAAATTGCTTATCAAAAAAGTGGATAGTTCGAACTTGGAAACCGGACAGTTCTAGTGGTTGGGTAATAGCTAAAGAAGAAAGCGCCTTTATTGACGGAATGGGTTGGGTTCGTATAATTATAGGGGATGATTTACGGCCTCAAATGAAGGATAGACTTAGGTAGATAAATTTAAAAAAATTTTTTTTTAATTTTTTATTTCAGCGTTTTTTGTTCTGAAAGCCCTCTGTGTGGGTAAAACTGAATTTTAGCGGAAAAAAATTTTCACTGAAAAAAATTTTTTTTGATGGAAAAATTATTTAATGGAGAAAAGAGATTTTTTGGGAGTTGATTAGTTATTTTTATTTAATTTTAAATTTATTTTTATTATAAAAATGTATGGATAAAATTTAAAAAATAGTAACATATTTGCCCTCATAAATTAAATAAATCTAAAAAAATAATTTTTAAATAAATAAATTTAGATCAAAATTCAATTTAATTCCATTTTATTTATTTTTTGGCCAAAATTTTATTTAATTTTTTTATTTCTAGTAGGCTTATCCCTAAGCGATTTACTCATTTTATTACAACTAGACACAACGTTGTTTATAGTTACCACCTACAAGTATATAGAATAATATTAAATAAAATATTCTGATTTGTCTTTTAAATTACAAATTCTGGTTTGTAATTGTAATTATATTTTGATATTCTGGTTTGAACAAGTTGTAATTTAAATAAATACAAATTCGGGTTTGAATAAATATAAATTATAGTTTAATTCTGATGCTTAGACAAAACACTAATTCTGATTTTTACAATTTGTAATTTTTTAGAGATTTTTTTACAAATTCTGATTTGTAAATTTTAATTGTGTTTTGATATTCTGATTTGAATAAGTTTGTGTTTACCCGTTAAATAAGTACAAATTCTGGTTTGAATAAATATAAATTCTGGTTTAAACAAAACATTAATTCTGATTTAATAAAACTTGTTTTGCTTAGTTTACAAATTCTGATTTTTACAAATTGTAATTTTCTAAAGATTTTTTACAAATTCTGATTCTAAAGCTGATTTAAATACAAATTCTGATTTGTAAATTTTTAATTGTGTTTTTCTTTATAATTACAAATTCTGGTTTGAATATAGTGTGTTTAGATTTACAAATTCTCATTTTCTGTCTATCTATTATCAGTTACTAAATAATTTCTGATTTAAAACTAATCTATTTTAATATTCCCAAAACATTTTAAATTACAAACAATAAAAATTCCTTACATTTTTATCACCAATTATGTTCCAAAATGGATAAACATTTGTTCGATTCTAACTCAAAATTGTTCCAAATTGTTTTATTTTTTAATCTTTTATTTCCCAATTTTTTTAATAAACACTTTTTTAACTGGCCATTTGGATAAATAAAAAATCTATATATTTAATCCCCCCAAGTTTGTTAATCCCGCCTGAAAAAAACTTTTTTGGAAGAGGATCAGGTGTTGATATTATTCAATATTTAAAGTAGTATTTTAAAATAATTATTTTTTATTTTAAAAAAAGATAATTTTTGATTAATAATTCTGAAATTTTTATGTGTTTGTTAATTGTTACTTTTGACAGTGAAATAAAATCAGAAATAAAAAATTCTGATTTAATTCTGAATTTAATAAATTCTGATTTAATAAATTCTGATTTAAAAAATTCTGAAATTAATAAATTCTGATTTAAAAAATTCTGAAATTAAGAAATTCTGATTTAAAATTCTGGTTAAATTTAACTTAATTATTCAATAAATTCTGATTTATACAAATTACAAAATTTGTTTCTAATTAATAATGTTTATTTGTTATTATTAAATTCTGATTTTTAATTGTGTTCATTCTGGTTTGTATAATTTGCAAAACTTGTTTTAGAAAAGTAAAACTTGAATAAATTAAATACAACTTTATTAAAACTTGTTTGCATTAACTATGTTTTTACAACTTGTTTGTAAAACTTGTTTTACAATACAAACAAGTTTTACTGGTTGTTAAAACTTGTTTGTAAAACATGTTTGTTTAAGACTTTGTTTGTTTGTACAACATCGTTTGTAAAAACTTTGTTTTTACAACTTGTTTGTATGTTTTTGTTAAAACATTGTTTTTACAACAAACGTTTCTGTTGTTAAAACTTATTTTGTAAAAACTTGTTTTTACAACTTGTTTTACAACTTCTGATTTTTACAAATTGTAATTCTTTAAAGAATTGTTTTTACAAATTCTGATTTTCTTAAGCATGTTTGTTTGTTTAATTTTATTTATTTATTCACAGGCATTTTTTGCTTATTCTCGTTTACGTAATAAAATAAAAGTTCCTGATACATAATGTATTTTCTTTAATTGGTTGTCATAGTTCCAAACAAAGTTTTTTTACTTGTTTGTTTCTTACTTTTCTAACTAAAAACATTTATTGCCATTCTTTTTAAACCTCTTTTTGACCATTATTTATTTTTATGTTGGTCATTTTATTTTTATAATTTCAGGAAAAGAAATTTTTTATAAAAAATATTTTATTTTAAAATTTATTTTTAAATAATGCTGCCACGGCATTTACTCTTTCATATTATTTCCCTCAATTTTTATGCCTTTTACACAAATTGCGAAAATAATAAAGCAGAGAAAACACAATTGAGAAGGATAAAAAGACAGGTGAGATAAAATAAACTTGTTTTTACAATTACAAATTCTGATTTTTACAAATTGTAATTTTTAGAAATTCTGATTTCTATAGATTCTGATTTTTCAAACTTTTTTTACAAATTCTGATTTCTATAAATTCTGGTTTTTACAAATTGTAATTTCTGAGAAATGTTTTTCAGAAGTTGTAAATTAATAATCAGAATCGAATTACAATTTGTAAAAATCAGAATCTTTAAAAAATAAACTTGTTTTACAAATTCTGATTTTTACAAATTTTAATTCGATTCTGATTCTTTTATATTTCTTTCACAAATTGTAATTTTTAAGGGATTGTTTTTACAAATTACAAGAATTTATAAAAATCAGAATCTTTAAAAAATAAACTTTTATTTTACAAATTCTGATTATTTTAACAAATTTCTCTCATTTCCAGAATATTGGCGGTCTTTGTTCTCCTTTAGTAGTTTTCAATGGTCAGGTTAATTATATGCCTACAACATCATCTACTAATCCTGGTCAAATAGCTTCTGGGACAACAGCAGGATTTGTGTGCAATGCAGGATTCATCCAGTCAGGCAATCCCTCTGCCATTTGCAATAATGGAGTATGGAGTCAACCCCTTGGTAAATTTGACTTTTTCGACATTTTGAAATATTTCGGATTTTTCGACATTTTGAAATATTTCTGATTTTTCGACATTTTGAAATATTTCCGATTTTTCGACATTTTGAAATATTTCCGATTTTTCGACATTTTGAAATATTTCTGATTTTTCGACATTTCGAAATATTTCTGATTTTTCGACATTTTGAAACAATTCTGATTTTTCGACATTTTGAAATATTTCTGATTTTTCGACGTTTTGAAATATTTCAGATTTTTCGACATTTTGAAATATTTCTGATTTTTCGACATTTTGAAATATTTTTTCTTTTTCGACACTGAAATAATTCTGATTTTTCGACATTTTGAAATATTTCTGATTTTTCGACATTTCGAAATATGTATTTCTGATTTTTCGACATTTTGAAACAATTTTTCCCTTTATCTTCAAGGTATTTGCCAAGCTTCTGGGGGCTTTGGCATAGGAACGACTTTACTGCCTGGAGGTATATCTTCAGGATCTGGACAATGTGCAGCAATGATTCCGCCGGCATTTGGGCAATTAAGCTATTCTGGAGCTGGTCAGTCAAACACTGCAGGGATACAACAACAACAACAATTTGGCCCATTCCCGAGTGGAACAACGGTTCAACTGATTTGTTCTTCTGGAACGTATTCTAGTGGAACGAGTCAAGCAACCTGCTCAAACGGTCAATGGATACCTAACCAACTTGGACAGTGCCAAAGTACGGGATTGGGTGGTGTTGGAAGTATAGGAAGCGGAGGAAGTTGCGCACCTCAAATAACGCCTGCAAATGGTCAAATAATTTACAGTACAGTTCTACAGGCTGGGCAAACAACGTATTCATCGGGAACGACTGCTACGTTGAGTTGTTTATCTGGTGGGAGATTTTGTAAAAATCAGAATTTTTGAGAAATCAGAATTTGTAAAAATCAGAATTTTAAAAAATCAGAATTTATGAAAATCAGAATTTATAAAAATGAGAATTTATGAAAATCAGAATTTATGAAAATCAGAATTTATAAAAATGAGAATTTATGAAAATCAGAATTTTTAAAATCAGAATTTATAAAATCAGAATTTTAAAAAATCATAATTTATGAAAATCAGAATTTGTAAAAATCAGAATTTAAAAGAAACAGAATTTATGGAAATCGGAATCTATAAAAATCAGAATTTTAAAAAATCAGAATTTAAAAAACCAGAATTTATAAAGATCAGAATTTATTCATTAAAAACCAGAATTTATAAAAATCAGAACAAAATCAGAAATCTTTGTTTCTTCATTTTCAGGCATTCCACCGTTAAATGGACAAGTTTCCACATGTCTTAACAGCCTTTGGACTCCTCCATTAGGCATATGTTCAATCACTGGCGGTACAGGCATCTTTCCTACATCCTTCCCAGGAGGGACTAGTTTTGGTTCAACCTGCCTTTTTGGAATGATCCCACCTTTGGGCGGAACAATCCAATATAGTGGTGCTTCGACACAGCAGTTAGGCGGTGTTGGGACGTCTACTGGACCGCCATATGCTGTAAATCAGAATTTATAAAAAATCAGAATTTATAAAAAAATCAGAATTTGTCAGAAAAATCAGAAAAAAATCAGAAATCAGAATTTATCAGAAAATCAGAAAAAAATCAGAAATCAGAATTTATCAGAAAATCAGAAAAAAATCAGAAATCAGAATTTATCAGAAAAAATCAGAACATTTTTTAATTATTTTATGATAGGAGGGAACAACAGCTACACTAATCTGTCAACAAGGAGTACCTAGTGTACCCAGCGCAGTCTGTACACGAGGCACATGGCAACCACCAAACCTCACAGGGTGTAGTGGCAGTCTTTTTGGGGTTACTCCATCAATTATTTCTGGGTTTGGGACACAAACTGCTGGACAATGCCTCTTGGGATTGGTTGCTTTGGGAGGTAGCTTTATTCAGTTTTTCATGATGTCAAAGTCTCAAAATGTCAAAAAATCATTTTTTGAATGTCAATGTCATCTTTCAGATGTCAAAGTCATTTTTGACTGTCAAAGTCATCTGTCAGATGTCAAAGTCATTTTCGGCTGTCAAAGTCATCTGTCAGATGTCAAAGTCGTTTCTGAATTTCAAAGTCATTTTAGACTGTCAAAGTCATTTTTTAAATGTCAAAGTGTCAAAAGGTCTAAAATCATTGACTTTCAGGCACAGTATTCTACTCAAACTCGGGCGCTAACAGCGGTGTCACTAACACTGGAACGCTTGTTGGCAGTGTCAATACAAACATTGGATCTTCACAAACTGGCCCATACCCACAGGGAACAGTAAATAATTTTAAAATATCAAAGCCACAAATTAATTTCAAGACTGCTCAAGTTCAATGCCCTAACGGCCAAATTCCAACTAATGGTGCCAATTCAGCTACTTGTATAAGCTCCCAGTGGCAACCTTCATCATTAGGCTCTTGCCTAGGCAGCAATATTGGAATTGCTAGTATTGGCGCAACAGTCCCAACAAGTATTGGGCAAGGTGTGTGTTGAAGGGTACACCTCAACTGAGTCCCGGACCCTATAACTTATGAAGTGATGGTCACTTTTATTTGTTCTTGGCCATTGGATAGGGCATTAAATAGGCTATACCAAAAAATCAAAGTCGGAAATTCTGATTTTTTGATTTGTAGTCCTTCTAACGCTCTATTCAATGGTACCAAGACCATAAAAATTATTGACATCTACTTGAGTTATAGAGCCGGGACTCAGTTGAACTGCTCCGGAAGTTGAACGATTTTGAGACTCTAACAACCCTAATTAGTCATTAGAGTCTTACCTCTAAATAAAATTTAGGCTCCTGTTTATTCGGACCAATAGCTATAAATGGTCGAGTAACATTTTCAAATGGCCAAACAATTGGGCCTTTTCCAGCTGGAACAACTGCTACAATGTCGTGTAATGCTGGGTAAATTTTTTGAAATTTTTATCGCTTCAAATTCTTTAGTTTTATACCGAATGGTCAAGCAATCTCTACCTGCACAAATTCTGCATTCCCACCTTTAGGCACGTGTATGCCTTCAAGCTCAGATCCTTCCGATACCTCTTCTGTTGGCTACAACTCTTCAAATTCATATAACAGCGGGAGAGGTAAAAATTTCAAAATGTCAACTTTACAAAATGCCCAAATCCAAAATGCCACAATCCCAAAATGCCCATTTTAAATATTTTTTCAGTCCAATGTTTCGATATGCCCCAACCAATAAATGGGGCCACCTTTATCTATTCGCCACCAAATGCAAATTCCCCCTTCCCCATTGGTACAACAGCAACACTTGTATGTGCAAACGGAACACAATTATCTGATGGAAGCACTGTAGGGAAAAAATTTAAAAATATTTTTTTATTCGTTTTATGATTAAAGGTTGGCCAGTCAGTCATGTGTATGTATACGGGTTGGTCTAAACTCCAATTTGATCCGTGTTTACCTTCAAGTGGATTGGGAGGTAGTTGAATAGAAGAGAGAAAATAGGGGGCGTTTCAGAATCGCGACTTTAAGCCATATTTTGGGCTATAACTTTTTTGATTCTTAACCGATTTAAATAATTTTTATAGCAATCGAAAGCTCTGAATGTGAGGATTATTTAAGATAAAAGACTTGATCTGATCAGACGCTCGTCAAAAAAGTTATGGACCAAAATACGGTCTCAAGGTTGAAACCCCTTACAGCAGGCCATATTTTGGGTCATAACTTTTTTGAGGCTTAACCGATTTAAATAATTTTTATAGCAATCGAAAGCTCTGAATGTGAGGATTATTTAAGATAAAAGACTTGATCTGATCAGACGCTCGTCAAAAAAGTTATGGACCAAAATACGGTCTCAAGGTTGAAACCCCTTACAGCAGGCCATATTTTGGGTCATAACTTTTTTGAGGCTTAACCGATTTAAATAATTTTTATAGCAATCGAAAGCTCTGGATGTGGGGATTATTTAAGCTAAAAGACTTGAGTTGATCAGACACATGTCAAAAAAGTTATTTCCAAAAAACGGCCTCAAGTCTGAAACGCCCTTACAGCATGCCACATTTTGGGCTATAACTTTATTGGGGCTTAACCGATTTAAATAATTCTTATACCAATCGAAAGCTATGGATGTGAGGATTATTTAAGCTAGCAGACTTGATCTGACCAGACGCTCGTCAAAAAAGTTATGACCAAAATACTGTCTCAAGTCTGAAACGCCCTTATAGGGGAAAATATTTTTCTCTGAAAAAATTTTTTAAGTAACACCTTCAACTACTTCAAGACGGTAATGAAGAGATGATGAACTTGGCTTTATTTTAAATTTAAAAAAAAGTAGAGAGCTTTAAGTAGAGCATTTTTCATATTTTTATTTTTGTCTATTTATCTCATACTCATCATTTCTCCCTGTAAATATCCCTCACATTTTTATATTTTTAAAAAATTTTTATTTTTTTAACTATTTGTTCATTTAAATATACAATAATCTTTTTTGGTTGATCTAGTTTTGATTTGATTGTGAGATATTGAAAAGTACACCCCCCCCCCCCCAACGTTCCACCGCCCAACGTACAACGTATGCTGACACTTCTCCATGTCAATACATAGAAATAAAGGGGGATCAAGAGAATTAAGTTGTTTCAACTGAAGAAAAGTTGTTGGATTGCTTAGGTGAAGGTGCTTTGCCGGATTGAAAAATACAAAAAAAAATTCAGAACAGTACATATTAGGCACTCAATCATTTAGCGTACAAACGGGGTCGCTTTCAACTGTCTTTTAGGCGCGCGCCCAGGTAGGCGCAAAGCCATGACTAGCTGAAAGATTTCTGGACCTTATTAATTTTTATACCAATCTCTTTAGCTCGATGAGAGGGATCGTTTAATGCCAAATTTTGAAAGATTCGATTATCAATAAGCAAGTTATGGCTTTGCGCCGTTATGGCCGCGCGCCTAAATGGGCTGTACTAATTTTTACAATAGTGGAGAGAACGAGAAAGTGAGAGAGTACAGAAAAAGTGGAGAGTGTTAGACACACAAGTGTTCTGTGTTTTACCGATTTTTAGTTTTTTGATCTCCTCTTTTAGGCCACGACAGCTTAATAGAAAGTTTGCTAGGCCATAATGTTTGCATTTAACCCCCAACTCTACTAAACTGCTAGAATAATGATGACTAGTTAAAGCCAAACTATTTCTATTTTAAATTTATTCCCCCCTTATTTTGCCCATAATCGACTATAAAAAATCTCAAAAAAAATTTTTTTTTTAATGTTCCCAACAACCTTATTATTTATTTTATTTTGTCTAAATTTATTTTCTTGTGATATTGAGGCGGAGGAAGAATCCTTTTACTCGTTATTGGGAGTTGAACAAGACGCGGATTTGTTGACGATTCGAAAGGCTTTTAAAAGTTTAGCTTTAGAGAAACATCCAGATAAGAATCCGGTATGCTTTTTTTTGGTTGGGGGTTTTTTTGGGGTTTTTAAGGGGTTGGGAAATTTTTGGAATTTTTGGAAAATTTTCCAAATTTTTTTTTAAATTTTTTGAGGCCTAGAAATTTTTTAAAATTTTGCTAAAATTTTTTCGAAAAATTTTTTTTTTTTTTTCCGAGGTTTTTTTTAGGTTTTTCTGAGGTTTTTCGAGGCGTTTTTCTGAGGTTTTTCGAGGTTTTTCGAGGTTTTTTTTTTTTTTTTAATTTTTTTTTTTTTTTTTTTTTTTTTTTTTTCGAGTTTTTCCGAGGCCTAGAAATTTTTTACAATTTTTCGAAATTTTTTTTGAAAATTTTTTAGGCCTAGAAATTTTCGAAAATTTTTTTTGAAATTTTCCCAGCATTTTTCAATTGACCTTTCAAAAATTTCTTTTAATATTCAGGACGACCCAAACGCCCATTCAATATTTGTGCGTATCAACCGTGCCTATGAAGTATTAAAAGATGCTGAATTGAGAAGAAAATATGACCAATTTGGCGAGAAGGGATTGGAAGATGGAGGTGGGGGAGAGCAACATTATCAAAGCTGGCAGTTCTATAATGATAATTTTGGTTGGTTTTTTTTTTGTTAATTTTATTTAATTTTATACTCATATCAGACCTGGATCGTTTAGGCCTTGCAAGTTTAGAGAACTGTTTTCCCCTTTTATGGACGTAAAAATCGTAGCGGGTGGGTCGTTTAGGACAACTTATTTTTAAGTTACTCGGAAACTTATGCCTCATTACTGGGTACGGGCCAAGTAGGCGCAAAGCCATAATTTGCTGCAAGATTTCCGAATCCACATTTAGTATTAAACGATTCCTCTCATCGAGCTAACATTAAAGAGATTGGTACCAAAATTGTTAAGGTCCAGAAATTTTTCAGATAGTTATAGCTTTGCGCCTGCTTGGCCGCGCGTCTACTAGGGCGTGTCACTATACTACAATTTTTGGTTAAGCTTTGAAAAAGATCCACCCAAACTATGGTTACTTATTCTTTATTGTCTGGTCTTATTGTGTAAAGCGTGGTCATTTCTATAGCCAATTTTTGGCTTTCCTCCCCTAAGAAGCCATTTTGGGTAGTTGTAGCTCCATGAAATCTAGAAAAAACTCCGTGATTTTTCAGTCTTTTTTCTTCTTAAAATAATATGAAAATTGTTTTTGTTTCTAAAATTTATTTTTAAAAATATTTTTTTACAGGGATTTATGACGATGACCCAGAAATTATTACACTTGGCCGTGGCGATTTTGAAGAGGAAGTGTTTCAATCGGGAGAGGTTTTTTTTTAAAAATTTTTAGAATATTTTTTTCCAATTTTTGAAAGATTTGGTTTGTCAATTTCTACTCGGCTTTTTGTTCTCATTGTCACCACTTGGCCCCTGTTTGGCGTGAATTGGCTAAACGAGTACCTGAAGGTGTGGCGAGGATTGGGGCAGTTAATTGTGCAGAAGATCCGGGACTTTGTAGAAGCCAAAACGTTATGGGTTATCCGTCTTTGATTGTTTATCCACAACAGGAATGGTTTCAAGGTTTTATTTTTTTTTAATTTTTGATGGCATTTTAAGTTGTGTTCCCTTTTTTTTTTAATTTTTCTCAAAATTCCCCTATTTACAACGGGTATGGGTCGAAATGGTTGGGTCTCCTTTTTTATGAAGAAAATTTTTTGGAAAATTCGGGTTTGGGTTGAAAAAAGTCGAAAAAGCGAGGACCAGTTACTTTGCAACCTTCCCCTAACCGGTTCATAAATGTTAGACTAGAAATGGAAAGTGAATCCATATTTTTGATTGAAAAGATGTTAATGTAAGTTAAGGTAACTGGGAGCTTTGGTAAAAATATGAAAGAAAAACAGACCAAAATTTCTTTTAAAAAATTTCTTACATCACAAGTTCAAAAAAAATTTTTGTAAAATTTTTTAGTATTCAATTTTTCAAAAGTTTTGAATTTTTTGTCCTTTTTTTTTCATTTTTTAATTCTTTTAAAAATTCCAAAAAATTAATTTTTTAGACGAGCGCACTTTGAATAATCTCCTTGATTTTCTCCTCTCTCAATTGTCTGCTCCAATATTACAACCAACAGTTGAATTGCCTATTCAAAGACCTCTTTTGTTAGAATTGTGTTTGAGAGAGAATGAATGTATTTCTGAGGAAGACAGGTTTTTTTTGGGAAATTTTTTCGAATTTTTGGTACTACTTCGTTATCCCTACGTATTTTTTCGGACTTTTTTTTTTGCTGACATTTCCTCCTTACTTATAATTAGAGACCGGCGCGGGACGGGATCCCGCGCGGGATTTTGCGGTATACCGCTCCCGCAATCCCGCACTTTTTTCGATTTGCGGGAATGCGGGAATATTCCCGCGGGAGTTACTCCCGCAAAGATTTTTGCCAAAAAATTTTATCCCTCGGGATCCCGCAAACGCGATTTTGCCGGTCTCTACTTGAAATAAACATAACGGTCAAACTTTCTTCTTTCATTAATTCCCTCTATGTATTCCCGTGTGGCAATTTAATGAAATATACATACTACAGGGAAGTAGAGTGGAGTTGATGGAGGAAGAAAATGTCCACAAAAAAAAAGTTCGCGAAAAGCACGTAGGGATAACGAAGTAATAACAAGACAGGTTTTTTCTGGAATTTTTTTTTATTAAATTAAATTTTTTAGAAAAAAGATTGCTGCAATTTCTAATCAACTTTTGATGCCTTTTGCTGTGTTGGACTGTTCTGAATCTGCCAAAGAAATTTGTAAAAATATTGGGGCTGAGGAAGGAATGTTTTTGTTAAGTGGAGGGGAAGATGAAAAGCCTAAGGTTTTTAATTTTTAAAATGGGGATTGGATACCGGTTCTTCTTTAAGAAAAGTTTATCTTGGAGTTTATCAGTTAAGAATTTAGGAATTCGGATTGAAAAGAAAAAATTTAAAAAAATGTTAAGTTCTCAAAATTATGAGTAAAGTACAATAAAAATAGAAATCAGAATGAATAAAATAAAAAATGTATAAAAATGCAAAAAAATCAGAGTTAATACAGAAATTTGAAGTATCTAGAAAATAAAATGTATTTTAAAATTTTTGATTGAATTAAAAAATCAGAATTTTTTACAAATTGTAAAAACTGTAAATTAATTTGTAAAATTTGAATTACTTACGTAATATCAGAATTCACAACCAGAATTATAATTTGCAAAATTAAAAGTTCAGTTGTAAATTCTGATATTGTATTAATTCTGATTTTACAGATTTGAATCAGAATTTACAAATTGTAAATTCTGATGTTATTTTGTTAATTCTGTTTTTACAAATTAAATTATGATTTTTACAATTTGTAAATTCTGATTTTTTAAATTAATTTAGAGTTTTTACAAATTGTAATTCTGATTTTTTTAATTACCAGAATTTACAAAACTAATAAATATCAGAATTTACAAATTGTAAATTTTGGTGTCATTGTGATAATTCTGATTTTTACAAATTAATTTATTATTTTTACAATTTGTAAAAAATTCTGATTTTTATATAAATTTTTAGGAGTTATATTTTGCTGACTTGACAGATTTGCGTAACCAATTATTATCAGAATTACCAGAATTGGAAGAATATACATATTCAGAATTGCAACAAAAAATAAATTTGAATAAATTAGAAGAAGAAGAACAAATTTTATTAATATTTTTAAATTCAAAAGAGGAATTTCAAAAAGAATGGAAACGTTTATTAATTTTATTCCCAGAATTGCAAGTTAAATTAATTGTTTGTGAGGGAGAAATTGGTCAACATTTGTGTAATACATTGAATTTGGGGAAATTACCTAAAGTAGCACTATTTAGAATTGAGGGAGGATATGATTTAAATTATGGTGAGTTAGAGAGGATTTTTTTAATTAAAAATTATTTTTAAAATTATTTTTAGTTCCTATCAGAGGTGGGTCAGATTTCCAATTTCCAACGTTTTTTTCCTTTCGATTTCCGAAAAAAATTTTTTGATTTCCGAGTTCCGACTCTTGAGCCGGTTCCGATTTCCGACACCTCTGACTGTTCCGACCCACCTCTGGTTCCTACTAAAATTGATTCTTCCTAACAATAAGTCAGTTCCAGATTCTTAGAATAACTAAAACCAGATCGGATCCTGCAGACACGCACAGCACGGCAACTCCCAAACCATATCAATTTTATGCCAAATTTTTTTATTAATTCGGTCTGGAAATCATCTAGAGATAGCGAAAAGAACCCCAGATTAGAAAAATATCTAACTTGATCTTGTCCGGGGTTAGGCATTAATTTTTTAAATAATAAGGAAATGAAAAATTTAATTCTAATATTTCATTTTTTTCTAATTTAAAAGGAAATACAAATTTAAATATTCGTGAAATTACAAAATTTGTTCGTCATAGTTTATATTCAAATTTAATTGTGTTGGATTATGACAAATATTGGGTAAGTATTTACAAGTACACAATAGATAAAAAACACGTCAAATGAACGTGTTAGCGAGGGAGGAGGTTCTTTTAATTTTTAACTTAAAAAGCGATGCTGCCTTATATTAGGTTAAGATTTGTTCAGCAAGTTATTCTTTCCGTTACTCATAGAAAAGTGTGTAAAAGCATTTCCAGAGGCTGGGTACACATCAGGGATCCTGCCGACAAAAAAGTAGAATTCCAGATTTCCGGAATTACCGACCCAAAAAACGTCGGGAATTCCAGATTTCAGGAAATCAGGTCGGCAGGATCCCTGGTACGCATTGTAAAATTTTAATAAAGTTTTGATTCTACTAATTTCTTTCAAAAAGAATGCACGTCAATCCGCAAATTCTTCTCATCTTTGGATAATCGACCATTTTGCTCCTTGGTGCCCTCCATGTTTACAGATGTTGGATGAATTAAGAAAATTACCTTCTGAATTAACTGATGGACGTAAACTTCGTGTTGGGACACTTGATTGTGATGCTTATCGGGATATTTGTACTGGGGAACGGATAAATAGGTGAAAAAAAAAATTTTTTTAATTTTTACAATTTGGGAAATTAATTCAAAAGTAAAGATGGTTCGAGATGATATCTTGAATATAACTCAATAATTGGGAGTTTTTTCACAACTTTTTGAGATCTGTACCTTCGGCTACAGAAAATTCAAAAGCGTTATTTGATTAAAAGAATATCTGGGGATTAAGAAAGGTTCGAGGGATTAAGAAGATGTCGGAGGGATCTAGGAGATATCGTCGAGAATATCAGATTGAGAGGACTAAGAGGATATTGTGGGCTAAGAGGATATATCTTCTCGGTTCTCATCTCCTTCTTAATGCTCTTAATCCCTCGATATTTCCATAATCCCTTCATATCAGTCAATCCATCCAGAATTCTAAACAACGAAAAAATTTTTTGAAATTCTTGTACGACCCTCTCTCCAAGTTCGGTCTCTTATCGAAATGCTTTCGTTTGATAAAATTACAATTGTAAAATTAAAAATCATTGCAACTTTTTTTTAACAATTTTCTCTTAAAAATTAATCTATTTTTTTTTCTTTAAAGTTATCCTCGCACAATTCTTTACATGGGCGACGATTCCCAACAACAAAAACAACAACAACATTCACTTATTGGTTTCCATACAGTTGATCAATTACTTGAATTTATATCAGAAGCATTAAATCCAACAGTACAAGTTTTAACTCCAGATAATTTTGATGATATTGTTTATGGAGGTGGACAATCTTTCTTTGTTGATTTTTTTGCTCCTTGGTGTGGGCCGTGTCAAAAGGTGAGGGGAGGGAAAGAGGAAAAAGAAATTTTTGGAAAATAGGACCTCTTAAAGTTTCCGTCATTGGGGATGAACAATAGACATCTTATAATGAGAGGGATTAGGGTTAGGGCCCGATCCGAAAGATGAGTCGGGCATTTAATTTTGGCCTGAAAAAAACTCGGTCGGGCCGGTCCGGAAAAATGAGCCTAAAAAATGACTCGAACATCGACCTGACTTGAAAACCCCAACCCCAAGACGGATAGCGTTTTAAGCAGCTCTATACAGGAATAGGCCGGGTAGAAGAGAAAGTCGGGTAAGATTTTGGAATTGTTTTCAAAAATTTCTAAGATCGGATTACAAATTGAAAAATTGTCAGGGATTCGGATTACCGATAACGCTGCTACTCCCAGTTGCACGATACTCTGTGGCCAACCTAATTTCATTCTTTTAAAATTTATTATAAATTTGAGAACTGCCTAATAGGGGGTATCTAAAATCCGAATTCCTGCCAATTTTCAATCCGAGGGGGGTATCAAAGGGGTTCATTTATGGATTTTTAACTTTTAAAATTTTTTGGATTTTTTGTCGCGAATTTTGAATCTTTTTTTATATTCCCCTCATTTTTTAGTTGGCCCCTGAATTTCGACAACTTGCTAGGCAATGGGCTTCAACACACACTGAAGATCCAAACCAACTTGTTTTTGCTTCAGTAGATTGTGAACAATATTCTAATTTATGTAATCGTGAAAATGTTAATTCTTTTCCTGCATTGCGTTTTTATAGAAAATTACAAGGAGGAAAGATTGATGTAAAGTAAGGACGAAAAAAATTTTTTTTATTTTTTTAATAAGGAAAAGGGAGGAGATCTAGATGTAAATCGCTTGAAACGCTTACTAAACGGGGGTTTAAGATTTTATTAAAAAAGGGGATGGGAAAACAGCGCCACCAGTAAATCACATTAGTCGGTAGAGACTAGGGTTGGGTACCCGGGGTGATTCGAAAGATCGAATCAAGCATCGAATTTTGGCCCGAAAAAGACTAGAACGGCCCGGTTCGATAGAAATGGGGCCCGAAAAAACTGACTCGAACGTCGGCCCGATTCGCTGTTGGGTATTGGCTTAGTATAAGAGCCTTCCTATTATTCAGTCGTGGGCTTAGTCTTATTGTCGCAGTGTTATTCTATTCTGTCTCCAACGTATTCGGCGCTTAGCCATATTCCTATTGTTCGCCCTTATTGTGTTTAGTCTTGTAGATAAAGCACAGTTGTTAGATACTGTCTTATCTTTGTGTTATTCTTTGTTAGTACGTAGACATACAAGTCACGTACATAACATTCGCAAACCCCAACCCCAGTAGAGACCGATCTATGCTTGTATACTTTGACCGGGGACTAGCAGATCCGATGCCCGAAACTCGCAAATTCCTGATGTTTTTTGTGTCGGGATTTCGATTTTGTTAATCGGGAATCTATTTTTTATAAGGGCTAGATCCCTGATATGTGGTGAGCAAAGTGGCCTAGCTATAGCTTTTAGAAGATAACAGGTTCGATGACTACCTAAGGCTATACTTTTACTTCTTACGTTAAAAAAGTTCAAAAAATATGTTTTTTTTTGTTAACAGTAATTACCCTTCAAATTGGTGGAGAAATGTACAAACAATGTCCCATTGGCTAACAGAAATGATGCCTTCACTTGTTCAAAAAATTGCTGGTGATTTTGCCAATACTGTTTTGGATTCTTCTGAGCCATGGTTGATTGATTTTTATGGTAAAATTTAAAAAATTTTCAGGGAATTTTAAGTGATTGACGGGGGAAAATAAGGGAATTTTAAAGCACAAATAGAGGGGGGATTTTCTTAGCTTATAATTTATTATAGAGATCGAGATATTTGAAAAACCTGGGCCTGAGCCTGGACTCTGGGACTCTGATTTATTGGCCTGAGCCGGATCCTGTGCCTATTTTCCAGGAGAATCACAGGCCCAGGAAAAGCCCAGGCCCCGGAAACATCCAGGAAGGTCAAAAAATGCTTGGGCCTCGACTCTGGGTACAGGAAAGATTGGTCCAGGCCCAGCTCGATCTCCATTGTATTATATAGTTTATAGTTATGCAACCTCTGATCTTAACTGTACTTCCTAGGGATTCTGTCGCCCCAGGGAACTCTTTTGGGGCTAAAAAGGTGTACGTATAAAATTTTCTTTTTTATTAAGCTCCATGGTGTTCTCATTGTATTCAATTTGCCCCAACATTTGAACGTCTTGCTCAGGTAGATATTCTCAAAAAAATTTCGAAAAAAAATTTTTAAGGTTTTAAATGGCCAAGTCCGCTTAGGCAAAATAGATTGTGAACGTTTTAATTGGATTTGTGAAAATGCCCAAATAAATTATTTTCCCCAAATTTTGCTATATTTTGGCACAAAAAATTATAAAAGACAGGAAACTAGGGGTATGGAAATTTCTACTGATGGCACAACAAATGTTGAAATTATTGCAAAAACTGTTAGGGAATATTTGGAGAAATATGGGCATGGATATGATAAAAATGAAAGGGATGAACTTTAATTATTATAATTTAATTTTTTTGTGCTTTATTTAGCTTTTTTTGTGATATTTATTTTTCATTTTTGGAGGTAACCAGGGCCAAAAAATTTTTTTTCAAAAACCCAGCGCTTGAAAAATTCCTAAAAAAATTTCAAAAAATTTTTTTTGTGGACTAAAAAATTTTTTAAGAAATAAAAAGTAACCTCTATTTAAGAGACACCTCATTATAAGAGACTACTTTTCACGTTCCAGGGGACTATCTTTTACTATGAGGTCTAGTTTCTTTTAACACATGAAAATTTTTTCTTATTTTTTCATTAACTTTTTTGTTCTCATAATATTTCCTTTTTTTACGCCTTTCTAGTAATTTAATAATTTATTTTAATGGCATTTGTTTAATTAATTTTATTTAAATAAAAATATGTTTTTTTGATTAATAATCGTGCTTATTTTTATTTTATATGTATGTTGATGCATTTGTATTTTAAAATATTTTTCTAAATTATTTTTAAGGTTTTTTAATGGATTAATTAAAAGTTCAAATGAGGAGAGAGGTAAGAAAGTATGTGGAGAAGGCTAGCAGCAGGGGTGTCCGCAAATGAAAAAAATTTTCCGCAGCATAAGAAGGCTTCTTCGGGTTGTTGAGATTAATCCTGAGAGTTCCACTCCCATTCGAAGGATTTTACCCAATCCCGCTATGTGATTGTGATTTCTTGCGTTGAATAGGGGGCTTGATTATTACTATTTTTCTTTAATCGAAAATTTATTGTGTGGGATCTTTTGTCATTTTAATCAAATTTTAGTTTTCTGAATTTTCCTTTGAATGGCCCTTCTCAAAAGAAACTTGGGAGTTCCGCAAAAATTTTTTTGACTGTCTTATCCAAAAATTTAACTGGATTCTGTTATAGAGGTCCAGTTTTTTTAGAAGGAATATTCAAAAAAATAAAATTCACAACGCCAAGATTAAATTAAAATGACAAAAAATCCCACACAAAAATTTTCGATTAGAGAAAGAAAAAATGGAAATAACACACAAACTTAAAGTCAACTAGTTTAAAAAGAATAAAATTTTTTATGTTTGTTTTTAAAGTGCTTATAAAATATATTTGTTTGTGTGCGTGCGACTTTTTGTTGAACAGAAAAATATATAATATATATAACTTGTAGGGGGGATATGTGTATGCACAACAAACAACAAAAAATGTATAAATGATGACTGTGCGTGTTTAATGCTGACGTTGATTGATTTATACATATGTAAAATATATTTTTATTTATTTTAACACAAAAATTTGGTTTAAGTGTTTGTGTGGGTTTATATTTTTTTTTAAATTATTTAAAAAAATTTTTGTTCAGTTTTTTTAGTGTTTAGGAGTGTTATTTTTGTTATTTTAATTGTTGGAGTAGTAATTTTTGCAAAACGGTTTTTTGGTTAAGTGGGTTAAAAATTGGGTATTGTTTGTGGTTTGGCCCTTTGTGTATGTTGATGGTTCGAGTCCGCTTGTTGATATTTTTTTATTTTTAATTTTTGTCATTTTAATTGTTGGTCAAGAAATTCCTGCAAAACAGATTTTTGGTTAAGTGGGATAATTGGGTATATGTCTGATCTGGCTTTTTGTGTATGTCTCTGGTTCGAGTCCGCTTGTCGATAACTTTTTTTATTTTTGTTTTTTATGATGAAACTGTTTTTTTTGGTTAAGTGGAGATTAATTGGAGTAAACCAGAAGGAGCCCTCTTTGTGTAGGGCTCTTTCCGGCTCTTTGTTCAAGTCTGCGGTTCGACTCCGTTTGTTTTTGTTATTTTAATTGTTTCTAATGTGGATTTTATTTTTATTTAAATTATCAACTTGACGGTTAACTGGCCTTGAAAATTTTCATAAATTTCTATGAAATTTCAAGGCCACTCCAAGAAACAGTATTTTTTGGTCTCTAAGTGATGCTCTTGCTCTTCTGGGTTCTTATTTTAGAGACTAGTCTTTTTCCGATCACTTTTTTTTCCTCTTATCACATTAAAAATTTAATTTCCTTTTTTTGTTTACCTTTCAAAAATTAAAATTAAATTGATCGAACAATTTTGAATAGATATACTTACTAAACAAACAAAAAAATTTTTTTGAGTTTTTAAGGGGAGAGACAAGGCTTGGTAATGGATATGAATACAAATTTTTTTGTAATAAAATTCAAAATGACTGCGGGTATGCGTCTGTATCCGCCGTACATATCCGTATACGGGTACCAAAATCCATGTCCATTACCAAGTCTGGGAGAGACAAACCTCCCCGTCTTGGACTCCGTCTTTGCGAGGAGTTTTGTCTTGACGATGTTTTGTCTGGAAGGTGTTTTGCCCTTTTCTTTTGGATTAATAGGACAAACCCCGTCTTCGACTTTGTCTTTGCGCGGAGTTTTGTCTGGACGGTGGTTTTGTCCCGTAACGCTCTTTTTTTGGATTAAACTTTAAAAAAATATTTTTATTTTTATTTAAATTGTGTACTCGACCCAAATTTTATTTTTTTTTATTTCTCGCATTTTAAGGATTTACTTACTATTTTTATTTTAAGGAGAAATGACTCAAAGACATAGAGGGCCTGCCCTAAACAATTCTTTTTTTTATTTAAATTCTTTTCTAGATTTTATTTCTCTCTCTCAATTTATATAAAATTCCATCCTTTTTTTATTTCGTGAAATTCCATTCTTTCCCTCAAAAAAAAAAGATTTTTTTTCTCAAAATTTTTTTCTTCTCTTCACAAAAAAATTTATTTTTTGGTAAAATTCAAGTTCGTACCCTCCCCCCCTCTTTCCTCAAAGTATAAGAAAGGGTCTGACTTAAAAATGTGTTACCAACCCTACTCAATAGCTACAAGTACCAGAACCACTGGTCCGGTTTGTGCATATGTACGGTAACTCTGGGTAGTAGAGCTCTTTATTCCTATAAAGATTTTATAGGAGACTGTGAACAGATTACCTTATTTGGGAGGCATTTGCCCCCTTTTTGGGAGCCATGCCCCCTTTTGGTGATTTGGAAGGGGCCACCCTAGTCTGATCATTTTTTAATACTTTGAGTAAGAAAAAAAATAATGGGGGGGGGGGCGAACTTGAATTTAGCCTTATTTTTCCCTTCTTTGTCCTAAATTTTTTTTATTTTTTTTTCTCTCCTTCCCCAACATATCTAAAAATTGACTGCCCAAAATCTGTCAACAACATATACAAAAATAACAAAAAAAAATTTTTTCCGGTTAGAAATTGATAAATTATTTTTTTGTTGTTAGCGGATGTTGTCAGGTTGTATTTAAATGTAAAAATGGTTGGATGTCCCTTCTCTAAAATAAAAAAAAGAATAAAAGTGCGTGAAGGAAAGGCAAAAATGCGTAGATTAATGGATGAAAAAAAAAGTTTTTTTCGATTTAAAAATATTTTGCATGTTTTGGGATAGAAATTAATGTGTGTATTTATTTTTAATAATGTTTTTGTGTGTGTGGTTAAAACGCGCGCGGAGGTGATTAATATATATTATTTAATTTATGATTATTTACTCTGGAAATTTAAGTCGATGTTTTATTAATATTCTGATGTGTTGGGGAGAGAAAATACAGCGTGTATTTTATTGTGTTTTTGTTGATTTCTGGTTTTGTATTTTTCTGTATTTTTTGTTTGTGTTTTTAAATTAATTCTGATTTTTGTATTTTTGTTTTTACAAATTCTGATTTTTGTGTTTTCTTTTATTCTGTTTTTGTAAATTCTGATTTTTGTGTTTTCTTTTATTCTGTTTTTGTAAATTCTGATTTGAATTCTACTGTTGTGTTTTCTTTAGTTTTACAAATTCTGATTTATTGTTTTGTAAATTCTGATTTTTTATTTTATTTTGTTTTTACATATTCTGGTTTTGTATTTTAAAAAAAATCTAATTGTATTTTTAATGGGTTGTTTTGTGTTTTCTTTTATTGTGATTTTGTAAATTCCGTTTTGTCGGTCCGCAAATGTCGCATTACGCTTTTTAAAATTTTGATTTTTGTATTTTCTTTTGTTTTTACTAATTCTGATTTTTGTATTTCACTTATCAGTTTTATATTTCTGAGTCATTCCTTTCCGTTTCTTAGTTTGTATTTTATCACTAGATTATTTTTTAATAATTTTGGTTTTGTGTTTTGTTTAATTCCGCTTTTGTAAAATTTCTATTTTGTATTTTACTTTTTTTTTGAATGTTTGCTTTTCCTCCCAAATTTGTATTTAACACTTTTTTTTAATTTTTTGATTTTGATTTATTTTTATGGGGCCGCGCCGTAATATGCGCCGAAATATCAACCTGTGAAAAAATTAAGTTCCTGTTGTATTTTAAAAAGTGTAAGATGGAAGCGGGAGAGCTAGAAAAAGACGGATATACATTCCAAGGAGGGGAGATCCAATCCTTTGAATGTTCCAGGGAACGAGCCGTCCCGATTCTCGAAAATCGGGAATTTTATTTTTATGTCGGCTTGTCCCTGGTATGTTCCAACAACTGGTAAATGTTGTTAACAATTTGGTACCTATCTGGGGATATTTCGGCGCTTTTTCCAAAGTTTGGTATTTAGGCGGATTCTGGTATTATGTAGAGGTCAGCACGGGACGGGATCCCGCGCGGGCTTTTGCGGGAGTGCGGGATTTATCCCGCAAACGCGATTTTGCCGATCTCTAGTATTATAGCATTCTAATATTTTTATAATTTATTTTTTGAATTTATTTTTCAGATTTAAATTGACTATATTATTTTATATTGACTTCTATTTTTAATTAAAATTGGACTATAAATTCCATCTATTCTCATTTATGACGACTTCTAGCGGTTTTTCTTTAAAGATTTTTTAAAAAGAATTTAAATTCTATTTTTAAGCCCACAATTTTGAAGCGACTACAAGCGCTTTTCTCTTAGGCCATACGCCAGCTCAACAAAACAATAAATATAAGGCTTATGCATCTGCTGTGGATAAAGCGTTGAAATCGTTTGAATCTACTACTGAATGGGCTGATTTAATTGCTGCTTTGGGAAAGTTGGGAAAGGTTTGGATTTTTTTGATTGTTAGAAGTAGTTAATAATAGATATTGGTAGAGACATGAGTAAGGATTCCTTTATTTGTCAGCATTTTTTGGGGGTGATTTGGGTTGTAGTTTAAATTCTTGTTTAGCATTGACCTCAGGGTTAACTACCAATAAGATTGAGATAACTCTAGATCGAGTAAAGTAATTAACTCATTGTCAGCAACTTGAACTAGTCTAGAGAAGCTTGAACATGCCAAGGATTAGATACGTTTCTTTTCTTGTTTTCAAGCAGGGTTCGTGTTGTATCCTGTGTCCTGGGCATTTTACTGATCTGGGTTTGCTCCACATGTGTCCTTTGGTTTTAACTTCCATTGTCCTTATGGAATGCTATTGAAACTGCTGACAGATAGGGTGAAAGCAACGATAAAACCGAAACTAGATGAAAATTTTAAATAAGTTCCCTAATTTTAACATTTTACCACAATTTTTTAGGTTTTCTCATCAAACGCCAAGTCCTTCAACGATATCCCAAATGCGTTGACTGTATCTAAACGTCTCTCACAATGCTTACATCCAGCACTTCCTTCAGGTTTATTTTTTAATCTTTATATTGTTAAACTCCATTTTCTATTTTCTATAGGAGTTCATCTAAAAGCTCTAGATACATACCGTCAAGTCTTTTTGATGTTGAGTCGAACCCAAAATTTGGCCAAATATTTGTTTCTATATTTTGCTGGGCTTTTTCCCGTTTGTTTTTTTATTTTGACCATTATGAGTCTTATTTTTTCTCACTATTTTCCTTTTGTTCTATACCTGTTAGCTTTATTCTGATCCCCTTTATGAATGGTTTTAGTTGTCAGCGGCAGTGCTTATAAATTTCAATTTTGCTCGTACTTCGTACCACCCCTAATTTTGGCCTCGTCTTCGTACCAGCCTATTTTTTTTTGCTCGTACTCGTATTTCTTACTATAGTACGAGTACAAATTTTGGTACGATCTTATAAGCACTGGTATCGGTAACTCAAGGAAAATACCGAGGAAATGAAAAATGAGGGTCGCTTAAGTTCAATATTTTAACTTATTTTCTAAATTTTTAGTTAATGGACCATTGTCAAATTAAAGTCAAATCAGAATTGGTTAGCTTTTTTTAATTTTACACAAATTTATTTTTTTAAATTTAAGCTTTCAATATTCGAACAATTTATTTTACCACTCGGCCCAAATCTTCGTCCAGCACTTGCTGGTTTTATCACTGCTCTTTTATTGGCGTTGGAGGAAGGGACTGAATTCTATGGACGGGCATTTAATCTATTAGACCAATTATTGGAGAAAGTTGGGAGTGAAGCGTTTTACTTGTGTTTTTGGCAGGTTTGGAATTATTTAAAATTTCTTGGGTTTTGTCAGAATACAATTAGGATTTATGTGGATTAGGGTCAATTTGTGGTTGGGGAGGGTCCTGGGCTTTTCGAGTAAACAATCTTTGACCCAGACATTTTTGATCTTTCTGGGTTCCATAACCAGGTCGGGCCAACAGATTAAACAATGATTCTAGCTAGGCCCAGGCAATTTTGAACCTCGGGAATTACTTTTTTATTAGGGAAACTTCTGACCCGGAAAAATATTTGTAGTCCATAGGGCTGACTTAAAAGGTCAATGAGCCTGGAAATACGTTCAGATTCATATACAGATGGGAAACTCGATCTCTAAAATAAATTTCTTTTTTTTTCTAGTCAGTTTCTGGCAATCCTTCAGCTCGTCTTCCTGCTCTAATCTTTGTTAATACAAAAATAGAAAAACACAAAAAAGGCAAAAATGATTCAAATTCTGACGATAATTTACTTGCTTCATTTTGTGGTGGAGGAAATCAGTCAAACAATAATAATTTAATGTTACAAGCTTTGTGTATTGTTGCAGAAGATTCTTCTTCCTCTCCTTTAGTTCAACGACATTTGTTGGATTTTTTGTGTATGGCTATCCCCTTAAATTCTAAATGGACAAGTAAACAACAATTGGTGGATTTGGTGGGAAGAACTCTATTTTTGGTTTTGAGGAGGGATATGAGTTTAAATAGAAGATTGTATCAATGGTTGTTAAATCGGTTTGTTGAAAAATTATTTTTTAATTAAGATTTATTTAATCGGGCCCTAGTACTGAAACCGAAATCATGAAATCGAAACCGTGAAATCGGAATCAAAAATCCGAAATCCTGAAAGTAAAAAAATCACTGAAATCCGATACCCGACACCTGGACTTCTTTCGACCCTAAACTCGCCTCAAGACCTTTTCTTTTCTAAAATTCAGTCCGAAACCCTACCCGACTTTTTTTTTTCTCAAACTATGACATCCCTGATACCCAAACTATTGATGGCGGACTAACTATTCAAATTAGAGGTTGAACACGTTTTCGGTGGATGGGGTCATGTAGTCCGAAACTACCCTGTTTCCAGGCCCGGCAGTTTTAATTGGAATCACCAGAATTACGTCTAATATCAAAACTAATGAGCGAGTCAGGAGTCCGCAGAAAATTTTTTTTCTCTTTTCTTTTAAATAATTTCCACATATTTCTTCAGTTCTAATGATATGGCTTTTGTCAGTCTTCCAGTTAACGGTGTTGAAGATTCCACAGATTTGGCTTTTTTCAAACAATATGCTTTACCGGTTATAAAAAGTGCAATTCGTGATTATTTGAGAGCAGATACTGTTGTGGAGATTGCCCCACCTTCAATGGGAACATTGAGGAGAGAGCCGTTTTTGAAGGTTTTTTTCAAAATTTTTTTGGGAAATTTTGTGGGAAAAAATTTTCAAAATTTTTGAAATTTTTTTTTTGAAATTTTTGGTGAAATTTTGGTAAATTTTTAAAAATTAAAAAATTTTTTTTGGAAATTTTTAAAAAAATTTTGAATAATTTTTTTTGGAATTTTTTGAATTTTTTTCGATCATCTTTTCAAATTTTTAGAAAACCCAAATCCAATTCCCTGAGGTTCGTGTTTGCCGTCTCCTCCATTATATGCTAGATAGACCCGAACTTGGACAACTTGTTTTGGAAGAAATTTTGCCAAATTTATTGGAAACTTTTTGTTTGAGAGATTTAAATTTATTAAAAGAATTTGGTGGAGAATGTGAAGCTATTGACCCTTCTTTTGAAAATTTTGCTGAATCGTTTATTATTTTTAAAGGAAATGAATCTTTTAATAATATTGATGGAGATGGTGATCAACAGGTTTTTTTCTAATTTTATTTAAGTTTAATGGGGAGCGGAGGAGATCCAGCTCGGTATTAACATTTAAAACGGTTAATTCTTTTTTGAAGACGGGCTGGGAGTGTCGTAAATTCAAACCCGATATCTCAAAAAATATCGATCTCGATGACCAAAATTTTTGTTCCCTTTTCGTATTTTCTAGATCTGGTCCCGGTCTGTTCTCAAGTTTTGATATTTTTAAGTGGGATAATTTGTAGAAATTTCCTAGCCTTGGTATTTTTCATAGGCAAAATTACATTGTCAACGAGATTCTAGGTAATGATGGGTTTCTGAAACAATGTTTGAGGGTGCAAAAGACCTTTTAATGTAGAGAAAGGAAAATTTAGTTGACTATACTTAAACCCTCTTTAGTGTTAGTTTTGTGAAATGCTCATGTCAACCTTGCCTTTTTCTAACAAATTTAATATTTATTTTTTTAGACTCGTCGTACAGAAGAAATACTCAAAAATTTCAATTCTCTCTTAAAAGCTTTAGAACCTAATTTTTTATGGAATTTTTTTGAAAAACTCTTTACAATGTATTTTTTAAATTTTAAAAATATTTTAAAATTTATTTTTAAAGGATAAAAACTCAGAATGAAGTAACAGAAGAAAACGAATTAAATAGTAAATATTTGCCTTCATTTTCGTTAGATAGTGATTGTCAATCTCAAAAGAATCAATTATGCGCTCTTTTTCCAGTGGTATTTTTTTTTGGATTTTAATTTTTAAATTTAATTTTTAGAAATTACTAGAGAATGGGTTTAGGGGTTTTCTTGGGGATTTTTGAAGACTTTTTTTTCTGGGGTTGTTATGACGGTGTATTTTCCTCCTCGAAAAATTTTTCATTCGAAGTCACTGAAATTTTTTTCAGATAGTTTCTAGGGCGTAGTTAGGGGGTTGGTTGCAGGGGGCTATGCTTTTGGTAGTGTTCTCAAAAAGTTCCGTGGGAGAAAAAAATACTTTTAAGTAAGAAGAGAGATTCTGACAGTGGTTGCTAAGATTTGGTTATTAAAAGTTGAAGACAAAACAGCGTCCGGTTAGCCCTCATACAAGAGGTGGTCGAAAGCGCCTAACAATAACTTGCATTGAAGGTTTAGGGATTTAATAACCACATCCTAGTAACGCCTTTTCGTGTACAAGTGGTGATTGAGAGCGCCTAACAATAATTTGTGCATAAGATCTCGGGATCGTTGCCTGCCCGTGGCTAAATTTTTACTTCTCCCTTACTATAATATTCTAATCTAAAATTTTTCTTTTTATTTTTCAGATGATTCTCTATTCATTAAAAAACGTTCAATTAGATATAAACGAAGATATCCGTTCAATCTATTTACCAAAATTGTTGAAACACATACTTGTCGGAATTGATTTGTCTTCTTCTTCTCCATTAATAATAGAAAATAATTATGTTGCAATAATTATAGTTTGTCGACATTTACTAGCTGAAATTAATCAAAACAATGTTTCTAATGTTTTTGAATCTTTGCATAATAATAAAGAAGGAGAAAGTAATAGTGCTAGATCGTCTCCAAATAGAACAGAGAAACGAGAAAAAGAATTGGCTGGAGGTTAGAGAGTTATTTTATTTTATATTCTTTCCGGAAATACTTTCTATTCAAATTCCGGAAGCCATAATATTCTTATAGACTATGTTAATTTTCTATTTTCCGGAAACTAATATTCTCCGGTATTTTCCGGAAAATACAAATAATATATTTTCCGGAAATACTTCTTGTATTTCTATTTAAATTCCGGAAATAGAAGTTTTTCCGGAATTAATTTTACTGCACTATTTCCTATATTTTCCGGAAAATATTTGGATTCTCTATTTTCCGGAAGGTAATATTTTCTAGTTTATTTGCCGAATATACTTTTTCTTTAAATTCCGGAAACTATCATATACAAATATTTCCGGTAAATATTTTTATAGACTATGTTAATTTTGTATTTTCCGGAAACTAATATTCTCGAGTATTTTCCGGAAACAGTAATATTATTAAAATGTTTCCGGAAAATAATTGGTTAAACTGTTATTTAATTTCAGATTTCCGGAATATATTATATTAAGACATTTTCTGGTATGAAAATATTTTCCGGAATTTTTATTTTCTTCTGACAAATAAGCTATTTAATTCTTTCCGGAAATTTTTTAAAAATAAACTTCAAAAATATATTTTTAGAACAACAATGTGTCGAATCTTCATTGGAAGCTTGTATTCAAACTTTTACTTCAATATGTAATTGGTATATAAAAAATCGAGAACGGGATAGATGTGGCGTTTTATTGGCTATTTGTCTTTTGGTTAGGGATTTTGCTGATTTTCCATTTTATAGTCTTCAACCATCTATGGCTTGTTGTTCTTCTTTGAGTATATTTTTTATTTTTTTTATTAGAGGGGATATTTTGTGGATTGATGCTAACTAGGGTGTGACTTTATAGAGTGGGGATTTGACCGTTCGGTTGAACCTCTGGGAAGAGGGACATGGGTTATGGGAGAGGGGAAAGACTTCCACTTTTTTCTCTGTGGGGGATTTATTTTCTCAGAGACGGGGGTCAAGCTCTAATATTAATCTTGATTCAACAACTGTTTTTTGTTCCATTGCTGCCCGTAAAATATCGGACAACCCCTTTTCAAATAAAAAATTTCCCACTTTTTCAGCTGACTCAATATATTCTTCTCAACCAAAATTTGAATGGCTTCATGCCTTAATTTCTGCAATTGATCCAGTTTCATGGAAATCCTCTGACTTTTCAATTGACAAAACTGATTTTGATATTCGTTCAAAACTTTTGGATTTAATTTTGTATTTGACCGTTCGGTCTCTTTCAATGATAGAACAACATTCTGCTGTAGCTGGAAGAATTCTGAATAATAAAAAGGCTGAAAAAGAGTTAAAGACAACAACTACAGTTTTATTGAGACCTTTTTTGTCAACTAGTGATTTACAAGAGATTGACAAAAATGAACTTTTCATGGTTATTTTTTAAATATTTTTTTAATTTATGAAGAGGGATGAGGTTTCTTAAGGATATTATATTGTCAAATAATTTTTTGGTACCATTATCTCGCATATTTTTTCCTGTCATTTCTCTTTAAGAATGGGATACCCTTTTTTGATAAACTTGTCCGCAACTCCACAATCTCCACAACAACAAAAAAATTTTGTTGGCTCATTTCTTGGACTATCGTTTTGTTTTCTTTTAATAGCCTGGTGATCGGCCATACCATTATTCCCATTTTTCCTTTTTTTGTTAGACTTTTTATTAGTCTTGTCTGTATGTTTTTTTCGTGAAATTATTCTTATGATTTTTCTGCTAAACTTGAGCTGTTCCATCTCTTTAACAGATTTCAAATATTTTAACTAAAAAATTTTTTTAAGAAATCTGCCTTGGCACTATGGAAACGTTTCTCAGAAAACACTGATTTGGAGCGAGTCCAAACTGTTGCCCTTTTACTACTTCAACTTCATTCACGCAAAATCAATGATTCTAGTAGCGAAGTTGAAGAAATTATTGTTTCTGAATTAACTTGTAATAACAAAAATATTAGTGGTGAAGCTGCGAGAAAATTTAGAGATTTATGGGCGTTTTGTAGGAGTGCACAAATTGATGAGGTTTATACTGGAATTGCTTTGAAGCCAATGAATCGGTAAAATTTTTGAAAAAAGGGGGAGGGTAGTGAAGGGGCTTCTGACTTTCCCTATGATCCAATTTTCGGATATTATGGTCTTTAAAATTAATACGCATAGTTTGGGGCGGTACCTTGATTTGTATGTCCGAATAATGTTGAGAAATGCTTTCTAGCCTCCGGGGTTTGGTGCCCCGGGGTAGAGCCATCGTGGTTTGGGTCGTGGTTTTTACCAAAAAACTCGCTGAGGTTTCGGGGGACGGGGTACTTTCTTTAAAAATTTTCATTTTTTTCTAGCGTTGTAATGGTTATGTTAGGTTTTATTGCTGATGATTCCATAGGTAAAAAATTTCTTTAAAAAATTAAGACATGTAAATTAACTAAGAAATCTAAATTAACATTTTATCCATTCCATTTTGTTCCACCTATTTTTTAGTAAATGTATAGCTGCTTTATGAAACTCTATTATTTTTTCTTTCAATTCCGCAAATAATGTCCGCAAAAATTTTTTTCCATAGGTTTTGATCAAGTTGAACTTCGTGCTATCGCCTTCTCATGGTTTCAGGACTGTGCAAGAAATAATGATCTTCACAAAATTTTACAAATGCTTGCTTTAATGCTTCTTAATCCAACGACAGCAAGGGTAAATAATTTTTTTTTTCGAAAAAATCCGCAAATGATGTCCTCAAAAATTTTTTTGTCCGCAAAAATTTTTTTTCGTCCGCAATTTTTTGTCCGCAATTTTTTGTCCGCAAAAATTATTTTCATTAAAATTTTTATTTTTAAAGGTCTCAATCCAATTTGTTGAAATGAGCCAACGTATAACTCAAGACCAATTATCCATATTACCCCCAGAAATAAATTGTGTTTCTCTTACTACAATTTCTGGAAGACATGTATTTCATCATGTTTGTAAAGATGTTGACAAACAACAACCAAATACGTTTGTTTTTCTAACTAAAAAAAAAGTTTTAAGTTTCTTAAAAGTTTTGTATCATGGGTGTACCAAAGTCTATTTTAAAAGGTAAAAGTCAAAAAAAAAATTTTAAAGACGAAACTGCTACTTCTCTGGTTGATGTCCGCAAAAGTTTGCATGTTATTTTTGCTGGTTTTTCGATTTTTTGTTGAATTTTCCTAATTTTTTTTGGGAATACTCCTATAATTATAGATCGGATCAAGTCGAAATCTTGATCAAAAATCCTCCAAGTCTGTTCTCCAATTATAAACTTTTGTTTTTTTTTCTAGTTATATAAATTGTGATCCTTTTAAAAATTCATGGATATCAGGATTAAATCAATTATTACTTCTTCCATCAGATACAATAATAACACCAACAACAAGCATTAAAACGCCAACAAACAAAGAAATTCAGCAATTACAACAACAAAATTTGAAGCAAAAATTTATTATTGAACCAATAGTAAATAGAGATGTTGGAGGAGGAACTACAAATAATAATAACAACAGCACCCCAATAAACAATAGTTCTTCAGCTAATAGAAAATCACATCAGCAACATAATCGAACATTGTCAGACATTCCTCAATTTGGTTAGTAGAAAATTTAAAAGGGAAACTTATACAGTTTAAGGGCACACCTCATTTATTCGCTAGATACGTTCAAGTAGTAACTCGTTTATTCGCCAGTCACCCCATTTATTCCTAGGGCATCAATAAGTCGATGTAACCACGTATTAACTGGACAACCGTTGACTCCAATGAAAGAGGGGAGTTAACCCTCGAGGGGTCTTGCACAGCGAGGGGTCTTGCACAACCACCTTTCTTGGTTGCCATTATGAGCCTCTTTTGGCTTGCGAATGAATGTGGTGTGCCTTTAAACTGCTTAAGTTCCATTAAAAGAATTTTTCAACCTTCTACTAAATTTTCTATTAAATTTTTATAGATAATGATGCAGATTCTGTAGACGATTCAATATCTTTAGATTGTACATTTGATCATGAAATTGTTGATACAGTACAATATTTGGTTGATTCTGTGTGTGGAGAGGAAGAAGAAGGGGAAGAGGTGGTAGGAAAGGAAGGAGGAGAGGAGGAGGAGGATGTGGATGAATTAAATGAAGCAATTTTATTAAATAATACATTTAATGGATCCTCAAATGATTCAACAACAATAATAAATCAAAATAAAGAAGAAATTAAAGAACCTGATGAAATTAGTTTAGTGGGCTCGTTAAAAACTTCAGCTGCTACAGGTAGTGAGAAAAATTTTAGAATTTTGAAAAAATTTTTTTTTTCAAAAACAGCTGCGGCATTACCTCGAATTAGTGGATTTAATAATAATAATAATGGAGGTGTTGGTGGAAATAATACTTTGGGCAATGTTGGAGAGTCAATAAAAAGGATTAGAACTGGACATAGAAGACAAGATTCGCTTCAAGAGTCGATATTTAGGTGAGGAATTTTGGAATATTTAAAAAAATGGATATGTCCTTACGCTTGATTCTTCTGGGAAATAAAGCGACTGGAAACTCCCATGAATAGGAAATCTGACAGGAACCAGGACTATGTAACTGTCGAATTTTGTTGTCTAAAACATTCAGTTTTGGGGGTTAGTCTTGATTCTAGACCCACTACGATCCTCTCTGTAATTAGGGTTGTCGGATCAGATATCCGTATCTCTGAAAGTCTGTAAATCCAGAAAATTCAGGTTCGGATATCGTATCCGGATACCTATAGATTTATCAGGATCTGTCAAATATAGGGTTGTAGTTGACAACCGAAGAACAGATGATTTTTCGGTTCGGTTCCGGATATCCGTAATTTTCCCAAGAACTGTCAACCTTAGTTAACTATACTATAGAATGGTCTGTTTTTTTCTCAAAATTTATTTATAAAAAACTCAATTTTAGTACGGGCACACACGAATTACGTTTATTTGACCCAACAGAACTCCCCAATTCAACATGTCCAGGTGATTATAAACAACCATTACTTGATGAAACATATTCACATATGTTATTTTATGCTGAAACACCTTCAATGGTTGATTTGGGTAGAGCAGAAAGATTATTTCATATAATCGGGATATTATTAAAAAGTGGGGAAAGAATTGGAAAAGAAATTGTAACGTGTATGTTATTTACAAATGTTAGCAATTTTACTGGTGAAAAGCAACAACAAACTCAGAAAAATCAAAAAAATGTTTCACAACAATTAATGGAAATGATGTCTAGTCATTATAAACATATACAAGGTGAAGGTTTTTGGGAAGAAGAAAATTGTGATAAAGAACAACAACATGAAAATAAAACTACAACAACAACATCGCAACAACATAAAAATCCTACCTTGTTGGAAACTTTTTCGACTGTGAGTGTTTTGTTTCTAGTATTTTGTTTTTGTGTAAGTTCTGGGGTTAAAACAAACTTGGAAAGAAAAATCAGAAAAAGGCAAACATTTGTGAAATTGTATTTTTGATTATGTAAAGTGTTTTTGGTTTGTAATTGTGTGTGGTTGTTTTTATAAATTGTAATTCTGATTTTTATTAATTAGTTTTTATTTGTAATTACAAATTCTGATTTTTTTATTTGAATTCTGATTTTTGGTAATTGTAATTTTTGATGTTTTCTAATTACTAATTCTGATTTTTGTTATTTGTAATTCTGATTTTTGGTAATTACAAATTCTGATTTTTAATAATTGTAATTCTGATTTTTGGTAATTACAAATTCTGATTTTTAATAATTGTAATTCTGATTTTCTGATTTTTATCAATTACAAATTCTGATTTTTGTTTTTGTAATTCTGATTTTTAATAATTGTAATTCTGGTTTTTAATAAGTTTATTTTCTGGTTTTCAATTTTAATTTGTAATTTTGATAATTGTACTTTCTGATTTTGCAATTTTGATTTTACAACTCTTCTATAAGAGGAATATTATAGTTATACTTTTTACATTGTAAATCTTTTATTAAAGATCTTTATTAATTAAATAAAATCTTTTTTTAGATTCTTCTATACTATTTTCGTTCTTATTATCTCAATTCACCAACTAATCATGTTTCTGAAGAAGATTTAGTTGCTTCGTGGAAATGCAAAGTAAAAAAAATTTTTTTTATTAAATTAAAAAAAAATTTTTTTTTGCTCAGATTTCTGCTTTGGATTGTTTTTCTGAACTTTTACGAATATTAGAAGGAATTGTTAGAGATGCTGGTTCAAAAGAATTTACAACATTTGTACAACATGCTTATAGACAAACAAAAACACAAAAAGTAGTTTTAACATTAATGTTGGCTGCTGTTCCAACACCGCCAAATCTAAAGAATTGGAGGTAAAGGGGAGAGGAGAAAATTTTGAAAAAATTTAAAAAAATTCCAAAAATTTTTAAAATTTTTTGAAAAATATTTATGAGAGCACCTACCGCGAGCCCAACCTACCGCAGGGCTATAACTTCGTTCAGAATTGTCTAATACGGGATGTCCTGGTATTGTTTGGTTCGCCTCGATGAGCTGAATCGAACCATACTAGGTCATCCCATATTCGTCAATTTTGAACGAAGTTATATCCTCAGCGGTAGGTTGGGCTTGCGGTCGATTTGGGTAACCCAAAAAAATTTTTTTCCTTCAAGAATGCCACTAACAATGGATATTGCTGAATTTAATAATGGTCCAAAACAAAGTGGTCATTTTCGTGACTTAATATATGCTTATCATCGTTCTTTGTTAAATTTAACTTCGTCTATAGTTATACTTGAACATAGTTTACTTACTGGGATGCGTTATTTCAATTCTAATGTGAGTTTAAAAATACCTAAGTTTTACAATTACAAAAATAAAAAATACAAATCAGAATAATTAATTTAAAATCAGAAAATACAAATGTACATTTGTAATGTAATGAAAAATACAAACCAGAAATTAATTTAAATCGGAATTTATAAAACATATTGGCCAGAATTTAAAACCAGAAAATAAAAAATGTTAACCAGAATTACAATTAGAAATACAATTATAAATCAGAATTTATTTAAACAAAATTCTGATTTGTAAAAATTACTGACCAGAAATTAATTTAAATCAGAATTTTAAACAATTCTGAATTGTAATTATAAAACCAGATTTAGATTAAAAAATACTGATCAGAATTTAAAAATAAAAATACAATTGCAAATCAGAATTTATTAAAACACACAATTCTGATTTGTAAAAATGACTGACCAAAAATTAATTTAAATCAGAATTCGTAGAAAATTAATTCTGAATTGTAATTATAAAGCCAGATTTAGATTAAAAAATACTGACCAGAATTTAAAAAATAAAAATACAATTACAAATCAGAACTTGTTAAAACACACAATTCTGATGATTAAAAATTACTGACCAGAAGTAAAAATACAATTAAAAATCATAATTTATTTTAAAAGCAAAAATACAATTTCAGAATATTTTTCGGAATATTTATTACAAGTCAGAATTAAAAATTAAAAATACAAATATCCTTTCATTATTTTTTTTCTTATAGACCGCCTACAAAATACCTGTCAACTTTTCAACTCCACATATAACAGAAAATCAAATAAATTACAATTCATCACAAAACCGTTCAACTATTCGAGAATCTCGTTATTCTGTTGTAGAACTTCGTCTATTTTTGGGAGTTATTCTTAATGCTTTGAAACGTTGTCCTGAAAGGCATGAACTTTGGTTGCAATTTCTTATAGGAATTTTGCCTTATTTGGATAGGTGAGAATTAATTTTATTAAATTTTACAATTCCGGAATTTTATTCTTCAACTCGTAATAATATCAGATTACAAATTAAAATAATTTAAAATCGGAAAATTCTATATATTTGTAATGTAAGGAAAAATACAGATCAGAATTAATTTAATAAATACAAAATTATAAATAAAAATTTATTATAACACCCATTCTGATGTAAAAATTCTAAAACAGAATTAAAAATAAAAATACAGATCAGAATTAATTTAAGATTGCGGACCAGAATTTAAACCAAAAATATAAATTAGAATTTATTAGAAATCAGAATATTTAACAAATTATTTAATTCTGATTTGTAAAAATCTTAAAACTCAAATTACAAAACAGAATTAAATTAAAAATACAAACTAGAATTAATATAAAATATCATCTCGGAATTTTACAACAATTGCAAATCAGAACAAATACATTAATTAAGTCAAAATTAATTTAAATATTTTAAATTACAATTGTAAAAAGTTTTATTTTTTAATTTTCTCCTTTCATTTTCAGAGCTTTAGCAACACATGTTGTTCACGTTACTGAACAAATATGTCGAAATCTTTGTGAATATTTTTTCTTAAATAATCCTTCTGGTGAATGTTGGAAACAATCAATTAATTTATCAACTACCCCAACATCAACAACAACAACTTCACATTTTTTGGATAATTCTTCAAAAAATGGAATTAATTTTGTTGATTATCGTTATATTCCAACAGCAATGGAAGTTGATGAAAATATTCAACAACAATGGATTGGTATAAGTGGAGGTGGAGGACTTGAAATGACTACAACAACAACACAAATTAAATACCCTGCTAATTATATTGTTATTGTGAGTTTGTTTTTTCTCAACTTTGATTAATTAAAAAAAATTTCCTTAATTTATTATGATTTGTGGATTGTCATTAGCTGATAACCACTAGCATAAGTTTACTTTACACAAACACAGGTCAACTCTTGTACATAAGTACATTTAATACCATCTCTGTTGTGAATTCATTTTTTAAAATTGGCAAATAGAATGTTGTTAAGGATGATGCTATTTAAGATATTTTTAATTATAATATACAATTGTTTTGGCCTTAAAGATTTACTAGGGGTCTGGCTAAAAATTATGACAGTTCAATTGCTGATTGTTTTTCCACTTATAGGATTCGTTTTTGTCCTCATAATCCTCATTTAGGACAATATTAGACCAATAAAAATATTTTTTTTAATTATTAAAAAATATTTTTTTATTTCTACCAAGAATTTTTTTAAAGTTAATGGAATCACTCATGTCTATTCTCCATTTTTCAATGGTTGATAGTTCTACTTCCACTCCATTCTGGCCACCACAACGTCTCTTTAACAATAATATTCCAACTACAAGTAACAACTTTTCTCAATCACAACAACAATTAATTAATAATTTAAAATCTATGGCAGCACTTTCTTCTACTCAAAAAAATATTGGTACAGGTCCTTCTTCTATTCAACCAACTCAAAATATTGGAGGAACAACAGCAACAAATACACCCTCTCTAGCAACAACAACCACAACAACAACATCATCATTTTCGTCTTCTAATATGACAAGTATGGTTGGGTCAGCAATTTCTGTTATTCCTGGAACTGGTTTAATAAATAATTTGTTTGGAAGGGTGTTTACATCAACTGATAGTTCGGTAAGGAAAATTTCAAAAAAATTTCTGCCCAAAAAAATTTTTTTCTCCAAAAAAATTTTTTTTAGTCAAAAAAACTTTTTTAAATTTTTTGAAAAAATTTTTAAAAATTTTTTTTCCCCAAAAAAAATTTTTTTTTTCAAAAAATAAAAATTTTTAAAAATTTCCTTCTATATTTTTTTAGATATTAAAATAGAATTTTTTTTCTAGAATTCTTCAAACGGGAAAAACGACAATATAGGCAAAACTTCTGAATGGTTAGAAGCACAAAAAGAAATGATTAAACGTCTTCCGGGTGTATTAGCCATACTTTCTGATATATGGACATTTGTAGTTTCTTCAATTAATGAAAATAATAAACAATTACAACAACAACAAAAACATCAAAAATCAGAAAATAAACAAAAACAACAATCTCAACAGTCTTCGTTTGATACTTTTAGGGTATGGACTTTTTTTTAAAACATTAAAACAAAAAAATGTTTTACAAACTTAAGAATATGTTTTAGTCCATTTCCGGAAAGTTTAATAAGTAGTTTATTTTAAGTTTTTCCGGAAACATTTTCCGGAAACAATTTTCCGGAAAAGTAAATTAAAACATTTAAAAAGAAAGTTTACAAACTTAAGTTTGCCATAACATTTAAATGTTTTTAAAACATGTTTTTTCAATAAACTTTCCAAAAACATGTTTTTACAAACATAAAAACATGTTTTAATTCTTTTTTCGGAAACAATTTTCCGGAAAAATAGATTAAAACATTTAAAGAGAACATTAAAAATGATGTTTTTCCGGAATGTTTAAATGTTTTGAAAACACACTTATTTTTAAATAAACATTCCGGAAAATGTCATTACAAACTTAAAAACGTTTATTACAAACTTAAATTGTTTCTACACTTAATTAATTTTTTCTCAGGCATTAATTCCTCTCTTAATGGAAATATTAAACCCAATTGCTAAAAAACATAAAAATGTTTTAATCAACTCTTTTGGTATAATGTGGATATATAGAACAAATAAACATGATCATCATCATTCAATAAAAAATATTGATCAATGTCAAGTAAATTTTTTGAAAAAAATTTTTTTTTGAAAAAATTTAATTTTTTAAAGTGCACTTTTGTTTATTCTTCCCAACAACTTTATGCAGCTAAATTACTTTTAAAATTAAAAACCCTTAGTTTTAATTCAATAATTTGTTCAATAAGTGAAACTTTGAAGGATTGTGTAAATAAAACAAGTGGAAAAACGGTGAGGGAAAATTTTAACTTTTTAAGAAAAAAAATTTTGTAGACTTCGTTCTACTCATTGGAAGTATCTCTATTAGAACTTCTACATGAGTGTGTTAGACAAGTTACTACAACAGAATTGAGGGAATCTTGGAATTCTTTACAAACTTTGTTTAATGAATCTACACTTTCTATAATGCCTGCAAGAGCTTCATTTTTACAATTTATGTAAGTTTGTAAAATAAAACATTTTTTAAGTTTGTAAAAACTTTCCGGAAAGTTTATTTATGAATATGTTTTGAAAAACATTTTGTGTTTTCCGGAAAACATTTTGTCAATGTTCGTTTTAAATGTTTGTTTTTATTACCTTTCCGGAAATGCTTTCCGGAAAAAACATTTTGAATGTTTGTTTTAAATGTTCGTTTTAAATGTTTGTTTTTATTTTACCTTTCCGGAAATTGTTTCCGGAAAGGTTTAAACTTGACTTATTTATTATTTAAATATAAGGTATCTAAACTTTTCCGGAAATATACTTCCTTTAAATGTTTTGCTTAAAACATTCCGGAAAAGAAACTAAAAAAATATGTTTTAATGTTTTTTTTAAACTTCTTCAAAATATATGATAAAAACATGTTTTCACTAATATTTTAATTAAAATTGTTTATAAAAACATTAATTAATTTTAAGGATTCTCGTTGAATTTGTTCGCCGTGTTGGTCAAACAATTTTTGAAGATCGCCATATTAGCAAAACAATTTTAGATGTTTGTCAAAGATTAACAGAAGCAGTAAATTCAATTGTTGGTTGGCAATTAGAGTCTACAACATGGTTAAAAAGAACTTTGGTTGTTAGACAGGATGCAGCTAGTAAATTAATTTTTTTAATAGAAAATTTTTAAAAATTTCTAAAAAATTTTTCTGAAATTTTTTTAAGTCAGAAAATTTTTTTCATTTTTTTAAATAAATTTTAATTTTTTTTAAAACAGGTCAAAAATCAATTCCCGATCTCAGCCCTGTTTTAGACCAAAAAGCCTTGTCCTCTGTCTCCACAACCTTAGCCTTAAGTGCCTCAACACTTCCATCTGAAGCTAGTTCTATGAGAGGGTCAACAATCTCTTTAAGCGGTCAAAGCGGAATTCCTTCATCAAACAGAATTCCTTCATCATTAGATATTCAATCAACATTTAGTGGAACTACAATTGAGGGAGGTGGAGGAAAGAAGCAAACATCGTCTAGTCTACGTTCAAGCATTAAAGATCATAGTGGAATTAATAAAAAGGATCCGAGTGATTCAACACAAGCAATATTTTTATTGGCGGAGGTGAGTGTTTTTTTTTGGGATTTGTTCATGAAATTAAAAAAAATTTTCAAATTTTCAAAAAATTTTTGAGAGAAAAAAATTTTTGGAAATTTTTTTTTGAAAAATTTTTTGAAATTTTTTTTTGAAAAATTTTTTGAAATTTTTTTTTGAAAAATTTTTTGAAATTTTTTTTTGAAAAATTTTTTGAAATTTTTTTTTGAAAAATTTTTTGAAATTTTTTTTTTTGAAAAATTTTTTGAACTTTTTTTTTGAAAAATTTTTTGAAATTTTTTTTTGAAAAAAATTTTTTGAAATTTTTTTTTGAAAAATTTTTTGAAATTTTTTTTGAAAAATTTTTTTTTGAAATTAAAAAAATAATTTTTTTTCTTCTTTAGAATTTGACAGAATTAATTGATTCAATTACCCGTAATGAAGACAAAGACAAATTACTTCCAACACTTCAAGCAGTTTGGAACAATACCCTTCCATACTTAAAATCTAAAAGCGCTAAAAATGTACGTTCATTTTTGGCTAGTTCACAGCTGCTAGCTTCAATGAGTTCATTTAACTATATGCGCCCAATATGGAAGAAAAATGCAATGGAATTACTTTGGGATAATTGTAAGTTTTTTTAAAGAAAGAAATTTTTAAATAATTTTTTTAAAGCTTTTTTCAAAATGGACATTCATGCGCTCAAATCTTGGTTAATTGTAATTGACAATTTGATGACCAACGACAAGACATCATTTAAAGAGTTGCTTGGTATGTTGAGTAAAAATACTAAGTTTAAAAATTTTGATAACTGATAGATGACTAGAAGCAATAACCTAGTAGTTATTGTCCCTAGTAATACTAGGAGATATGCTAGGAAAAGAGTGGCCATTTCCAAATCTGGGGCATGGCCTATCAAAAAGGGCAAAAAGGTGGCATTGCAGAAAACGGGGGCGATAAAGTCAAAAGGAGGCAAATGCCTCCTAAAGGCGGTAAAATGGCCACCCTGGCTAGGAGACATAGGAGACAACTGCTAGGAAGACATCCAAGGTCGATGCCTGCTAGACGCTAAACTTTTACTTTTCTCTTACTACTATAAATTGCTAAAGAAATGATTTTTTTGTTAAATTTCAGCTCGAATCACAACATCAACTTCAACAACATTTTCAACACTTATAACTAGTAAAGAACAGGAATATGAAATGCGAGCTCAATACCTTAAGCGTTTAGCATTTGTTATTCTAAGTTCTACGCGTGATCAATATTCTGGACAATTAAATGAAATACATGGTAAAAAAGAGTATTTTTGAGGAAAAATAAAAAATTATTTTTTAGAACGCTTAACAGAAAATCTCCGTTTGTGCCAAGCACCTGTAATCCATTCACAAGTTTTTACATGTTATAGAGTATTACTTGTTAGGATGAGCCCGCATTCTTTTGTTTCTGTATGGCCATCAATGATTACTGAAATGGTTTGTAAATGGGAGAGAAAGAAAGAGAATTTTAATATTTACAATTTGTAATTTATATAATAAATCAGAATTTACAAATTGTAATTTTGATGGTAAATTCTGGTCAGAAAATTGTAATTACAAATTGTAAAAATTCTGATTTAGTTATTGACTACAAATATCATAATAATATTTCAGAATCTACAATTTGTAATTTAAATAATAAATCAGAATTTACAAATTGTAATTCTGGGTTAATTCTGAAACGAATTATAATTACAAATTGTAAAAATTCTGATTTAATATTGACTACAAATTGTAAATTCTGATTTAGTATTTTAATTACAATTTGTAAATTCTGATCGAATATTGACTACAAACATCATGAATATTTCAGAATTTACAATTTGTAGTTATAATTTGTAGTAACTTAAATTTAAATTCTGATTTAAATTTTTTTAAATTACAGTTTGTAATAGAAAATTCTCTGCCAAGAATACAAAATTCTGATTTTTTTTTAAATTTATAATTTTACAATTTAACTTTATATTTTAGGTACAAATTCTAGCCCAAATTGAACAACATTTGCTTACTTCTCCAAGTAACTTGGCAGCTTTTGATGAACAACAGCGCTCATCAAGGGATGATCAATTATTACAATTATTTTTGGCTGGGTGTAAATTATTGGAAACTTTGTGTATTCTTCCATCTGGTTATGTACCTCAATTTCAAATGTAAAATTTTTATTAGGAAAATTTTTTTTAATTTTTAATTTAAAAATAGGTGTAAATGGACATTTGTTTCACCAATTGGTAGTGGCAATAAAAGAATAAAAAATACTATTTATCCACCAACTTCAACAAATTCTAATGATTTATTTGTTCCATATTCTGTTAGACTTAACCAATTATTAAATGCTAAAGTGAGTTTTCGAATTTTTAAAAATAAAAAAAATTTTTTTCCTTCCAAAAAAAGTATGGAGAATTGTCACAAGAAGACTTGGAAATTCGCTCAATTTCTTTATTTAATGTAAAAACGCTCACTTCTCTAAACGAGTTACGACCATTCTTTCATGCTTTGGCTCAACAAAATATTGAATATAGGCATGATGGAATAATAAATGATAAGGATATTTTACATAATGGTGGACAACAATTATCATCGTTTGAAGTAAATTTTTAGATTTTTAAAATTAAGTGTAAATTTGTAATCGGAATTTACAATTGTTAGGCGAATTTAATTTATGATTACTATTTTTAATTACAATTTGTAAATTATAATTACAAACTTTTTACAATTTGTAGTTATAATTATAAACTTTTTACAATTTGTAATTCTGAATACAAGCTTTTTTACAATTTGTAATTATATTTACAACTTTTTTACAATTTGTAAATTACAAATACAAGCTTCTTACAAATTGTAATTATATTTACAACTTTTTTACAATTTGTAAATTACAAATACAAGCTTCTTACAAATTGTAATTATATTTACAACTTTTTTACAATTTGTAAATTATATTTAAAAGCTTTACAAATTGTAATGCTGATTACAAACTTTTTTGAATATTGTAAATTATCTAAACTTTTTTTACAATTTGTAATTTCGATTACACCCTTTCTTACAATTTGTAAATTTTAATTACAAACTTTATACAAATTGTAATTCTTTTTGCAATCTTTTTTACAATTTGTAATTACATTTTTTAAAAATTTATTCTGATTTTTTTAAATTTAAGAATTCTTCATCTTCACATATTGGAGAAGACTTGACTGGTTCTCTTCCTCTCCGAGTGGCTATTGCAAGGATTGAACAATCTTTATGCGTTGATTTTGCCGAACATTGGCAACTTTGAAAAGGTGGAATTAAATTGCAAATTGAAATGAAAAATCCCAAAATGCGGGTTATTTTTAAAAAAAAGTGTGAGAAACTGATGGCTTTGCTTCTCTTTATTTTTATTAAATAGAAAAATTATTAATTGTTTTATGTTTAGGTTTTTTTGACTTTAGAAAGGTTCCAAAAAATTTGCTTTGACTATTTTAAATTTTTTAGTAAGGTATCCTTTCTATTGAAATTATATGTGGTTATGTATTATTTTGTTTCAAATACCGGTCCCTCAATATATGCTCTATTCTCTGTTTTTTGTGTTAGTTTTAAAAAATTTTAAAAATTCATATTAAATATTTTCTCCTATTTTTTCTTTAAAATCTGACGACATGGAATTTTTTCCAAACATGATGTATTTTGTTTTCTAAAAATAATTTAAAATTTTTTTTTGTGTTTCAATTTGATTTTTTACTATATACTGCGATATTGCAAATTAAAAATTAAATAAATAAAGTATCTTAATTTTTATAATAGAGTTGTAAAATTAATTGAACTTTTTACAATTTGTAAAATTAAAAAAAATGTTTTTATAAATAATCTAAAACATTGTTTCCCAAATGTTCGTCATATTGTTTACTCAACCTTGTTTGAATAAGAGTTTGTTCTAAAACAGCAATCTGAACACTCATTACAAAACATTCTTTTTCGATGTTTGCCAAAGCTTGTTTGATTTTTAATATTGGAGCTAAAGACAAGGTAAGTTTATTTACGAACACAACAAGTTTGTTTAAATAAAAACATGTTTGTTTGGAAAAACATTTAAACATGTTTTAAAACCAATATTTAAAATAAAAAACATGTTTTAAAACATGTTTGTTTGAAAAACAAGTTTGTTTAAACAAAACATGTTTTTAATAAAAACAAGTTTTTTACCTCCACTTGTATTTTGCGTTCCGCGTTCTTCAATTTGTTGTTTTAATTCATCAATTTCCTCGTTTACATTTTTAAGTGTTTCAGTTTTGCTATTCAATGTTACGCTACTTTCTCTTTAAAAATTAGTATTATAAACATTAATTTTAATAACAAACTTGTAATGTTCGCTAATTGCAGCCAACTCGTTCTTTTTTGTTCTGTAGATGTTTAGGAGACCAGAAAATTGTTCCTAGAAAAAATTGTTTCAGTTTTATTAAAATTGTTTCATGTTTAGGGATTTGCTTCAGTTTTTTTAATTTTGCTTCAGACCGAGTTTGCTTCAATTTGGGATTTGTTTCATGTTTAGGGGTTGCTAGAGGGTTCTTGCTTCACTTTTCTGTTTCTGCTTCAGTTTCATTTAAAAAATTTTTTTGCTTCAGTTTTCTATTTTGCTTCAATTTTCAATTTTGCTTCAATTTTTTATTTTGCTTCAACTTACATTTAAATTCTGTTCTCTCAACGAAATCCTTTCCATCGCATCATTAATTTCTTTATCCATAGAGGTCAATATTGGATGTAATTCAGCATATTGTTCACTCAACGCTGCTTCCATTTTAGCTATTTGTTCTGCATGCATTTGCCAATTTTTTTGCGTCCCCCTAATTGTTATACGCAATTGTGGGGTTACTCTTTCTAATTCTTCCCGCATTGAATCGAGTGATTTAGTTGTTCCATTTTGCATTATCATTTTTAGGGGATCTGTTTGAAAAATATTTTCATCTGCTTGTGTTTCTACTTCTCCTGTAATAACGTCAAATTCTTCCATTAGTGGGTTATCCTCGTCTTCAGCCAGCTCAACATCATCGTCAAACTAAATAATAGAAATTTAAAAAACTTTCCGGAAAAACATGCATTTTCGCTTAAAATGTTTTTCCGGAAACTATTCTATTAAGTTTGTGTTTTATTAAAACTCCGGAAATGTTAAAAATTTCCGGAAATCTTTTCAATAAAATTTTCCGGAAAACACACACATTTTTTCTTAGATTATATATTAATAACTTTATGTTTTTGTGTTTTCCGGAAACTATTATATTAATTTTGTGTTTTATTAAAACTCCGGAAAAACATTTTTTAGATTAAATAAGCTCTCCGGAAAATCATATTAATATAAGTTTATGTTTTTGTGTTTTCCGGAAAAACACATTTTTCCAATAAAATTTTTCGGAAATAAGCCTCCCGAAGCGTTTAACAGATTGTGAATGTTTTATTAAACTTTGCTGGAAATCGTTTCAACTGAACTTTCCGGAAAAACGTAAATTCTCTCTTAGACTAGATAAACTCTCCGGAAAAATTTACAATTATTTAAAATTACCTGGTCCGAAGTCAATTCAGCCTGGTCAACCTGATTTTCCTCATCTTGAATATTTTCTTCTGTATCCTCTACCTGCTGCATTCTTAATAATTTTTTAAATTTATATTTTAAAATATGTTTTATTTACACTCCATATTGAAAACCACTTTTTTCAAGGGCAATTGCAGTTAAATGAAAAAGTAGAAGAACACATTGCTTTCCAGCCCCAGATTTTAATTTATTTGGAGGAATATTTAAATTCTCAAATTCTTTTTCTTCTTTTATTGAATTCAAAATTCTTGCTATTGTTCCATTCGGATCTTCAAATTCATGTGGCATTTCCATATCAACAACAATCCCTGATTTTCTAATAAGCCAAGTGCATAGAGAGGTAAATAGGTGGAATTGTTCACCAACATTAGTGGAACGGACGAAATAGTGTCTAGTTAGAGAAATGAGTTTAATTAATTTGTGTGTGTGTTTTCCGGATTAGAGAAAAATTAAATATATGCATGTTTTCCGGAAAAATAAATATTATAGGATGTTTTTAATGCTATTTCCGGATGTTTATTACACATTCCGGAATATATTAAAAACATGTTATGTTTATATTTTATTTCCGGAATATATTTCTCAATGTTTTATTCTTATATTGTTTTCCGGAATGTGTTTTCTCATGTTTATTTATTGTGTTTTATCTTGTGTTTTTAGCAAAAATGTTTTTGTGTTTGTTTTACAATACGTTTTTCCGGAATGTTTTTGTAATGTTTTATTCACAAATTTGTTTTTAATATATGTTTTTCCGGAATGTTTTTCTATTTGTTTAAGTTTAGATGTTTTTCGGATATGTTTTAACAAAAACAATTTACCTTGGTATTGTTTTTAAACTGTCTCCAAGTTCAGTAAACTCAATTTCATAATTTAACAGTTTCAATCTTTCCGTAACCAATTCATTCTGCAAATAAATATCAAATTTACTTCCTGGCCCCTCTTCAGTTTCGTTGATTTTTTTGGTTTCTGTATTTGTTGTTTCGTCAGAATTTTCCATTTTTTTATTATTATTTTTCGGAGAGTTTTTTAAGAAAGCGTTTATATTTTATAAATGTTACCATGACAACAAAGACGTTAAAAAATATTGTCAAAAACTAAATACAATGTTTCCCGGAAAGTTTTTAAAATATTAAAAGTTCGTTTAAAAACATTAAACAAACATTTTGCATGTTTTCCGGAAAATGTTTTAATAAAATTCCGTTTGTTTTATTAAACATTCCGGAATCTATTAAACATGTTTTTATATTAGATCAGGGCTCGCATTCCTACTTTTTTAAAAGTATTCTACTTTTAAATCGACCTCCATGCTTACGAAATTGAATTTATACTTTTTTGAAAGTATATACTTTTTTTTGATTGAAAATAAAATTGGGGAAGGGATTGGGCAAAAAAGTGAATTTTTTTGGCCTACGGCCTTTGAAATTCTCAAAATTTTCGCCTGCGGCGCTGAAAAAGGAAGGAATTTAGCTTCTGGGGTCCAAATTTCAAAAAATTTTCACCTGCGGCGCAAGAAATGGAAGAAATCTGGCTTAAGGACCCCCAAAATTCTCAAAATTTTTCGCCTGCGGATAAAATTTCGCCTGCGGATAAATATTTTCTAATTTAATTTTGAGACTACTTTTTTTTCGCAAATTTTCTCCCTATATACTTTTTAATCAAGATTTTGATACTTTTGAGTGGCATTTTGTCGATGCGAGCCCTGTATTAGATATATTTCCGGAATGTGTTTTATTTTGTGTTTTCTTTTAGTCTTGTTTTTAATAAATTTTCCGGAAAATGTTTTAATAAAATTCTGATTGTTTTACCTATTAAAAACATTTTGTTTTTAACAAACTATGTGTTTGTGTTTTCGTGTATTTTTGTTTCGATTATGTTTTCGTAAAAACATTAATTAAAACATGTTTTTATTGTTGCTGTTCTAATATTTAATTGATAAACTTGTTTAATTAGTAAAACATGTTCCGGAACTTGTTTTCCGGAATATTATTGTTATGCATACTATAAAAGCTTGTCATTCCGAACATTTATTATTCCTCTCAACATTCTCCCAAACTTAAATTTAATTTCTTTTTACTAGAAAATTCTTTCTATTCGAGAATGAAAAGCTCTCATTTTGGACTTCTTTTCCTTTCTATTTTAATTATTTTTGGTGGCTTCTCAGCACTTTTGTGGTTCTTGCCATTATCTTCTCTTCCATTATATGACAAAACTTTTAATGTAAATTTTGTATTTTTTTTTGATAATTAAAAATTTAATTTTTTTTCAGAAAGAATGTGCTCGTCATCAAGTAAAAATACCCCTTGTTTTGGTCATTATAGCATGTGCATCGGCCGTTCTTTGTGCTTCTCTTAATTTTGTGTTTGTTGTTGGGATATATTTGGCATGCCGGAAGCAGGTGGGGAAACTTATTTTGTAGAAAATTTTTCAAAAAATTTTTTTCAGATCAGCTCCTTATTGGATTTAATCAAACAACACTTGTTTGAGTTGATGGATATGCTTCTTCGATTATTGATGCCAACAAAACTTTTAAAAATTGTTTCTAAGGATGGGAAGAAATAAATATATAGAATATTGTGTTTGTCTAATTTATTTGTAAATATTTGTTATGTTTGTATTTAATGTTGTTTTACAAATAAATAGGTTGAACTTAAGTTTGTTTTTGTGTTTTTAAAAAATAAACTTGAATAAAAACAAGTCTTGTTTAAATAAACTTGTTTAGATAAAAATAAACTTGTTTTTGAAAACAAACGTGATTGTTCAAACATAAACAAGTTTTAAAACAAGTTTATTTTTGGTTAATTCAAGTTTATTTAAAAACAAACTTGAGCATGTTTGTTTTTAAATAAACTTAAATTAAATAAAAATAAACTTGTTTTAGTAAACTTGGGCAATTGTGTTTTAGAAAAATTAGTTTTAAATAAACTTGAAGTATTGTATTTTTGTATTACTCCATTCATTAAAATTAATTTTTTTAAAAACAAGTCCGTCCTTTATAGAAATTTATTTAATAAATTTATTTTTTATCTGATTTATTTTTAAACGAATTGACCTCATTTTGCGCGTTCATCCTCCCTAACTTTAATTTAAAATAATTAATAATTTGTTCAAATTGAACAAAAATTCTTTAAAATATTAATTAAAATAAATTAAAATATAAATTTATTTATTTAAAATGTCTTCTTCATTTCTACTTGAAACTGTCGATATTTATACCTTCTGGCTTTTAAGTTTGTATTTTTTGTATTTTATAAAAAAATACATTTTTACAATAGGAATAAATAAACTTGTTTTATTGTGTTTTTAAATAAACTTGAAATTAAAACAAACTTGTTTCGAACTTTTTGAAAAAATAAACTTGTTTTTGTATTTAATAAACTTGTTTTAAATAAACTTGTTTTATTGTAAACATAGTTTATTCAAAACAAGTTTATTTAAATTACTACAAGTTTACCAAAACATCTTAAATAAACTTGATTTGTAATTCTAAATAAACTTGAAATTACAAATCGTAATTTAAACAAACTTGTTTTGAATAAACTTTGTTTATTTAATTTTAATTGTAAGTTTATTTTTCTAGATGTCTCCTCCAGTTTTATGTTGTCTGCAGCACACAATGTTCTTTTCTTTGTTCTTGACTGGAGAACTCCAATCATTCACTTTTTACACTTTGCTTCAGCATTAGCCTTCTTTGCAACCAAAACAGCATTCACCCCAGACCGTGGGGTTTTGCTGAGACTTTTATTTGGAGAATTTTTTCGTCCACCTTTAAGGATTATTTTTTGGAAACCTTTATTAGCACAATTAATTGTTTGTTTATTGTCTTCTATTGGTTGGTTTGGATATTTTAAATTATTAACAAATTTTATTTTAATATTAGTACATTCACAAAATAGAACAGGCGGATTATACTTAGTTAGGTTTGTTTTACAAATTGTAAAAATTGTTTTACAATTAAATATAAAAATAAACTTGTTTTACAATTAATAAAACAAGTTTGTTTTTATCTTATGAATGTTTTTACAATTGTAAAAACAAGTTTATTTTTATTGTAAAAATAAACTTGTTTTTGAACAAGTTTTTTAAACAAGTTTAGTATAAAAACAAGTTTATTCATATTGTAAAAATAAACTTGATTTTACAATAGTAAAACATTCGAAAAATAAAAATACAAACTTGTTTTTATTATCTACAAAACACTAATTACAAACATGTTTATTTAAAAAGGAATTTGTAAAACAAATTTTAGCAGAGGTGTTTTTCTTTTGTAAAACCTAATTGTAAAACAAGTTTATTTTTGTATTTAATTATAAACAATTGTAAAAACATTGCTGCTCTTAAATTAAATATTATTTAAGGCTTTTTGACTTTCTTGGAACTTTATTGGTTATTGGGTATGGACCAAAAATATTGGGAGAGGAAGAAGATGCAAATAAGAGGAGGGCTATTTCTCTCTTGCTCGTAAAATTAATTTAACTTTTAAAAATATTTTTTAATTCTCCAAAAATATTTTTTGAAGGTCCCCTTAGCTGTTTCTGCTTCTCTTAGTTGGTAACAAAAATTAAAAAAATTTTTTTTTAATAATTTTACTTCGAAAAAGGCTTGAATTTGGACATATAGAGTATGACCCTTTAACAGTCTGGCTTTCCCCCTTACTCGGATTAGCACAAGGATTGCATTTATTGTTGCTTAAGCGCTCCCAACTGCTCTTCTTTGGAGCTTTCCAACAACAACAAAATTTGAATAATTACGAAAATAAAAATGGGGATTGTGAAGAGGATAATTATGGGTATTTTAAAATTAAAATTATAAAAAATATTTTTTCAAAAAAAAGTCAAAAAACAAACAATTTTTCCCCTTTACTCTTCCAACGCTTTGCCCTTTGCTACACCTTTGCTATGACTTCCCTTTTATTTATTCCAGCATTAATATCGTATAGTCAAAGTATTGTTCCCTATGATGCAAGTTGGGAATCTATAGGTATTTAAATATAAAATAAATTAAATACACAAAATTTTGTATTTAGATAAGGTATTAATGGCAATGTCAGTTGTATTTATGATTGGCTACAAATATTCAGAACTGTGGCTACAAGCAAAACTTGAAGCAAGTTTAATGTTTTTTTAATAATAAAACATGTTTTTGTAAATAATAAAACTTGTTTTTCTTTTAAAACTTGTTTTTATTAAACTTGTTCTTATAAAACATTAAAAACAAACTTGTTTTTGCAATTGTAAAAACAAGTTTATTTTTATAGAAACAAGTTTATGTTTAAAGTTTTACAAAAACAAGTTTTATTGCTTAAAAACAAGTTGTAGAAATAAGTTTATTTTTTTTTACAAATTGTAAAATGCTGGTAATAATTAAATTTATTTTTTAATTCAAATAAACATATTTTACAAACTAATACTAAGCTTTTCTTTAATATTAATTTAATATTTTTTCTATTAAAAATTAATTTTCTCCCTTTTAAAATTTTAGCCTCATCATTTCTGTGCTTTAGAACATTCCAAATTCTTTATGGCATCAATTGTATTGTTTTTAAAAATATTTTTAGTAATTTATTTATTAAAAGGGCCAGTGGTTTCTTCAAAATATGGCACACGCAACTGTATTCGCTGCAATTGGAAAGGCCGTGTTTGTAGCTTCTGCTTTACGCTATTTTACTAGAATGGGTGAAATGCGGTCTAAAGAAAAGTGTTGCCCTAAAATAAGCAATGCTGAAGGGGTCGTTAATTAATGTACAAAAATACAAATATTAAAACAAAAACACAACTATGTTTGTATTTTTAAATAAACTTGGATTTGTTGTGTTTTTAATTAAACATTATTTCTATTAAAACTTGTTCGTAAAACTTGTTTTATTTGGATTTTAAATAAACCTGAAAATAAACTTGGATTTAAACAAACTTGAATTTATTGTTTTTAATAAACCTTGTTTGTATTTTCAATAAAATTGAAAATAAACTTGTTTGTAAAACTTGTTTTAATTAAACTTTAATTTTTAATTAAACTTGTTTGTATTCTTAAATAAACTTTAAAACATGTTTTTTCTAATATAAACATTGTTGTAATTTCTTACCCTTTTGTAAAACAAGTTTTAATTATATTTAATTGTTCGTCACTTGTTTTAATAGTAATATACTCAAGTTTTGGAGTTTACCAACTGTTTTTATACGAATTAAAGGTATTTAAAAGAGGAATAAAATAAAGAAAAATGCGTGGGTTTAAAAAGGGATCAATCTGTCTTTTTTTAAAGTTTATTAAAAAACTTTCAAAGCATAGAGAAAAAAGGCTAAAAAATATTTTTTACCTTCTGGCTATTTTCGTAAAAATATTTTTTTTCTTTCTTCTCCATTAAAAAAAAGCCAGTGTAATATATAAAATTCCAAACATCTTTTCTTCATTACAAAACAACTGCTTAATCCGCCCCCGGCGCTTTTTTAAAACATTGGAGGCCTTTTTAAACAAGAGGCCCAAAATTCTTTGGGCCTCTTTGAGGAGGCTTTGAGGGAGAGTAAAAAAGACCGATTGGATCAAACGACGTTATTTGTGTGTAAAACCCATAAAATCCCAAAAAGAAAATATTTTAGTCTTACTCATCAATATATTTTATATCATCAATTTTGGGGGCGACTGGCACGAAAAGATAAAAAGGGAGGGGAACAACTGTTGATGTTAATGCCTAAAAAGAAATAAAACTTGAAGCAAACACACACCTATATACTTTACAAACTTAGTTAATATAGAAATGCTTCAAAAGTTTTACCTCACTTTGATATTAAATATATAAATTAATTTGTTTAATTGTGATCTTTCTACCCTTAAGATTGTAAAAAGAGAACATTTTTATTTAATTCCAACTTATTTTATAAGATTGTAAACTTAAACTAGTTTAAACTTAAAAATTCTGATTTTTTAAAATAAACTTTCCGGAAGAGTTTTCCGGAAACTCTAGATTGTAAACTTTGTTTTTGATCTAAAACTTGTTTTCCGGAAAGTTCCGGAAAGTGTTTCCGGAAACTTGACTAGTTTAAACTTAAAAATCCTCATGTTTAAAGTTGTCCGGAAAAAGTTTTCCGGAAACTTATTTTTAAGATTGTAAACTTGAAACTAGTTTAATCTTAAAAATTTCTTTCCGGAAATAGTTTTCCGGAAATTCTAGATTATAAACTTTGTTTTTAATTTAAAACTTGTTTTCCGGAAAGTTTTGCGTATTAAAAGAAAACAAAGTTTACAAACTAAAATTGACCGGAAAAACATGTTTTATTCCGGAAAACTTGTTTTAATAGATAACACTAAAATCAGAATTTCCTAATCTAAAATTTTTTGTGACGCGTCTTAAAATTAAAAAATTCTTAAAATTTTTTAATAATTTTTTTAAAGAATTTTTAAATCAAATATTAAATTTTTAAATTTAATTAGGAAGGAGAGAATATTTCTACAAATTATTTGAAGAGCAGCCTATTTTTATCAACAAAAAACCTTCAAAATGCCAGAAAATGGTTGGTTTCCTTAATAAAAATTTTAAAAAAATTCTGTAAAAATCTAATAAAAAATTTAAATAAAATAATTAATTCATTGAGTGTCTGGCCAGCATTCTTAAACACCTCTATAATTATTGTAAATTATTATTCAAGACATATACTAAGAAGAAACAAATATATAGAAGGGGACTGTAAAATTATTAACGAAAAGTATACAAAATATTCCCGAAAAGTCAGTCATCTCTCTCGATTCGTATAAATAATCGAGAGTGATTCACATACAAAAAGACAAGTCATCATCAAAACTTTGAAGGAAAATAAGAAGAAAATAATCAGAGTAAGGCTGAAGGAGAAATGAACATTTTCTTTCCCGGAAAAGTTTTTGTAAACTTCATTTTAATTTCTAGTTTGTAAAACTTTGTTCACGAGTTTCCGGAAATTTTTAGGTTTTTATTCTTTAGGAAACTTAAGTTTGTAAAACTTTAATTTTACTTCAGTTTTAAAACATAATTTCCGGAAATCCTAGTTTGTAAAAACTTGTTAATCTTTTCCGGAAATACTCTTAAGATTGTAAAACTTTTATTATATATTAAATTCTAGCCTGTTTCTATTTTTATTAATTTTTTAAATCAACTTTTAAATTCTTTTTTTATCAAAATTTTATTTAATTTATTCTCCTTATCTTTTCACTAAAAATTGACTGAACACTTTTTTTTATTTTAAAGAAGTGCCTAGAATATTTGTTTTATAAAATATTGACTGACTGGAAATTTTTTACTGGAAGAATTAGAAAATAGGAGTAAGGAGAACTAAAATAAAATTAAGATAAAACTGAAAATACAACAAACTACTATTTCATTCCGGAAAGGCTAGATTGCGAACTTGACGAAATTAAGTTTGCGATTATTTAAACTTGTTTTCCGGAAAAATGCGCAACAAGTTTTGGTACTTTTCCGTTCTGCCACACCCCCCTAAATTAATGTTCAAAATGTCATATATGGGGTAAAAAAAGGTACTGAGTCGAACAGTACCACTCTTTTCCCCCGGAGATGCCTTTGGACCAAAATTTTTTGCTCGAAATGGTCAAAAACCATAGGGGGGAGTAAGCTCAATTTTGGGATAAAAAATTCGAATATGCAAATAATACCTCATTCGAAAGAGCTCGTTGAGCTGAGTCGAATGACACCAAAAACAACGAAATCTGATTTGATTTGACCGAGATACAGGTCTCTGAAAATTGAAGAACCACACAAATTTTTGCATCGTAACTTGGTCCAAACTTGTTAGACCGCGGTGATTCTGGTGTCTTTCGACTCAGCTCCATGAGCTTTTTCGAATGAGGTATTATTTGCATATTCGAATTTTTTATCCCAAAATTGAGCTTACTCCTCCGTATGGTTTTTGACCATTTCGAGCACAATATTTTGGTCCAAAGCCATTTTCGGGGAAAAAGAGTGGTACCGTTGGACTCCGCATCTTTCTTTACCCCATATATGACATTTTGAACATTAATTTAGGGGGGTGTGGCAGAACGGAAAAGTACCCAAGTTTTCCGTAAAATTCAAGTTTGTAAACTTGTTGTAATTAAATTATAGTTTCCGGAAAAGTTTTCCGGAAAGGCTAGATTGTGAACTTATTGCGAAATTAAGTTTGCGATTATTTAAACTTGTTTTCCGGAGCTTGTTTCCGGATAAGTTTTCCGGAAATTCAAGTTTGTAAACTTGTTGTAATTAAGTTATAGTTTCCGGAAAGTTTTCCGGAAAGGCTGGATTGCGAACTTGACGAAATTAAGTTTGCGTTTATTAAACTTGTTTCCGGACAAATTTTCCGGAATTCAAGTTTGCAAACTTGTAATTAAGTGTGTAATTAAGTTATAGTTTCCGGAAAGTTTTCCGGAAAGCCTAGATTGCGCTCTTAATTTTGCTTAAATTCTAGTTTGTAAAAAATTTTTCCGGAAATTGAGTGCCTTCTAAAATCTTATAGAAAACAAAGAAACAAAATCCCAGAAAATCGTCTTTTCTATTAGTAAAAATATTTAAAGTTCTCCTATTCTTTTCCTTTGTATACAAAAGTGTTTAAGCAGTAGAAGGGTGGTAAGGTAGAGGTAGTTAGCTAGCTGGCCGATCGAACGCGTGTTTAAGCAAAAAAAAGCTTTTTCTCCTTTCTATAATTTTATAATTTCTCTCTTTTGTATTTTTCCTCTTGTAATTTTCTCATTTTCATTTTTTTCTACTTTTATTTTTTTTTATTTCTTAACGGCTGATAGCGTTAAAATTATTTTTTTATTACCTTTTTTCTTTTAATTTTTCTTTCAATTTTTCTTGTTGCCATTATTAGACAAATATTATTGTTTTAATACTAAACACCTCTTTCTTAGTTTCTTCCAAAAATTGAAGAAACTCATCAAAAACTGCCAAAAATTGTGCCATAAATAATTAATTATATCCCTCTTTGAATTAAAATTTAATTTATCCAATGTGTCCTCTCTATGTTGTTGCATCTATGGGGAACGATAAAAACATTGTAAACGGAAATCAGAACAAAACACAAACACAACATTTAAAAGGAAAAACATTTAAACAACAACAAAATACAAAAATGGCTGAAGTTGCAGAAATACTTGAATTAACAAAAATACCAGAATTATCAGAAAAACCAGAATTAATAGAAAGAGAAAAAACAACAAACATATCAGAACAAGAAGAAATACAAAGAAATACAAAAATAAAAGAATTAGAAAGAGTACCAGAATTTCATTCCAGTGTTTTATTTCTTCCGGAAAATACAGAAGAAGAAAAACAAGAAACACAAAACATCATTAAAACAAAACAAACATATCAACAAAACCAGAATTTAGAAAAAACATCAACAACAACAAAACCAGAATTTGTAAAAACATTACAAGATCAGAATTTAATAAAAACAACAACAACAACAAATTACAATTACGACAAAAACAAATCAGAATTTGTAGATGTTTTACAAAACCAGAATTTAATAACAACAACAACAACAACAAATTACAATTACGACAAAAACAAATCAGAATTTGTCAATGTTTTACAAAACCAGAATTTAATAAAAACAACAACAACAACAACAAACAATCACAACAACAACAAATCAGAATTTGTCAATGTTTTACAAAACCAGAATTTAATAACAACAAATAATTACAAACCAGAATTTGTAAAAACATCACAAACTTCAAACATTAATTGTAAAAACAAACCAGAATTTGTAAAAAACATACAAAACAAGTTTGATTTAATAGAAACAGAAAGTGTTGCATTTTATGGGGAAAGAGAGAAAAGAGAAAATGAACAAAACCGAAGAATTTCAATAATTAAAAATTGGGAAGAAAAAAGACAAGGAGAAGAGGAAAAAGAAAAATTTGAAAAAATTAACAAAAGAAGAATAAAAAGAGGAAAATCTCCTCCAAAATATGGACGTTATTCTGAATTTTTAAATTCACCAAATAATTCATTTTCAACAAAAACACCAACACCTATTAATACCCCTACAAATTCTTTAATATTTTCCCCTGTTGAGGAGGATGAGAAGAAGTTAAGGGAATTGCTACTGAAACAACTTATGCCTTCTTTTTATAGAGAGGAACAAAATTTTTTTAATGGTTAGGGGAAATTGTGGGGAGAAAAAAATTAAAAATAAAATACAGAGAAAATACAAAAAAACACAAAAAAACACAGAAAAACACAAAAATACAAAAATCTAATTTTAATTCCCTTTAACAGATTATGACGAAGAGGAGGCGCCTAACGCCACGATGGAAACAAAGGTAGCTTCAGGTGGACAGCCAAAACGTGTTGGAAAATGGACGTTGTCTCAGCTGCGCCAGACTGATGGTAAATAAAAAATTTTAATGGTTAGGATTTGGGGGAAAAGAGTTAGAAAAAATAAAGAAAATACAAATAAAACACAAAAGAAAACACAATAATTTAAGGTATAATTCCATCCCAGGCCGGTTGGAACAAGGGAGACTCCCAAAAGTTGATGACCAATTTTGGTACTCCACGTAACACAACAACCAAAATTCGTGCTGAATGCCTTGCTGATGTGCCTGAAGAAATTGCTCTTAAAAGTCACGGTGAAGTACGTCTCCAATCTGGTACTAACCGTTTTGCTTCGCAAAAGGGAATGGTTGGATTCGGGTAATTTTGTATTTTTTATACTAAATAATTAAAAGGAAAATACAAAACTTTTGTGTTTTCCGGAAAGCTTCTAGTTTGTAAACTTGATTTATTAAATTCTAGTTTGTAAAAAGTGTTTTCCGGAAAATCAGAATAAATAAAAAGAAAATACAAAAACCGGAAGCGAAAATACAAAAAGTTGAAAATGTTTCCGGAAAGTTTTGTTTACTTGTTTTTATTAAATTCTAGTTTGTAAAAACAAATTAGAATTAAATAAAACAAGTTTACAAACTAGAAACTTTCCGGAAAACACAAGTTTCTGTATTTGTTGTTGTTGTTCGTGTATTTTAATTATTTTCCGGAAATTCTGGTTTTAATTAGATAATTTTATAAAATCAGAACAAATACAAAACTTGTGTGTTTTCCGGAAAGTTTTTGTAAACTTCTAGTTTGTAAACTTGTTTTTATCAAATTCTAGTTTGTAAACATGTTTTCCGGAAATGTTGTTGTATATTAAAATCAGAATAAATAGGAAATAGAAAATACAAAAACTTGTGTTTTCCGGAAAGTTTTTATAAACTTGTTTTACTTAATTCCGGAAAATCAGAATAAATAAAAGTTGAAAATACAAAAAACCGGAAGGGAAAATACAAAAAACCGGAAAACACAAAAAATTTAAATTATTGTATTTTACAACATTGTAAAAAAGAAAATACAAAACTTGACAGTTAATTGAATTAATTCTTATTTATAGTACTGGCCGTGACGTATGCAGAGAAGGAGTGTTTGTGAGTCAAGACCCAGCCGATTTGGAGGTTTAAAATTATTTTTTAATTTAAAATATTTAATTGAAAAAATACTTGTTTTCTAAATTTTTTTTCGCTTTCCTCAACAAAAAATAATTTTTATCCGTTTATAAAAGAATCTAAAACAAATTAATTTTCCTTTTAAAAAAATTCAAAAAAAAAATAAAAATAGGCGAAAGAAAAATCAAATCTATTTAATAAATCTATTTTTCTTTTAATTTTTTTCTTATTTTATTAGCGTGTATTTATTATTAAAAAAAGTCTCAAAAGTCATCATAACCCATAAATAAATATATTAATTATTTTAATATTTATTTTTCATGTTTTCTCTCTTAATTCCCCCTTTAAAATTAATTTTAGAAAAAATAAAAAAAATATTTTTATTAAAAAATAAATTAATAAAATTAATTAACACAACCCTTTATTAAGTAAAAACACAAAAATAAAATTTTTAAAAATTCCCAAAAATTCCCTAAAAATTCTCTCCTCACTTAAAATGCCTAGATTAGTCGTTAATTTATTTTTAAATAATTACCCCCCTCCCCAAAATAATTTAAATAAACCAAAAAACCCATTCAATAACCTTCCCACTACTTGCCCAATTAATTCTGAAATAAAAGAATTAAATTTAAATAAAATACAAAATTGTGTTTCTCCTTTACAATTGTCCCCAACAATTAATAAAACAACAATTAAAAAAATTATTATTTTACCTAGTGGTCATTTAACACCCCCACTTACTTCTCCCTCGTCTTTTTCTTTCTGTTCTTCTGAGGTTTTAAAAAATACAAAAAAAAATACAAAAAAATACAATTAATTCCGGAAAGAATATAAATTTTGTGTTTTTCCGGAAAAAACACAAAACTAATGTTTCAGGAAATATACTTCTATTCAAGAAAATACAAGGTTTCCGGAAAAATAAATTATAACTTATATGTAAAAAATACAGAAAAATACAAAAAAATACAAAACATGTAAACATTCCGGAAATATGAATATAAATTCCGGAAATACAAAACATTTATCTTGTTTTACAAACATGCCGGAGAACATATAAACTAATTTTCCGGGTAAATTTGTTTGTAAAAACTTTCCGGAAAGAATAATTTTATTTGTTTTTCCGGAAAACACAAAATTAATAGTTCAATAAAAACACAAGAAAATACAAAAAATTCAAAAATTCAAAAATACAAAAATACTTAAAAATACATAAAAATACAAAAAAGAAAAATACAATTATTTCCATTTTAGCCCCTCCCAGAAGAGAAAATCCGTGCTAGCGATGGAATTGTTCGTCTCCAATCCGGTACCAACAAATTCGACTCACAAAAGGGAATGGTCAGCTTCGGTACAAACCGACGCGAAACTACAAGAATGAAAGACACCAAACATCCGGAATACAACCACGAAGTCAACATTGACCAAAGCGAAATTCCTTTGCAATCTGGTGAGGAATTTAAATTAAATTAATTTAATTCAGAAAATACAAAAAAATACAAAAAATACAAACTTAACGGAAAACATTTAAGATTTCCAGAATAAACATAAAACTTTCCGGAAAACACACAAATAAATGACTTTCCGGAAAAATACAAAACATTTATTAATTTTACAAACTTTCCGGAAAACACAAATAAATAACTTTTCCGGAAAAATTCAAGTTTGTAAAAACATTCCGGAAAAACACAAAACATTTATTAATTTTACAAACTTTCCGGAAAACATAAAAACAAATATACTTTTCCGGAAAAACTTAAAATTGTAAAAACATTCCGGAAAATAAATATAAATTCCGGAAAAATACAAAACACATCTATATTTAATTTTTGTATTTTCCGGAATTTTTATTTATATTTCTGGAATGTTCACAATTTTTTAAATTTTACAAACTTGACGGAAAACATTTTAAGCTTTAGAATAATTGTAAAAACATGCAACAAAATTTAAAGGTACAAACAAATTCGCCTCACAAAAGGGAATGACCAGCTTCGGTACAAACCGTCGTGAAACTACAAAAATGTTGGACACTGCTCACCCAGAATACAGTCACGAAAGCAGCATCGATCAAACGAGCATTCCTTACCAAATGGGATCAAATCGTTATGCTTCACAAAAGGGAATGACTTGCTTTGGACAGCCACGTTGGGAGGTGCTTGACCCAAGCATTAGCTACCAGAACCGTAAATCACAAGGTGGATATTTTGAATTGTATTATTATAGTCAGAGCTCAGTATAAGCTAGACCCAATACCAGATAAACCTCTATTCAAGATATGCTTTTTTAAGTTTGGAAGGTCACTGGGTAGGGGAGCTTATGATATCCTCTATTTAAGAGACATCCATTATAAGAGACTTTTTTTAAGTTAACCTCCATTTAAGAGACACCCATTATAATACTTTTTTATGTTACCCTCTATTCAATATACAACCATTATAAGAGACTTTTTTAAGTTAACCTCTATTTAAGAGACACCTCATTATAAGAGACTTTTTTGAGTTACCCTCCATTTAAGAGACACCTCATTATAAGAGACTTTTTTGAGTTAACCTCTATTTAATAGACATCTCGTTATAAGAGACTTATAAGTTACCCCCTATTTAATATACACCCATTATAAGAGACTTTTTTTGTTTTCCTCTATTTAAGAGACATCTCATTATAAATTACAATTTTTTCTGCTTCAATGCAGTATTTTATTATAAGACCTGATTTTATTTAAGTAAAAGATCTATATTTTTAAAAATATTTAAGGAATGGTCCGTCTCCAATCCGGAACAAACCGGTTCGCCTCGCAAGCGGGCATGACAGGTTTTGGAACTCCCAGGAACACAACATACGAGGCGGAGTCTGGCGAACTTCCATATGAAGATATGAAGAAGTCAGAAACGATAATTCCATCCCAGGCCGGTTGGAACAAGGGAGACTCTCAAAAGTTGATGACTGGATTTGGTACTCCTCGTGACGTTAAAGGCAAACATTTGAAACGTATTTGGGAGTTGGAATACCCAGAGGAGGCTGAAATTTCGTTGGATCGACTTTAAAGAAAATTTTAGAAGAGAAGAAAGAGAAATTTAGTGGAAGGCAAGAAATTTTTCAAAAAAAATTTTTTTCAAAAAAATTTTTCAAAAAAAAATTTTTTTCCTTAGGAAGGCAACGACTTTTGACTACAATTGACACACACAACACCCTTTTTTCATTTTTACAAAATACATTAAAAAAAATTTTTTTTTGGCTTTTTGGCTTGCTCCTATTTTCCCCCTATCATTCTCCCCTATTCTCTCATTTGGAAGAAAACTTGGAATTTTTAAAAAAAAGAAAGATGAGAGAAAAAAAAATTAAAAATAAATTAAATTAGTTAAAATCCTTAAAAATAATTTTGGACATTTTTTAAAAATAATTTTATGTAAAAATTAATTGTCCAAAAAATTAATTTTGTTTTCAAGTCCAAAATTGTATTTTTAAAAATATACTTTAATTTTAATCCACACTTTTTCCCATCAATTACTAGAGACGTCCGAGACTCTTGGTCTTGATTCCAAGACTTTTCTTGGGGGTTTTCGGTCTTGGTCTTGGGGTATAGCCTTGGTCTTGAGTCTTGGAAAATTTTCGGTCTCGCACGTCTCTATCAATTATACTCTCCTCATTTATTCATAAATATACTTATATACAGTGCAAATGACGATAAAAAGTTGAAAAAGTGCAAAAGCTAGTTTTGTAAATTGTGAAAAATTCATTTCCGGGAAGTAAAAAAAGAATCCGGTTGATAAAAGAGAAAAGTTAGTTAATTAGAGAAATTGTAAATAAATTTGTAAAATTCAGAAACGCTTCCGGAAGGTTTGTAATTAATTTTTAAGTTTGTAAGTTAGCAGTAGAAGGTTTGTAAATGTTTCCGGTAGGTTTAATTATTTCCGGAATGATTCAAATAATTAAAGTTTGTAAACATTTCCGGAATAGTTGTAAATTAGTACTAGAGAGTTTGTAAAGTTTCCGGAAAAGTTTGTAAATTAATTCCGAAATATTTGTAAATATTTCGGAAGTATTACAACAGGGCTTCGATTTCTGCGTATTTTTCCTCATTTTGTGGTTTTTTGATAGGGCGATGAAAATTATTTTTAAAAATGCGGATTTGCGGATTTTTGTGGTCTTTTGAAGATTATGAGGATTTTTTGTATTTTCTTGTAGTTTTTAGGATAAAATGTAATTTTTTGTCTTCATGGCCTTCCAAAATCCGCAAAATTTAAAAAATAAAATCCGCAAAATTTAAAAAAAAAGCTAAAAATTTGGCATAGAAAAAATTTCCCCCTTGGCCCCCCATCCCCCGAAAAAAAATTCTGGCTACGGGCCTGGCTCAAGTCAACATAATTTTTCCTTTAATTGTTCGGATTTTAATAAAATAGTCATTAGTAGGATAAAAATTGCTCAATTCAATTGTTGGAGTCAAAAAATATAACGTATAAAGTGATTTTAATTCAACTTTTGTGTTTGATAATTTTTTGCGGATTTTTCATATCAAATGCGGATTTTTTCTATCAAAATTGCGGATTTTTAAAAATTCGAGATCGAAGCCCTGGATTACAATCATTTCCAGAAGGTTTATAAATATTTCCGGAATGATTGCAATAATTCCGGAAGGTTTGTAATATTATATGTATGTAAGTTTGTAATTATTTCCGAAATAATTGAAACAATCGCGAAAGGTTTGTAAACATTCCATAGTGTTTGTAAACATTTCCGGAATAGTTGTAAATTAGTACTAGAAGGTTTGTAAAGTTTTCGCAAAGTTTTGTGGTTATGTTTGTACTTCCTTTCCACACGTTCCGGAAGGTTTTAATTATTTTTTCAAGTGTGTAAATAATTCTGGAATGAGTGAAATGTTCCGTCCAATTTCCGGAACAGTTGTGATTATGTTTGTAATTTCTTCTGAAACGTTCAGGAAGGGTTGTAATTTTTTTTGTAAATTTGTATTTTGTTTAAAGAAAATAATTCGGTATATCCGAAAGAACTTAAAACAGTAAACTTGTAATATTTTCTACACATTTTATTTTTGAATTGATTCCGGAGGGAAATTTTAGTTTCCGGAGATACCTCGGTATATTACTACAATTTGCTATCGGCAATGAAATAATCGGAGTTAGCCACTAAGGTTGGCGGATCCGGATATCCGAAAAAAGGCCGGATATCCGAAGATTTCCAACTATCCACCAGAGGTGGGTCGGAATTCCGATTTCCGACTTTTGAGCCATTTCCGATTTCCGACAGTTCCGATTTCCGACACCTCTGACTGTTCCGACCCACCTCTGCTATCCGCCAACCTTATTAGCCACCTCTACCTATTTTAGAACACCTTGTAGTCGTGCATGGAACTTCTTTTTTTTCCAAAAGGATTCCCTGGGGATTCCCTAATTTATTTTTCTTTTTTCTCTGAATGCAATTAAAGTCATAAACACCTGCCTTAACAAAAAATATTTATTTTATTGTTCTTTTAATCATTTTATCTAATAGTGTGAAAAATTTTTTTTTATTTTCCTCATAATAAAGGGGAATTCAATGAGAATAACGGGAGCGTAGGAGGGGCAGAACAAAACTTTTTAATAAAAAAAATTTTTTTTGGGAGGAAGTCCAAAAGGTAACAACAACTATTTATTAGAGCCTATTTAACAACAGAAAATGTTCCTTATTTTTTTTATAAAAAGTTGATCATAGAAAATTTTCTCCTTAAATCATTGACAGGGTACAGCCCAAGTAGGCGCGCGCCATAACGGCGCAAAGCCATAACTTGCTTCAAGATTTCCGAATCTTACCAAATTTGGTATTAAACGATTCCTCTCATCGAGCTAAAGAGATTGGTACCAAAATTGATAAGGGCAAGAAATTTTCCAGCAAGTTATGGCTTTGCGCCGTTATGGCCTCGCGCCTGAGTGTCCCCATTGACAGTATATTCCCCCTACCTATACACACTCTCCCAAAAAATTCCCTCCAACAAAATTACTTTAAAAAAATTTTTTTTTCCTTCCACCCACACAATGTGTACGTAAAGAACAAACTCGTCAAATGCCCAAAACACTAATAAACTAGAGCAAAATCCACCAAAAAACAACAACAATTTCCTCCTTTTCCCCCAAATATTTTCCTCATTTGTTTTCCACACTTGTGTTTGGTGGGGAATGATTGGTTTGGCTCTTTCAAGTGGAAGGATAATATAGGGAAAATTTAAGGAGTTAGCAGAAAATAATGAGAAAGACTGGGAAAGATCTGATCGAATGAGTGATAAAAATAAAAATATTATAACGAGAACGATGGAAGAGAAGGAAATTATTAGGAGATAGACTGGCAATAGCAACTAGAGAGATTGGTATTTTCAAAAATCCTGGATGTGAATTATGGATTTAAATTAGTAACTTGGACAGGCTTCTCGATCTGGATCCAGGAAAAATTCAGGAAAACCCAAATCCAATCCAAAAATCAAAAAATGCCTGGATCTGGATTCTGGAACCAGGAAAAATCCAGAGTTGATCTCTAATAACAACAATGGAACCTACTAAAGTTTAAATGAGTAGTTTTGACTCCAAAATAAAGCCTTACTATAGGATAAATCTTGGAGTAGAAACATTGGAGGACATGGGGGGAACCCTGAGACACTAACGGAAACCTTGGAGGAACCCTAGGGAAAAAGGGCCATCCTTCTAGCAGGGGAAACTCCTGAGTCACCAAGGGAAGCCTTGGAGTACTCCTAGGGGAGAAAGGCCATCTAGTGGCCAACCAAATTTAAAAACAAGGGAAAGCTTGGAAGACTTGGAGGGACTTTCCCTTCCTTGAATTGAGAAGTATCTAGTATTGGGTCTAGTTCATAGGGAAATCCGACAGTAAAGTAAGTATAGGAATCAAGACTTTTATCTCTTTCCCTCATAACCCCCCTTGCATCTTCTATCTTCCAAATAACTTAATCACCTAAAAGATAGACAACAGCCTCCAAAAAACAACAAAGGACGAGAATAACGTGTATTTCACTCATTTAACGAGAGAAAATTGGAAAAAAATAAAAATCGGAAGGAAAACATTGAGAGCGAGATCAACATTGAAAGAGAAGGAAAAGCTAGGAAAACTTAAAGCTGCAGCTTATTAGCTGCTTAAGCTTACATAACACCCCCCCCCCCTCCAAAGTAACTAACTCTCTCCCCCCTAAGCCCCAGCTCCTCTCTAAAAGTTGGTCGATATTTTCTAGTAAATAGTTTATATTACTAGTTGGAAGCTTTTCCTTCTTTTTTGTTTTTAGAAAGGAAAGATCATTACTACTAATTTTCTAGATCATCCCAGTATATCTATATACTCATTTAACGTTTATTTTAATGGTATTTGTGTGACTGGCACAGATCTCCATTCATCTTTTTCGTTGTTTTAATTTTAGTTTTTTGGGGTTTTTGGGGTCTGTTATTGAAAGTATGTCCAATAATCTTAAAAATATTTTAAAAATTAATTTTGGAGGCAAAGATATCTGTGTGAGGGAGTCTCTCTTATATTTATTTGAGTTTCCCTACTGCCCTATTTTCGGGTCTATTGGGAAACCCTCGAGACCTATTGGTCTATAATGCCTCTAATGGCCAATAATAAATTCAAAAATATTTTAAAATTAATTTTAGACTAGCCCCATTAAATTAAAATTCTTGAAAAATGTCAAAACCCGGAAACTTTGCACAGCAACAGCAACCTACATTTGATGAAACGCCAGCTCAACCAGGTATATTTTAGAGTAAAAAGGAGGTAAAAGTCAATCCCCAGGCAGGAAACGGTCTTGCGATGCCTTCTGGCAGTTGCTCGATGTCTCCTCCTTCACTAACAACCCACAGGAGCTCTAGCTACCGGATGCGCTGTTTTCACCTTTTTCTTTAACAAAGCTTAATCTCTGCCTAGTAGGGGTTTTAGTAAGGGCTAGTCCCGTAGAAATTCTCCTTTCTCTCTTCCTTACAATAAATATTCAAATAATCAAAAATATTTCTTTAATATTTAAATTCAGAGAATGTAGAGTTAAAGCTTGCCTCTACCGGAAACTTTGATTTAAGCCAGGCGTATGGAAATGATCGCCGCACACAAAGTGGAAAATTTACTCTAGCTCAACTTAGGGCTACTGAAGGTGCTAAAATCTTTTCTTAAAAAACAAAAAAAAAATTAAAGGAATTTGTCCACTCCAGAACGGCACAAACCAATTTGACTCGCAAAAGGTAAGGGAAAAAAAATTTTTTTTGACTTAGGATTTATGCTTTTGCTCCTGATTTTTTTGCTTTATTTTTGTGACGGCTTTTTTGTGTTTTAAAGGGAAAAACAAGCTTTGGAACGCCTAGAAACACTCAAAAACGAGTGGAATTTTATGAAGGAAATGGAACACAACAGCATCGATGGGCTTGTAGTATAACGGGTTTACCCGATAAAGAAATACGCTTGCAATCAGGCTCAAATAAATTTGAATCGCAAAAGGTTGAGTCTAATTAAATAATTTTTAAAAAGACTTGGTTAGGCTTTATTTGCTTCTATTTTTAAGTTTAAAGTTTGCTTTTTAAACGCTAATTTGCTTTTGTAAAATATAAAAATAATTATTGTACAAATTTCCGGAATTTTGTACAAATTAGACTAAAGTTTCCGGAATATTGATAATCATTCCCGGAACGGTTTTAAATATTTCCGGAATTTTACAAATTAATTCCGAAGTTTCCGGAAGGATTGTAATTATTTCCGGAAGGATTGTAATTATTTCCGGAAGGATTGTAATTATTTCCGGAAGGATTGTAATTATTTCCGGAAGGATTGTAATTATTTCCGGAAGAATTGTAATTATTTCCGGAAGGATTGTAATTATTTCCGGAAGGATTGTAATTATTTCCGGAAGGATTGTAATTATTTCCGGAAGGATTGTAATTATTTCCGGAATTTTAAAAATTGTTTCCGGAAGAGTTGTAATTACTTTAAATAATTTCCGGAACGATTTTAAATACTTCCGGAATTGTAATAATCAATACTAAAAGGATTGTAATTATTTTTAGTTACCTATTTCCGGAACGATTTAAACATTTCCTGAATTTTACAAATCAATTCCGGACGAATTGTAATTATTCCGGAATTGTAATAATAAATTCTAGAAGGTTGTAAGTATTCCCAGAATTTTAGAAAATAATTGTAATTATTTTAAATATTTCCGGAATATTAAATATCATTTCCGGAAAGTTTGTAATTAATTTCTGAATATTAGTAACGCTCTAATCTGCTAAACAAAAATAATTAAAAATTATTTAATAATCTAAGGAGTCTAAAAAATCGCAAACTTAAATAATTGTTAAGTTGATGACCGGTTTCGGAACTCCACGTGACGTTAAAGGCAAACATTTAAAACGTATTTGGGAATTAGAGTTCCCAGAGGAGGCAGCCGATTACCAGCCACCACCAGTCAATGCTGCTCCACAGCAATTCCAACAACAACCATTCTCGCCAACCCAGCAACAACAGCCACAACAATTCCAGCAACGTGCTGGACAGCCACAGGTAATTTTTATAACACAGTCGGATCTCAATATAGATGCATTCGAAATATACCTAATACCTAAAGTGGTTGTCTCTGGGTAGGAGGAGCACTGCCTAAACGATACTCTCCATTTAATATATACTCATTATAAGATACACCCATTACTAGATACGCCTCTATTTAAAGTAGGTTTTCTAGTTTGGTTGGTCATTGGGTGAGGGGAGCTTCCTAAGCGGTACCCTCTATTTAATATACACTCATTATAAGATACACTCATTACTAGATACACTTCTATTTAAGGTAGGTTGTCTAGTTTGGTTGGTCATTGAATGGGTGTGAGTTCTTCCAAAGTGATACCCTCTATTTAATATACAACTCATTATAAGGCACAATTTTTCCACCCCAAGAGTCTATCTTATAATGAGGCCCGCCTAATTAAAAATAATTAAACTCATTTCCCCTAAGCAACAATTTGCTCAACAACCACAACAACGTCCCGGTCAGCCACAACAACAACAACAACAACAACAACAACAACAACGACAAGCTGCACCACAACCACCACAAAAAAGTCCAAATGCTGCTGCCCCAAACTTTCGTTAAATAAGGATATTAAAGAATAAAAAGGATTTTAGAGAAGGAAAATGAAAGAGAGAGAGAGAGAAACTTTTTTTAAAGAATAAATTAGAATAATTAAACTACGAGTGTGTTGATTTTGGCCAGAAAAAATCAAAAATCAAAATCGACCCCTAAAAATTAATTTTCTTTTTTCACGCATTTATAAAGCTAAAATTGTTATTTTTTAAAAATTAAGAGAGAAAATGACCCTACTACAATATTACTCTAGTTATTTTTGTTTTAACTTTGTTAGTTTGACTTTTTTAACGTGCAATTTTACTGATATTTTTTAATGCTCATTTGAGTTGCTTTAGAACACACTTAATTAAACTAATACTGCCACAATAAATAAAATAAAAATTTAAAAAAAATATAAGCATCGATGCCTCTACACTAAGGTTGAAGGATAGTCCGGATATCAAGATCCGCCAACCTTACTTTACATACTTAAGTGCAGAAAATACATCAGCCCCTTTGGGTGGGGCTAATTAACTAACCAAAAAATTTTTTTCTGATAATTTCTAAAGGAAAAAAAATTTTTTAAATATGTATCTCTGAAGTCTTGTTCTTAACGTCCCAAAAATCCCACAATTAAGTTGAAAAAACGACTCTCTCAAAAAAAACCCCCTTCCTTAACCAGACATACCACAAATTATATACAGGAATTAATTTTTTTAATCAAAAAAAAATATTTAAATATACTTTAACACAATTTAAATTGAAAAAAAATCTCGAAAAAAAATTTCAAAAATGTCAAAAGAGAATTTTCAAAATTGAAAAAATTAAACTTATCGTCCTCCAAAAAGCACAAAACAAAATATTTCCTTATTTAGCCAGTTCTGCATGAAATCGTTCCACTCGCTGACGAAGGCGTCCATCCAAAAGGACTGGGTGTCGTAAAGCCTTTAAGATAGGAATTTTAAAAAATATTTTTTAGGAAAATACGGTAATGAAAATTTGAAGTAGAGGACGGACTGGGGGGCGTACAAGAATCGAGATTAATACCAGAGATGGGTCGGAACAGTCAGAGGTGTCGGAAATCGGAAAAGCCGGAAATCAAAACTAGCTTAAAGGTCGGAACTCGGAAATCAAAATTTTTTCGGAAATCGGAAGGAAAAACGTCGAAAAACGGAATTCTGACCCACCTCTGGTCAATACCTCGAAAAATCTCGATAAACGAAAATTTTAATTTGAGATTTAGACTTGGTCTGATCCATGATTTAAAATTTCCGATAAATAAAAATTTTAAAAAATGAAAAAACATTGAAAATTTTAAGCAGAAACTGGACGCGATTACGATCTCGATTTCTGTACGATCTTCCGATCCGTCCCCTCTACTTGAGTCCGTCCTCTACTTGAAATATTCATTAATTAAAATTTTCGTTAATTTCTCGTTATAATCTCTAATTTAAAAATTTCCGTTAATAATTTTTCTTTGAAAAAATTTTTAAAATCACCTCATCCATCCGTCTCGGATTTATACGATGTTCCCTATTAAATTTTTGTTTCAATTCCACCCGGGAACGATTTGGAATAAATTCGTGCATTAAACCAAAATCAGTCCCTGTTGCTGCTAATACTTCTAAAAACTTGGATTTAATTTAAAAAAATTTTTTTTTCAGTTCACCATAAAACAAATCAGTCTCCAAAACATTCCAAATAGACCCTCGACTTCTCTTTCTAAAGCTCATAGATGTCAATTTCTTTGGACCAGCATCCTTAAAAAAAAATAAATTTTTTTTTTATTTTTCAAATTAATTTTACATTATTTATAACAGTCTCCAGTTGAACATTTTCTGGATTTTGCATAACAATTAAAGAATCTTCATCTACTACCATTTCTCCTTGTTCATTTATTCTGACCTATTTTTGAGAGAATATATTAAAAATTAAATAAACTTAATAGATTCCGGAAAAACTTAAGTTTCTAAAAAAAGTTTAGAAAATACAAGTTTGTAAGTTTTCCGGAAAAATTTAAGTTTGTAAAAATTGCATAAGTTTTATTCACGTTTGCAAGCCGAAAAAAAAAGCTTTCCGGAAAACTTATTCAGTACGCTATATTTCCGGAAAGAAATAAGTTTGTAAAAATACAAGAACAAACTTAAGTTTTCCGGAATTGTAAAAATATTAAAACAGGTTTGTAAGTTTTCCGGAAAGAGCAAGTTTGTAAAAATATGTGCAAGTTTTATTCAAGTTTGCAAGTTTTTCCGGAAGTTTGTAAAAAATATTTAATACAAGTTTTAAGTTTTCCGGAAAACTTTAAGTTTCCGTAAGCTATATTGTCTGCTCAAACTTTTCCGGAAAGAAATAAGTTTGTAAAAACACTAAAATAATTCTCAAGTTTTCCGGAATTGTAAAAATATTAAAACAAGTTTATAAGTTTTCCGGAAAGGTTTCTAAGTTTGTAAACTTTATACTATTTATTTCTTCCCAAAATTCTCAAGTTTGCAAAAATATTAGAACAAGTTTTCTTAAGTTTTCCGGAAAGTAAAAATTAAATAAAATTATTAGTCTCAAGTTTTAAGTTTGTAAATTTATATTGTTCCGATTTTTTTATATTTTTTCCGGTAACATTCAAGTCTTCCGGAAAAGAATTAATAAGAACACTCAACAAAAACACTCACTCTAGGCCCTGAAGTTGGCGGTTTCTCCTCTTTTTCTTCATCAATATTAATTCCCTTTTTAGGTGTCAAAGATTTACTAGTTGATAAATCATCGGCAGATTCATCCGTTTTTGAAAGTATTGAAGCTTTTTCCTCCTCATCATTTTTACGTTTTGTGGACCACTTCTTTCTGAATGTATTTTCTGTTTTAGGACGCCATTTAACCAAATCTTTAGAAATTTTAATTAATAAAAAAATTAATTTAGTAAAAAATTTAAAAAATATTTATTGAGATAAAATGTTTGTAATTATAGGAGTATTATTATTTATTAATTTCTGAAAGCATTTCAAGGAAAATTGCCAAATTGTAATGCGTGCAAAAATTCCGGAAGGTTTATAATGTTTTAGTAACGTCTACAATTAAGTTTATGTCTATAAATCATGTCAGAAATTCTTGTAGATGTATCCGGAAAACTATTACAATCATTCCGGAATGTTTGTAAACACTTCCAGAAGGTTTGTAAATAATTCCGGAAATGTCTGTAGACATTTCCGGAAAGTTTGTAAACACTTTCGGATATCTGTTATTATTTAATTTATGTTTGTAATTATTTTCCGGAATATATTTTGTGATTGTAATTTTATTCTAGCATATTTTTAAACATTTCCGGAAAGCTTATAATTATTCTAAAAAGGTTTGCAAACAATTCCGGAACATTTTTAAATAGTTCCACAAGGGTTGTAAACATTTCCGGAAAGTTTGTAATTTTTTCAAGAGTTGTAATCATTCCCTAAATATTTATAATTATTTTTAAAAAAGTTGCAGACATCTTAAGGTGTTGTAAACATTTCCGGAAAGTTTGTAAATACTCTAGGATGTCTGTTATTATTTAAGTTAAGTTTGTAATTATTTCCGGAAAGCTTGTATTTATTTCAAAAAGGTTTCCGGAACATTTTTAAATATTTCCAAAAGGGTTGTAGACATTTTAAGGTGTTGTAAACATTTCCGGAAGGTTTGTAATTTTTTAGAATAACCAGAATTTTCATACAAACTTACCAGCCATTGTAAACTTTTTTGTATCGCATAATTTCTCTTTCGGTCTTTCTCTAGATCTTTTCTAAAATCAAAAATTACTTCTAATCTAATAAATTATCTCTATTTACTTCACTTAAAGTAGAATCACTTTTATCCAATTTTTGAGGAGAACCATAACTTTCCGATAAATTACAATAACTATTATAAGTATTTTGTTGTTGTTGGGAAGTTCTTGAAGAAGACAATAATGGCGGTAAATGAATTCGATTATTTGATGTCTGTTTCTTAAAAAAAATTTTTTGAAAAAATTTTTTAAAATTTTTTAAAATTTTTTCAAAAAAAATTTTTTGAAATTTTTTTTGAAAAATTTTGGGAATGTTTTTAATTTTCAAAAAAATTTTTATTTATTTATTCACCTCATGTACAACACTTTCCGGAACATTTCTATCAAAACTTTCCGGAAGCTGTAAAACACTAATATTTGAGTTGACATTGACAACAGTATTTATCCCACGGCTGTGATCAGTACTCGTAACCTTAAAAAATATTTTTCTTATATGACTGGCATCCTAGAAATGGGCGGGATAGGGACTTCATCGATTCAGTTGGAAAAGAATTCTTCAAAAAATCAAGTCCCCAAATGTTTTTATCAGGGATGTCATCCAAAACCCTGACCTTTTCGATCCAAAAACCCGCAACTTTTTTTATAAACCGTGACATTCCTGGGTCCCATGGAAGATTGGGAAAATTATTTTGCCATTACATGACTGGCTTACTAGAACTACTCCCCAGGAGGGGTCCCACAAATACAAGACACAAGACGGAACCCAACCCTGCTACTCCCTTACAATAATTGTTTCTATATGACCCATCTGGAAATCCTCAATACAGGTTGTCCCTAGTGTAAATAATTGCCCTCACTTATAAGTCAAAGTAGATTTATTAAAACCCCAAAAATTTAAATTCCATTAAAATTCCTCCCCTACCCTTACAATAATTGTTTCTATATGACCCATCTGGAAATCCTCAATACAGGTTGTCCCTAGTGTAAATAATTGCCCTCACTTATAAGTCAAAGTAGATTTATTAAAACCCCAAAAATTTAAATTCCATTAAAATTCCTCCCCTACCCTTACAATAATTGTTTCCAATGAAGATGTTGTAGAGACAACATTATGACTATTATTATTCTGATTATTTGTTTCTTCACAATTAATTGTCTGTTGTCTATTTAATTGGTCTTCTTGACTTAATTGAGGGACTACTATTTCCGATGTTGTATTTGTCTGGGGATTTGAAGAAGTAAATATTATTGGTATTATTGTTGTTTCAACTGTTGTTGCTGTTGTTGTTGTCGATTCTTCTCCTTTCGACCGTTTACTTTTATCTTCATTTTCTTCTTCATTATTTTTAGGTTTGGATAAACACTGGTTTGGTTTTACTTGAATTTTGCGACGTCTAATCATTTTTTTCTAAAAAAAAATTTTTTAATTAAAAATAAAATTTAAAAAATACTTAAAGTGTTTAAAAAACACTTCTTAAATTTTAATAAAAGAAAATGAAAAAAAAATTTTTTTATTAAAAAATATATAACAAAAGAAAAGCCTATTAAAGTATAAATATATAACCCTTTGATTAATTTTAAGTTATATCAACATCTTAAAATACAAATCAGTACTTGATATTGGTTAAGATATCAGGCAGAAGAGATCGGAAATTTTGAAAAGCCTGGACCTGTTCCTGGACTCTGGAGTATGATTTCTTGGCCTGGACTGGATCCTGGGCCTGTAGTCCAGGAAAAACCCAGGCCCAGGAAAAACCCAGGAAGGTCAAAAAATACCTGGACCTAGACTCTGAGTACAGGAAAAACCCAGGCCTTGGTACAGACCCAGGCCGATCTCTATCAGGCAGAAGACATTTTATGGTTTAAGGCCTGGGGGGTTCTCCTGTATCCGAAAATCAAAACAGCATTTTTGCAGCTTTCTGGGTTTTCTATGTGTTTAGGTTTTCCTAAGAAAGATTCGATTTTATTGTAAAGATTTATCTTCCTGACTTTGGACTGAACTTAAAGTCCAGGCCAAAGTATTATTCCAAGCCTAGGCTTTTTTAAAAATCCCCAAATCTCTATCTACAGCGTCTCAAATCATTCAATAACATCGAAAAATAAATCAAAGGGTTTCAATTAAGGTTGGCAGATCATAAGAAATCACCGACTACCCGGATTTGCCAACCCTAATTTCAATTTAAACAAAAAATTTCAAATTTTTTCAAACACATCTAAACAATTCTTTACATCTACTTCCATGCATTATTCTTCTCATATCAAATTTTCTTAAATTAACAGTAACATAAGCTCTATCATAAAGTCTTTCTGACATTGCCTTTCCGATAGCTATGGACATTTGTGGTCCATATCCTCCCAATCCACATACTTGGATAAAGTTTTCGTGAACTAAATGCTCTCCTAAAGAATTTGGATTATTTAAATAATATGAAATCTCATTATAAGGTAAACCCTTGAGGGTGAGTAGTAGGGTTGGCGGATCTTGGGAAACCACGGATATCCGAATATGGCATATCTGAACAGCAAATTTCAGGATATTCCGGACATTTCTCAAATATCCGAATAGGCCAACCCTAGCGAGTAGCATTATCCTATGAGGTGTATCTTAAATTTAGGGTATAAACTAAACAGCTGCCTTAACAAAGGGCTTTGGTCAAGCTTATTGCTAGTACCTGGTGGAACTTATAAAACTTCACTGGATTACTAAAACAGATCAAAGCCATACCTAGTATTGGATATATATGTAAAGGATGACAGAATTTAAAAAATTTTTATAAAATTAAAAATAATAAATAACTTACCAATTATAGGCGCTTCATCAAACATATTAACATCTTCATATGAATGCCAAGCATTTATTACCTTAAAAATTTTTTTTTAATTTTAATTAATAAATTAAAATCTCTCTAATTATAAGTAAAAAATGCCATAACAACAAAATTTTTTACAAACACCCCAGCCCCTATGAAATTTTTTATTTATTTTGGAAATGCCTCCAGTGCCGCTTAACGTCAAAACTTTTGACTAAAAATTAAAAAAAAATTTTTAAGAAGAAACCTTTGCAGTTCTAAACGAAGGAACTCTTTCTACCAATAAAGGCCATACTTGCTCGTAAAATTCATTATAATCTATTGGTGGTTCATCTGAAGGTTTTATTTGTTGATTTTCTTCCTTCAAGGTTTTGGCTGCATCTGACTTAAAGTAATTTATTGAAAATTAAAAAGATGTTCAAAAATTTTTTTTAAAAATTTTTGAATAATAGGTCTGTCCGCAAAAAACTTGCGGACAAAAATTTTTGTCCGCAAAAAACTTGCGGACAAAAAATAATTTTTCCTTCTCAAAAAAAACCTTTGTCGGTTCCCTTCCACAAATATAATTATGCCCAACAGCATCAGGTCTACAAAAAATTCCACTAGAATCCATTAAAATAGGCATTGAAAGAGGGGGAACTTCTGGGGCGTGCACAACAAAATTTGTTCTTCTAGTACAAACTATAGGCAATGGAATACGCATCATTTCACCTTTGAAACCAACTCCCGCTTTCTTTGCAATTTCACCTGCCCTAAAAAATTATGAAAAAAATTTGACCCTTCAAAGGACATAAGTTACAGCAAACCTACCAAGGACCTGCAGCATTAAAAATTTTATAACAATTTATTGGGCGTGGAGATGCTCCTGACATTTGTGGACGAATCTTAATAAAAAAAAATTTTAAAAAATTAAAAAGAAAATTTTTTTAATTTGCGGACGTCCGCAAAAAATTTGCGGACAAAATTTCTGTCCGCAAATTTTTTGCAAACAATTTTTTGCGGACAGAAATTTTTTCAATTATTATTAAAAAAAAATAAAAACTTACAACAACACCATTTATTTTATGCATATTCAAAAGATCAGCACTAACTTCCTCAACCGGAACCGCCCCATGCAATGGCACTTCTCTTCCTTGATTATAACTTGTAACTCCTTCAAAATCGCCTTTTAAATATCTAACACCCAAAGAAATATTTTTTTCTCTCAAAGCAGACAATAATTGCCAAGTGTCAAAAACTCCTTCATTTTCTAGACCTTTAAAAAAGTAAAAAAAAATTTTTAAAAATTCTTGCGGACAAAAAAAAATTTTTTTGCGGATTTTGTCCGCAAATTTTTTTTGTCCGCAAATTTTTAAAAAATTTTAAACCTAACGTTCCCATTACAACATCATCAAAACGCATAAAAGGAAATTTAGCTTTAAGCTCCTCTTTGTTTAATAAAGCAACGTGTACGCCTCTGTCTCTAAAATTTAAAAATGACCAAAAAATCAAATTTAAGTAAAAGGGACAAAATGTCTCTACTAGAGGATTTCAGTTAATTTGTGGGATACTTGACAAATTTTTCTTTGAAAAAATAGCCAGAAACGATTTTACCATAAAAACAGACAAAATTCTAAACAAATTTGATCAAAATTCTCTTATTTGGGACAAAATGTCATTTCTGGGACAAAATGTCATCTTAACATAAATTTACATTTTGTCGAAAATTGACACTTTTTTTGTTTTTCCCTCCTAAATTTCTTCCAAAAAATGTTAAAAATATTCTTAAATTATCTATAAAATAAATTTGGGGCAAAATTCTCTTATTTGGGACCAGGGGTGGGCGCATTGCGTTTTGCGTCTTGCGTTTTTTGCGTTTTGCGTTGATTTTTGGCCTTGCGTTGCGTTTTGCGTAAATTTGGCCCAAATTAACGCAAAAAAACGCAAAAAATATACACAATCTGAGGACAAAATTGAAGAGATCTGGCGTCTTTGCCTTCCAAAATTCTCAAAATTTTCGCCTGCGGCGCTGGAAATAGAAGAAATATAATGACTTAGTCTTCCAAAATTCTCAAAATTTTCGCCTGCGGCTCAGAAAATTGAAGAAATCTGGCTCCTGGCTTTTGAAAATTCTCAAAATTGCGGCGCAAAAAATGAAGAAAGGTTAAGAGTGGTTAAGGGAAAGTTAAGTTGACCTGAAGGGATAGAAGACTAAGTTGGATTTAAGAAGGTATAGGCGATTTGTAGGGTTATATGGAAATCCATCAATTCCCAGAAGATATTAATGGTTTTTGTGAATTAAGTAGGCTATCGATTGAGCTCAGATTTACTGATAGCCCTTTATCCTCGCTATTCCCCAACTCAGTCGACATCCTTCGATAATCCCATGGTATCCTTTTGACTCTCCAAAAAACATGATAATCTCCGTATCCCCCGCTACTATTATCCCCCTATAATTTACCAACCCCAATACCCCCTTTATCCCTCTAAATCCTCTGATATACTTCATAATCCCCTTGTATCCCCGATATTAGTCCAAATTAATACCCATCTAACTTACATGCATCAAAAAATCGAGTATGACTCACTGACTTAATGTAATACTTCAATTTAAACTGAAAAATAGCTAATAATTAATTTAAAAAATTTTTTCCCAATTTTGCGTTCTTGCGTTTTTTGCGTTTTGCGTTGATTTTTGGCCTTGCGTTGCGTTTTGCGTTTTTTGAAATTGTCTCTTGCGCCCACCCCTGTTTGGGACCAAATGTCATTTTCTGGGACCAAATGTCATCTTAACATAAATTTGACATTTTAACGGGAATTGACACCTTTTCTTTGTATTTCCCTTCTAAATTCTTCCATAAAAATGTCAAAAATATTTTTAAAATTAATTTCTAAAAATTCACAAACACTTGTATTTTCCACGCCTCTTTAAACGCGTCAGCCTCTTCCTGTGTTCTAGCTAAATGCATTACTCCAACTGGAAGAAAATGTAAATCTGGAGGGTCATTATCTTTAAAAAAATATAAAATTATTTTAAAAAACATTATTAAAGAGAAAACCCAAAATTCTCAAATGTTCTCCCGCATGACGAAAAAATTCGGCAGAAAAGTTTGCTAGATCAACCATTTCTGGGATAGAAAATTGTTGAGAAACTACTCCACTTCCCAACATTGAACGAGTTTTTGTAAACTTAAAAAGAAAACAATTTTTTAGAATATTTAAAAAAAACGAATTTTTGAGGTTTTTGCGGACAAAAATATTTTTTAATTCATAATAAAGTATTTTTCTTACCCAAGGTTTAAAAGAAACCATTTTACATATAAAATCTCTAGGTTTTCTGGTAAAACTATTAAATGTGGGGTTGGGGGTCCGATCCGAAAAATCGAGTCGGGCACTGAATTTTGGCCCAAAAAAGACTCGGTCGGGCCGGCCCGATAAAATTGAGGCTCGAAAAAATGACTCGAAAACGTCGGCCAGACTCGAAAACCCCAACCCTAATTAAATGGACTACAAATCAAAATATTTATAAAAAGGACTATCTCCCCCCAGACATTCTCTTTTGTCTAAATCTAAAGAAAAACTTTAAAAAATCTGCCTGAGCCTAATAGAATCGAAATATGAAAAAAAAACATGAAAAAAATCAAAAAAAAATTTTATGTCCGCAAAATTTTTGCGGACATAAAATTGCGGACAAAAATTTAAAAAATTAAACAAAAAAAAAAATACCCAACATTATCAGTATTTTCCAATACAGAAACAGTAATATTTTCATCTCTACAAAATTGTTTAATCCAAAAAGCAATAGAAGAACCAGTCAAACCTCCACCAATAATAAAAAATTCAACATGCATTGGAAGTAATTCATAATCTTGAACATCTTTTTTAAACATGTAATTTATTGGGTATTTTCTTCGAAATGCATCATATTTGGCCTTTAAAAAGGATAAAAATAATTTAAATGTTTACATTATTTCTTAAAAAAGTAGCTTGGGTTAGGTTGAATTTATTTGCGGATACAAAAATTTGCGGACAGTCCGCAAATTTTGTTTGCGGATCTTTCAGGATGTCGACCTTTGACTTCTTACTAGATAAAACCCCAAAAAAACTCCTTTTTAGTTAGAAGAGAATTTTGTTTGCGGATTTATTGGATTGTTGTTGGATTATTTGGACTGTCCGCCAATTTTTGTGCCCGCAATTTTAGGGTTGCCGGCTCGAAAACGGCAACCCTAAAAAATAAGCCTCCTTGACCCAGACCTTAAGGAAGCCCCCAAAAAAGGTAATCTATAGTTTTAGATATACTCGGTCCCCATAGCCTCCAGAAAAATATAAAACTCCCAAACAAAACAAAAATCCACAAACCTCTCTATATCTTCTAGCTGCCCTTCTCAAATCATAACTTAATCCATGTTTAATCCTTTTCCAAGGTTCTTCAGCTGACGGTTCATATCCAAAATATCTTTCATTTTCATATTTTTGCCATTGTTTAAGTTGAGTTAAACTTAAAAATCTTGAAGAATTTATATAAATATTTGGCTGTTGAAAACGAAAAATTAAATTTATATTATTCATAGTTTTTGCTGAAAAATTTTTAAAAAATTAATAAAAATGAATTAATTATAAAAAAATATTAAAATTGACAATAAATCAATTTTATAAAAAAATTTGGGCTCTACTCCAGTTTATGCGTCCAATCGACTTTTATGCGTCCAATCGACTTTTATGCGTCCAATAAAAAGAAAATTGGATTTTTCTTGGTATTGCACATTTTGGGTATCGGTCCACAACATTTCTTCATGTTCGGGACCTACGTCCACTGGGTCTGGGACCATTCCTTACCCTATACCTCGAAATTTTTTAAAATTACAGCCAATTTTTTAAAATTTCAGAAAAACGATTATAACTTTCAGAAATTTCGAGGGGTCGGGTAAGGAACGGTCCCAGACCCAGTGGACGTAGGTCCCGAACATGAAGAAATGCTTTGGAACCATACCCCAACTGTGCAATACCAAGAAAAATCCAATTTTCTTTTTATTGGACGCATAAACTTTCATTGGACGCATAAAAGTCGATTGGACGCATAAACTGGAGTAGAGCCAAAAATTTGCATACATATAAAAAGACAATCAAAAAAAATTTATTTTTTTTTAAATTTTAATAATTCAATTTTTTAAATTAAAAAAAAATAAAATTTTAAAAAAATCTTCAAGTCTAATACAGATAAAAAAATTATTTTAATTTGCCTTAAAAATATATATATATAGATTTTTAAACACAAAGTCTGAAAAAAAAATTTTTTTTAATTAAAATTGCGGACAAATTTTGCGGACAAATTTGTTAGGGACAACTTTTACTAGTTAACAAATTAAACTTAACCAAAAAAAAATTTTTTTTTAATAAATTTTAATTTATAATTGTTTATAAACGCCTTGCGTTAAATTTATGAAAAAAAAAATTTAAAAAAATAATCCGCAAAAAATTGTCCGCAAATATATTTGCGGACAAATTTATTTTTGTCCGCAAAAAATAAAAATTATTCTTAAAACCAAAAAAAACCTTTCTCAAATATCAGAAAACAACAAAGATTCTTCATTATCAATATGAGTATTGCTATTCTGATCCATACAAACATCAGAAGAAGAAGGGAATATTTGTTGTTGTTGTTGATTGTTGCTAGGTCCCTCCCCACCACCCCCACCAATTCCCTCCCCTCCACCTCCTCCATTTAATTCTTCATTATTACTTTCATTAATATAATATTCAATTAAGGGGGTTAATGAACGAAAAGAATGTCCATTTAATGAATGTATTGAATGTACTTGTCCATCTCTAGAATATTCTGCATCCGATTGAAAAAAATAGGAAGTTGAGGAATTTGATATATTTGATAAATTAAATTTGTTTAAATTGTTGTTGATATTGTTAAAGTTGTTGTTAAATAAATCGTTTGAACTGAAAAAAATATCATATTAACCAGGCCCGTAGCCAGGATTTTTTTCGAGGGGCCAAGATAGAAAATTTGGCGCTATCTTAATATAATGCGGCAATCAAATTTTTTCCTTCATTTTTTCCTTTCCATATTTTTCCTTATTTTGTACAGAAAGGCCAGACTTTTTCCCTTGTTCACTTCAAATGAATTTCGCATTTTTGTGTTGTCTCGTGTTGTCTGGCAGAAAACACGGACAGACAAAACACGGACGAAGACGGACAGAAAACACGGCCGAACACGGACAGAAAACACGGCCGAACACGGACAGAAAACACGGCCGAACACGGACAGACAAAACAAGGACCGTCCGTGTTGTATGTCTGTGACCGTCCGTGTCGTCCGTCCGTGTTTTGTCTGTCCGTGTTTTCTGCCAGACAACACAAAAATGTAATATTTTTTATTTTTTGCTTTCAATCTTTTCTCTATAATTACATTTGAACATGCCACAGGGAAATTCATTTGAAGTGAACAAGGGAAAAAGTCTGGCCTTTCTGTACAAAATAAGGAAAAATATGGAAAGGAAAAAATGAAGGAAAAAATTTGATTGCCGCATTATACAGTGCGTCCGTAAATTATACGACCACTTGTATTTTTTGTCATATCTTATCTTTAACATGACATTTTCGCTTCATTTCTTTTTTATATTAATCATTTATGTATTCAGAATTCCTAGGCAAAATTTCATTTAAATATTCCCAACCATCCCTCAGAAAATTAGATTTAATTAAAAGTAGTCGTTTTTCAAGCGTCCGTAAATTATACGACCACCTTGGATAATCATGTTTCGGATAGCAGGAAAAATCCACAAAAATTCTGGTTAACATATCTATTGATATTAATGTAAAATACAAAAGAAACGAAGTTTTATTATAACTCTATCATCAAGATTTTGAAGCCCGAAAATCAACGGAAAACCGGGGTAAATGTCTTTGAAAAAATTTTTCGACCCCTTTAAGGTTATATTAAATTTTGATTTTATACTTTTCTGAAAGCCCTTTAAATTTGCTATAATACCTGCAATTTTTATTTTACAGAAAATTTTTTTCATTAAGTTGTACTTCATTTAATTTCTAAGTTGCTAAGAAAAGGCATTTCATGGGGTAGATTTAATGATTTTCATGTCCATTGAATTTAACCCTCAATATCTCCCAAGTAAAATTTTTCGATTTATTAACAATAAGGATTTCTTATAGCAAATTTAAAGGGCTTTCAGAAAAGTATAAAATCAAAATTTAATTTAGTGCATAAGGGGTCGAAAATATTTTTTAAAGACCTTCACCTCGATTTTCCGCTGATTTTCGGATTTTGAGATCTCGGTGAAGGGATTATATTTCAACTTCGTTTCTTTTGTATTTCTTATGTATACTGATAGATATGTTCTGAAAATTTTTTGTAGATTTTTCCTATTATCTAATAGTGAATTATCCAGGGTGGTCGTATAATTTACGGACGCTTGAAAATCAACTACTTTTAATTAAATTTAATTTTCTGAGATATGGTTCAGAATATTTAAATGAAATTTTGCTATCAAGTTCTGAATACATAATTAATTAATATAAAAAAGAAAGGAAGTGAAAATATCATATCAAAGATAAGATATTATAAAAAATGCAGGTGGTCGTATAATTTACGGACGCACTGTATTAAGATAGCGCCAAAAATTTTTTTGCGCATTTATGGATATAGTTATTATCAAGATGCCTGCGGATATCCAGATATTGATATCAAAATCCGTGTCCACACAACGGGCCTGGTGGAATCCCTATAAGTATAACGTCATTCCTCGGAATAGAAATTTTTCCGACGTAAGAACGAAGTGATATGACCTTTTGACTAGAAAAGATAGCGTGAGAGAGAGAGAGGGGACGTGGCCTGTGATTTTCCTGTACCCAAGGTCCAGGCTCACATCAAGCATTTTTGACTTTCCTGGATTTACTACAGGCCCGGGATCCGGAACCAGGTCAATAAATCAAACCCGGAACCCAGAAACAGGCCCAGGCTTTTCAATAATTCCGATCTCTACTAGAGTCTTACACCTACCAAAAAGGTTGTTGGTGGTTAATTTGTTGCTGATGTTGCTGATGTTGTTGTTGTTGAATATTACATTCTTGTTGTTGTTGTAATTGATTATTATGTTCTATCATTTGTATTTGTTGTTGCTGTAAAGTTGGTTGTTGTTGGCAATAATTTTGTTGTTGTTGCTGCTGTTGATGATTTGTATAGCTCAACATATTTTGATCTATATAGAGGGGAACTGAACCAATATTTCTTATTGGAGGTTCTCCAAATGCGATAGGCTAAAAAATTTACAATAAATCACAAATTTTTAAAAATTTGCGAACGTCAGCAAAAAATTTGCGGATTTCCGCAAAAAAATTGCGGACAAATTAAAAATTAGTTTTGGGGGTCTTGTTAGCATAAGTCAACGTTGGCTTATAAATCTTTTATACAAAAATTGTCCTTTCAAATTTTCCTTGAAAAAGAAAATTTGCGGACATCCGCAAACAGACATGCGGACGTCGGCAAAAAATTTGCGGACAAATAAAAAATTTGTTTAAAGGGGTTTTTAGTTGGCATAAGTCAACGTTGGCTTACAGATATCTTACTCAAAAAAGCTGATGTTCAAATTGACCTTAGAAAAGAAAATTTGCGGACAATAATAAAAAATTTGTCTCGGGGGTCTTGTTGGCATAAGCCAATGTTGGCTTACAGATCTTCTATAAAAAAACCTGCTGTTCAAATTGTCCTCTAAAAAGAAAATTTGCAGACATCCGCAAAAAATTTGCGGACAAACAGAAAAAAATTTATACTCTGAAATAGGCCAATTTGTTTTAAGGCCTCTCGGCTGACCAACCTCGATCTGATTTCTGTGAATTTTTGGATATCTTCTATGGTAATGGCTTCTATATGAGACAACGTTTTCAGCTTTTGTATCAAAAAACAAGGGGACGAATCAAAATCCCCTCTTGTAAAGGGTTATAAATTGTAATGCATCTGAAAGGGTAACGGCAGTAACCCCCCTAAGCCCTACCCAGGAGATGACAACTTTGTGGTTAAAGTTTAATAAAAAAACCTGTTGTTCAAATAATTGTTGTTCAGTCCTCATATCAAAAGGAATACTATTGCAGTGTTGTTGTTGTTGTAATTCTTCACTCCTTCTCCTCCTTCCAACTTCAAACCTCTTACTATTCTCCCCAAAATGAACAAAAGCTGAATTTTCTGATAAATTTAGAGATTTTTTACACTTTTTCTGCCCAATTTTTGTATTTAATTCTAATAATCCATTTAAAGCTAAAGAGTGATTGTCAAATGAATTTATTAGTTTTTGTTGAAATTTTGTATTATTTATAGGTTCTTGAATGAGGTGACCATCTTCTTGCATTATTTGTTGACAATGTACATTTTTATAGTGGGTATTCATCAATTTTTTTGTTCTGAAAAATGAAAATCAATTAGAATTTTCCTAAGTTGCGGACATTTTTTAATATTGCGGACATCCGCAAATATATTTGCGGGCATTTGTTGTAATCTGCGGACGTCCGCAAATATATTGCGGATATTCCGCAAATTTCCCAGATTCTAATTTAGAGATAAGAGTGAAAAATTATAATACAAATGTGTGGTAATTTTTACATTTGCGGACAATCCGCAACAAAATTGCGCAGACATCCGCAAAAACTATATTAGATGTCCGCAATTTTTTATTTATAAATATGAGGAGGAAAACTAGTAATAATTTTTGATGTCTAAAACATTTTGCCAACAATTCCTATATTTACGGACAATCCGCAACTTTTCTATCAAATCTGAAAATCTTACCAAATCCCCTATTTCTTGTTAAAACTCCAAACTTTTTAAAATAAATAAAAAAAATTTTCCAAACCTAAACATTAAACAACACTCAACATTTTGACATTTAAAAGGAGCTTCACCAGTATGAATTCTCAAATGTAATTTTAACGAAGAACGTGAAAGAAAATATTTTTGACAAAAAGAGCATTGGTATTGTTCCTTGGTAAAGTTTAAATGGGTTTTTGAATGTGTTTCCAATGTTTGTTTTGTTCGAAAGGAGAAATAACATTTTGAACAAGTAAAGGGACGTTCTCCTGCAAAAAATGAAAAAAAATTTTTTTGAAAATTTTTTTAAGTTTTCATTTTTTCCCTTTTTCTTCACCCACAGAGAGGAGGTAGTATTAGCCAAGGATCTGACATCCAAATTCCCAAAAATCGATAATTTAATTTTGTGAAAGCCGTTCCCTTAGTTCCAAACTCAATGCGCTCATCCCTGCTTCCGATCATTTTAAATCCCCTTAATCCACTGGTGGGAACAACAGATGCCGAAAATCGGAAGGCTCTGTAATAAAAATCTTGAAAATCTAACGGCCGAGGGCTCGGAAAATTCAACATTTTAGCGCAGCAGATGAAAATTTATTAAATTTTGGAAGGCCAAGTCACCAAATTTCTTCCTTTTTAGCGCCGCAGGCGAAAATTTTTTAAATTTGAAGACCTTATTCGAAAACAGCTGACATCCAAATTCCCAAAAATCGATCATTTAATTTTGTGAAAGCCGTTCCCCTAGCATTAACATGTATAACAGGGCTGGGCTAATTTCGCATTTTTCAGCGCGAAAAGTTTCTTTTATTATTAGATTACGCCCAGCCCTAATGTATAGTGGGGACATAGAGCAGGAATATGACGAGTTATCAGAAACCAGCTTTATTCTGACCCGAAACCCGGTCCTTAGAAAATTTGAATACCCTATCCCCAAAACTCAGCTTAAATTATTCCCAATAAATTAAAAGAGGCTTCCAATTTGATGCGAGGCATCGGGGTCTTCCGTTTAATGAAAATTTAAGTTCCCCAAAGTCCCACTCCTTAATGGCTTCTTAAAAAGAATTTCGGTAATATTGAAGAGTACAGACCCCATTTCTTTCCTCCCTATTTTTCCCCTTATATTTTTACAAAATGGTCAGACTTTTTCCTTCCTTCCATCCAATTTGCCTTTCTAATTTTTGTCTAAATCAAACGAAAAGGATTATTTTTGATTGATGGATGGAAGAAAATTGGATGGAAGAAAGGAAAAAGTCTGACCATTTTGTAAAAATATAGGGGGGGAAAATGGGGAGGAAAAAATGGGGTCTGTACTCTTCAATATTACCAGAATTTCTTTTCCTCAAGGCCATACTCTCAACGGAGAACAAGCCTTAAAAAAGTTTTTCTAGATAAATTAGAAAACCTGTATGTGTAAGTAAATGTCTTTGTAAATCCGTATTTCTTTTAAACGATTTTGTACAATATTTGCATTGTTTAATTAAATTATTGCAATTATTTTTATTTTCAAAATTAAAATTAATTTGATCCTAAAATGATTTATTTTAAAGTTTATAAGATTTATAGGATTCTAAATTTGTCCGCAAAAATTTTGCGGATTTAAAAAAAATTTAAATGATAAGTTGAAAAGGTCTGTCATCGAATAAATTTGCCCCGACCTGATTATTAACTGATCATAAAAAGAGGAGAAAACCCAAACCAATCAGTTCAATTGCCTTTTGATCAAGGTTCGGGGTCCCCCCCCCCCCCTTTCCTTTTCTGGTCATTTAAGTGAAACAGGTCTTTTAACTGTGACAGGTCAAGCTCCTTATTTAAAAACTTAGTCTTTCCGCCCATCTCACAGCCCAACAATCCCTCCCTTAAAAATTACAAACAAGGTTCGAGGTTAGGTCTTCTTCTCCCCCTTTTATGGTTATTTCTTTTAATGGTGACAGGTCGATTTTAAAAAAGGAAAGCCTTTTCGCGAGTGGAGCTGCCCAACTCATATAGCCAAAGACCCCTTACCAACAATCACTCCTTAAAAAAATTTAAAAGAAATTCCAAACCTCATTTAAACAAATTGGCTCTTCCTTCTTTAAATTATTAGCAGCCAGACAAATTTCCAAATGATTAGCCAATTCATTTGCTGTTTGTAAAGGTATTAGACAAAATTTACATCCAAATAATTCAGAATCATTTAATTCCAAATCAGCACCAAAACACCCATTCTTAATTTCCCTCAAATGAGAAATTAGCCAGTGAAGTTGATCAAATTCAAATAAACAGCAAGGGCATTCAATAATATTTTTTTTATTCTTGACATTCATATAAAAAATTTATTTTTTCTAAAAAAATTTCTAGAAAAAATTTTTAAAGCTAAAAATATTTCCTAAATAATTATTTTTAGTTAAAAAAGTGTTTTTCATCAAAGAAATAATTGTTTACACCCAAAAGGATTCGAACCTTGATGGAAATACAAAAGCTGAAATATCCGGTTAAGGCGTGTCCCAGTACACCACAAAGACAAGTAAAATTAAAATAAATGACTATATCTTAAAGAATAATTAATTAATTAACCCAATTTTTAACTGAAAATTTAATTTAAAAAATTAAAAATAAAATTCAAAAAAAATGTCAAATTGAAAGACAACAAATCTTAAATAATTAAAAATAATTTTTTAAATTTTTATTAAAAAATTCAACAAAAAAATACAAAACAAAAATTATTTTTCAACAAGCTCCAAATTTTCTAACCGCAAAAATGCTACAGGCGCCACACTTTGATCACCACTACACCTTACTATTTTTGGTTCTGTGCCCATTAAAATTCGTTTCTTGAAGAGAGGGCAGTCCAAAACGAAAGTTTCAAATTCTCCTCCTTCCCCACAAATGTGTGAACCCCATTTGGAATGCATTTTGATTAAATGGGCACGCATCTAAAAATTATTGAAATTATTATAAAAATAATAATTTTTGTCCGCATCCGCAAAAAAATTTTTTGTCCGCAAGTTTTTTTGTCCGCAGATTTTTTGCGGACAAATTTTTTTGTCCGCAAATTTGTTGTCAAATTTTTCAGACAATTTTAAAAATTATTTTAACTACAAAATTTAAATTACAAACCTCTTTTATAGTCTTTCCAAGATGTTCAACATCCAATCCTAGAGCAGCTACTTTAATTATTATTGCTTCTATTCCTGCTGATATCTATAGATTTTAAAAACTAAGAAAGTTAAAAAAACACAAAAAATCTATTTGGTCGTTCGATTGTTCTCCTATAATACCTAATTTCATGAATACATAAAAACCGGACAGATCAATCAAATCAGACAAAAATTGATTTTATGGTTAAGTGGGATATTTTTTGATTTTGAGGGTGCGGGTTCGAACCCGCTCGTCTCCCTTTTCATTTTTTCTTTCGATTAATAAATTTAAAAATACCATAGAGTCAAGCAACTTTAATTGATCCACTTCCCACAAATAACACAGCGGCTTCAGTTCCAATCTTTGACATACATCCTCTACACGCTTTTTTTGATAAGTACTGTTTATTGCCCCAACAGAAACTCCTCAAAATCCAAAAAAAAATTTTTTTTAATTAAATAAACAAGAAACCTTCAATTTCCGGATCCCACCGTTTGATCTCGTCCAAAAGTTGAAACAAATCTTCAACTTCATCCTCAGAGTCAAAAACATATTCGTTCTCAAGGCTTTTAGGCTTCCCATTTATTTGTCTTCTAAATAGGGAAAGGCCAAGTGCTTCAGCAAACAACTTTAAAAAAGAAAGTTTTATAGGGGTTTGCGGACAAGGTTATATATTGCCCAATGCATGGCACGGCATTTTATTACAGAACCTAATCTCCAATACGACCCAAAATACCCGAACGGACCCCAAACCCTGAATGTTTTCCCTCACAAAACTCTCTCTCACACCCTAGTTCACAACCACAAACCTTTACCGGATGCTAACCCTCCCAATTCGTCTCAGGAAAATCTGATTAACCCACCCGAACAGAAGGATAACCAAACAGGCAGTATCTAGAAACACAAGTAGGGCTTTCCCCAAGTAGAGAAAACCCAAGTAGAAAACCCAAGCTAACCAGACAGGCCATTCTCCAAAAGTTGGACCTTCAACATCAAACCCCTTCCAGACCTCAAGCCCATATCAGACCTCAAACCCCTATATTAAGGATATACTTATCCACACGCTGACCCTGTCAAAGCGTCCCTTACCCCTCCCACTACCCCCAAAATATATCTAAAAAACCTCAATTCCTTCACTTCCAACACTTTGATACATATAACTATCAATTTCCTCTTGTTCTGGGGGAAATAAATTAGCCAGACAAACAACTTGATGGCCTTCTTCAAAACATTTTAACATATTAAAACAACTGTCTTTACCACCAGAAATTAGTGCAACAACTTTCATTATTATGTCACGAATCTGAAAAAAATTAAAAATTTATTAGAAAACCCTAGAATAGATCGAGCTGGGTCTTGACCAATGCCTGGGTTTTTCCTGTACCAGAGTCCAGGCCTTGGTCCAGACCCAGCTCTATCTCTTCTAGGCTCCCAGGCATTTTTAACCTTCCTGGGTTTTTCCTGGGCCTGGGGTTTCCTGGACATTTACAGATTCAGGATCCGGCCCAGGTCAATAAATCAAACCCAGAGTCCAAGAACAGGCTCAAGCTTTTTATAAATACCGATCTCTAGAGCCTAGCAAAGTTTTAACTGCGGAAAAATGTAAAGGTGAGGATTAATGGTTCCAAGAAAAAAGGACAAGAGGTTCTTACCTTTTCAAGATAATTTTGAAGTCTTTCGAACGAGAACCTCAATTAAAGCCAGAAAACTTTAAAAAATTATCAAGTCCCCTTTTTAAATTCCCCCCAAAATATATTTATTAATTTATTTTGGCATAATGTAATTTTTTCTAGTCAATAAAATGAAAGGAAAAATGGATACTGGCAGCCATATATTTTTATTACAACAGTTTGTGTATATTTATTTTTATTTTTACTTTCTTGTAAAAATAAATTTAGAGGTTAATTTTCAGGAAAGTTTAAGAACAAGTTTGTTTTTTCAAGTTTAATCTTAAAAACTTAAGTTTAAACTTGGGAAAATATCCTTGCCTAGAAAAGACCTTTGGGGAGTTCCTTTGGCTTTCCCCCACTTTTCTAATTCTCAAGTTTGTAAAAAAATTCAAAAAATGCCTCGAGCTTTTTCCTACAGAATCCGCGATACCGTGAAGTTTGGACAAAACGCCACATAACGGAAATTTTTCAAAATGGTAAAATGACAAAACGGTAAAACGACAAAATGTCACATTTCAAAATGTCCACTTGTCAAAATGCCCATTTCACAAAATGCCCAAGACAAAATGCCCATTTACCAAAATGTCCGAAGATAAAAATGGCAAGTTTCAAAACGCCAAAACATACATGTCCTTCATAACGTCAACCCACTTGACTTTATAAAACGTCCATTCTCTCACTGCTTTTCAAAATACCGTTGCTCTCTCTTTCGAAATACACATTTATTCTCTCATTTGTTTCTTATGCCTCTCGTTTATTCCTTCTTTTAAATTTTAGATTTTATCAAAATTAAATTCTTTCTTAATGAACAACAAAAGAGATTCAAGTTTATTTGAAGAGCCCCCCTCTAATAAAAAAGTCCGATTAGACTGTGATGACATTATATCCCACGTTTTGGACAATAATTCAATTCAAATTGAAGGTACTGTAATTTTAAAATAAGTAAAAATCTTACTTGACAATTTTCAGAGTTGCCCTTTGACCCATTCACAATACTTTGCTAAACAGGCTCAAATAACAAGTTCAGAAATGTTTATGTTTAAATAGGCTTGAAAGACCCACAACAAAGTTTTAGCCTATAAGAATGTTTGGATACATGTTGAGTTGAATTAAACTTTGAGTAATTAAAGTTTTGGTCAAGTGGTTAGTGTGTTGGATTCGCAACGGTGAGGGGTAGAGGGTTCGACTCCACTTACCGTAAAATTACTTGTAAAGTGTTATTAAGTGTATTTTAGCTCTTTTTCGGTCTGTTTTTTGTCTAAAAAATATTTTTAATATTTTTTAAGAAGCTAGTTTGAACTGATTTACTACTAGAAGAGTAAATTCATACTTATTTTTTGTAAAAATAATAAAAGCAAAGGAGAAACGTAAGGGACGGAGCGGAAATCAGGAACTTGTTATTTGAGCCTTGAAGGAATTTGAGGGTCGTTCCAACCTTTAAAAAATTTTTTTTGAACTTATTTCTTAACTTTATAATTATAGAAAACGAAAATGAGGACAACCAACAATCAGAAAATGCTTCAGAAAATCATCAAGACCACCTCCACCACCAACAAAAACAACAATCACGCAAACAACCAAAACCCTCCAACTTCCAACCTTTACAAAACAATCGAAGGAGGATGAGTAGTGGAGCCCAACAAAGACGTGGAGGGGGAGGGATAAATATGAGAGACCCTTTGGGGTTGGAAAGTGTACAGCCTGAACAGCCAGAAAATGGGGAGAATAAAAAAGAGGCGGTTGTTGTTAATGCTGGTGTGGATGACCAGAAGGGGATTAATATTAAAAGGTTTTTTTTTTGAATTTTTAAAATTTACAATAGGTAAATTAAAAATAAATGTGGGAATTAATTTATCATTTTTTGTATGAGGTTGTCGGTCTATTAACCTCTCATTGCCTCAGATTTTTGGAGATCAAATTTACTTTAAGGGGACTTAAAAAATGACTAATTTTTTGAATTTCCGGATTCATTTTATTGCGGACATATTTATTTGCGGATTTATATTTTTGCGGACAAACTTTTGCGGATTTTTTGTTGACTTTTTTTGCGGACAAATTTTTGCGAACTTTTTTTTTAAACTTAAAAATAATCGTTTAAAAATTCAATTTTTAGAAAAAGAACTACAAAAGAAGACTTACAACAACAACAACAACCAACAAAACAACCAAATCAGCGTTATACATCCCCCGTTTCTCGAAAAAGTTTGGGTTCTATAAAAAAGAATTTGAGAGGAGAAAATAAGGAAATTGGGGAGGAAAAAGAAAAATTGGTTGATTTTAATGATTCTAATAATTCTTCTGTTCAACTTGAAGAAGAAAAGAAGAAAAAACAACAAAAAATGGCTGAGAGGTTTTTATTTTTAAAATTTATTTTTTTTAATAAATTTTAAATTAGGGTAGCCATTGTAGGAGAATGGGGTATTCGGGAGAAACGCTCAAAAGCTGCTGAAATGCCAAACTGAAAAAAATGACAAAAAAGTTAACTTCTGTGTTGAAGTTTGTTGGGGTAAATGTCCCGGTCCAGTTGGTCTACATGTCCGCAAAGAGCTCTTTTCTTTCCTTTTCTTGCATTTTTTGTGTTCGGAGAAGTTGTTGGTATTAATTTGGTATTTAGGCGTTTTAATATTACATTATACCGGTTACTTGGAGTTTGGGGTACCCGAAAAATTTAGAAAAAACTAGATCCTGGATCCTTTTTTATTAGGCAGTATTGAAGAAAGAGACATGTCAATTCTGCAAACATTCTTGCGGACTTTTTTAATTTAATTTAAAAAATTGTCTCAAAAATGTTTGTAGAAATATCACCTCTTCATTAATACCCTTCCTTTAATTTTAACTATTTTTTAAAAATTTTTTACACATTTTTTCAACAGATATCGTTATGGAAATTTCAACAATTACCACATGAAAAAAGAATTTCGAATTTACAACAACAACCAACAACAACAATCAATTTCTTCTTTCGATTTTTCTGATGATCCTCGAGTTAGTTTTTTCTGTCCAGACTGGTTCTTTGAAAAATCAATATTGGATTTGGGTTGTAATGCGGGAAGGTTTGCAATAACTTTGGCTAGAAGATGCCAACCACGGAAGGTTATTGGAATTGATTTGGATCAACATTTGATTGGGGCTGCTAGAAAAAATATTAGACATTTTGCTGATAAGGAGGCTAAAGTGAATAAAATTTTTTTTAAATAAAAAAATTTTTTAAAAAATTTTGAAAATTAAAAAAATTTTTTTTAACCATTTAAAAATAAAAATTTAAAAATTTATGACGAAATGTACTATTTTGGGGGTAGTACCATTTTGTCGCATACTGGATAGAAATATAAAACTTGTTTTAGAAACATTGATTTAATTTAAAGTTTTGATGTATTACTAAAAATATAACTAAAACTTTAATTACAAAAACATACTACAATTTACAATTAATTAAACTTGTTGTAGTATGTTTTAATATGTTTCCGGAAAGTTTTCAGTATGTGTTAGACAACAAAATACAATTATTACAAACATGTCTAATTGTAGTGTTTTAGATGTTTTCCTGAAAATTTTTAATGTTTTTGATATATTTTCCGTAATGTTCATAATGTTTGGATGTTTTACCGGAATGTTTTTATTGTTTTTCCGGAATGTTTTGCAGGGTTTTTGATATTTTCCGGAATGTTCATATTGTTTTGATGTTTTACCGGAATGCTTTACCGGAATGCTTTACAACACTAAAAACTTTCCGGTAATATATTAAAACAATTTTTGATATTTTCCGGAAATTTTCTTATGATTTTGACGTTTTCCAGAATGTTTATAATGTTTTGATGTTTTACCGGAATGTTTTTAATGTTTTTTCGGAATGTTTTACAACACTAAAAACTTTCCGGAAACATATTAAAACAATGTTTTTAATGTTTTCCGGAAATTTTCTTATGTTTTTGACGTTTTCCAGAATGTTTATAATGTTTTGATGTTTTACCGGAATGTTTTTATTTCTTTTCCGGAATGTTTTTAATGTTTTCCGGAAATTTTATAATATTTTTGACGTCTTCCGGAATGTTTTTAATGTTTTCCGGAAATTTTATAATATTTTTGACGTCTTCCGGAATGATTTACAATGTTATATTTCTTTTCCGGAACGTTTAACTAAACATTTTATGTTTTACAAAAATATGTTTTTATACTAAAACATGAACAATAGTCTCAATTTTTTATACCAACATGTTTTGTTTAAATAAATATTTTTTTAATTTCAGTTAACCAGCAGATTCCCTGCTTCCTTCCCTGCAAACTTTGGACCAATCTCAGCACCTTCTACTTCATCTGGTTCAAAATTCCCCGATAATATTTGGTTCTTTTGTCAAAATTATGTGCTCAATTCTGATGACGAGTTGGAAAAGGTGAAAATTTTAAAATAATTTTAAAAATAATATTAATAAAATTTTGTAGTAATTTATGTTTTGTTTTCTTTGTTTTGATTTGTTTGAATTAATATTGCGATTTTAAGTTTTATTTGTTGTTTGTTTCCTTCATGTTTTATTGTATGTTTAGTTATGTTTTGGTGTTTTAATGTTCCAGAATGTTTGATACAATTATTTTTCCGGAATGTTTTGTTTGTTTCCTATATGTTTTTGTATTACAATGTTTATACCTATGTTTCTCGCATGTTTTGGTGTTTTATGTTTCCGGAATGAATGTTTTGAATGTTAATAGGTTGTATGTTTAGTTATGTTTTGGTGTTTGTTTTAAAGAATATTTTATAAAAATATTTTTCCGGAATGTTTTGTTTGTTTCCTTTATGTTTTTGTATTACAATGTTTATACCTATGTTTCTCTGAATGTTTTGGTGTTTGTTTTAATATTCCGCAATGTTTTGTACAAATGTTTTTCCGGAATGTTTTGTTTGTTTCCTTTATGTTTTTATTGCAATGTTTATACCTGTGTTTCTCGCATGTTTTAATGAGTTTTATGTTTCCGTAATGAATGTTTTCAATATTAATATGTTCTGTTTTGTGTTTTGTTCAGACAAACTTGATGTTTTTCGACTATTTTTATTTTTAATTTGAGGTTTTTCCAGTTTAGGTTTTTGGAATAAACATAGTTTATGTTTTCCGGAATGTTTGTCAATGTTTCTCGGTCATTTTTGTATGTTTTTCCTATGTTTTGGATGTTTTTCCAAATGTTTTTGCGATGTTTTTACGTGTTTTGGATGTTTTTGCTATGTTTTGTTTTATATTTTTATTTGTTTTTGGAATATTAAAAACGTTTATATGTTTTGAATGTTTAGTAATATCTAATCAATTTTAATTTATTAAAAAAACATCAATTATAATTTTAATTAAAAACAAAAACTTTCCCCTTTTCATTTTAAGGTAACTGAAGAGTTTGAAATAATTTTTGCTCTTTCACTAACTAAATGGATTCATTTAAATTGGGGGGATGTTGGAATTCGTCGATTTTTTCATCGCGCTTTTCGTCAACTTAAAACTGGTATTTTTTAAATTATAAATTTTATTTTTTAAATTAATTAATTTGAGGAAGTTTTAATTTAAATTAATTTTTAGACTTAAAAATTTTTTTTGGGAATTTTAAAAAATTAAAATAAAATTTTTTTTCATTCTTCTGTATTTTTAAAAATTTTCTTGGGCATTATAAAAATTTTTTTTAATTATTAAAAAAATTTTGGGGATTTCTATGATGCTGAAAATTGTAAAATTAATTATTTTTTCTCTTATTTTCTATCATTTTTAAATTTTATTTTAATTTAAAATAAATTCAAAAAAATTATTTTTTGATTGTTTTTAGGCTTTTTCCTGGCCTTGAATTCTTAAAGAAAATTGGCTGTAGTGTAGTGTACCGGTGGTAAAAGTTCGGGACGTGACATATGTCATTCGATTTGTCTCGCCGAGCTGAGTCGAACGGTACCACTCCCTACTTTAGGAAATGATTCTGGACCGAGTTATAGGTCCCGAAAAATTGAAAAACCAAAGGGGGGACCAAGCACTTTTTTGGGGTGAAAAATTCGAATATGCAAATAATACCTCATTCGAAAGAGCTCGTCGAGCTGAGTCGAATGACACCAAAATCAACGAAATCCGACTTGATTGGACAAAGTTATGATCTTTTATTTTAGCTCCTTACCTATGGGATCTGTGGAGATTTTTGCTGCTACGGAGGCCCCAAATACGTCCAGAGCAAGGGAGCTAGGAATAGGTTTATGTTACGAGCCCAGACCCAGCGCCCGTAGACTCCCCGCGAGGCGCGTGCCGCAAAACCCCGCGCGAAGCGCGGGGTTTTGCACAAGCGCCTCGCCGACGCCCCATAGGTTTAGGTTTTTTTGTTTTTTGTGTCATAACTTTGTCTAATCTTATTCAATCACGGTGATTTTGGTCTCATTCGACTCAGCTCGTCGAGCTCTTTCGAATGAGGTATTATTTGCATATTTGAATTTTTCACCCCAAAATCGAGCTTACTCCCCCCTATGGTTTTTCAATTTTTCGGGACCTATAACTCGGTCCAGAATCATTTCCTAAAGTAGGGAGTGGTACCGTTCGACTCAGCTCGGCGAGACGAATCGAATGACATATGTCACGTCCCGAACTTTTACCACCGGTACACTACACTATATCCAGAAAATTTTTTTGAGAATTTTCTGAACTTGAAAAAATTTTTCTTTGGTAAAAAAATTTTTTGGTTTGTTTTTAAGCTTCTTACTGGTCTGTAAATTACTTAAAAAATATTTTTAGAGAATTTTCTAAACTTAAAAAATAAATTTTATTAAAAAAATTTTTTTTAAAGGTGGTCGTTTTGTCCTAGAAACAGCTCCATACAAGGACTACATTAAACATTGCAACAAAAAAGGAAGTGAAAAACCCCCAGAAGAAGTATTAAATAATCTCTCAAAAATAGCCTTTCATCCAGAAGAATTTACAGAATATTTGCTTAATAGTGTTGGGTTTAATCATCATGAAGAATTGAATACTCCACAATCTAAATATTTGGGTAATTTTTAAATTTTTTTTTAAGAATTTTTTGGTTTTTAAAACTCTTAATTTAATTTTAAATATATTTATTTATAGGAAAACATGTGTTTAAAAAATAAAGAAAAATTTTAAAAATTAAAAAAAAAAATTTTTTAATTTTTTTGGAATTTTTTTCCTTTGAAAATTAATTTTTAAAAATCACAAAAAAGGAAGCGGAAAAATTATATCTCTCAAAAAATCAAGCAAACAATTTTGTCTAAAAATTAAGGAAAATTTTAAAAATTAAATAAAATTAAAAAAGAAATTTTTTTCGATAAATTTATTTAAAAAAAATATTTTTTTTAATCTCTTCCTTTTTTTCTTAATTAATTTCCTCTATTTTTTGAACACATGCTTGTCTATAAATAACATTTTCTGAATTAAATAGGTTTATTTTTAAAATTTTTTGATACTAATTTTAGACAAATTAATTTGTTTCTGATTTTTAAAAATTAAATTTATATTTAATTTTGATCAAAAAACTATTTTTCTTCTAATTAAATTAAATTTTTTTTTATTTTTGATTTTTAAATTAAAAAAAAGAAAATAAATAAACAAACTTGTTTTTATTTATTTTTTAAAAATAAGGAGCCAATTTAAATTTTTATAAATTAAATTTATTTAATTGGATATTTAATTTGTTTGTTTGTTTATTTTTTTAATTGCAACACAAATTAAATTTAATTTATTTTTTTTTGTGATTTTTAATCGAGAAAAAAAAGAGATTTTCGAAAAATTAAAAAAATTAAATTTTTTTATTGATTAAATAATTTAATGGAAAATTAAAAAAAATTTAATTTATTATTGGAAAATTGAAAAAAAATTTTAGAATTAATTTTAAAAAAATTTTTAAATTTTTCCTTTAGGTATTTCTGGCCGTCTACAAGTGTTTTACAAAGGCAAATTTATGTTAACGCCCAGAAGGGGTTGTGAAACAGATTTAATAATTCAACATCAACAACAAACATCTAATGGAACAACAATGTCAACAACACCTAAAAACATGTAGTAGACAAAAACAATGTTTAGAAGAAGAAAATTTGTTTATAAGAAAAACTTTTGTTTTATTTTTATATTTTTAATTGTTTCCTTGACTATATTTTTGTTTTATATGTTTTATTGTCCCCTCAATTTTAAATTTTGTTTTTCTTTTATTTAAAAATAATAAAAATGTTTTTTATTAATTTAATAATTAGATGTTTATGTGTGTTAAGTTTTAGTAAAAACATTTACTAAAAACATCTTAGATGTTTATTAAAATATTAGATGTTTTAGTAAAGGAGTAAGATAAACTAGGAAAACAAAGTTTTTTATTTTTTTCCGGAATGTTTGTTTGGGTGTTTGAATGTTTCGTGAAAGCTTTCCGGAAAATGTTCGAGTAAATGTTTTCGGTAAATTGTTAGTTAAACTATGTTTGTTAAATGTTTTGGGAGAATATTAGTGTTTTGTAATGTTCTAAGGAAACATTAACGAACATGTTTTAGCGAACATGTTTACATTGTTTTAGGTCATGTTTGTTGTAATGTTTTAGTAAAAAACTTTTCGGAAAAATGTTCAGAGAAACATTTAATTAAATAAAAACATTAATTTTCCGGAAAACTTATTTCCGGTAAAACAATATAAAATGTTTAGAAAAACACAAATTACAATTTGTAAATATTAATGAGTTTGTGTTTATTTTACATTGTATTTTAGACTTTATACTAACAATAAATTTAATTTAAACATGTTTAAAGACACAAACTTGTCTAAACCTCCCTAATTTAATTTAAATTTGTATTTTATTTTTTAATTTGTTTATATTCGTCAAACACGAGTGAACAAATCAAAAATGTATTTTTGTATTTTAAAATTTAATTTTCTTACTTTTGCCCCGCCTTTTCAATATCACTCACTTGCGCACCCTTGTATATAAAAGGCAGTTTAGACGAGGCCAATTTTATTTTGTTGATTCTTCACGTAATCATTTTCCTTCTTCGTTTTACCTTTCCTTCAGCCTTTCCCCTCTCTCCAAGTAATTTTCACACATTTTTACGGCTCTAACCCCCACCTTATAATAATTTTATTTATTAATAACTCATTCCTTTTTTATTAGAAAATCGCTAAAATGATAGTAAAACTCGTCTCTGTTCAAATATTATTATTTTTGGTTGCCGAATTGTTTAATGAGGGACAAGCGCAAATGGTGAAACAATGCCTTTGTTCACAGGTTATTAATGGGAAAATACAAAAAAAATACAAAAACGGTTCCATAAAAAATAAAAAAAATTTTGTAGACGGAACCATGTGCCCAAAAATATTTTGGAGCGTTGGAACCTTGTATAGAGTCGTGTCAGCACCATTTGCAAGCATTGGGAGGAAACTTTGCTGCATTAAAACAATGCTTCAAACAAAAACAAAGTTTGATTTCATCAGCAATTCAATGCACACAGGGGCAGAACAAAAATGCGTAAATATTTTTTTTACAATTGGTAAAAAGTTGTAATAACATTTGTAATCTAAGTTTTATTAAGTTTAAATTTACATTACAATTTGTAAAAACTTGGATAATAATCGTAATTAAAGAAACTTGGTAGTATTACAATTTGTAGTTAATTCAAGTTTTATTTAAGTTTATTTTTACAATTTGTAAAAAGTTGTAATAACATTTGTAATCTAAGTTTTATTAAGTTTAAATTTACATTACAATTTGTAAAAACTTGGATAATAAATAAACTTGGTAATATTACAACTTGTAATTCAAGTTTATTATGTCTACAATTTGTAAACTTATTTTTAATTAAAATTGTTGAAATTACAATTTGTAATTCAAGCTTATTTAATAATAAAATTTGCTTCAAAATAGATGTGCTCAGTCAGGCGGGGAAATGGTCCCCAAACGATACCCTGAAACAATGCAAATTGCAGCATTTGCAGAAATAAACAAAATGATAAATAGCATGGGATTGGGGAACGAAGCAAAAGGTTTTATGGCCGTTGGTAAGAAAATGTTTGGGTGTGTACGAACATGTATGGCTAAAAAATCGGGAAATTGTGATAAGAAAATGGCGTAAGTTTTTAGCAACCTTGAATAAAATAAAATTGAAACAAAACATTAATTTAAACAAAACAAACTTGAAACATAAACAACCTTAAATAAAAGAAACAAACATAAGGCAAACTGATATACAAACTTGAATTAAAACAATATACAAAACAAACACGAACCAAACAAACTTGTATTAAATAAACATGAAACAAACATTAATTTAAACACAAAACAAACATGAAACATGACAAACATTAAATATAAACTTGAATAAAAACATTCATTTAAACACGAACAAACTTGAACCCAGTAAAAAAATAAACTTGAAACAAACAAACTTGAATTAAATAAACTTGAAACAAACATTAACTCAAAGATAAACAAACTTGGAAACTTAAAACTTAGAAACTTGAAACTTTTAAAAACAACAAAACAAACTTGAAACAAAACATTTATTCAAACACAAACTTAAACGATAAAAACATTTAAGTTGCGGACTCAAGTTACCCCCAGACAACGTTCTTGTTCAATCAGCAAAACAGTGCGCAATTAGCAGCGGCTTAAACACAGAAAACGTAAGAGCATTGTGTCAATGTTCAGCTGGGGCTGGCGTCAAGTAAGTTTTTTTATTCTATCCAAACTTGAAACATTTGCTAATTTTTCTTAACAATTACAGAGGCCTTGGAAGCGTTTGCAGCAAAATAAAGATAACTTAAACAATGGACAATCAAAAAAAAATTTTTTTAATTTTTTCTAATTAATTCCCCAACCCCTCCAGGCATTTTACAAACAATTTTTAAATAATTTTCGTATTTTAAAAATATCTTCATATTTTCGGACGTTTATTTACTCTGACATTATTATTAATGTTTGGCCTTGAATTTTTTTCCCGTTGTTCCCCACAAAAAATGTGTAGTTTAATAATTTAATAAAAATAATAAGTTGCTCCGCTACTTTACTATATTACAATTATTTTATATATTTTTACGAATAATTTTAAAATAAAAATTTGTTAAAAAATTTTTTTATAATCAAAAATTTAATTTTATATTGGATATTAAAATAAAGGTTAAAGTGAATAAATACAGAAATTATAGATTACAAAATTAAATTAAACTTTACAAATTACAAATTGTAATAATTAAAGTTTACTATTTTTACAATTTGTAAATTAAAGATTATTTATTTTACAATTAATAAATAAACTTGACAATAAAGAATTACAAATTGTAATAATTAAAGTTTATTATTTTTACAATTTGTAAATTAAAGATGGTTTATTTTACAATTTATAAATAAACTTGACAATAAAAACATTACAAATTGTAATTATTAAAGTTTATTTTTTTTACAATTTGTAATTAAATAAACTAGATAATTTACAAATTGTAATATGCTTTAAAAATAAACTTGTTAGCAAATGTAGACTAAAGTTTACAATTTTACAAAGTGTAAAAATTAAAGTTTATTATTTTTTACAATTTATAAACATGACAATACAATTTGTAATTAAATAAACTTTCTAATTTACAATTTGTAATAATTAAAGTTTATTTAATAATAAGGCTGAAATATCAATACACAAAAAGAATATTATTATGGGTCAAATTAAATTTTAATATGAGAATAAAAAAGAATATTTTTACTAGAATGATTTAAAGGATAAATACAAAAAAGTCAAAAGGATTGGATCGAGTTTCGAATTAAAATACTAAAAAGGATAATTTTTTTTCGTTAATCAGACAGTATATTGAGCGTAGATTTTAATTAGAGCTCGATAGGTCACGTTGGTAATTTTTCAAATAAATATTGAGAATAATTGAAGCAAATCGAGCGCAAATTTTTATGTTTTTTCATAAAATAATTTTTGATTTTTTCGTTGAGTAAATAGTCGAACCTCTTACTTTTAGATACCCTTACTCCCCTAAATTCAGTTCCCATTGGGTTATAAAAATTAAAAAACTAGATTTGACAAAGATTGAATAGTGGAGGAGGGTGGAGAAGGAGGAGAGGGGACTGCATGACAAATAAGTTACATCTCCAATTTAAGGTACCCCTCTTATAAGATGGTGGATCAGGAGGATGCGTTCTGGAGGGTGTGGATGTGGAGCAGGATGTGGTGGAGGTCATTTCAACCCTAAGGGAGGTCATTTCAACCCTAGAGGTCATTTCAACCCTACCCCCTAAGAGATATCCTTTAGTCCAGCCAGGGATATCCCTAAAAGTAAAAGTTCAACTGTAAAATAAACATCTCAATCCTCGTATTATTTAAGAATCATTCTCTTCTCTCATCAATATGCCGTACAATTCCCGCTAGGAATACAACAAACTTGTTGTTGTGTTGAAAGGGGAACTTGTTCTGTATGTCCATAATAATATGTAATTGTTACGATTACATCAAATTGAAGAGTTACATATAAAGAAGTATAACGAGAGAAGGGTGCTTGACAGTAATTTCTGAATAAATGAAATTTTTAAAAATTAATTTTAATTTCCAACTCGAATGTAGAGCAAAAGAGTCCTATTTAAATGCATGTATTAGTGTCCTACAATACCCTGCCCAAGTCTGGTAGGTGGGGGTAAGTCCCGAGAATTTTGGTTCTGGCGATTCTAAAGTTCCTTTTCGAATTCGATTTGTCTTTGTATTAAGTACAAGTACCGATTTTGGTACAAGCATCCAAATCATGGGTGTCTGCAAGTGCAAAAAATTTTCCGCAACCGCAATTGCGGACAACCCTGATCCAAATACTGCTAAAAACTCGAGCCAAAATCCCCCAAAAAACTACAAAATTTAATTATACATAGGTTATACATATTAACACGTTTTTATTCGCTTTTTGTTATCTTTATCGATAACTTTTCATATAACCTGATCTTTAAAGTTCCCTTTCCCCTTATTTTTTAATCAAAATTTTTTTGCTTTAGCAGAAAATGAAAAGGAAAGCACAAGGTGAAAATGAACAAGAAAAATGTGTATAATTGAAAAGGATAAACGTGAATATAAATGATAAAAGTGAAAAGAAAAAACTTCAAGAGAATAAATAAAAAGTGACAGAGAATGACCTCGATATACCTACAAATCTTTAATTAAATGATAAAAATCCAGAAAAATGATAAATTCAAGTAGATAGACATATTAGCTTATTAAATATTTATTTTTATTAAAATAATCATATTAACACCCAAATTTAATAGAAAAAAAGAAAAATTTAATCCTATTTTTAGAATACCGGCATAACTAAAATTGGCAAGCAATGAATTATTTAAAACAAATATTGCTTTATTCTATTCTTATGCAAATAACCGGAATTAATTCATTTTTATTCGGTGGCCTTGGAGGTGGTGGAGGTTTGAGAGGAGGTGGAGGATGTTGTTGTTGCTGTTGTTGTTGTGGAGGTGGTGGGGGAGGAGGAGGATGTGGAGGTGGGTGCTGTGGAGGAGGAGGAGGTGGGTGCTGTGGGGGTGGAGGAGGAGGTTGCTGCGTAGGCGGTGGTGGAGGCTATGGAGGAGGTGGAGGAGCAGTAGTTGTAAATTGTGGTAAAGGAGGTTTGTCTTTGAAAGCAAAATACTGATTAGATTTAATGTTAAGGTGGCAACGGATATGGAGGTAGTTGTGGTGGTGGAGGTTACGGAGGTGGAGGAGGATGCGGAGGGTGTGGAGGCGGAGGAGGCTGTGGATGTGGAGGAGGGTATGGAGGCGGCGGAGGCTATGTAGGTCCAAGTTGTGGAGGAGGGTGTGGAGGCTGCGGAGGAGGAGGGGGTGGTGGAGGAGGCTGCGGATGTGGTGGTGGAGGAGGAGGTTGTGGAGGTGGTGGAGGAGGAGGTTGTGGAAGGGGTGGCGGTGGAGGTTGCGGGGGATGTGGAGGGGGTGGTGGAGGAGGTTGTGGAGGGGGTGGTGGAGGAGGTTGTGGAGGGGGTGGCGGAGGAGGCTGCGGATGTGGTGGTGGAGGAGGAGGTGGATGTTCAGGAGGAGGCCCTCCACAAGTAAGCTGTTCCGGTGAAGGATGCGGAGGTTTAACAGAAAAATTTTAACAAAAATTCCCTAACTTTATAAGGAGGACCACCGCCAGTTGGACCCGCCATCGAATCACCCTGTGAACCCAAATACGTTATTGTCCGACCAGTTGGAGAAGGTGGTGGCGGAGGAGGATACGCACAAAGCGTGCCAGTAGGAGGGTGTGGTAGTAGCGGTTGTGGAGGAGGGCCAAGTGGATATTCTACAGGTAAAAGGATTCATTAACCAATAATAATCGGCTAATAAGGAGGACAATATGCAAAGGAAGGGCCTATCAATATACAAGAACCAACAGCATATGTCCATCAACAAATTCCATCAGGGTCCTATTTAGAACCTGAAAAAAATGTTGGAGCAACCTACCAACAACAGCAAGTTCCTCCCCAACAATATGAAGCAGTTGCATCAGCTTCAGGTAGAGAAAAAATAAATTTAGAAAAAATAACAAGGGAAAAATAAAGATGGAGGAGCTTCAGCCGCTGTTCAAAGCCCACCAGCCAATCAAGAATTACCCATCCCACCAACAGAACAAGGTAGAAAATAGACTCTGATTTTGATAAAAATAGAAATTATCTTCTACTAGTCCAACCAGCCTCAACAGCAAACGAAGTTGAAGCAGAAGAAGTTGCAGCACCAAGTACACCAACAAGAGAACAATTAAAACAAGAACCTTATAATAGATTACAAAAATCAGCAGTTAAAGCTCTACGTGGGTCAAAAACAACAATTACAACATTAACTAAAACAAGGTTATACATAGAACAATAAAATGTGAAATGATAGAAACATGTTTTTCCGGAAAGATATTAATGTTTTCCAGAAATTCCGGAAAAAGAGAAAAACAAAAAAATATATAGAGTAATATAGAAGGAATAAAAGACTATATAAACTTCCGGAAAAGTATCAAGTTTCCGGAAAATACAGAAAAACTCTATCTCTCTATTTTTACGTGTTTCCCGGAAAATACAACAAATTGTCTTAAGGAGAAACAAACAAAAACACATTTATGACTTTTCCGGAAAATACAGAAAAATTCTGATTTAACTATCATAAAACACTTTGTGTTAATTTCTGGAAGAAATTTATCCTAAGGAAACATCTACAAATGTATAAATCAGAATTTATACATACTCCGGAAACATTAAACTTTTCCGGAAACTTTAGACTTTTCCGGAAAGTTTTAATTAAAAATAAGAGAAAACTTTAAATTCTGATTCTTCCGGAAAAGTAGTCCGTTTCCGGAAAATACAAAAATTCTGATTTTTATATTTTATTAAATTATTGTATTTTCCGGAAAAACATTTAAAAACAATAGAAAACCAGAATTTTTGGACCCTATCCCGAAAGAAGGGTCGAATCGTTTTTTTCATTACTTTTTATTTCTTTATAAAAATGGTCAGTTTTCCTTAAAGTTGATGTAGGTTGATGTTTGCCTTAAGGAAAATGGTGAAAGAGATTAAATTTTTATATTTTTTTCTTGTTTTCGTTTGTATCATTTACACGGACGAACACGGACGAGCACGGACACAAAACACGGACGAACACAGACGAAGCGAGCACGGACAGACAAAAGACGGACGAACACAGACGAAACACGGACGAGCATGGACAGACAAAAGACGGACGAACACAGACGAAACACGGACGAGCACGGACAGACAAAAGACGGACGAACACAGACGAAACACGGACGAGCATGGACAGACAAAAGACGGACGAACACAGACGAAACACGGACGAGCACGGACAGACAAAAGACGGACGAACACAGACGAAACACGGACGAGCACGGACAGACAAAAGACGGACGAACACAGACGAAACACGGACGAGCACGGACAGACAAAAGACGGACGAACACAGACGAAACACGGACGAGCATGGACAGACAAAAGACGGACGAACACAGACGAAACACGGACGAGCACGGACAGACAAAAGACGGACGAACACAGACGAAACACGGACGAGCATGGACAGACAAAAGACGGACGAACACAGACGAAACACGGACGAGCATGGACAGACAAAAGACGGACGAACACAGACGAAACACGGACGAGCACGGACAGACATAACACGGACAGATAAAACAAGGACGGACACGAACGGTCGAACATGTGTCCGTCTGTGTTTAGTCTGTCCTTGTTTTGTCTGTTCGTGTTCTTCTGTCATTGTCCGTCCTTCTCCATTTTTCCTTAAGGCAAACATCAACCTACATCAACTTTAAGGAAAACTGACCATTTTTATAAAGAAATAAAAAGTAATGAAAAAAACGATTCGACCCTTCTTTCGGGATAGGGCCAATTTTTGTATTTTCCGGAAATAAAATAATTCTGATATTAAAAATAACAAAAGACATTTAAAAATTCTGATTTTTCCGGAAAGTTTAATTAAAAATAATTCTGATTTTTTTCTCTTTTTCTCTAGCAACATAAGTAAAGAAAACACAGCAATATGCAATTCTGTTGAACTATCCCAATTAATGGAAACTTTAATAGTAGAGAATGATGCAAACGAATCAAAGAGGCGTTTACACAAAGCAACAAACCAACAATTTATAACAGAAGGGAGTGATAGAGGTTTAGATGTTATTTGTGCTCCTGGGGCTTTTAGCTATAGAATTGCTACTGATTTTTTTTGTGAACGAACAAAGGGGAATATTACTTGTTTTGTTTATCAACAACAACCATAAATAAAATAGGAGGAGAAGGGGTGAAGAAGAGGCATTTTTAAATAAATTTAAAAAATAATTTTAAAAAATTAAAAAATAATAAAAAAAAATAAGAAAGGAGAATGAGAAAGATTTTTTTTAATTAAAGAAAAAAAAATAAAAAAATGCTCTTATCAAAAAAAATTAAATTAAATTTCTATTTTATTTATTGGATTTTTCATTGTTAATTTTTTTAATTTACTAATTATATAAAATTTTATTTGACTTATTGGATTATATTTAATTTTTAAAAATTTGACCAAGATGGCTCTCTTCCACTTTCGTTTTTTTAAAATGTAGCAGGACCATTTCTTACCCAATACCTTCTTCTAATGACTAAAGCCCTTGTCTTATTCAATTAAAACCCCAAAAAGATGATTTTAGAAAATCCAAAAATTAAAAAAAAAAAACTCCCCCAATTTAAATTAAAAAAAGAAAAAACCCTCACGCAATAATTCCTTTTAAAGACACAGAATTGTTAAAAGCCAATTCCCTCGTTGTTCGATACAAAATTAATGGAGACGTTTCAGTAAAACTTTTATTTAGACCATGTCCAACAACGTCAGTTGACCAAGGCTGGAAATTTAGAAAAAAATTTTTTGTTTCGATAAGAAATAAAAAAACCTGAAATTTTGACGTAATAATTGATGTAATATTAACCAAATCGACTGGAATATAATTTCCACTTGTTACGTTAATTTTATTCTGAAAAGAAAAAAAATATTAAAAAATTAGAAAAAATTCAAAAAAAAAATTTTTTATGGAAAAACAAAGGACCACCAAAACAAAGGACCACCAACCAATTTGCCAAAATTAAGTCTTGCCGTGTGGAAACTCCCAAAATTCCCCACAATTTTAATTCCCTCAATGTCCAAATCAGGGATGTCACGGATGGAAAAAGTAGTCAAGTTTCGGGTGTTTAAAAAATTTCTTTGGATTAGCCCAAAAAAAAAGTTGAAGGTTTCGGTTACACGTGACAACCCTGGTCCAAAAATCAAAAAATTTCCAGAATTCCCAATATCCAAATTAGCAATGTCACGGGGTGAGAAAAAAGTTGGGTCGGTTTCAAGCCTTCAAAATTACCTTCATGGATCAGTTCCGATTCAGAAAAAATTTGATTATCAGGTTTCGGGTAACCCGTGGCATCCCTTGCCCAAATTTAAAAAAATTAAAAAAAACCATAAAATGGAAATCAATAAAAGAAGAATGATTAGCATCACGTCCAGTAACATAGACAATTTCAATCGGCCCTCTATTTGAATTTAAAGTCACAGTTCTAGGCATCAACAAAAAAATTAGAGCACTTCCAACAAAAACACAAAGAGAAACCCAAAAAGAGACGATTAAACAAGTCCGTTTTGGTTTAAGTCTTTCATCATTCACTGGAATTAGAGCAACCAAAGTACCTTCCAATTCTTTTGGGATAAGTCCAGAACCTTTACAGGAAGGGCAGGGAACCTGCAAAAAAAAGAATTTTTAAATTTCTTTTGCAAGTGGCAGAGCTTTGGAGAGCAAGATTTTTGAAAAGCCTGGACCTGTTCCTAGGTCTGAGTTATTGATCTGGGCCCCTGGCCATGTAGTCCAGGAAAAACCCTTGACCCAAGAAAACCCAGGAAAGGTCAAAAAATGCCTAGGCCTGGACTCTGGTCGACTGACCAGCCACTGACCAGCCACCCAGTTCAATCTCTACAGAGCTTAACTCCTCCAATTTATACCCCTTCCTACAATTAGTTTTATATTTCAAGCATTTTCAAAAAATCGAATGGTCCCAGTTTTCCTTCCTTATCGAACAAAAAAAGCAAATAAAACTGCTAGATTCGCATTTGAAAAATTTATTAACTGTCCCAAATTTGGTATCAGGTTACTGGAATCGGCTTCAAAAAATAATATCTCAAGCTATCCCATAATACACCTAAAATACACCGAAAAACAAAAAAATTAAAAGTTCGACAACTCCACTTTTCCCTAAATCAGTTACAGAGGAAACAACTGTTCTAAAACACCTTTACCTACACCCTTACCCACACCCTAAAACCCCCTTAAAGATTAAAAAAAAAATCAAACCGATCCCCCATGCAGTTCAGTATAATCAGGAGTTGTTTGACTCGTCCCTTCAGTTAATGATTGGGTAGAGTTTGTTTCATACTCTTCCAAAGTTTCCATTCCATCTCGACGAGTAGAGGACGGTAAAATATTTAAAAGAGTTTCACGCCTAAATTTCAAAAAAAATTTTAATTAAATTAAAAATTAGAGATCGGCCTAGAGCCGGACCCTTAGTTTTACAGCAAGGCGGTCCTTTACAAATCACCAAAAATGGGTATGACCTCTCAAGAAGAAGTAAAAATGAGACAAACTCGTTCAAAAATGGGGAAGAAAAAGGAGGCAATGTTGAAAAAGAGGGGAAAAAGGGGTGAAGAGGTAAAGGGGGAAAATCCCCTAAAATGAGACAAAAGAACCCAATCAAAAAGGACCCAGTCCAGAGTCAAGAACAAGGCATTTTTTAAATGTTTCTTGATTTCTACTTAACTCCAGTACAAAAATTTGAAGTTAAGGTTCAAAAAAGAATCAAGGATTTAAAAATCTCCAATCTCTAATTAAAAAATTAAAATAAAAAAATCAAACCATCGCGAAATTCTAGCCATCATTGGTTCAGAAAATTTCATTTTTTCCACGTTTTCCAAATTTATTAAATTTTTTCCTTAAGCTAAAAAATAAATTAAAAATGATTAAAAATTATTAGAAAAAATAAAATAAAAGAAGCAAAATTTAAGTTTTTTGTCGTTTTCTCGCGAATGAATCACCGCTCTTTATTAGCAATAAAATTATTTAATTCTTATTGATTTTATTTATTTCGACGAAATTGCAAAAAAATTTTTGAATCGAAAAAAAAATTAAAAAGGAGTTAAATTCACTGAAAAATCGTGTCTGGTGAAAACGGCAGTGGTGAATTGGGCAGCGAGTAATTTGGGCAACGAGTGATTTGGGCAGTAAACGTTTTTTAAAAACTAATTTTACACGCAAAAACAATTTGAGTAACGTTAGAAGAATAATTTTGAGTGATTTGGGCAGTAACAAAAAATTTTAAAATTATTTACACAAAAATTCAAAAAACCGCACCCCTTTTTCATTTTTATAACGTTGTAGGTACAACATTATCCTTTGTTGAAATCGTCTTGGTCTCAATTTTGACGTTTCCCTAAGTGATAAGTAGATTTAAGGTATGAAAAATTGAGAAATAATTCCTATTTTAAGTTTTTAGGTCTCAAGATCAAAATATCTGAAAAAGGTCAAAATTGTTTTGGAAAAATATGTTCAAATTTTGGATTTACTTTAGGTTAAATAAAAATTTCCGGAATTTTTCTTATCAATTTTAAATAATTTAAAAATTCTAAGTTACTGCCCAAATCACTCAAAATTATTCTTCTAACGTTACTCAAATTGTTTTTGCGTGTAAAATTATTTTTTAAAAAACATTTACTGCCCAAATTACTCACTGCCCAATTCACCACTGCCCAAATCACACGGCACCTGAAAAATAGAAGAAAAAAGAAGCAAAAACAGGGTACAGTCCAAAACGGCGCGCGGCCATAACGGCGCAAAGCCATATCTTCCTGGAAAATTTCCGGTTCTTATCAATTTTGGTACCAATCTCCCTAGCTCGACGAGATGAATCGTTTAATACTAAATTTGTTAAGATTCGGAAATTTTGAAGCAAGTTACGGCTTTGCGCCGTTATGGCCGCGCGCCGAATTGGGCTTCCTGCAAAAATAAAAAATTAATTTTTAAGACATTTTGTCCCAAGCAAGGAAAATTTTCATCGATTTGTGAAAATCAATTAATTGTGAAAAATTTTTGTTCTGATATTTATGTATCTAAAAAATATTATCCCTTCGGATCCATCCCAAAACAAGAAAGCAACTTTGGAGATAAACGATAAATGGTCGCCATCAACTGCGCGACATTTGCGAACATTTAAAAAGGGTTAATTATGCATGTCCTTCCAATTACATGGTTGCCCAGTTCTTTTTAGAATCAGCGGTCCGATATCTGGGTGAGCTAACGTGGGTTAAACGATCTAAAGGGCGAAAGAGAAAGCATTAATCGTCACCCCGGTAGCTCAGTGGTAGAGCTCTATTTGGTGAGCTAAAACGCCTAGCAATAACTACGAGGAGGTTGCAGGTTGCTAAACTGCTCGGTAGCTAAACTTTTGTTAAGCTCAAAGTGGTTAGTAAATTTTTCCTACGCGGAAAAAATGTCGCGGTAATGTTTTCCTTGATAGCCATAAAAAGTTGCTCCCAAGATGTACTACAACTTTCGAGCAGGGCTGTGCATCATGGCGTTTGGCGTCCATTTTTGGCGTTTTGCGTTTGGCGTGATTTAAAAATTAAGAAAATGGCGTTTGGCGCGCCACGCGCAAATTTTGGCGCACAGCCCTGCTTTCGAGGCTAGTGCCACCAGCAGTCAGTAGGAGGGATTTTTTTACTTCAAGTCTTTATCAATTATTTTATATGTTACAAAAGATGATTTTTTCAAAAAAAATTTATAAAACATTATAAGATTTAATTACTATTTATATCAAATAGTTATTCATTTTAAATTCGAAAAACGCCAAGGACCCCCCGCGCATGGTTTTTTACACTTCCATTTTCCTAAACAAATGATTTTTATTATATATATTATAATAATCTTGGTAGTGCCCCTATTTTTGGGGAGAAAAATCCTTTCAAAAATTCCGCCGGCCGAAGGCCGGCGGCTGGAATTTTTTGAAGGGTACATTTGTCCTGCAACTTTTTACGCTCTATTCAGGAAAAATCTAACCTCGGCACTGAAACGTCGTTTTCGCACTGAAACGGCCATGGGTGGTTTTTCAAATGGAAATAGCACGGAGGGGTGAAGTTGAATCAAAAAGTGCTTGCTGGGAGGCGATTAAGTTGGGAAAGGTACTATATCGTAGGAAAAATTTCGGGACCATTGGGTGGACGGTTGAGTGCGATGTGCCGTCGCGAAAATTGTACACCTCGTCCAAAAATGACACATGGTGTCCGACGAAATTCACCGACAATTTACAAACTATATGCCATTCGATAGAGCTCCATGAGTTGGATATGGCAAAATTTGGTTTGAATTTTTCTGACCATTTTGGGCAAAGTTATAGAATGCCAAAGGTCCAAAATGTCCAAAACCCCTATCGTGAAGGGTGGCTCCCATTGAGTGTAACTATAAAATTGCTTAAGATTGGGCAAATGGTTTCAACTCTTTTTTGGTATAATAGGGCACTAAATGTACTACAATTTTGTTGGGGGACACTTGAGTCTGGGATTTTTTCCTGACATAGTTATGGGCACCAAAGTGACCACGCGAAAACCGACTTTTTAACGCGTGAATTGAAATTCGATTTGAGTATCCTATCTTGTAGAGCGTCCCTTGAAACCTCTAAAAATACATACTTTGTTGGGGGTACACTTGAGTCTGGGAAAGTTATAGGGCAAAAAGTGGCATTTTTGGGGCCAAAAGTGGTCGGTTTTTTGAGTATAACTTTTTTTAAAAAATTTTTAAAAATAAACGGAGTTCGGATTCGTGTTCAGCACCTATTAGAGTACCATAAAACATATTAATCTCGATATCGATTTTTTGAACCATTTTTGAAGGGGTACCCCTTTTGAAATTTTTTGGTGAAATTTAAATTGGGCATAACTTTGTAAGTTTTTGTCGTAGCCAAACGAATTAAAGGTTATAAAATAGAGCAAAAAATTACAAATTTTTTGAGCTATTTAATTTTTTGAAAAATTTCACCCGAGGCTTGGTAGGGTCGATTTTTTGAAAATTCAAAATTTTTCGGTTTTTTAAAATTTTCTGGGGTATATCGAGGCTGAGGGTGGTTGAATATATTTTTATAAAATTGAGCAGAATTTTTACTATATATTTAGCTTTTAAAATGTTTCAAAAGGGTCAATTTTTGAAAAGTTATGATTTTTTGAAAAATGGCGCAAATTTTTTGGTCGAAATTTTCGACCAAAAATTTATTTTTTCCAAAATGGCATAAAATAGGGCAAATGTTATATCAATCGAAAGCTCTCATCGAGCTGAGCACGAAAATATTTTTTCTGGAATTTTCTGACCATTTTGTACAAAGTTACAAAAGGTCGAAATTTTGGGTGTAGGGGGTTTGGGGGCCGAAGGCCCCCAAACGGCGGGCCGGAGGTCCGCCGTGCGAGGGCCGAAGGCCCGAGCTTAAGATACATCCCAAAACGAATCGCGAGGGCCGAAGGCCCGAGCGTAAGATCCATCCCAAAACGAATCGCGAGGGCCGAAGGCCCGAGCGTAAGATCCATCCCAAAGCGAATCGCGAGGGCCGAAGGTAACGCGAGGGCCGAAGGCCCGAGCTTAAGACCCATCCCGAAACGTATCGCGAGGGCCGAAGGCCCGAGCTTAAGATCCATCCCAGAACGAATTGCGAGGGCCGAAGGCCCGAGCTTAAGATCCATCTCAAAATGGGTCGCGAGGGCCGAAGGCCCGAGATTAAGATCCATCCCAAGACGAATCGCGGGGGCCGAGAATTTTTAAACGCGGCGGGCCGAAGGCCCGACGAGATTTCCAGGGCTTTTTATTAAATTTAGCAGAAAAAATTTCTAGCAGCGCGCGAAGCGCGCCCCAAAGCCGTTAGGCTTTCCAACGGGCAAAAGTATCGTAACCAAAGGCTCCGCCTATTAAATTCCAGTGCATACGTAACTTACCGCCATACCCCAATGGGCACAACTAGTTAGGTAATTAATAAATAAACTACGGTAGCACCCGTCCCTTTGGGGTAGTTTACGTTTCGGGGACAGAGGTGTTTCGAAACAAAAAAATATTCGAAAATCGCAAATCGAAAGTAAAAAAACCTCGAAAATCGAAAAACGAAAATCGAAATTTCGAAACAGCTCTGGTCGGGGACGACACTTTTTGGAAGAAATATTGCCCCTTTGACTCCAAAATACGCTAAAATCAGGTGGTAAAAGAGGGGCGAAAACGTCAAATGAGGGGGGGGGGGGGCAAATAAAAATGTTGTGAATCTGGAACACGAATTTACGAAACTTTTGAATTTACGGGACTCGGGGTAGGCACAATCCCTGATGTACATTTTAACTTTTTTATTAATGTTGAGAGAAATACAGTAGTGGCATATGTTTATAGACAACAACGATTTGTTAATAAAATCCCTCATAACAAAGCTAAATATGAATCAATCTATTTCATATGAGCCTAAAAATGAGCCTAACAGAAAAAATTTTAAATAAGCTCTAGGGGCTTAAAATATTTTTTAAAAGCCTCCGGGGACGGGTGCTACCCTAGATTAAACCTGAAATTTTTATCTTGCCGCACTCACACATATCATACGCTGGTTTTATATGGACTTTGCGTTCTAAAAGAAAAAAATGTAGTGCCAATAATGCTATGGTACCTAAAAATATTATCTAAAATACATGTTGATATGGCTAGTAACACTATATCAAGTATTAGGCAAATGGATTTCTC